TAACCTTATCTTTTCACTGGTTATCTCAAACCAATTAAATTTAGTATGAATTTAGACTTCTGATCATAGTTAGACAGACACCCTTTATCTTTCAATTTTGAACCATTGTTTGTTTATAAATCATCGAAAGATGAAACTGAACCAACTTTATTCTATTAATGAAATTAAAATTGTTACTCGAATGGAAATGAAATAAAATATTTTACTGATTAAAACGAAGTGTCATCTCTAATACATTTTGACATTTAACCCAAACCTAGAAGCCTTTATGAGGATTGTGCCTTTCAACAAATGGATTGGAATGAAGTGAATACCAGTAATTAAACAACTATCAATAGATTACCATTAAACCGTCCACGATTAGTGAGAAATAATAATCAAATATAAAGATCGTCATGTCTCAACAGTAGACCCAAATCCTCTATTCAACTGTAGAGTTGAAATTAACAACTGGAAGACAAAATTGTGTCTTCTTTCCTACTAATACTAGCTTGTCATTCCAACATTGTGCTCCAGACTCCTGATACTAAGCTTTCAATTAACTCTGTCATTTTTTTTACGCAGCGATGATTAGTCTTGATTCTTGAACTAAAAGAGATTAATGATTGAATAAAGTATGTTTTAATGGCAAAAAAATAGCTGACAATTACGTATGTTTGTAAATACTAGCAAGTCGTTCAACATCTTTGGGTTGATTCAATTTTCCTGGCATTATGAGCAATCATTAAATTAATTATTAAAGCCTGCAACCTGAATCTATCATACAAGGTAAAGTTTACTAATAAACACAAAACAAATCATTAAATTCACAAAATAATTGTATTTGTTAACCATTTTTATCAAAAAGGTATCTCAATTGGGAAAAATATAAAAATGCACTGGGATTTGTTTAACCAAATGAAGCCAATTTATCAATCCATTATTCAACAATTGAATAATTTATTTGTATCATCGTTATAAAATGTGAACAAAAAACATTTGATAATGAATTGAATTGAACATTTAAAGTATTAATAGTCAATGTAAGGTTAGTCGAGTTGAAACCTTTAAATAACATTTGAAGGTAAATCAAGCGCTGGTTATCAGTGATAATTAGCAAGTAAATTGCTTTAAATTTTTGCTGCCTATTAGTTACGAGGTGAGTTGATCAACAATTTTTTATGACATTTTTTGTTTCTTTTTGCTTCATCAATATTAAAAAGCATCATAATACAATCATTAAAAACTATCTTGTCTGAGCAAGAATGATAATTTTGATCATTACGACGATCAGAAAGATGATAAAGTAGAGGAAAGAGGTTATTTGATGATATTTTACCTGTAAATTGCATCTTAGATTCAATTTATTCAGTCTGAATGTGAGTCGATTTCAATTTTTCATCACTTTTCCACTTCCCAAGTGTCATTTCAATCGTCAAAACGGATATTATTGACATTATCATAACCATTTTTAAACATTAATATCAATCTATATCAATGAAGAGCTTGAAAATTGGGTAAAAATGTTTACTAAATATTTTGAAAAAATATCAACATTCAATTGGCCAATTTCATTGAATCATTTTTCCCGGTCAATGCAATAATTTGCTGGTTAATCTTGCCCAATATTGACCTTTCCAAATGAAGCAACTAAAATTAGCTATTGAATGAACATTGACAATGAAATAAAATAAAGGTAAACCTTATATTCAAAGCAAATGTTGGGCAAAATGTGAAAAGATGTTTACTGTAGCTTTCAATGGTTTCATTAAGGTCAGTATAATAGATTACATTATCAACAATCGCAAGTCACAAAATACTGTCCAACATGAAATTCATGGTCAATGGAAAAAGAAATGAAGAAATGAGGCGAATAGCATTTTCAATTGAATAGCCATTAATATTAATATTATAATATCACTCTGTATCTAATCATTGAGAGTAAAGAGTTTGCTTTCAAATGTAACTTGAAATGTTAATCTAATCTAATGAAATTGAAATACATATTTATAAATTGTTGGGATAAAGAGTAAATATTTACAATTAAAAATATGCCATTGATAATGGTTATCATTTTGATTGTTAAAGACAGAAATCTTTGATTGTGTTTATTATGTTGTTTTTCATTATGTAAACTGGCTAATGGATCACGTTGACTGTTTTATCATTAATCAAAGAATTGATATGATGTACCTTTAATTACCGTGTTTCCGCACAAAGAAGGCCAGAGCTTATTCATCAAAATTAAAGATAGCTGATTATTGTAACTACCTTTTGCAGATAAATGTGAGTTGAAAGGTTACTTAATGGGATAATTTAATTTACAAGTCAACTCGGTTGGATATTTCAAAATGTAACATGTTTTGAGCGTCAAAACTCCCAGTTGAATCATCATTTAATTTGGTTCTGTTGTTTCTGATTGCTGACATTGTAAAGGTTGAAAAATTAAACACTGACAACAATTTGGCTAAATTATTTGAACCTTTAAATTCGTTTCCATCCTTTTGCTCGAGTTGTTGCTCTGTTTTACATGGAAATGATTCAACTGGATTTTGATTAAATTTGCTGGTCCATTGTCATTTGCTTGTTTGTTTGTGTAGCTTTTTATTTACAGAGTTAATCATTGTCGTTATTGCTGGAGACAATGACATTTAATTGATTGAATAAGCAATAATTTGGTAAATATACAAAGCAATTGAAAGATTAAACAATATACTGGAATAGACTGAATAAAAAGCCAATAACAACGAACACGGCAAGTATTAATGGTTCAAGAATGGCTGATTATAATCAATAATATAAATAGAAACCATATATCACAATCATAATAATCATCTGAAAATATATAAATTAAATGTAATATAATTTGTCTTCAATCGTAGTAAACAGAAACATTAAAAGAGATGTATAATTAGTTTTCAAGAGTTGGTCTATTCATCAACTTGTGATATTTTGTAAGGCTCAAGAGTGTTTAACAAATTAACGTTAATAATGGAACAAGTTGATATTGAATTGATTAATTAGCTTGGACATTTTTTCACTCTTCTGCTCAGAATAGATTCCATTGAAAGAGTCATTATCATTCTTGTTTTTAAGAGTGTTGACTATGGTTAATCTGGACTTTGAAGTGATTTTAAAATAGGGAAAAATTTAAATGGTGTTTATCTTGGACCAATAATATGAAATCATTTACAAATAAGCTGAAATATAATGAAGGAAAAATGATCAAATTTATTGAGAATAAGCCCACATTTGAATGTAACAAAATTAAGCATCAATAATGAGTTTACAATGTAGGCTTTTTTTCAGGCCAAGTCTTTTGTTAACCATTTACATAAATTTATTTAACAATGAAAATCGAATTCCTATTCCAATTCATCCCAGGGAGGTATACCTTTAGATCCTCGTTCAGCTGTGTCTCGGTGCCTTTCGAAGAACATTTTGTCAGGGTAGCCTGTTCTTAATTTTACTATTTTTCCTATTTTTCTATTAATTGCTTTATCCTCGCAACTTGAGGTCCAAATTGATATTTTTGTCATACGGCTTCTAACGTTTACCACAGCCCCGCAAACTTGATCACTTTCATCATCAAAAGCTTCTCCTATGAGACACAAAAGCTATAAAGAAAAGAGGATAGCAAGAATTTAGAGATATTTGAAGATGCAAAAAGGAATACATTTGATAAAAAATGACTTACCACTTCAAGCCAGGAGTCATCTAACTTTCCTCTAGCTTGTTTATCAAATGTCATTAGCCATCGGCCACCATTATAATTTCCTTTGTCCTCCCACATAGGTTTGATTGATTCGCGGAATAGACTGTAATCTGAACCTACTGCCAGATTACTTGGAAGTTCAATGTGGTTAATTAGGGCCCAGAAGTCTTCAACAGTTCCAACTGTGGTTACCGGCACCAGATTAGCTCCCCAATCACCACCTTTACTTGGCTTTAAATACCACAATTTCCATTTAGAATTCAATGGATTTTTAAAGTCAGAATCAGTCATATTAGTTAACTGAAAAAAGGAACAAAATACTGAAAAAAATGAGTAGAAAAATCACTTAATTACAATCAAAAAGAACAAAATAATCAAAAATGTAACGGGTTTTATAAGAAGACTTTGTGAGGAAGAAAATCTTGACTAATGCATTCTTCTACAGGCTCCATCTGTTTCAATCCGAAGATAAGTGAAGATAGATGGCGCTACATGACACACATATCAGTAAATTGTTAAAATCGAAGAGTAACTTTCCTAACTCTTTGGTTAAAATTAACTACACAAAACCATCATCACCGTCGTTCTCTCCTTTAATCTCCTGTTTACGTTCTTTTTCTTGTTGCTCTCACTTTAACTCTGAAAGTTTGCTTGTTCGACTGTGTTTTCATTATTTACTTTTTTTGTTCCCTTTTTTGTGAATCTCTAGGCTAGCACAGGATGTGATCTGGCTAAAAAGTGTCAAAACTCAGGGCCATCATCATACTTTTGTGGACCTTATCAAATATCATGGTCTTATTGGTCTGATGGAGGAAGACCTGGTGATCAAGGAGGTCCACATGATTTTGAAACTTGCCTTAATGATAAATCGTGTGCCGAACAAGCTATTTATGGTTATATGAACAAATGGGCCCGAGATTGTAATGGTGATGGAGTCATTGATTGTACCGATTATGCTGCTATCCATAAAGCAGGTCCACACTCGTGCAATGCTCAATGGTTACTCGATTCAGAATACTGGAGAGTCTTTCAGTCATCATCATGTGCCTCTGGAAGTGAGTAAACTTCAAATCAGTATTAAACAGTTGTAGATGAAATAAAATATTTTACTTATTAGAACGAAAGCTTGTTTGCTTGTTTAAATAAAATGAAAGATGAAACTGAACCAACTTTATTCTATTAATGAAATTAAAATTGTTACTCGAATGGAAATGAAATAAAATATTTTACTGATTAAAACGAAGTGTCATCTCTAATACATTTTGACATTTAACCCAAATCTAGAAGCCTTTATGAGGATTGTGCCTTTAAACAAATGGATTGGAATGAAGTGAATACCAGTGATTAAACAACTATCAATAGATTACCATTAAACCGTCCACGATTAGTGAGAAATAATAATCAAATATAAAGATCATCATGTCTCAACAGTGGACCCAAATCCTCTATCCAACTGTAGAGTTGAAATTAACAACTGGAAGACAAAATTGTGTCTTCTTTCCTACTAATACTAGCTTGTCATTCCAACATTGTGCTCCAGACTCCTGATATTAAGCTTTCAATTAACTCTGTCATTTTTTATCTTTTTATTTTTTTAACCATTTCCATTATAAAAAAGGTATCAGCATTGGTAAATAAAAATATAAAAATACACTGAGATTTGTTTAACCAAAAAAGCCAATTTATCAATCCATTATTCAACAATTGAATGATAATTTTGATCATTATGACGATCAGAAAGATGATAAAGTAGAGGTGATAATTAAAAGAGGTTATTTGGTGATTTTACCTGTAAATTGCATCTTAGATTCAATTTATTCAGTCTGAATGTGAGTCGATTTCAATTTTTCATCACTTTTCCAATTCTCAAGTGTCATTCCAATCGTCATATCGGATATTACTGACATTATCATAACATTTTAAACATTAATAACAATCTATAACAATGAAGAGCTTGAAAATTGAGTAATAATGTTTACTAAATCTTTTTGAAAAAATAACAAAATTCGATTAGCCAGTTTCATTTAATCATTTTTCTTGGTAAATGCAATAATTTGCTGGTTAATCTTGCTCAATGTTGACCTTGCCAAATGAACCAACTATTCCAATTCATCCCAGGGAGGTATACCTTTAGATCCTCGTTCAGCTGTGTCTCGGTGCCTTTCGAAGAACATTTTGTCAGGGTAGCCTGTTTTCGATTTGATTATTTTTCCTATTTTCCTATTTGCTGCTTTATCTTCACAACTTGAGGTCCAAATTGATATTTTTGTCATACGGCTTCTAACGTTCACCACTGCTCCACAAACTTGATCACTTTCATCATCAAAAGCTTCTCCTATGAGACACAGTAGCTATTATGGATAAAGACATACAAAAATTTAAAAAAAATTATCACAAAAAAATAAAACACATTTTTAATAAAAAACGACTTACCACTTCAAGCCATGAGTCATCTAATTTGTTTCTAGCTTGTTTATCAAATGTCATTAGCCATCGGCCACCATTATAATTTCCTTTGTCCTCCCACATAGGCTTGATTTCTTCTCTGAAGAGACTGTAATCTGAACCTACTGCCAGATTACTTGGAAGTTCAATGTGATTAATTAGGGCCCAGAAGTCTTCAACAGTTCCAACTGTGGTTACCGGCACCAGATTAGCTCCCCAATCACCACCTTTACTTGGCTTTAAGTACCACAATTTCCATTTAGAATTCAACGGATTTTTAAAGTCGGTATCTGTCATATTAGTTAAATGAAAAAAAGGAACAAAATACTGAAAAATTGAGTAGAAAAATCACTTAATTACAATCAAAAAAGAACCAAATAATCAAAAATGTAACGGGTTTTATAAGAAGACTTTTTGAGGAAGGAAATCTTGACTAATGCCTTCTACTACAGTAGTACTACATCTGTTTTAAAGCTGAAGATAAGTGAAGATAGATGGAGCTACATTACACGCATTGCAATCAGTAAATTGTTAAAATTAACTTTACAATAAAATTTGTGCTTATATTGCTGTTGAATTGTTTATATAGCTGTTGTCTATTTTATATGTAAACTTTGTAATAGAGTCTATTAATCTTTAACATTTTAGGAGAGTTGATTGTCTTGAAAATAAAATTTTGAAATCTACTAACCTTCAAGAATAAAAACTATGAACTGGTATTGGTAAAAGCGATTTCAATTGAATTTTACAATTTAGATGGCCCTTCATCTTTAAGAAATAATTAATTGCTATATTGTAAATGATATTAAAGCACAAATTTGATAATTAAATTGTCTTAATGGACATTTGACTCTTTGATTTGCACTAGTCTCCATCTATTGTCTTTGTAAAGTAATACCACTTTCCGAATTTCTTTTGATCAGATTTACTTAAAGTTGACAAAGGTTTAAAATTTCCAGTTTTTTTAATTATTAAGTGGATTAATCCAAGTGGGTTTACAGTAGAAAGTAAAATGGTCTTCGTATATTCAGCGTTTAATCGATGCTTTCAGGGACCAGTTTTTCAGGGTTTTCATCATCATCGTCGTCGTTCTCTCCTTTACTCTCTTGTTTACGTTCGTTTTCTTGTTACTCTCACTTTCACTCTGAAAGATTGCCTGTATTTTTTAATTTATTATTATTTCATTTTTCTCGAGCAAATCATCATAAACTTAATTTTCCATCCTCTTCGAATCAATTCCTTCCTTTCAGTTCAACATTAACCAATGTAAGCTTAATCCCTCCCCTGTTTTGGGAAATCTTGAAGACTCTCTGTTCTTGGAATCATGTTTTAAATTTTTGTTTCAAACCACTTCATCTTTGGTTTCGGACATCGGCAAGACCATCGACTATATCAACTATACCAACATCTACATCACATTGACATCATCTTTTTACCAGTATCAGGTGAAATTTACTCTTAAAGTCAATTTCCAAATTCAAATTTTTCACTCCAAAAATGAGCCGTTTACAGGCTCTTACTGGTAAGTTCATTTATCTAACCTGTTGTCCAGCTACTTTATATAAAATGTGATCTTATTTTTGTTTTTTGTTTTTTTTCGCTTTCCATGCCATTCCAATAATTGAACTTTCAATCAATGTGGTTAACCAGTTTTCTTGGTGATATACATCAGTCAGACGGCTTCAGTTGAATCGCAAATAACCCAACAATGTCTCGATTGTATCTGTCAGGTTAGTAATGTATACTTTTTTCTCGTCCAATTGATTCTAATTTGGTTTCATGTCGTTATTGTTGTTACTCTTGTTGTTACTAATTCATTTCGATTAACACTTGTGATACAAAATACTTCTTAGCCTTAAACCATTCGTCACTTCTTATCTAAACTGTTCCTCAATATATTTTCTCAAACTTATCAATCCACCTTTCCTTTTATCTTCCCTCCATTTTTCGCACTCTCATTATTTATTTTACTTCTCTAAATCCCTTTTATCAATGGTTTCAGGCCATATTTTAGTTTCGTATTACATTTGAGTCCTATCTGTCATTCAATGAAAGTGTTAGCCGAATTGCCTTATAAAAAGTAACAATTACACTGACAATCTATATCAATCATTAAGGATTGATGTGATTGAAAAAAAATCAAAAATAAATCCATGTCAACTCAATGTCCTGATAATTTTTGACTACAATATCATTGTTTTGTCTTGTTTAACTATGTTTTCATTATTTATTTTTGTTCCCTTTTTTGTGAATCTCTAGGCTAGCACAGGATGTGATCTATCTAAAAAGTGTCAAAACTCAGGGCCATCATCATACTTTTGTGGACCTTATCAAATATCATGGTCTTATTGGTCTGATGGAGGAAGACCTGGTGATCAAGGAGGTCCACATGATTTTGAAACCTGTCTTAATGATAAATCGTGTGCCGAGCAAGCTATCTATGGTTATATGAACAAATGGGCCCGAGATTGTAATGGTGATGGAGTCATTGATTGTACCGATTATGCTGCTATCCATAAAGCAGGTCCACACTCGTGCAATGCTCAATGGTTACTCGATTCAGAATACTGGAGAGTATTTCAGTCATCATCATGTGCCTCTGGAAGTGAGTAAACTTCAAATCAGTATTAAACAAATGCAGATGTTGTCAAACCAATAGGTTAAAGTAGCAAAAGTAATAGTACCAAGTTGAGCGTCTATTTTCCGAATTAAAACCATCATAAATTTATAATTTTCACTATAAATCTATTTTGATTGCTGAATGTAGTCCTTTTAGTTCTTGTGTACTAGTGACAGTTGCTTGCGCCATTAAAAACGCCTTCCGATCAGTAACGCTACTTACAAGAAGAGGGATAGAGTCATTTTTTTTGCCTTAAAAATACTGATTAGTATGATCAAGCAGATAAATTTAGTGGTGAAGCATTCAGGGGTCCCAATATCAGCTTTCCTTATGAACATATAATTTCGTACTAAAGTTTTTTTTTCGACGACATAAGCGCATTTAAGCTGATGTAGCATATTGCTGAGAAAAGCCTTTCTGGAAAAGCAAATTTTGGTAGCTTTTTTAATCAAAATGCTCAAATCTTTGCTTATTGGTTTATATTAAATATATATATATATATATATTTAAGTCTATTCAACAATACTAAATGTCCAGAATGAGAGTTTGAATTACAATAGGCAAAATAAACGTACCCAACCTGGTGCATTGTTGGTCCGCTTTAGCGTTTCGAGATAGCTTGCTGTTTGTAGAAACATCCTCAAAGAAGGAAACTCTTTAGTCAACCATCTATTAACTCAGACATTTTGAAACATTTAAATATCAGCTATGTCTTGATTCTCGATTTGGTTGAATAATTGAAAATGATACAAATTGTTGAAAATGGTTATTTATCATCGCAATCTTTTCATCCTTTACTTCATGAATGCTTCTCTCTAAAGTTAATTTAGGATTGAGTTTTATATTTTTAAACACTTACCATTCATAAGCTGACCAATCTCATGAAGCTAACAATTATCCGAGACAGATCCAGTAGCATCAATCATCACAATTCTGTGATAGCAAAAAATTCAAGCTGATCATTGCAACTCTACAGTCAACAAGCAATATTAATCAAATTTTTTATAACCAATTTCAAAACTTTCTGTCAAAAAGCAATTTCAAAGATTCAATAAGATGACTTGATATTTTTTTTCTCGCTGACATGTAGCAATTCAACATTCAGTTTGAAGGTTCAATTTTCATCCTTGGTCATCTTTATAGTTTATCTGTTTTCATCTATTTGATCACCACTGAATATTTCTCAGAATAGTTGCAATTTTGTTACTTTTTTTCACCAAATTATGCTATTTTTTTGATTTCATTGAAAAAGGTGACCTCTAATGTTGGCAAGTTTGTTGATTAAAGGCCAATAAAATGATATCATGTTGACGTTGATCAACTTACAGAAAGGATCAGTTGAAGGTAATTGTTGATGGATCATTTGGCTACCATATTTCTTACCTTGAATTTTGTTCCTCCATTTGAAATGAGCTTTTATTTTCTCATCAATTATTACAATGTTTTTAATTGCAAGTTAAAAACACGAATTAAAATAATCTCATTTCTAGGTCACTTTGCAATAATGAAAACTACGAATCGCACTGAGTACCGTCAAACAATATATCATTTTGTTTTAATAAACACTTTGATGGCAAACTGTTTTAATTGCAAAAGCAAAATAAAATTAATAGTTGATCATTATTGATTGGTAAACAGTTAAATCGCTGCTTTAATCACTTTTTAAACCATAAGAACGAACTTATGGGAAATACTTACCTGATTAACTATTAAAACCAGTTTTTCCGTTTTTATTATCAATATTGAAATGCAACCAAACATTTTGACCATCTTTTAGCAACCTTTTCAATCTCAAATAATTTCAATTAAAATCATCAATTTATAGTCATTTTCAACCTCACCAATTAATCAGCCTTTAGGTTACATTTTATCAACACTTTGTCCTCACTTATTAACAATATTAATTGTTAAAGTTAACTTTGAAATAATTTTTCAATTTACAAGGCTTTACTAAATGATATTTTATGACAAAAGTCACAGTCTTAGTAGACTCATTAATGAATCCAGGTAGCAATTTCAATCTCATCATGAACATTGAAGGACATTTTGAGTTGTGAAAAGACTACTTTTCAACAATTAGCCAGAAATTGAATCAGAAGAACATTTTCCCATTAATTCCTTATTTGAAACAAAGAAACTAAATTTACTCATTCGTCAATCGTCATTACATAATTACAATTGAATATTCTTATTGTTTTGATAACTGTTGCAAACCTTCGGCTTGTCTAATTTATTTCAAGACATTTTGAAACATTCAAATTATTTAAATTGCTGACCATAATTTTGATTCAACAACAAATTTATTATTTTATTTGGACTTGGGTTAAGCTTGTTCAATGTTTAATTTCAACCAATTTTACGATCAGCTGAATTTGTTCACTTGTGCTCGTGTGATTAGTCCAAAGATTTGAGGCTTCAGGCTTAGTTGGTTGTTTTGATTGTTTGATCTTTTAATTGTGTTTGTTTCGTTTTAATCAAATTACATTTTAGCCTGCAACAAGTTTTAAAATTAGCAAAGGCGTTCTACAATTTGCCTTAGGACATTAAAGGTTGCTATTGACTGTGGTGAGTTACTGATGATGCAGAGACCTTTCCAAGGTTTGATTGCTTTACCTTGATAAATGGTGAATCTGACAAATTGTTGAACAATTATTTATTCCACTTATCAAACAATTCATATTCACATGAAACCCACAATCTTCCTGTTGTTTTTGACTAACTACAATCAAGGTTAATTTTGTGACAATGGTTTTTACCAAAGGTAACTTTCCACTTCTTTTTTTGCTACTCATTTTCAATTCAATGTCAAAATTTTTCTCAGAATTTCTTTAATAGTTTAACTTAATTTCTTAACCTCTCTTGCTGTTTGCTTTTAATTAATTTTCTTAATCATCTGTAATCTAATCAGGTTCATTCTTTGGCGTCTTCTCAGTGTAACTTTGTAAATATTTATCCTTGTTACTAATCAAATTGTTTCACGAGAAACAACGATCATCAACCTTTTTTCACTGTTTTGTCAACCTTCGACAGTCTCATTCAATGTAAACTTTAATTATTTTGCACAATTTAGTCTTTCTTATAACACTTCAAGATTGACTCTTTCTGTCATGCCTTTCAATGAGTAATCGTAAAATTTCATGATAAGTAAATGAAAACATTGGTATTGATCTGTCAACTTCATTGACATTTCTGTTTATTCTTTTCGTTGTATAATTCCGAGTCTCATATTTAACTCTTTATTTACCTTTGTCTATCTTATTCCCCATGAACCTTCAAAGTTATTAACATATTGAGACAATAGTAATGACTTCTTAAATTTCTTTCACCAATCTTTACACAGTTAATTAATGAATTAATTAATCTCCTTTTTTCTAATTATTCAGCTTCCAACTATAATGGCAATTATAATCCACCTCGAGACTCTTCGTTTGGTGAAAGTGTAAATGTTGAACCTCAACCTCAGCCTCAACCTCAACCACATACCACTCATTGGACTTTCCCAAGCTCACGTAATAACAGTTATCAACCAGTTGCTGCCACTCAACCAGGTTATAGATCATATGGCGGTCAACCGGAACGAGGAAGATATAATAATTACAATGTACCATCAAACAACAATAACCCACTGCGACATGAAGTATTTGGTCCATCATCAGTGGGTCAACCACCAGCCTCCCCAGTTGTACCTGTTGCTAACAATGATGAAGGTGTCCTTCGTCCTTATCCTTCAAACCAACCTTCACCATCTTCAAACAATGGACCAGAATCTGGATCGTTTTCATCAGGATCGTCAGGACAACCTTCTACCGTTTACAATGAAGGATCCAATTTCGCCACAAATGGACCTGTTGATTCTAATTGTTTAGAGTGTCTTTGTCAGGCTAGCACGGGTTGTGATGCTAATAAGCAATGTTTTGGTAACGTTTGTGGTCCTTACCTTATATCATGGCCTTTCTGGGCTGATGCTGGTAAACCAGGAACTGACTATGTTTCATGTGCATTGCGTAAAAACTGTGCTGAAGCTGCAGTCCAAGGATATATGTCAAGATTTGCTCGTGATTGTAACAATGACGGTGTAATTAATTGTGATGATTATATCATGATTCATCAATATGGACCCAACTGCGGACCAGGAGTCTTTGGTACTGGCAAATTTTGGCAAGAATACAAAAATTGTCATCAACCACCAATTGATGCGCGAAGTGGGTTCCGTTAAATCTCTCATTCTTTACTTTATCCCGTTACTTAGCACTATTTTTGTAGTACATTTGTATTACTCTGTTCTCTTTAAGATTTCTTGTTTTCTTTTGTTTCTTCTAACAACTATGTTAATTGCTTTGCTAATGACTGTTTATTTTTCTTTCGATTATCTTTGCATAAGTAATATGAATAATTTTTAAATAAAAAATATCATTACTCTACTTCATTATCAGGCAATCGTGTTCGGGAATCTAATGTAGAACGTTTCAGGCCAATTGAACGACCAGGTCAACCAGCTAACCTTAGACGAGATGAAACATCTAATTGGAATGGTGCTAACAATCGATTCAATGAGAATGAGATACCGGGCATTAGATCAGTTGATCGTAATATTAATCAACCAGAGGGACCAGATAATTTTCACCCTATTGATGACCATTTGAACTTTCACCCATTCCCTTTCACTCCTCCACCTTCATTAAATAACCTTAACTTGAATCCTAATCCAACCCGTCCAAACAGTACAGGCAATGTTTACTTCAATGATTTAAACTTTCCCAATCAACCATTCAATCCTCCCAATCCATCAGGAATTCCTGGTCAACCGCCAATCAATAATAATATCAATCCACCAAGAAATAGTGGCGATAGATTCCAACCCGGACAACCAAGATTCAACCCTTTAGAGCAACCACCAGTCAATCGATTTAGACCAGAACCCTCTATTAATAGCAACAATGATTTCAGACCAGTGCCACCAATAGATAGTAATGCACCTTCTGGTGATAGATCACCTCCAAGACCAATTGAAAATACAAGAACAAATCTTGATAATAATGGAAATGGGTTCCAACCTGGTGTACTGAGAACTGATGGTTTTCGTCCCATCATAAATCCAAATCCAAACAATGGCCCACCAAATAATTATCCAACCCAACCAAACAATCCACCGAGAGATTCAAATTTTGACGCTAATCCAACACCAAGAATTCCCAATGAAAGATTTACACCTCGATATGATCGTCCAAGTGGTTTCAACTTTCCATCTCAACCAACTAACAGGCCATTCTCTGGAAACAATGATTACTTTTCTCGAAGCCCAGTCACCATTGCACCACCAACGAGCCCACCTTTAACCCCATCTTCAGATTCGTTTTCACCAGTTTCACCACCAACCACAATCAGTCCAATCTCATCAAATGACGATGATGAAAGTTCACTTTTACCAGGACCGCGTGATTCTCGATTTCTTGCACCATCTAAGGGAAATGTTTCAATGACGGCAGAATGTTTGGAATGTATTTGCGAGGTATGTTTTTGAATCACAACATTTTTGCTGAAAATTAACGGGTTTTCTATTTTATTTAGGCTTCAAGCAAATGTGATGCCAATTTTCCTTGCAAGAATTACGGAGGATCTCAAGCGTGTGGTCCTTATCAAATTAGTATTGCTTATTGGTTGGAATCTGGAAAACCTGGTTACAAAGGAGGCTCAAGTGATTTCATCAATTGTGTTACCAACATGGACTGTGCTCAAGAAACACTGAAAGGCTACGTTAAAAATTTGAAACGAGACTGCAATAATGATGGAGCCATTGATTGTCTTGATTATGCTCTTATTCATAAGCTTGGACCAAATGCTTGTCAAGATCAAAGTTTTCTTGACTCACCTTATTGGAATGATTTCCAGGCTTGTTATGGCTTTGAGAGATAATTATTGTCTTTTTTCAGACATCTAGGATGTCGAATGCCAGCCATTTTGAATTTAATTTCAGTTTTTTTAATGCCAATTTTTCAATCCAATGTGCCTATCTTATTAATTGAAAGATGATTTTTTCAATTAAAGCCATTTCTCGACATTTTATCAATGAAGATCATTTTTATTTTTTCATTTGATTTGTTTCAAAATTAAAGAAAACAAGTTCACTAAATTATACGTTTTATGTTCATTTTCTGAATTATAATATCAAATATATTTGAATTTGTTTATCCTGATTTGCAGCAGAATTCCAGTTTTAATTAATTAAGTAACATTTAAACAATATTCTGATGATTTTCGATGCTTTAATTTGAAAATAAATTTTTGTTACATTTTTAACTGTCAGTTTATCAAAAGTATTAATTAGGTGTTAAAGTCGTGCTTTACTATCTCAAGTCGATCAAGAGAGCAATCATTTTTTACAATAGGTAAATAATTAATATGAATGATGAATAGTATATTAAAAATTCGTTATTTATCGAGTTATTTGAAAAGTTTGGCTCTCGTTATAAAATTCATAATTCCCACTTTATATTAATGGGCGGTTCTTCAAGCCGGCTGTTTGCTGGCTTGGCTACAAAACTGTAGCTTGTTTCTAGTTTTATTATCAACATGATTTAACCTATCATTTCTTAATAATTGACTTTCTTAATGATTTAAATTTATTCTTAGATTATCTCTTCATAAAATTTGGTTTTTTAAGACTAGCATCAGTAAGTAATGTTATTTTTCTAATCTGAGTTCAAAGAGACTCAAATGTAAACATAAAATTGTTATTTTTCTATTTTTATTGGTGATTAATTTGTTTTCTTGTTTTAGTGAGTATTTCGATTCCAGATGAACATTCTGTGGCTGAACCTAAAGATATTGCCACTTTATTTCGTGAACTGATGAAAGAGAAAAATGTTGGATCTAATGCTTCGTGGGAATATGCTCTTAAACTCATTGGAAATGATGTTAGATTTGAAATTTTTAGACATCATCCTGAACGAAAACAAATGTTCAATGCGTACAAAGTTCAAAAGGCCAGGGAGGAAAAAGAAGAGCAACGTATGAAGGCTAAAAAAGCAAAAGAGAATTTAGAAAAATTCTTACAAACAAGTGACAAAATGAATTCCAATGTTAGGTATAAACAGGCTTGTGAATTTTTCCGTGACAATGAATTCTGGAAAGCTGTTCCTGAGATTGATCGACGAGAAATATTCATGGATGTTATTCGATATTTGACTGAAACTGAAAAGGAAGAGACGTTGAAACTACAGAAAAGAAATACCAGAGTTTTAGCCGATATCCTCGACTCGATGACTAGTATTACTTATAAAACAACATGGCAAGAAGCGCAACAACAACTTCTTGACAATCCTGTATTTGCCAATGATGCTGACCTTTTAGGAATGGATAAAGAGGATGCTCTTATTGTTTTTGAAGATCATATTAGACAGTTGGAACAAGAGGAAGAAGAAGAACGAAAAAGAGAGCATAAAAGAATGGTTCGTCAGGCTCGTAAGAGTCGAGAATATTTTATACAATTTTTAGATGAACTTCATGCTCAAGGCAAATTAACTTCTATGTCAAAATGGTGTAATTTATATCCAGAGATAAGTGCTGACCCGCGATTTACTGCCATGTTATCTCAACCTTTTTCTGGATCAACTCCGTTAGATTTATTCAAATTTTATGTTGAGGATTTGAAAGCTCGCTATGAAGATGAAAAACAAATTATTCGTGACATTCTAAAAGTGAGCGGATTTATCGTTGAAGTCAATACAACTTATGAAGATTTTGCCACTGTGCTAAGTGAAGATGATAGAAGTGCCACTCTTGATGCCGGAAATGTTAAAATGGTCTTCGAAAGGCTTATGGAAAAGGCTTTGGAGAAAGAGAAAGAAAGGGTCAAAGAAGAAACCAAACAAAGACGCAAGTTCGAAGTAGCCTTTATGAGTCTTTTAAATAAAATTGACCCACCAGTCGAGGATGAATCAGATTGGGAAAGGGCCAGGAAAATAATTTGCGAAGACGAAGTGTTTAGTCGAATTCCTACTGAACCAGAAAGAGTTCAGCTTTTCAAAACTTACATCCAGACCTTAGAGGAATCATGTAGTCATCACCATAGTAAATCGAAGAAGTCGAAAAAGGATAAAGATAAAGACAAGAAGAAGAAGGAAAGACGACGATCACGTTCATCTTCTCAATCCGATCATTCAAGATCTCATTCTCACTCTAGGCATCATTCGCATTCACGGTCTCGACCCAGAAGTCCAGTGCGTAGCCGATCCATCTCGAAGTCAAAATCAAGATCAAGGACACCATCACCATCTGTATCAAGATCAAGATCAAGGAGTCCATCTCATCATCGACGTCCACCTGTAAGAAGTAATTCAAGATCACCATCCCATTCAAGATCGAGATCAAGATCAAACTCAGGATCCCATCATTCAACTGACCAAGAATCAAGATCTAGATCTCATTCTAGAGTAAGATCACAAGTAGGTTCTAGATCACCATCTCGAAGTCCTGTCCATTCTCGATCACCATCACCTTCCCGGTCTCGATCATCATCACATTCTCGAAGTCCATCTCATGAAAGAAGTTATTCTCGTGAACGAGGATCATATTCTGGTTCTAAAAGAGTTTCTTCTCATGGAGATGGTAAACGAAAAAAACAACCATCAGTGAGTTAAACTCAACCCTAGTCCTCGCTTAAGTGTACCTGGGCTAATTCATGTAAATTCATCAATCAATCATTCACATATATACCATCTCAGGTGATGAGGGCAAAACGGAGAAAATAAACTTCGACCTTTTCTTATGGTAAACAATAATTGATTGTTGAACTCTCATAAATTCTGGTTTAGTTTGGTATCGAGATGTTTTCTCGATTTTCATATGCATTTCTCTGTTACAGAGTAACCATTTAACATTTAATCATTAATGAACTCTCTTTTCGCATTGATTTGTGAATGTAACTTATTATATTCTATAAAAATAAGTCTATTTAATGGGTTAATTAATTTTTCTCAATTCTCTCATTTCTCATCATGCAACTGCTGAATAATTCCCTTTCGTGTGACATTTTAAACTTGTCTTTTTTTTCTTGTCAACAAAACACACCAGAATCAAAATGGATTCAAGTTCAATTTAATCCCATCCTTCATCACTAATATTCCCATCATGATTTTTATTTCTCTTCTTCCTATTCCTTAAACTTTTCTTTTTGTTTCACTTTTGGTTTTTTTCAGGTCCCAATCCCTTCAGCATCAAAATCATTACCCAGCGACAGTTTAATTAATTCTGATGAATTGGAAGAGTTGGAAGCTCAACGACAAAAAATACTTAAACAATTGGAAGCTCAGACAATTGTTGATTAACTAAAAAATTGTTTCCCAATTTTGGTATAAGTTTATTCAATTTGATAAATATCACTTGAAAAAAAGACTCAACATTTACTCTGTTATTTTTTATTGAAATAATTCATTTTTAAAAACATCTTTCTACCTTTCATTCATATTCCTGATTCAATTCAATCAATGAACATCATTCAGATGACTGAATCAAATTTAGATTTTGGTTTATCTAATTTTAAATTGGCCAATAATTGGCAATTATAATGAAACAATTTAAAGGTTGTAGTTGATGAAACCAAACAATATACAGTGATTAATAGGAAAACAAACGGTCAAGAATGCAATTATAAATAACTGATTTAGATTTACATTTTAAAAACAATCTCAACCAATTGACCAAACCTTTAACATGTTTAATATGAATAAATATGCGTTGGCCGATGATACTAATATTAACAATTGATTTAAAGAAGGATAAGTTTGTTATGAATATGATTAGGATGATGATCAGAGATGAAGATAATCTTCAAAGGTAGGAGACAATTTAAAAGTACCAAAAAATAGTGAATGTATGAATGGCTGGAGCCCAAATAATGAACAATTTAATGGTGAAAACAGTTGAAGAAAAAGTGAAAGATAATGAAGAGAAGCAAATTAAGATGATGATGAAGAGGCAACAAGAAAAAGGTTCAACTTCATTTAAAGGCAATCAACGTGAACCATATTTATATGAATAATGTGCTCTTGGGCAAAGTAAGTTAAAAAGATGAAATTGAACCGTTCAACTGAAAATAACAACATGAATCAGGCCATTTTTATCAATCTATTTGACCAACATAATACAGTTTTAGAGTAACAAGATCGGTCGTCGATGTACCGGTCAAACCTCTCTCTCTTGATCCCACGATTTGTCTCTATCAACCTATCAACATCAACATCTTCAACTCCTCCTTTATCATCATTCTAGCTTTTCTTTCCTCTCTTTCCCTCTCTTACATCTTTCTCTCCTTCTTGCTTTTATCTTCTTCTCCCTCTATGTCAATCAATATTATGCCAAAAGTGGTTAAATTATAATTCAATGATCATCTTTCAATCAGGACGACAAAATACATCTTCAATTGGTTGTCTTCGTCTTTGCTTAACCAGTGCATAAACAACAATGTTACTTTACATTGTTTTCATAATTTCTTCATCTCTTTTATTTGGTAAGTTAATTATTTCATTTCAATTTACCCTTTCAATCTCATTTATTAATAATCCCCTAACCAAGTGATGCTAAATCACTATGTCAAAGTGATACAATCAACGAATTGTCATCAGTGTTCACCTTTTAAAAAAATCCAACAACAGCTTTTGCTTGACTTTCAGCTTTATTTTGACCGTTAACTTGCATGCTTGTATATTTAAATTTTGACCTTACAACTATCAACTGTAACCTGTTTAATTGTGTCCTTTTATTTGGTTTTATGTGTTGATAAATTACCGATTTTTGGATAAAGCAATTAACTGAGCAACAGTTTAAAGTTTTGCAACGATTTACTGTCAGTTGTTAATATTGCCATTACAGTTTCATTATGATGAACTAAGCAGCCGTTTAAGATGAATCCTTCAACTTTGATTCTCGTGATTACGTTAGTTGCCATCAATCCTTTAACAAATTGCTGATTATTGTGATTTGTTAGTTAATTGCTTTTCTTACCTTTTAGCTACAATTTTGTCCAGCAATACCTTTCAACAAAACAATTACAATTGACCTTGTCAACAGACTCGATTCCTGTTTAAATAATGTTTTTATCCTTTCATTTGTTTCAATTTAAATGAAATTTAAGACCAACCAAATGACTGATATTGTTGAAGAATAGCCTTTAAAAAAGCAATTCAAGTGTGCTTAGTCTGCATTTTTAGCATCATTGATCACTTAATAACCCCTTCATTTACAGATTAGTTAGCTTCTTGACAACAATTTAGCCCTTGATAACATGCTGTTAAAATGTGCCATCATTTGGATCCAAAAAATCTTGAGCATTGATTTTGATAATCTCACAAATCAACTTGTCTAAGGGAAATAATTTATTGCGTTTTGGTTTCTCCAATGTTTACAGTCCGTGTAGATAGAGATCAGTTGAAATTTTATGGAATACATTTTTTTGTTTTGTTTATGTTTCTGTTAGCAGAACAGGTTGAAAATGGACAATAATGAGGATCATGAAGATGACCTGAAGCCATGTTAAATCAGTTCAGAGACAGTTGATTGTCTCAATCAGCACAATTTGTCAGTATCCAAGTTCACAAGCTGAAAGACTTGAAAGAATGAAAAAATCTCTTCAGTGAGTAAATCTTTACAGAAAATCTTCGATGATTTGGGGTTTTTAGAAATGCTCATTTCAAATATAGCCAGGCTTAATTGTGATAATTTAGGAATATTTTAGAAACATTTGTTTGAGGTTTTGATTGTAATAAATCAAGATTGATCCGTTTTGGGTTGCTTCCAAACGATTTATGGTAATCGATGGACAAAAATATCTTTCTGATTGTTAGGTATTGCGTGTTTGGCAAACTTTTGATTTCTTGTTGATAAAGATTGCAGCTAATATTGCTGGTAATGATGATGAATGAAAAGATTTTTTAATCGAAACATGGCGAAATTGACCTTTATCTAATCTTGATTGTTCTCCGTCTTTTTTTCAGTTAACCTAAAACCATTTTTGTCTTTCATTTCTTCCGTTCATGATTGAAGTCCCTTTTCTTTTATATACGCCAATTATTTGCAATCTAATCAATGGTTGAATCATTTTTCATCCTTTTCCATCTTTGATTACTGTTAAAAAAAAGTAGAATCATTATCAACCAGAACTGATAACAAAGCATCAGATTCCAATCTAATTGAGATGTTACAAGAAAATGAAAGTAAAAGAGGCCTGAATGTGGCTCATTTTGTTAGTAAAATAAAGGTGGGAAAATGGCCTCACACCCAATTACGAGTATAAAACCTCGATTTACTTCCATATATTTATAATTTCTCTCATTGAATCATTTTACTTACTTTAAACTTTCTCCGGAAGAATCACCAATAATATACAGTTTCAGTTAGTTTCTGGTTTTCCTTCAATAGACCAGTCACGTTGAACCGTTTATCGGAGTTTTTAACTGTCCACCTTATTTCATCTTCCTTATTCCTTATTTTTGATTGTCGCCGAAATTCACACAAAAGTTATACTTCAATCAATTTAAATATTTAAAGATTTTAACATTTACACTAATTAATTTAGCCGAAGTTAGTTGCAATCAATGAAATAAAATCAAAACATAATATTAGTTGTTTCTAGATACACCAGAGCTCGCCCAATCGTTTCATTTTTTAATTTTATATTTTTGCGCTTTCTGCCATTTCGGTAATAAGCTATCAAAAAGACTATCGTTTTGTGTAAATTAAAGTAATTTTGTTCAATAATCAATGTCTAGACCAACTGAATTTTGATACATTTACTAGGTTTTAATAACGTTTCCAGTTTTGCTTGAAAGTTATCTAATTGATTGAAAAATGTCAAAATTAATGTAACTGACAACTGACTAGTTTTGTCAAATAAGTTTCAAATCAAGTCTCTAACAAAAGCAGTGGTAGCAATCAATCAAATTATATTAATACTTGATTAAATAACAATTTGAGAAATAAATCTGGTTTAAATTGAATTTGAAGGTTAGGCTAGTAATAAATGATAATTCAAGTACTACTGGGATCATTATCAGTTTAAATCGCATTTCACTCAATAGATTATCCGATATTTTGAGTGCATCTATTTTTCTATGCTGATCTATCCTGTCTTGCTGTGATTTACTGATATTGTTTTGATTTAATTTTTGTGACCATTAGTTTAATGAGCTGTCAACAAATTTTTGAAAATGTTAAAAATTTATTAATAAAAAGTTCGAGTCTATTTTGGTAAGCAAAATAAACAGATAATTACAGTTATTTAGAAGTATTGCTTCAAACGGAATGAACGAATAAATTTATTTAACATTTCATGGTTATAGATGTATCGATATCAGTTCCTCTGATTGAATAAAATTTTAATCGTGAGTCATCTAAAACCTTATCTCAATCATTTTCATCCCACATCATCACAACTTATCTGAAAAATCCCTTACTAACATCATTCGTTGATCTATTCTAATTTTATTTTTACAACACATTACAAAGTAATCAGATGAGTACATAATTATAGTGTAATAAGTTCTGATGAAAGATGAAAATGCCATTGTTTTTTGATAATAATAATACCCTTGTCTCTTGAACTTAACTTGTGTTGTTTGTCATTTTGTAGATTTAATTATTTAGTATCTAATATATTTAGTAATATTTAGTTTCGATTGAATTAGAAATTTCTACTGATTATTAGCTAATTTTATTTCTATGAAAATTTAATTTTGGTTTTTATCATTACAGATTTTGGGCTAACTCAAACCAATTTCGGAAATGGAGCTTATCCATCTAGAGCTCCACCTCGTCCATCTCAGCCACTACCACCACACCAGCCAGGCGATACATTCGTTCTAAATGAGCCCTATGTACCATTAAACACTAAACCTCGATATAATGAGGTCCGAACCCCAACTTTAAATCCATATCCACAGCCAGATAACGTAACAAATACTTTAGTTGCTCAAATCCAAGGCTTTGGTGTACTTGGTTATGCATCTTTTCGTGAAATCGCTCAAAATGAATTAGAAGCTACGATCAGCATTACTGGTGGACCTGCAAATGAATCTTACATTGCTCGTGTTTTTGAACTTCCAATACAGAATGGTGCCTCCTGTACTCCAATCAATGTCGGTAAATTGATAACCGAATTTAAAGATAGACAAATTGAACCAAATCGAAAATTAGTCTTCCCCCTTGATAGAGTATTTACTCCTAGCGCTATCATAGGAAGAACCTTAATGTTACAAGCTAAATACAGTGGGGTTTCTATTTGTTCCGTAATTATGCCGGGCGATGATAAGAAATTAATTTTTATTGGTAAATTCCATTCTCCTATTTCTGGTATGGCTTATTATATTCAAGGTGATATTGGCGCAGCAGTTGGAACCGAATGGATGATGTTCTCTGATGGTAAAAGACGGGATGATAGATTCGCATGGAGATTACTGAGAATTGATTCCGATACTGTTGATAGTAAAGTACTTAATGAGAAAAATCGTTGCCAGGATCTTACTGGTGATGTAATTCATTCTTCTAAACAGGTAAGCATAGTTTTAAAAAGACAATTCAATCAAAATGGTTTCTAAACTATTTCAAGATTATTTTAAAGAACCCAAAGATTGTCAATTTTCAATATTAACATATTTTGTTGTCTTTTAGTACCTTTTACCTGTTAGCACCGAAGCACCTATTTGGAGAGGTCGAATGCACTTAGGATTGTCTACCCGCATAGCTCCAACTGATTCAATCTACCTCATTCTCGAAACACCAAATGGAGCTCGTGTTGCCTGCACTTCCCTGAATCGAGTCGAACCAAAAGTTGGTGTAGCATCGTTTATGAGCCCTGATACACGAGGAGAAATAAAGTTCACACAGGACTCGCCTTTTGAACCTACACGAGTCGTTATTAATCTTGACCTTTTCACGCCAGCATTCAGTTATGGAATCGATGTATTACCAAGTCTCAGAAGAAAAAAGGAGGAATTCAAGAAATGTCCAAATGTGAAGGAAACAATTTATAATCCATTCCATGTTGATCCAGATAAGGTACCAGCTCAAGGTATGGGTACAACCGAGATGTACGCTGTTGGAGATTTATCTGGTAAATATGGAACATTGGAGTCTCGCCAGTCTATTAGATTGACAACATGGGATGTCAATTTACCATTATTTGGATATTATTCAGTTATCGGTCGTGCTATTGTTATCTATGGACCAAACGGACCTGCAGTAGCTTGTACAAACATTGAACTCGATGGTAAACCATTGCATGTTGTTTATGCTACATTTGATTACCCGATTCAGGGTCAATTTATTTTTAGACAACCCGAAGGTGAATGTTTTTCAGATACTTACCTTTATATCGAGGTATCAAAACACCCAAGTTTAGACACAGACAAGACGTTTAATCATCCTTGGCATGTTCACGAAAACAAACTTAACATCAAAGGTAATTCAGGCAAAAACTTTAAAATAATTTCTATTCCTATTTGCTAATTTCAATTTTATTTTATTTCATTTTTCAGACACTCAATTAAGTACAACCGATTGTGGTCCAGCTGGAGGTCATCATAACCCTTACAATGTTTCAGTTGCTTCTCAAAATCCAATTTATGTGCGCGATTGTAATATCTTTACTCCAACAAGGTGTGAAGTCGGAGATTTGGCTCATAAACTTGGTCACATTGATATACCAAAGTACCTGGGAGTCAACGGACAAGAGCCAGAAGTAGCTAAATATTATTTTATTGACAGTGATTCACCTTTATGTGGACCAGCAAAGATTGCTGACAAATCATTGGTCATTCATGAAGCTGATTTCCAAATGAAAAGATTAAGTTGTGCCAATTTGTTCGTTTATTCACCCAAAACTAAGTAAATGCAATGTAACAAATTTTATATTGATCATGAAATTTGGTTGATACTTTTATTAAAGTCAGCTCAAACTGATTTTTCCCAAAATTGAATTATTTCGCATTATTTTTACTAATCAAAATACAATGTATCGCCAGTATGTTTGATTGCAATGAATCAATCAAGAGTATTTCAAATCGATACTTTAAAATGTTTCTTACAAAAGTCATCTTGGAGAGTAAATTTTATTGGTATAGAATCGAAAATTGATTTTATTTTTCAATGATTAGTTAAATTGACAAGTACCATTAACAGTTTAGGAAACAATCGAAAAGTTAATGTTTTTTAGAACAATTTTACTTCTTAGTTAAATATCAACATGACAATTGGCGATAAAATTGGTCAAGCTTGCTTGTTCTGATCAAGTTATTCTCAAAGGTAATTTTCAAATGATTAACTTTGATCGATTTTGGCAAAACAAATAAAAATAGTATTTGACAGTTCGATCTTTGGCTATCCTAAAAGGAAAGTCAATCAAACGAAGTTCAAGATCGATAAATATGTAACTTTCAGTGGATAAAAATCATGCGCTTTCATCCTCATCTTTATCCTCATCATTTTCTCATCTTTACCTTTTCTTCGACTCTTCAAGTTCAAGAAAGCTCTACTCAAATACCCAGTAAAGTGAAAGTCAGAGATGTGTTTTTAAAAAAAAGTGTAACTAAGGATTAATTTTAGCATCATGCGACAATTTACTATCTCACTGATTTTATTGTTAATTGCTACAACAGTCCAAGTTGCAAATAGTGAGAATGAACCTAATTCAGAAGAGTTGAATACAGATGACTATGATGATGATTCAGATGATCTTGAAGATTCTCCTGATGATCAAGACTTCCACTTTGAAGACAAGAAACCCTTTTATAAACAGGTAAATATATTTTCTGTTTACATTTTGTAAATCTTGAATCACAAGTGAATTATAATGATTAATTTATAATTAGTTATTGATTAATCAACCAATTGATTTGTGTGTTTTTGTGACCAATAAAGCCCAAGTAAACATTGCCTAAGTGACATGTTTGCCTATCAATCATATGACTCATTATTGTTATCTGGTGAAGCTTTTTTCAACTTAAACTGACCATTATTTTTCTCTTTTATCTTCTCGCTTTATTTTTAATTTTTCAATATAAAACTATCCGTTGACCCAACGATTCAAAAATCCATGGAACCAAAAATGTCAGAAAAATCATGTCAAAGATAGAGTAAAGGAGATTTACTTGTCTTGGGATCTTGATCTATGCAAAGATGTACAATGTAAACCTAACCAGGTCTGTTTGATACAAAAGTCTCGTAAATCTGCAATTTGTGTTCTGAGAAAGTCAATTAACAGGAAAAAAGCTCAATCCAAGAAAGACGCTAAATGGTCCAATAATAGCAAAAAGTTGACACACAAAGTATCCGCCTCAATAAACAAGTCCAATAATCAGGTGAAATCCTGGGATTCGTCATACTTGCCATCTTCATTCCCATCGTCATCTGTTGCACCATTTGATAAAACAAAACCATGGAAAGATTGTAGGCCCTGCCCTGTAACCAAACCAGCATTTTATTGCGGAACGGACAATTCAACTTATTCATCCATGTGTCGCCTCCAATTTCACAATTGTGTCCACGAGACTGACGTTGAGGTTGCCTGTAAAGGTTTTTGTCCCTGTGGAAGTCCAGTGAATGTTCATACTCGGACCAAAGAGGTGAGGAACCATGAACGCTGGAATAAGTACATGGATACACTGAGTAAACTGAGAAGGAGCCATAAAGTTGAGAAATTTGTCAAAAATCGTGCCAAAGTTGCGCTAGAGTACACTGGCTTGTACCATGATGGAGTTGATGGGAAAAAGTCTTTGAAAAAACAGATCGCTATTTGCACCAAAGAAGAGCTGAAAACAATGGGCGATAGACTATCTGATTGGTTTGCCGTTGTTTTACGCGATCAAAAGCGAAGTCAACTCAACAAGAAAGAAACCTTTTTGGATTACATAACCAGTCCAGATTGTCCAAAAGATATCGCAAATATGTTTCACCGTCTTGATACTGATGAAGATTTGAGGCTATCTCTCAAAGAACTTTATGATTTAGAACACGATAAACGAGAAAAATGCCTTAAACAGTATCTGGATGGTTGTGATGAAGACAGAGACACTTTTTTAAATCCTTATGAATGGTGTTCTTGTTTTGATCGCAAAAGTAAGCTTGTTTTTCCGACCTTTACAGAATTTTTGTATCCAAGTTTAATCCATCCAATTTATTCCTATTCATTCAATTGGGTCTTTTTTCATCCGATTCCAGGTAAACCATGTTTGATTGAAAAATCGCAGCGAAAAAAAGTGTATGATGAATTTGTTCCAAAATGTGACAAAGACGGTTTCTACCAGCCAATTCAGTGTCACTTGCATAAATGTTGGTGTGTTGATCGATATGGAATAGAAATTGAAAATACAAGGCAAACAGAAATTCCTGATTGTGGTAAGTATTCAGAAATTAATTTCATTTAAAATTAAACTATTAATTGTTTACTTTTTCTCATCCAATTTAGACCACAAGAGTATTGCTAAAAGAAAGGAGGAAAAGAGGAACATCTACTCATCGGATAATGCTCGAATAACTGATGACGATCTTGATGATTCTGACGACTCTGACGATTCAGATGATTCTTTCGACGGTTCAGGAGATGATCCTTAGAATATTTTACTGATACAAAGAAAACTTTCATTCAATAATTAGCATACTAAATTATAATTACTACTTCTTCAAGGGCAGTTGATAAGTTACTTTATGTTTCCAAGCTCAATATTGCCGGCAAAAAAGGATAAACTCGCACATTCACAAACAATTGCAATCCAAAGTCGAAGTCGTCGCTAGTCAATAATAACGTTTACATTCATCATATATTGAAATTCATTTTCAAAATAAACCATTTTTAATGCTCATTCCAGTAAATTTTGAGTCAGGCTCGTAGGATCCAAGGAGCACAAGCAAAGACAAATGTTTTTATACATTATCGATTCCTTAACCGGTTATCCTGAAATTATAAGCAACCAATTATTTCCTGATCATTTCTTAAAATGGGAAATGTTATTTCAATATCAACTCAATTTTTGTGGATTGTTAAAAGATTCACAATCAATTAGCCATTTTATTTAAATTTGGAAGAAACAAATCCAACCATTGTTATACATTTAACATTCGAAGATGCAAATTTTATTGCAACCGTGTTTTATTTAAACAAAAATCTTGTTCCTCGTAAATTAAGTTATGTTAATAACCTGTCCATAATCAGAAACTATTATCATTTAATTGTAAATTAATTTAGATCTTTTCCTTGACCATGATAAATTGAACAATAACAATTTGTCATAAAAATCTGTCGAAAAATTTTTAATGCCAAAAATTATTGTTAATTCTTACTTCAAACTTACCAATTGATATGTAAATCAAATGTAATTCAATTGTAAAACCGTATTGATTGTAGACAGATCAACAGTTAGCTAATGTAATAACATCTCTGCGGTCTAAGTAATCCATCAATACAATCAAACAAGTTTCAAACTGTTTCTAAAACAAAACAAGAATCTCGTCTGAATTTGATAACCTGAGAAATCTCTCTTTTTTTCTCTTTCTAAATCCTTTCTCTGAACTCTTTGTTTTTCATTCAGGAATGGGGATCAGTTAAAGATTAAATTGAACTGGAGGAAGAAGGAAACAAAAAAAACTGAATTCATAAAACATTTAATCGAATAATCGTCTAAAAAGAAAAGGACGGAAAAGTGAGCCCGAAGCATGACATTGTCTTAGGATTACCTGAATACTGATCTTCCAGCTTTTTAACTTAGGAACTTTAACCAAAAAAGTAATTGAAAAGAGAATAAGAAAAATAGAAGTAATTGTTCAACAATTAACACTTTTAAGGCTATTTACAGAATAAAAGAAAAGTCGATAAATACTTCACTTCTTATTTTCATGAGGCAAACTGATTGCAGTAATCAACCTTCATTATTTCTTGTTACTTTTTTTCTTTTGTTATTATATCTTTGTTACTTTTCAACTTGCATCTTATTCATTTAGTTTTGAATTTCAATCAACCACCAGACTGATGAATCAGACCATCAGTAAATTGTTACTTTATAATTCTATATCTTGCATTTTCATCTATCGAGAATTTAAATCATTCAGTTAACTCTAACTCGGTTTACCCAATTTACAATGGAATCAGAAAATCTGACAGAAAATTTTTGTCTTACCTTTCATTTATTTTCCTGCTTCATTCATTTCATTTATGTTTATATGATACAAAAAATTTCTTTTAATATTCATTGTCTTTCTTAAATTCGTACACTAAGGGGTATATATGCTCAACGGCGTGTTGAACAGACAAAATGCTGGGTGCGGTGATAGTTATTGCTCCTGTTTGAAATATTTTAAGGGTCGCCTTAGCTTCCTTAAATTTATAAGTAGCTCCTGGATGTAATTCTGGTTCATAACTGTGTAGGAAGAGGGTTAACAATAAAAAAGGAACAAAAGTCATCAATAAGCTAACATATAAAATACAGAGACACTAAGTATTGCACACTAAGATTAGGTGAAAATTGCCACTAATCTAATACAATAAGTTACAGAAGAGAAAACAATATATTTACCTGCAATGGGTTCTGTGATGCTCAGTAAATTGAGTTATTTTGATTCCAAAAGGAAGAATGACAGTACCAAGCACATTAACTACACGGTATGCAGAGAATTTAACTTTGAATCCTAAATTTTGTAAAACACGAGCGACTCTCCTGGCCCCCTTCTTTGCTTCTTCGTCGGAGGTTGCTCCTGTGACAGTTATTTTTCCTGATGACCATATACTGGCAGTTACTACTGGATCTCTCAATTTCATAGAGACCATCTAGAGTAGGAGTGAACAACAGAAAAATATATGCATTAGTTTCAAGTGATTATCAGAGTGAATATTGGGAAATTTTTCAGGATATTGGGACTAAGAGGGACAGGTGGACAATAGACATTCTCAAGAAATTTCACACTTACCCCTTGTTCTCTTTTATAGACAACATTTGAACCTTTTGTGGCTATTTGCCTGAGATTAAGATGACAACGAGTACTAAAATTACATACAACATTACTAATATGAATATCTACTTCAGGTGTTTCTTCTTCCTCTTGACCATTATTCTTTTGAGCTTCTTCATCTTGTCCCATTGTTGTTATGATCCGTGAGTGACAAAGAAGATAAATAGAGAGAAAAAAAGGGAGAATTTGATGCACAAAATTTAAGACTAAGAAAGTAAAGAAAGACTGAGGAAAATTGAGAAAGAAAGAGTAAGGGAGAGAGAGAGGAAGAGAGATACAGAAATAAATAGAAAATAGTTAAACAAAATCACAATAATAAAATCACAATTGATTAAACGTCAAGATCAAAATTAAATTGTAAACTTAAAGACACATTAAGTCAAATAAATCAAAGGCTTATGAATCATCATAGAACAAGTGATTAAAATATGAGAAATCATGAGCTTTTTTTGAGTTTTCCATCATATTTGTAGTGTTTCTCAATTGTATATCAAAAAAATAGAGAACCTTCTTTAAAAACTCATCATTTGGATCCATGCAGTTAGCATGCCCACCGTTGGGGGACTCCAATGGTCTGCGCAGAAACAGGTTCATTTCCAAAGAGCATAAAAACCAGACAGGTTAGAAGAGGGAATTACAAATAAACATAAATAAGTATATTTTTGATTAATTGTGAAGAGTAACTGTATTGTTTGGATGATTTAAGTTTTTGATGGATATTAAAATGAGAAAAACTTCCTTGACAATTGTCCGGGACAATAACGAAACCATGGAATCTATTGCCTGATATAACGGAAATTTCGATTCGCAATGCTTTGCTAACAGATGTACATAGGTTATTGGATTTCCAATGGAATACTAACATTACTTAAGTTTAGCATTGAATTTCTGCCTCCTCATTTTTATGGAAATTGCATGGGATTCAATTGACAATCTATAAGAAAAAACAAATTAGATCAATCCCATTGTCATCTCATGAAATCACAATTGTAAGCTCATGTCATCATAAGTCTAAAGTCTAGTGAACCTGACTATTTTTTAATCATTAGATATTATGCTCTATAAAATACTAATTTAATCATCGATATTTGCCTTGTTATATTAATTTTTAAGCTTGTGTATAGAATGATTTACTAATTCAGAGAGTTTATATGGAGTTAATACTATTAACTTAATAGCATTAATAGGTTTAAAATTTAAACCACTAAAGCTCTTCTTCAGTTGAAATTTTACTGACTGAGCGGCTTGACCGGCTAGCTTAAAAGCGGCAGATTTGACAATATTCAAAGATAATAACTCATAAATTGAATTTACTATTGTTTAATTTACTTTTAACACATATTAGCATAATTCAATTTTTTCCTAGAACTAATCATTGTATTCGAAAATATCTTTAGTTCATAAGTTCCTTTATTTTAGTTGCTTCAGTTTGCAAGTCTAAACGATTGACATTTAACAATTGGGTTAAGTCGCAAACCAGAAAATTTTCTAAGGAAAGAGTTGAAGGTTCACTTGAAAAGATAAATTTTTTAGCCGTAATTGCAAGAAAAATTTTCTTATTTTTAACTATTAGTATCATATCGATCAAATTTCAAATACATTAACTTATTAAAACAAGAAATAGATAAACCAGCCTTGCAATTTAAATCTGGCTGAAAATTAATAAGAATCTATTTCGAATGATTTTGCCAATCTTCAAAATTTAAGAGAATCAAAAAATGTCACAATTTGATTTGAATTCAATTCTAATTGAAATGAAAGGTTACATGTATAAACAATTCTTGAATTGGTTAATCAGAAGACTTTGTCAATTTCAAAGATTGAGATTATGATCACATGTCTGTGAATCTTAAAAACTTACTTTGAAGGATTAGTGAATTTGAATGTCATCATGAAACAGTAAACAATCATTCATCCATCAGTCCATTACACTAGATTAAAACCTTCGAATCAAAACAAAAGTTGAACGGTTAGGTATTGAGTCTGTTAATTCACTGCCACTGATCAAAACTTGAAGTTGTTAAACTAAATTTATAAATTACGATATTGCACACTAGTATAAAATTACAACTAAATAATTAAGGTAAAATTTACAAACTTGTCAGCTATTGATTGGAAGTTTTCATTAACTTGTACAAAGTTGGAGTCAGCCGTTGTTTCATTAATCTGAAACCCAAATTGATTCTGTTATTGGCTGACTGGCTTCAGCAATCTGTAGCTGTAATTCTGGTTTCGATAGTATCGATTGTCTTTTACTATCGATGCTTCATTAAAAAACTGTGACCTTCCAGATTTTTATTAACTCCCCACTTTACCCGAGTCTAATCAAGGTAATTATTATTGTTCTTCTTTTCTTTAATTAAATAATCTTTTAAATTATTGTTTTCATTCATTTATGCGACTATAAATTCACTGTCCAATTTGCTGTTGAAACGATCTCTACTTTTTTTATATCAAGTGCTAAATTGTAATCTAATTTTTATTTTGTTTCTCTCCTTCTCTTGTTATCATTTTCTATTTTTTTCATTTCAGATATCTTGAGTTAAGTTTAGAGGACAAACAAGTCACATAATTTTGCATCAAAATGACGGTTAATGAATGGGTTCCTCAAAATGTTGGTCTTACTCAACATAAATTAGCGGTGACTCGGGACTATATCAATCAACCTAGATTATCTTACAAGACTGTATGTGGTGTGAACGGTCCATTGGTTATTCTTGACGATGTCAAATTTCCTATGTATGCCGAGATCGTCAGATTGACCTTACCTGATGGAACAGTTCGTTCCGGTAAAGTTCTTGATGTTCGAGGATCAAAGGCTGTCGTCCAAGTCTTTGAGGGTACCTCTGGAATTGATGCCAAGTTCACAAATTGTGAATTTACTGGTATGAGCCTATTTATTTTATCCTCACCTAATATTTTCACCTCATTCGACTTCCTCAATTTTCTCAATCCTTCTACTTTACACAAGATGAAAACATGCATTTAGCTACCCTTTAATGCATATTATATGCTTCAAAATACTCAAAATCTATTCTTGCTGTAATGTTCGTTGGGTTAGGTTTAGAACTGTAAAGGTTATCATGATATTTTATTCATTTTCCTCATAGTTTCAAGTTAGATCCATAACATTAAGCTTTCATTGCTTCCAATTTTCTTATCATATCTTCTATTTGTTTGATGAGAATGCTTTATCTTGATTGTTTGCATTCTATGACGTTTTGAAGGTGGAAAGAGAAAATGAGAGATGAACAATAACGGTAGATTGAGAGGGATGAAAGAGAAGAAAGAGACGAAAGTAACTGAGATACTCAGCTACTATGAAACTGAGCATGATCATGAAACCACCATAATGAAATTTATTCTAATTGAATTCTAATTCTTTCTTTTAATTACCAGGCGATATTCTTCGACAACCCGTGTCTGAAGACATGTTAGGTCGTGTTTTCAATGGATCCGGTAAACCCATCGATAGAGGTCCACCAGTATTAGCTGAAGATTATCTTGACATCGAAGGACAAGCCATAAACCCAGAATCTAGAACTTACCCCGAAGAGATGATCCAAACTGGCATATCAGCCATAGATGTAATGAACTCAATTGCCCGAGGTCAAAAAATTCCAATTTTCTCAGCATCAGGTTTACCGCACAATGATATTGCTGCACAAATTTGTCGACAAGCAGGTCTTGTTAAATCACCCGACAAAGATGTACCTGATGATAATTTTGCCATTGTTTTCGCTGCAATGGGTGTAAATATGGAAACAGCTAGATTTTTCAAACAAGATTTCGAAGAAAATGGTTCTATGGAAAATGTCTGCTTGTTCCTTAACTTAGCTAACGATCCAACTATTGAACGTATCATTACTCCCCGTTTAGCTTTAACTACTGCCGAGTTTCTTGCTTACCAATGTGGTCGTCACGTTCTTGTCATTCTTACCGATATGTCATCTTATGCTGAAGCTTTGAGAGAAGTATGTTCATTTTTATTTACATAAGAATCTGTCACATAAAGATTACCGTTAGATATTAATATTCTTTCATCAAAATTTTGATTCTTTAGGTATCTGCTGCTCGTGAAGAAGTTCCCGGTCGTCGTGGTTTCCCTGGTTACATGTACACTGATTTGGCTCAAATTTATGAAAGAGCTGGCCGAGTAGAAGGTCGAACTGGTTCAATTACGCAGATTCCTATTCTTACCATGCCAAACGACGATATTACCCATCCTATTCCCGATCTCACAGGTTATATTACAGAGGGTCAAATTTACGTTGACCGTCAATTAAACAACAGACAAATTTATCCTCCAATCAACGTACTTCCTTCTTTAAGTCGTCTTATGAAATCTGCTATTGGTGAAAACATGACTCGAAAAGATCATGCAGATGTTTCCAACCAATTGTATGCTTGTTACGCTATTGGTAAGGACGTACAATCTATGAAAGCTGTCATTGGTGGTGAAGATTTGACCCCTGAAGATTTATTATATCTTGAATTCTTGAACAAATTCGAGAAAAACTTTATTTCTCAGGTAAATTTTGAAGTTAATTTTATCCATCAAAACATACAATTATATATTTACATCTTCTATTTTCAGGGTAATTACGAAAACCGAACAATTTTCGAGTCATTAGATATTGGTTGGCAATTGCTGAGAATATTCCCCCGTGACATGTTGAAACGAATTCCTCACAGTACCCTCAATGAGTTCTACCCACGTCAGTCAACTGGACCAGCCCAAGCAAAATGATTCCTCCATTGTTTCATTCCTTTATTTTTATCTTTTGCTTCGAATTCAATGCTGTTATGAATATTCCAGAATGGGACTAATAGTCTCCAGACTAAACTATAACTAAAAATTTACACAAGCAATCGATTTTATTGGTTATGCTTTAATGAAATTGAACTGTTTTTCACAGTAGAATGCAATCTTCAAGTTTGTTTCTTTTGGTTCAAAATCATGTTATCATATTTAAAGATTGAGTTTGGTTTTGCCATCACTGGAAGATAAACCAAAAAGTTTTTATCATCGGATCCCAAAAAGCAACAACCCCTACTCACACAATCGCTTGTTTCTTCGTCTCTCCAGAAACTTTAATTATTTTTTTTCACTCTCCTTTGTTTTCTAATAACTTAATATTTTTTTGTTGTCTGTTCTAGACTCAAATCATTTGTCAATATAATCAAGAATCAGCCAAAATGAAGAGTAAAGTTTGTTCAATCTGTTTAAGGTAAAGATGGGAAAAACTAAAGTTGTTGGCTCTGTGTGTAAACCATTTTAAACGGTGTGTATCCAATTGATCAGATATCATCAAACAAAAATGATACAAAAAACAAGATTATTGATGCACTTCTTTTTTCACTCTTTAAATCGGTTTTATTCCTTTTATCTTATTCGGTCAACATAGTCAAGTTAATCAATATTTCGCTTTTTATTCTATTCTCTGAATAGATTCCATTGCGATCTAACCTAACCTCTAACTTGGATTTCTTGCCATTGAAATCCTACAATTCAAGAAAATCACAATTCCCAATAGCTCAGACATTCTCGTGAATCATAATCTTATAAAAAGCTATGAAAAATGATTCATTTTGCAGTCTATCTTGACTATAGAAAAATAAATTCATCAATTCAACTTGACATCAACATCAATTAACTTTTCAAGCCAGTTGCGTTGCTTTTTCAATCGTTTTTCACACTTTCAGTCATCCATGACACCCTCACTGATTATCTTAGAGTCAGCTTCATCTGTTTTGTGCTTTTAATAACCCCTGAATTAGCAGAAACCTTTTACCTACTGAAAACTCAATGTAACCTTTTCACTAAATTACTTATCAAGAACTCCCCTTGAAACTACATGTAGAAAAATTTTATATGTTGTTTTAAGAGCGCAATTTTTAATTCTTTATTTGAATTCAGCTGGAATTTTTTTCCATTTTCTATCATTCCCATTAGATTAAATCAAATCAGATCAATCAATTCTATGCACTTATTTTTACAATCTGTTGAGATAACATTATTGTTATTTCTGAATATGTGGTCAATTTAAAAAGCTCAGTTTATCTATTTCAGCAATTTAGTATTAATATAAAGATAATTAAAGAAATTGGTTTGAGTTCGACGTTTTCTCGTAAGACCAGTTCAATCTGAATTTGCTTTTTTATCATTTGTCATATTTTAAAAGACAATTTGCTATTAATTATCGACCCTTGATTAATCAACTTCACGTGACCATTTGCTGCATTTCAATTTGAAATTTTCAAGTCAGGCGCTTTAAGAGCCCTCTTCTAGAGCCAGCCCAATCTCATGGGTTTTTTGTTTTGCTTCAATTTTGAATCTTTTTAGTATTAATAGAAATGAAGATCATTTCTAACATTTTTTATTGAGTGTTGTCCTATTTGCGTTGTGCTGCCATTTTTGTTTTTGTCCTTCTTCACTCAGTCTCTATTCCTTAATTAAGTGTAATCATGGAATCAAAAGAAGAAACTCTTTATCCAAATAATCAAATTGCTCGTAAACTAGATCCAGCTGATGTCTGCATCAACGAGGTTTTGTTTGAAAATATTCGATTTGCTCATCTGAACTTAGACCAAAGACTTCTCAAGGGTCTAGCCAGATCTGGGTTCAAAAAATTATCGACTATTCAAAAAGAATCTGTTCCACTTGGAAGGATCGGTGTTGACATGGTTCTTCACGCTCGCTCAGGTACCGGTAAAACTTGTGCATATACTTTGATCGCTTTGGACTCACTTCTGTCCAGTGATAACACTCAAGTTTTAATTGTTACCCCCACCCGAGAAATTGCCTTGCAAGTGTCAGAGGTAGTTAAAACTATTGGTACATACATCGAAAATTTAAAAATAGCTTTGGTAACCGGTGGATTTAAAGTTCAACGAGATAAGGACAGCCTGCAAAATGCTCAAATAGTTATTGGTACACTTGGGAGATTGATTCAACTAATAGAGTTCAAATATCTTCCAACTAGTTCGATTCGTTTATTAATTCTCGACGAAGCTGATAAATTGTTCGAAGACCAGTTGCGAGAACAGCTTAGTGCGCTTCTTGCTCATATGCCAGAAGCAAGACAAACGATCGCTGTCAGTGCCACTTTTCCGCCAAATATGAAAGTATTCATAGAAAAATTCTTGAAAGATCCTCAAATTATAAAAACAAATGAAAACGTGCAATTTCCTGCCAAAAATGCGCAATTCTATGCCGTGGTTCCCGATCGAATGCATCTTTCTCATAAGATAAAATTGATCAAAAAGTGGATTGACAACCTGACTTTTGATCAACTTATTATTTTTGTAAACACCAAAGAAAGGTATAATTTTCTTAACTTCTTAGATTATAAAAGTACATAAGTGTATCATAAGTAGTGTAAAGGAGTGCTGATAAAAAATTCAACATTTAAGCTGAGAGTTGAGATTTGGTGAATTTGTAGGAGCATAAAAACTGACATGCAACCACGAAACTCATTTTTCTGATTAAATCAAGAATCAAATCTGACAGCATAAGTAATAGAATGATATCTCTTTTTGTATGATCTAATATTTCAACATGGTATGTTCCATAATGAAATTTAATATTGAGTCTCAAAACTTTAAGGTCAAAATCAAGAGAACTGTTGATAAATTGAAGAGTGTCAGATCAACCATGTTCACAAATAAGTTTTATCGGCAAAAAAGTTTCATTCTCTGTTATCCTCGTTGCTCTCGCTAAAAGCGAATAACTTGGGAGAATTGTTGTACAGAAACGAGATTTCGCCAAAATGAGGGCATTTTCTGGTTGACCATCAAAATTTACATAGACTCAGTTTCTATGTTCCTACAAACCCACCAAGTCTCAACTCTTAACTCAAATTCTCGCTTTCTACCAGTACTCCTTTCACTGGAAACTTTTAATAGCTAATTATTTCTGATTGCTTATTATTGGTTCACAACTAACAAATTTAAGATGCTACAAATAGCTAGTTATATTTAAATGGATAAGTCCATTTCTTTTCACAGCAGTTTAAAGTTATGTGATCATTTTTTCGGAACTAATTCAAAAATTATTTGATTAATATTTATTTTTCTTACATTTATTTGCGAACAGCGGACAAAAAATTGCTGATGATTTTCGTGAAAAGAAAAAATATCGTTGTATGTATCTATTTGGTGACCTACCGCAAACAGAAAGATTTGATATCTTCAAAAAGTTTCATGGTTCAAAGTACAATATACTTGTAACTACTGATCTTTTTAGTCGAGGAATTGATTGCCATAATGTCAACATGGTTATCAATGTTGATTTACCCATTGACGAAGAGACTTTTTTACACAGAATTGGAAGAGCTGGACGTTTTGGTTAGTAAATATTTCCATTTTTATTATTAATATGAATTTTTTCAACCATCCAGGTCGTCCAATTTTCAATATTTCAATAATCTTTTCTACTTTTTTAGGTATGAGTTGTTTAACTCTCACTTTAGTGAAAAGTGGTCCTGAAGAATTGATTTACGATGAATTATCAAAATCTCTGAATTTTGAAAAACACAAAATGCCTGAGGATTTGAAAACCAATAATCCATGGGGAGTTTTAGATGAACGCTATCGAACTGTTGAGCTAACAGATTGGCAAAAGCTTGATAGAATGATAAACTCTCATAGATTCCGTCCACCGTGTCGAAGAAGGCGAGCCTGTCCATCATTTCACGAAAAGGATTTACATGCCCCTCTCCCCGAATGTCACATTGTAGAGAAGACACCTGAAGAGAGTGCTAAAGCATTTGAAGAAGAAGAGAAAAAGAAGATAGAATTCATTCGTAAACACGGTCGTCTACCTCGCGCTAATTTCATGTAAGTAATTGTTAATTTTAAATATGGTGCTGAAGTTAACATCTTTTATTTTCATTTACAGGAAAAGACTCGGCATGCACTATAGGAAATACCCTGGACTTATTATTACCGTTGAAAATATGAACAGACCCGAAGAATTCGAAGAAATAATAGAAAAGGCTAAGGGTAAACCTGTAGAGTTTTGGTCATCAACAGACGATTCTGATGAGGAAAAAGTGGAAAAAATGCCTGCTGGAGGATGGCCAGGGTGCTGTGGAGGACATATAATGCCTGGAACACCGCGATGGTTCTCATTGGATGAGCATGGCCAGCCAATAAAACATCAAGTTAGGACACAGAAGCTGATTAATATTGAAGATAAAGAAGTGAAACTTAATGAAGTCGAAACTATTCTCGCTAGTTTCAATAAAAGTTCTCAAAGTCGAAAGTAACACAAATATTTCTACTTATAAGCATCTTCCTTTTTGTTAAATTAAGAGACTATTTATGAGAGATAATACAAATCTACTTTGCCATTTTAGAATACAATTTTAATGTCAATTGTGGATGCATCTTTGTGCAATTTGATCTTCTGTATGATCATCTATTACTCTATTATACATGTATATAGCATTGAAACTCAAACCTTACAATGCCGGGAAATAACTTATATTTTATGGTAAAATCACCCATAAAATTTCCAGACGAGGTAGGATTAGTTAAAATTTTGATTAAGATGAGCTTTTGTGATAAATTTCATGATTAAAAGTCTATTTTGCTAAGAAAAATTGTACCTTATAAATATTTGAATTACGTAATAAAAGACGAAGCTATGAATAATATATTTAACTTTCTTAATCGTAAAGTGCTTCGATTTGAAAATTGCCTTTTAAATGTTGACGCAATCAACTCATCCGACGTTTCATAAGGATGATGTTGATGGATGATTTATTAGGATGAGTTGTCTGATGTGAGTCTTACGCAGTCTCTTTACTAGTCTCTAGGAAAATGGAAATGTTTTCAATGGAAAAAACAAACTTGGTTTGGTTTGAAAAAAGTGTTAACTTGGTTAGTAAGTGTTTAATTTTCCTCTTGAAATGGTTTAAGTTTTATTTTTTTTCTTATTTAATTCATTGTTTTTTTGTTATCAACCTTTGTTAATTGTTGCTTGGAAATACTATTCGCTTAAAAAGCGCTTTCGTCAGTGTTGAACCTACATTGAGCTTGGATTTTCTTTTCTTTCAATATAAACGGAACACTAAATTATGGTATCAAGTTTTATGAGAGTTTCTCGTCGACTTCTATCGACTGTCAACACAAGCACCTTCAAGGTAACTATTGTTTTAAATTTTTGAGTCTTGCCTTTTTTGTGTTTATCCATTGATGATGGCTGTTACTGTGTATTTGTAAATTTTATTATCACCAGCTACTAAGAAATAGTGATTCCAATTTTACTTACCTTTAGAAAGAGGTTGAAAAGTCTTCATCATTTTCGATCCAACACAGAACTTGATTATTGTCAGGTGCTTTGTAATGATGTTTTGTTTTACAAAATTTAATTTTATTTTAACTTACCAATTTTTTCTCTTTCCCTCCAAAAAAGGCTGAAAATCTTCGTGTAACTTTGTGTCCACCTGATCAACGTAAACGTAAACCAACAGATCCGAACTCATTACAATTTGGAAAATTGTTTAGTGACCATTTACTTTCAATAAAGTGGACCCAGAAAAATGGTTGGAACGACCCTGAAATAATACCTTTTCAAAATTTCACCATACACCCTGCCTCTAAAGCAATTCATTATGCTCAAAGTGTGAGTTATTTTAATGGATTAGATTATTGATAATTTATTATATTTTCTTCACATTAATTAGATATTTGAAGGAATGAAAGCATTTCGTGGAGTCGATGGCAAAATTAGATTGTTCAGACCAGAAGCAAATATGGCAAGGTTTCTTAGAAGCGCTGAAAGAGCCAGCCTAGCTTCATTTGATCCAGATGAGCTTCTTAAATGTTTGAAGAAATTAATTACTATTGAAGCTGATTGGGTCCCGAATTGGGAATTCACGTCACTATATATCAGACCTACTTTTATGGGGACAGAGCCCGCTCTTGGAGTCAACCCTTCGATTGAGTCCCACTTGTACGTGATTGTTAGTCCAGTAGGATGTTATTTTGGTACCAAAATTGAACCAGTTTCCCTTTACGCAGATCCACGTTGGGTTCGTGCTTGGCCAGGCGGAGCAGGATCTTCTAAGTTATCAGCCAATTATGCTCCTACTCTGTCCATTCAGAAGAAAGCCGAAGAGAAAGGCTGTCAACAAGTTTTGTGGTTGTATGGAGAAGATCATCAAATCACCGAAGTTGGTGCTATGAATGTTTTCGTTTACCTAATTAACGAACAAGGAGAAAAGGAATTGGTTACGCCTCCATTGAATCAAGGTGTTATTTTACCAGGAGTTACCAGAGACTCTGTCTTAGCAGTTACTAGAGAGTGGGTTAGTTAAGCAAGTTATATTTTTACAATCCATATGTTCCCCTTTGTTTGCGTCTTGTTTTTCCAAATAACCATGAACAAATCCTGACGTAATGCTATGGGGGAATTTGTCCTTGATAAGCAATCATTTTAATGGATACTAGCCTCTTTAGTATCTCTTTCTTCATGATATTAACATCTTGTTAATCTTTCTTTATCGATCAAGATCTGTAAGATTGGTTAGCTTATTTCAATTGTGGAGATAATTTTTCAGTCATGTTTATCTCATATACGAGGATAAGATCATTGATAAATTATAGCAAAAACTAATAGTTTGCCACTCATTAACTTACTTTTTTTCTTGCAGAATCAATTCAAAGTTAACGAAAGGATCATTACTATGAAGGAAGTGTGCAAGGCTCACGAGGAAAAACGTCTATTGGAAATGTTCGGAGCAGGAACTGCTGCAGTTGTTTGCCCAATAGGCCGAATCAATTTTAACAATAAAGATTATCTTATACCTTCCGAAAGTAAAGAAAATATAAGCCATCGTTTGCTAACAACCCTGACCGACATTCAATATGGTAAAACGGAGTACAAAAATTGGACACAAATAGTCTGTTGACGATAAATAGTTGTAACGCTTGCAAATAAAATTCCAGCATTCCAGAATTATTGTTTACATTTTCAATTAATGATTTGTGCTACATCTTGTTTTTTATCATTCAACCACAATATTTTTCTAATATTTCGATTTATTTGTTTACATTTTGTTCACCCAAGATGAGGTCCAATCTGATAAAGCTAAAGAAACTATTAGACAAAATAGTACTGGTTGTTTGGAGAGGGCAGAAAAATTGTAATAATATTTAATCAAGAGAGAAAAAGAAACCTGTTGAAGCAGGAGACTCGAATGTTGGTAATTCCAAGGACAATAAAAGTGACGATAGCGACGAAGAAGGTAAAGACATTTATTCACTTGTAAACGTCAACCATGGAGGGTATCTTATTGTTCGGTCCACCTGGAACTGGTAAATCTTAGCTAAAGCTGTAGCCACGGAGGCCAATAATTCCACTTTCTTCTCGGTATCTTCATCCAATCTGGTTTCAAAATGACTTGGTGAAAGTGAAAAACTGGTTAAAAGTCTCTTTACAATGGCTCGTAAACAAAAACCAAGCATAATCTTCATCGATGAAATTGATTCTTTATGTAGTTCTTTATCAGATAATGAATCGGAATCGGCTCGACGTATCAAGACTGAATTTCTAGTTCAAATGCAAGGTATTTATTGTTATTCTTTTTTATGATGGTGGTAACATATGTAAGACTTAAAACATTAAATGTTTTCTTTATTTCCTTTTTCTGTTTCAATTAGGTCTTGGAAACGATAATGATGGTATTCTAGTGCTGGGTTCAACAAATACACCTTGGGTTTTAGACTCTGATATATTCCCTTGCCTGAAGAAAATGCCTCACAGCCTGACTGTAAATGATTTGTAGGAGCTTGCTCATAAAACAGAAGGTTTCTCTGGTGCTGATATTAGTGTTTTGGTTCGTGACGCACTCATGCAGCCTGTTAGGAAAGTCCAAACTGCTACTCACTTTAAAAAGGTAAACTATATTCATAAACAATTAATTTCTCTAGAAACTAGTTGACTATATTTTAATCAATTCCTAGTATTTTAATGAAGTGAAATTCACTAGAATACGATTGATTTTTGATTATGTGATTTATTTTTTAATCATCTTTTATTCATTTAGGTACGAGGTCCTTCCCGATCAAATCCGAACGAAATTATCAATGATCTGCTAACTTCTTGCTCTCCCGGTGATCGAGGGGCCATCGAAATGTCATGGGACGATGTTCCAGGCGATAAATTACTAGAACCAATAATTACAATGAGCGATATGTTGTTGTCATTAGCAAATGCTAAGCCTACTGTTAATGACGCTGATTTGGTTAAATTGAAAGAATTCATGGAAAGTTTCGGACAAGAAGGTTAATCATACAAATTTGTTAAATGTATAATATTTTAATCATAAATTTCTTTTTTGAAATAAACTACAAAATGATACAAAATTCTAATTTCACCCCGTCACCCAGAGAAAAATCTGATTTGCATCTTGCATCATGCATCCAGTTATTCAAATTAAATCAACAATGTTTTTTCTCATAACTCTTTGGGATACAAAACACTATAATCTCTGATTTCAGCTCAATACAAATCGATTGAACATAAATTTTCCACTGTTAGAATAATAGTGTAAAATTATCAATGGCTATTATCTGACACAATTTGTTTGCTTTAATTTGATTCGATGGCTGGTGTTTTCAATTGTGGCGCTACTTACAAATGTTGTTTGGTTTTTTTGGATAAATCATTCATGTATTCTGATTATTAAGAGTTATTGAGTGAAACTAGACAAATCTAGATGTCTGGACAAAAATCAATTCGCATTTAATAATTTATTTTAGTCCTAAAAATCATTCAAATCTAAGTAGCACATGTTAATCGATGTTATACTTGGAAGAGATAGTCTCACATGTGTAAGGTTGACTTAATTTTCATGCTGCTCTTGTGTTGAAACATTGGGAGAGGTTTGTTCAATCAATAGTTTTTCTCTGCCACTTCCTCAAATCAAATCTATTTATATTGTAATTTGATGAGCACTGTGCCTTAGTATGTAACATCGCCTTGAAAGCCAAACAATCGGCAATACACTTCAACTAATAACTTCTCATCTATTGCATCTTTATTTTAAATTTTACATTCTACATCAAATTTACTATTCAACACAATGTCTCGAAAGCTTCTCGCAAATCAACAAGCTATCCGTTTCTATTCTTCAACTTACAATTCAATCTATGAATCGATAAAAATTAAACTCCAAAATCATTTGAAGGTGAGTTAATTACCGTTGTATTTCCATTCTGGTTGATTTATATGCCTGTATGATTTACTGATGCCTGAGCTGCATTGACATCTTGTGGTGATTTTTTGTTCATCTGTTGATCAATCTGTTCTTACCTTCGTTCTCTTTAGTCTGCTCTTCTCAAATTTATCAATTTAATGTGATCAAGTTGTGGTTAGCTAATCTTTTTCTGCTCAACTAAATTGACCTTCAAAAATCCTGTTACTTTTTGCAACAATTGTCTCGCGCTCTATTGTTTATTATTTCTTGTTTTATACTAATTCACCTAATCTTTCCTTTTTCTCTGGATTATCAATGAATTCTAATCACCTGGACTACATACACCTGAATCACATCATCTAATAGAATCATGAATTCCAATTTAAAGCACATCATCATACTTATAGTGATACTAGCATTAGAAATCAACATAAAATCTCAGGTGATGGTCTTTGGTCACCAACATTACACTTCGAGAAAAACCAGCTTTCACCTTCATCATCCTCTTTATACTCATCATTATCATCAACCTCAGAACTAGATCAAACTAATTGTAATAACGATAAACCCCGTCGAGTGACCGTTATTGGTGGAGGAAGCTGGGGATCAGCTATATCAAAAGTCATTGCTGGAAATGTAACTAAATATCCTGATCTGTTTGATCCAGAAATTGTATTATACCTTCGTGATGAAAACTTAAGGCTGGTCATCGAGAAGACTCGTGTCAACATTAGATATTTACAGATTAAGCTTCCAACAAATATTAAACCAGTCTCGGATTTGAAAGAAGCAATAAGTCGAAGTGATGTTCTAATTTTCGCTATCCCGCATGAATACATTAAAGACGTCTGTTTCAAGATTCCAAAGAGAAGTATTCTAACGCCAAGGCCTGTTGGTGTTTCATTAATTAAAGGTCTTCACATTGATGGTAATGGAAATTTAGAACGCACCACTCAAATCATCAGTCGAATGCTAGACATACCCGTGGGGGCTCTCTCAGGTGCCAATGTTGCTCTCTCTGTAGCTAAGGAAGAGTTCAGTGAAGCAACCCTTTCTCCGCCATTGCCATCATCACCAAAAGTTGACGAGATGCTCAATAAATTGTTTGCAACTTCTTACTTCAAAATATCTACCTGTTATGATACCCCAACTGTCGAGATATGTGGTGCCCTAAAAAACGTTATTTCCTGTGGTGCAGGAATAATTGATGGTATTGGATATGGTGTTAATACCAAAGCAGCCGCAATTCGAGCTGGTATTAGAGAATCAATCCGTTTCGTATCAATTTTCCACCCTGAATATAAACTGAGCACTTTCTTTGAAAACTGTGGAATCGCTGATGCGATAGGAAGTAGCTTTGGTGGTCGAAATCGTAAAGTTATTGAACAATTCGTTAAAAGTACAAAATCATTGGCTGTTTTAGAACGTGAAATTTTAGGAGGACAAAAGCTTCAAGGTCCAAGCACTGGAGAAGTTGTTAACCGTTTGCTGGACAATAGAAATTTATGTGATCAATTTCCCTTTTTTACAACCATCCATCGCATTTGTAATCGTGAAGAAGAGCCCAGAGCAATTTTAAAAGCCTTGGAATTAAGCTGCTAACAGATTTCTGATTAGCATTTACATTTAGCAATTATGAAGTCTGGAATCGGTTGTTCGATTTTCACTAATGCTCTAGTTTCACCAAAACTAGACTTTAAATTAGGCTGTTTAACTCCTATCAAACATATCGATTATATCAAAATTATGGAGGATGGATTAGTCTTGGTGAAAAATCGATTCCTAATTAACCAATTTAATCTGCCAGCTATCAATTAGTTGAAATAATGTGATTTCCAATAGTATTATATTCTATCTGTTTTACATAAAATCTTTAAGTCATTGGTGTCCTGATGATTCAAGTTAAATGAATTGGATCCAGGCTTAATAACTAATATTTGCTCAGTTATATCAGCTTTTTATAAACGATTAACCATCAGTTGTTTTTGATTAACTCTAGTCTTTGTTGCCATCTACCTACCAGAATCTAATTCCAAAACTCAATTTTACTGAATCTCAATTTATCTCTGTTGTATCTCAATCTTATCTTTCACAAATCTATTCTCTGTTAATAAAAATAATTATTTTACGAATGCTGACAATTGCAGCATCCTGGTGTGATATTGTAATGACTATTTTGAATTTAGCTATTTCACATCTTTTAATGTTAGCTAATGTTTATTAAAAATGTAGTTAAAATTCAACCTTTGAAATATCAATCAAATGTCTGCAGACAGATATAATGTACATTAAATTGTTATGAGTTTGAGACGCGCCCATAATCAGAACTCTCGGTTAACATGTCTGATTAATTTTCATTTTACGTGACCAAATTGTAGCTATTATTACATGGTAATATGACTTTTCTGTTTCCTGTTAATTTATTTTCTGGTGCAATTGGAATTTGTCTCCCAATGATATCGATTGATGAACATTGTTTTAGTTATTGAGTGAATATTAGAGTTTTCATGTGGATTCTGACATAGTTTCCAGATTAATGCAGCTATTACTTTAATATATTGCTGAATATTTTAATTGAATATTTCTATAATCCATAACTATTTTCTCCTTTGATTAATCTCTTATAGCCAATCCATTGCTTGGTTGTCAATGAAAGTAATCAACATAATGTGCCCCGAGGATCGGAGACTCATTTTAGAGTTCTAATTGTATCAAATAAATTTGATTCGACCAGTTTAATTGAAGTATGTAGATTTGTTTTTGTAGATCTTAATCAAGCAAATTTTATCTTCCTCTTATCTGCTCTTCTTCTGTTTTCAGAGGCATCGACATATTAATGAAATACTTAACGATGAATTGAAATCTGGTGTTCATGCCTTGGCAATTGAAGCTTTTACTCCAGTTGAGTGGGAAAAATCAAATCAACAAATCAATCAATCTCCCAAATGCCGCGGTGGATCAAATAGATAGCAATCAAATAATAAGATCAATTATCATGGGATATTCCTTTGACTATATTGTATTGCCTTATTGTTAGTTCGTATTTCCTTAAAACCATGTCAATTTTATTTCCAAGGAGCTGCCACAGTTGCCACTAAATTGTCATCATATGAGTTAGGAGTTAATATTGAGCAATATTTCAGCTATAACAATAAATAAACTAGGTTTATAAGCATTTATTATCAAACTTACTCGGTGGTGACATTTCTAATGAAAACATCTTCACTTTCATTGTTTTTTCCCTTTCTTGTGTTTACTTTGTCAGTATTTTATGTTAGTGCTATCTTGTAAAACGCTGTTGATTCCTGTTTAAACTTGTTTCAATCGGCTCCGTGATTAAAGAATGGTGTTTATTTTAATCGCTTACTAATTTACATAGCTACCAATGTCGCGCATTTCGAGATACCAATTACCAGTTATTGTGAATATCGTTAAATTACCATTTTATCTCTAGTTAATACTTTACACTTTTGTTATTGCATTATTTGAACTGTTGACTCATTGACATTATGTTTCTTTTTATCATTTTAATGTTCAAGTTACTTGTTACCTCTATCATCATAATCAATAATTTATTGCCTCCTGTGTCTCCCACCTGTCGTTATCCATTTGAGGGATTTGGCGTCCATTTGGGAAAGTTGGAATCCTTCAATGAGACATCAGCTGATGTGAGAGCATCAATTATCAACCTTGTTTACAATGATTTGTTGATACGTAATTTCAGAACTGAATATTTGCCGCAATTTTCAACGAAAGAGAATACTTATTCCATCAACTGTTCAGATGTGAAATCATGTGCTTGGATCACCATGCATTCGCTCCTTTCAAAATTACCAGATAAATCGGTCATTGTCTCAATCTGGTCACCACCTTATTACATGAAAACTTTTTTCCGCCATCTAGCCACAGAATATGAAGAAGCATACTATTATTACATCACTAATGTTACTCAACTGATTAAAGACCAATTCAATTTGACAATTGATCGAATTTCAATGGCTAATGAACCTGAAAATCTGATTGCATCTTGGGATGAGTGTACCATGCCTGCTAATCAATTGTGTCGGTTAGCACAAACTTATGACGATCCAATTATTTCTCTCTGTCCCGAAAATGCTTGGTTTTCAGTATCAAAAATTTATCTCAACTACTCATATCATGGTATTAACTGTCGACGTGCTTGCCGTACTGTTGTTTCTCATGGCTATACATTAAGCTTGAATCCATTATTTTGGGGCTCAGTTTACTATGACACCAAAGAGTATCCAGAAGACGTCGAATCACCAACTTGGATCACCGAGATTTCAAGTACACGTATTTTAGCTCAATATAGCCAAATGACTGAAGCAATTGATTTTTCTACAAGCATAATAAACTTTGTTGGTATCACTTGTGTTCAAAGATTTTATTATTGGTTGGCCTTCACTACTTTTCCATCAGGAGAATCGCTTATTTGGTATGATGTGACCAGAAATAAAATTGTTTTACCCAAAAAGTATTATGCCTTGAGACATTTCACCATGGCAAGTTTTGATAACTCTGGACATCGATTCATTTGTTCAACTAATTCCTACTTATGTTTGCAATTTACCTCCAAAACAGTTTATGTGAATAAAGGCTACGACAAGGAGCAAATTAACAATCTTTGTGATCTTTGTTGTACAACTGATGATCATGATTACCGTTGTACAGCCTCTAATGTGTTACCCCCTCGATCAATCTGTAGCTGTTGACGCTTTCCTTACATCCGGTTTATTACTTGACAATAAATGTAAATAACCAACAAAACATTCCCTACGAGTGTCAGTTTTGTGTATGTTTGTTTCCAGTTTAGATTCAATTTGCTTACACGATACAATTCAAGTATTAATGCTTGTGGATTTATCTTAGGCAACATTAAGTCTCTTTTTACTCATCTCTTCACTTTTTTTATCGTAAGGTCAATGAAATGTTACTCAATGATGGAAATGTACTCATATTTTGACAGCGAGAATAAAAAATTATTAAAATCCATTATTGATGCAAATCAAACATGTTACTACAATTAACTAATAACTTATTAGGAATAAGTAACCGTCAGAAATTGTTACTGTGACTCGATGCAAGTTTATTTATCGAAAATCAGTTAAGATTGTGTAAACTGATTATTTAATATTCGGTCGTAACCATAATTAGATAATTTGTCTTTTCAGTTCCTTTTCAATGCTACAAGCAATTGTCATTTAAAGAGTGTCAAGGAGATTTTGAGTCAGAAAATTTGATCGAAATCAAATAAACGACGATATAAAAATAAAGATATTTTTAATGAGAAAACATATTGTTGATTTAATTTGAATAACTGGATGCATGATGCAAGATGCAAATCAGATTTTTCTCTGGGTGACAGGGTGAAATTGAAATTTTGTATCATTTTGTAGTTTATTTCAAAAAAGAAATTTATGATTAAAATATTATACATTTAACAAATTTGTATGATTAACCTTCTTGTCCGAAACTTTCCATGAATTCTTTCAGTTTAACCAAATCGGCGTCATTAACAGTGGGCTTAGCATTTGCTAATGACAACAACATATCGCTCATTGTAATTATTGGTTCTAGTAATTTATCGCCTGGAACATCGTCCCATGACATTTCGATGGCCCCTCGATCACCGGGAGAGCAAGGAGTTAGCAGATCATTGATAATTTCGTTCGGATTTGATCGGGAAGGACCTCGTACCTAAATGAATAAAAGATGATTAAAAAATAAATCACATAATCAAAAATCAATCGTATTCTAGTGAATTTCACTTCATTAAAATACTAGGAATTGATTAAAATATAGTCAACTAGTTTCTAGAGAAATTAATTGTTTATGAATATAGTTTACCTTTTTAAAGTGAGTAGCAGTTTGGACTTTCCTAACAGGCTGCATGAGTGCATCACGAACCAAAACACTAATATCAGCGCCAGAGAAACCTTCTGTTTTATGAGCTAGCTCCTTCAAATCATTTTCAGTCAGGCTGTGAGGTGTGTTACCAATGTGAATTTTGAAGATGGTAAGACGGGCATGTTCTTCAGGCAAGGGAATATAGATACGTTTTTCAAAACGTCGACGTATAGCAGAGTCTAACACCCAAGGTATATTTGTAGCTCCCAGCACTAGAATACCATCATTATCGTTTCCAAGACCTAATTGAAGCATAGAAGAAGAAATGAAGGATACATTTAATGTTTTTAAGCATAACATATGTTACCACCATCATAAAAAAGAATAACAATAAATACCTTGCATTTGAACTAGAAATTCAGTCTTGATACGTCGAGCCGATTCCGATTCATTATCTGATCGAGAACTACATAAAGAATCAATTTCATCGATGAAGATTATGCTTGGTTTTTGTTTACGAGCCATTGTAAAAAGACTTTTAACCAGTTTTTCACTTTCACCAAGCCATTTTGAAACCAGATTGGATGAAGATACCGAGAAGAAAGTGGAATTATTGGCCTCCGTGGCTACAGCTTTAGCTAAGTAAGATTTACCAGTTCCAGGTGGACCGAACAATAAGATACCCCTCCATGGTTGACGTTTACCAGTGAATAAATGTGGAAATTTAATAGGTAAAATCACAGCTTCCTTTAGAGCCTCCTTTGCTCCTTCCAGGCCAGCAACATCCGACCATTTAATATTGGGCTTTTCAATCACAATAGCATCTTCCAATTGACTCATCATTTTTTTCTTGTCTTTATCTTCTTCGTCGCTATCGTCACTTTTATTGTCCTTGGAGTTACCAACATTCGAGTCTCCTGCTTTAACAGGCTTCTTCTTTTTCTTGCTTAAATATTCTTTTAATTTTTCTGCCCTCTCCAAATAACCAGTGCAATTTTGTCTGATAGTTTCTTTAGCTTTATCAGATTGGACCTCATCTTGGGTGAACAAAATGTAAACAAATGTATCAATACAACAATGTAAATATTAGAAAAATATTGTAATTGAATGATAAAAAACAAGGTGTAGCACAAATCATTGATTGAAAATGTAAACAAAATCTCAGATCTAACGCAAAGAGATGGATATAGTTTCATTCATTCATGGTCATTTAATGAAAACTTACATTTTATAGCATGAAGAAAATATTCCACAGCACTTCCATACAATCGCTCGGCTTCTTCATAATTTTGGTTCTTATCCTCTTCTGTAGCCTTTTTAACCAAATCAATGGCTTTCTAGATTGCACAGGGGAGGATAGAAAAAATAGAGAAAAATGCATAAAAAAAATGAATATGAGAAAATGAAAGAAAAACAATCCAGTGATCATAGAAGCTAAGTGGGATAAAATATCTCAATTTTATAAAATGATCTTTTACCTGTAGCGTAGACATGTTGATAACAATGATTAAGATTGTTTTAATAAAAAAAATAGAAACTTAATTTGAGGTCAATCGTCTGAATTTAAAATGAAAATAGCAATTTCAACTAATCATTAAAAATTGTATCCAGGCGACGAGTAACTCTTGAGTCTTGATCAAATGTAGTTCAGCTACTTAGTGCTAGATGCCGCTTAATGTTTCAGATTTCAAGATTTCAAGTTCAAATCTTGCCAATTTGGGCTAAAATCATTCAAAAAACTTAATGAACTTAATGGATAAATATTGCCGATTCAAGAAAATTACAGAAGAAATTTGACTGTGAATTGAATTGACAGTTTAAAATAAGAAATGTAGAATTAAATATTTTAATTTGTTTTAAATCTAAGAAATAGATCGATCGGATCTAATAAACAAAACATGCTGAAGAATAATTACAACATTTGATACGGAATAGAAAAGTACAAAAATGAATCAAATCAAAAAGCGCAATAATGCACGAAATCACCAAAACATTGTTTACTCACAGTTCAGTAGTAAAAATGACTGAGAAATTCAGAAAAAAATACAGATGAAAATTGCAAAAAAATAGATAACTTAAATGACCAAAAAATGCTAATAAATTAAAAATCTCCAAATTTTCTCTCAATTCGAGCAACCCGTTTCTCCAAGGACGTAACGCTTTGAGCAAGTAAATCTAAGTGATTGAGAATTTGAATCAAAATTGATGGGTCTTTTGATGTCCTGCTGTCTACAGATAAAGAGTCAAGCTGATCAACATTTGACAATTTATCAGACTTTTTATCGGCAGTTGGTGAAAATTTGGCGTCGAAAGATGAATCCTTAATGGAACTGCTCGACAATCTCCTGGTGAGTCGCTCTACATCGATTGAACCTTGCTCATTTTCTAGCATGCTATCATCATTCTGTGCTAATAGATTGCTATTCCAAAGACTGACAATCGCATCTTTACCGACAGTAGCGAAAATTTTGCCATCTTTATTGAAAGATGAGCAAAAAACAGCACCTTGGTGCTCCTGTAGAGTGAAAAGAACTCGACCCTCGAGTACATCAAAAATCTTGGATGTTCCATCATCAGATGAGCTAATGAGATAATTTCCGGATGGGTGAAATTCGATATGATTAACTGGTCCAGAATGTGCATTGTAATATTGCAATGCCTTATCTGATCGCAAGTCAAATATTCTTATGCATGCATCATGGGATGAAATTGCGACCAAATTTTTATTATTGGGATACCAATCAATGCAGGTGAATTTGAGTCCTCTTTTGGTCACTTTCTTAGTTGGCTGGCTATCATATACTCTCAGATCATGAACAAATAAACAAGAATCATCGCCACATGAAGCAACAAGCTGTTCATCATTTGGGCAATATTTACTGCAGCGAACCCAATTCATATGTCCTTTCAGGAGATTGATTTGCTTATTCTTGCTTACAGCAGACCAGATTTTAACACTTTTATCATCTGATGCTGTACAAAAGAAGTCACCTTTAGGAGAAACATCAACATATCGGATTGTACTGCAATGACAGTTATAAATTAAAGGATCTAGATTAGGTCGGCCATCCTGTCCTAGTCTCCAAAGACACGCAGTTTTATCCCTTGACACAGAGACAAAATAATCAGATCTAGAAGAGTAATCGACACAATGGACAATATCCTTATGGCCAGACAATCTATAACTTCGTCTGATCTCGAGATTATCCTTGAATTCCCAAAATATAACTTGTTGATCATTCGAGCAAGTAATCATATGACTGGAATCTGGGCTGAACTTGACATGATTAACTTCATTTTTATGAGCTCGATACGAGCAGCTCAGGTATGGCTCAACAATACAATCAGATGTATCCATTTTGGTTTATAATGAGTGGGAATTTAGATACAGAGATACATAAAAAATACGAACAATAAACGATGAACTAAATTTAACTATGTGTCATAATCTAACCACATTTTAAAATTTCGAAAGACCGCTAAACTCTTTTTTTTTGTTTTCACTTCTAAGGGGCCATCAACTAATAACGCTTTATTGACATTGTTCAACAGTTGGACTTCAACTTGAATCAAACGTAATTTAATCATGCTATTGTTTACTTTTCGTATTTAGGAAAATTATGAAAAATATTTATCACATAAATTAATCATGATCTTAACCTTCATTTTCTGAAATTTCCAGATCACAAAAATATTTTTTATTCATTCAAACAATAAATACTAATAAACGAATAACATTGCCAAATCAAAGATGAATATCAATGCAAATTACAAATAATTTAAATGATCTGAATTTTGTATCAATCTAGATAATTTTCTGGATTCAATAGGTCAATTAAAACTGATTTGAATAGCGCGCAATTAAATTGACGTTTTTAATGAAATGGGGAATATTCGTGAAACAGACATTGTTGCATCTGTTGCAGTTAATACAGTGATTTATAGATTTTAATGTTCATTGCAAAATAAATTGCAATCATCTTGATCTAGATCATTAAATATATCATCATGGTACTTTCATACGATAAGCTTTTATAGATGAAACTGAGCTACGAGTTTATAAGAATCAAAAGTTCATATAAATGTTGTTTGCTATTCTTTAGTTTTGTTTTACATTCGGAAGCTCCATATTTAAATATCAATCAAGTTTTATTGTCATGATGTGATTTAAATTAGCAAGGACAAAGATGTTTAAAAATGTACTTATCAGTTTATTTCATAAGTTAATAAATTACTAGTTAAAATCGAGAAATAAATAAATAAATAAATAAATAAATAGAGTAGCAAATCTCAATGCTCATTTGAGCTCAATATGTAGCTTTCAATACTTTCGAGTTCATTTGCTTTGTATTCAGTCTACAAAATCTTCTCGGATCAAATTAAGCATCATTTTGAAATTCAAAATTTGATCACTGAAGTTGAGGAGCTGAACTTGATGCTGTTGGTGAAAATGTCAACCTCAATCGACTTATTAAAGTTCGAATTTCATCAGTAATGCGGTAAATTCGATCCCTAATTGCTTCCAAGTAACCATTAGTTATATTAGCAACAGAAGTTCCAGATGATGATGATGATGAGGAGGAAGAAGAAGATGAAGATACGCTTGCTGAGTCACTGAGAGCACTTCCGACGGCAGCGGTTTCAGCGGAAAGGTTAGTTGCTGAAGATCCAACTCCGATTGTTTGCATACGATTTTGTAATCGCTCCAAGCTGATGCGAACTCGTCTAGTCATTGAAAGTAAAGAATTGATAATAGATTAAAAAGATGATCAGAAATAAGATGAAACCTCAATGCACTAATTATGCAATTCTGAATAAAATTTCTCACCTCAAATAATTGAGTAAAGAACGGAAAACAGCAGCGGTAACATAACGACGACTTGAAACCAGTTCAGAAATGACACTCTGAAATGAAAAGTTATTGTTAGATCTTAAGTCACAATTAGCATTTATTTGAATTAAAACTTACCTCTACATTTAGAGCAACTCGGTTTACTTCATCAATCATGGATTGAATTTGAGTGGCTCCTTGTTTGTTAACATTTTCATCTTCAGCAGGAGGTAAAGACTCGCCAACAAGATCACTAGAAATATCTTTAACACTGGGATTAGACAATGCTATTCCAGATGAACCAGCACCATAGACTAATGGGACGGAAGTTGATGATGAACCTGAGCTAGACTCATCCTCAGTATTAAGGTAAATTTTTACTTGCTCTTCAAGATCAATCAATAATTTGGTTGCTTGATCAACAGAATCTGCAATTAACTCCGATCCTTCTTGAGGCTTAACACCATTTCCATATTGAGCTGGGACAGATGTACTAGTAACAACAGTTACACCATTGGTGATGGAAGTAGAAGATACTGCCGATTGACTTGGAGCAGCTACTTTCTGGACAATTGGACTGGCTTGTTCGGGTACTACTGGAGCTTTGACTACATTTTTGACAGCAACATTACTCTCGGGTGACTTTGAAATTGAGGTTACTTCTTGGGGTAATTCTGTATTGGTTGCTTGAGAAGCACCACTGGAGCCTGATGTATAGTGTAAAGGTTGGAGATTATTCTTTTCATCTTCACTGGAGACTTTGTCTTTGATTTCATCACCAGAATCAGTACGGATCTCCGATTTCTTTTCTTCAGCTGAGTTTACTCCGACTGATTGATCATCTGCTTCTTCTCTTGACTTTGCCTCTTCAGGTTGACTAGTAACTGATTCTTGAACAGAGGCTATTGGTACTGAAGCAACCTTATCCTTCTTTGATTCATCGACAACAGGAGATGAGGGTACTTTTTCAGCACTAAGGTGTCCAATCGAATCAATCAAATCAACTGAGCTAGGAAGATGAATGCCTTCCAAGGGTACTTCTTCACTGAGTTTAAGGATAAAACTTGCTTCATCAGATTCACCATAACCGGAAGGTTTTTCTGTACCAGGTTGAGCATTGATATTTGAATCACTCTTAACAGCAACTGGAGATGTTGAACCTATCAAGAATTAAAAATATGATAGCGATATCGATGCAAAAATGTTATAAAATTGAAAAAAGCATAAGTGGATAGAAAGAATCACTTTGTTGATTCCACGTTTTGGCTCTAGTAAACATTGAAATTTATAGATGTCAACTATCCAAGACTTCGAACTGACCTCTTATGTAATCAGCGAAAAGTAGAGTTTGAAAAAGTCTGTTTAAATTGTACTGCAATCACAAAAATCGCAAAATTTCTTGACAATCTGAATTGAATGATGAAAATGAACAACTCACCTAAAGAGACCAATGCAAGTAACAAGGTGAATGGGATTAACAGGTCCATAGATGGATAATTGTTGTCAACTTTCCTAGTAAAGGCTTAGAAAGAGTAGAGGATGATGATTGCGGCTGAAACTAAGGAATCAAAATGAACGACTAAATGAGTTAACGGATAAATTCTGTCCTCTTTGGTTAAACCAGATTAATGAATAAAGTTTGGAATTTTGAAATGAAATGAAGCAGTACAACTTAATTGATTAAGAAAAAAGGAGCTGCCAATTTGATGATGAAGGTTAGATAGTGATCCATCTTTAAGTTGCGGTCAAAAATAACAGGAAAAACATGTATTTCCAATGACTTTTCAGGGCAGGATTAGATTAAAGCCGCTGATTATTTATGAAAAATAAGAGAAGAGGAAGAGAAGGATAAAGATGGTTAAAGATACTGAAAGATGACGGTTTTGATGGAAAGGCGACGAGAATGAAAAAACAAGAAGTCAAGGAAGAGGCCGTTGCCTGAAATATACTTCAGTCGTTGATTCCATCTTCTCAGGCTTTATTAATTTCAGTTAAGTGAACCGGACTTTGGTGGTTAACAAAATGATCTAGATTATGACCCTCATGTCATTCAGGGTGACTACTTCCGACATCCCGATAATCTGACAAGTTAGGTTGCAAGTAAAGATTGCAGCTGTTTGACTTTGATAATTAACCATTTCTTAATGATTAGCTGTATTTCTAGTCAGAAATTTGACTTTAATCAAAATTTAAGTTGGTAGCTAAATTAATAGCTAATACTTAATAAGTAACCATTAGAAGAAAAAATAACAGAATTGTTTCCAATTGAGAAACGAAAAAAGTTTACCATTCAATGATATTGACAGAATTACTACGAATTCTCATTATTTTATTCAGACGTTGAATATTTTACAGAATCAATCATCAATCCTCATGTTTTATCCAATACTACAATGTAGAAAAACAGTCAAGAAAAAAAGGAATAAAAGATTGATTGATGTTATAATTGATCATTGTAAAAGACTTATCAAAGATACATTTAAATTTACCAACTTTAATCTTATTCGAAGTCGATTGAATTAAAGATGGATCCGTTTTGATATATTTAACACAAAATGTTCAGATGCTCTTACCGATTCTTTGATTTTTATCGATGTAATCAAAGATGGAGTTGTGCGATGTTTACATGCTTCAAGTTTGAACAAATCTAATCTCACATGGCTTCTCAAAATCAATACCAAACATCGACTTGAGGTTAATCGTTTATTCAGATGAAGATGAACTTGAGTATGATGATTTGGAGCTGGAGCCGGAAGATGATGAACTAGAGTCAGATGAGGTTGATGAAGAGGAAGATGACGACGAAGATGACGATGAGGATACTGAAGATGAAGAAGATGACGATGAAGCTGATCGTTGACGTCTCTTCTTATCACTCTCATCACGACTTTTATTACGAGCAGGTCGAGAATCACTGTGCTTAGTTGCACGCTCAACAGAACGTCTCTTTTCTCTTCTGTCAGAAACTTTAACTTTATCTCCATTGTCACTTCTTTCGGTTCTTCGCCGATTTGTGTCTATGTCTTCATTACTTTTTACATTAACATTCTTTTCAAAAGATGCGTCTGAAACGGTACTAATTTCGTTTTCTTCTTTATTTTTTCTTCTACTATCAGATATTTTATCTAAATTGTCTCGTTCTCTACGCTTTTCCTCTCTGTGATCAAGATCACGCTTCTTTTCATTTTCATCTCTTTCTTTTCTTCTACGATCAGAATTTTTATCAATACTGTCTTTGTCTTTCTCACTTCTTCTGTCTTCTCGACTAGTGTTTTCATTGGCAGATTTTTCTCTTCGATCAGAAACTACAGCTTTATCTCTGTCATCTTTTCTTTCAGTTGTTTTACGATTTGAATCTATATCAAGAGTATCTCTATCTTTTCGTCTTTCTTCTCGACCAATCCTTTCATTAACAATTCTGTCTCTTCTATCTCTATCTCCATCATCATTCCTATCAGTTCTTCGTCGATATGAGTCGTCACTTTTTACATTAGTAAGCCTATCAGTTGTTTGTTCTGGGACGTTAGTAGTTCTGTTTTCTTCCTTTTGTTTTTTATTTCGATCATAACTCTTTTCTTCATCTTTTTCTTTACGCCTTTCCTCTCTATGACTAAGATCACGGTCAACCTTTTCCTTTTCATCTCTTTCATTTCGATTACGATCAGAAATTTTGTCCATACTGTCCTTTTCTTTCTCTTTGTCTTTTTCACTTCGTCTCTCTTCTCGGCTAGTATTTTCATTTCCAGATTTATCTCTGCGTTCAGAAACTACAGTTCTATCTCCATCGTCATTTTTTTCGGCTGTTTTACGACCAGAATCTACATCAGAACTATCTTTGTCTTTTCGTCTTTCGTCTCGGGAGATATTCTCACGACCAGTTCTTTCTCGTCGATCTCTATCATCATATCTGTCAGTTCTTCGTCGATATGAATCCTTTTCACCATCTCCATCATCATTTCGTTCGGATTTTTTACGACTTGAGTCCATATCAATACTGTCTTTGTCCTTTCTTCTCTCTTCTCTACCAGCATTTTCGTATGTAGATTTTTCTCTTCGATCAGAAACTAAAACTTTATCTTCATCGTCTTTTCTTTCGCTTGTTATACGACTTGAACCAATATCAAGAGTATCTCTATCTTTTCGTCTTTCTTCTCGACCAATTTTCTCATTAACAGTCCTTTCTCTTCTATCTCCATCATCATTTCTGTCAGTTCTTCGTCGATATGAGTCTTCAGTATTTTTTATATTAATAAGGCTCTCCGGTGTTTTTTCTGGGACGATAGGAACTTTGTTGCCATCCTTCTGTTTTCTATTACGATCATGACTTTTATCTTCGTCTTTTTCTCTGCGTCTTTCCTCTCTATGACCAGAGTCTTCTGCATCTACATCAGCATTTTTATCGGTTCTTCTTCGATGTGATTCTCTGACTTCATCACTTTTTGAATTAACAAACCTCTCTGATGCTTTTTCTGAGACTATTGTACTATTGTCTTCTTTTAGTTCTTTTTTGCGATCGGAATTTTCATCTGTGTCATCCATTTCTTTAGACTTTTCTTCGCTGTTGTCAAGATTGAGCTCAACCTTTTTCTCATCGCTTCTATCTTTCCTTTTACGGTCAGAATTCCTATCAGTATTGTCTCTGTTTTTCTCACTGCGTCTTTCTTCACGACTAGAATTTTCATATACATTTTTGGCTCTTCTTCTATGTCCAGATTCTTTGTCGCTATCTTCTTTGCCTTCTGATTTTTCCTCCTTGTGACCAGAATCTTTTTCATTGGTAGTTTTCGCTTTTTTCCTTCGGTCAGGATCTTTATCATCTTCATCTCTATCTAGTCTACGACGTTCTCGATGATCATCTCTATCATTTCTTGATCTTGAACCAAATTCGTCATATCGGCCACGGTTGTAATCATTTTCTCGTCTGAATCTGTCTCTACCTTGATAATTGTATCTATCGGATCTGTCAAAATTGTATATTTGATTAGTTTTCCAAATAACATGATAATAAGCAAATTTATCTTACCTCCGATCAAATTTATCCCCATTTCTTTCGTTACGATCACTTCTATTGTTGTTCCTATCATCCAAATTAGCATCATTATCTCTGTGAATAATAAGGAGCATTAAAATATTTAGTTTCATAACATAGTCAATTATAACTAACAAACCTTTTGTCTGATTTCAAAACTTCATCGAGGCGCATAACTCGAGATTGTGCAAATTTCCAGTGAGGTGGTGTTTCACTTCCATTACGCATTGCTCCAGGAGATGGAGTGCGATAACGCTATTATTGAAAAAATTAAACAAATTATTGCTTGAAACATAGTTGTTGCAGTCATACGCACTCTAAATCCTCTTCCTTTAATTTTACGTCCAGATCTAGTGACTTGGACTCGAGGTTTGCTTAGTCGATCTTTTACTGAAGATTCATCTTGATTCTCGTTCTTTTTATCGTCATCTTTTTTAACTACAGTTCTCATTAGGAATTTATTTTCAGGTATTTCAGGAATCTCATCGGGCTTTACACTACACTCATATTCATTATCGTCTACGGGTTTGACTGGTTCTACATTATTAGCAGTCTCAGTCTCATCACTGAAACGAAGATATTATCAACATTAGTTCAAATTTTACAATATAATTATGAAATCCATTCATTACTTTTTTGTTTCCTTTTCATCATTGGAGTGTTTACTATGTTTTTTGCTCTTTTTGCTTTTCTTCTTCTTTTTGCTTTTACTTTTTTCGCCATCCTCGGATTCGGAATGTCTTCTCTTTTTCTTTTCTGTTAAAATAAAATAAAGTGATAAGTAAAAACATGGAATATATTCACAGTAAAAACTAAACCTTTCGATTTGATTTGAGGAACCAGTTCTCCACAGTTGCATATCATCACATTCGTCAGAGGCTTGGATGCCTTGTCAGTTGGCTGATTTTCAATTTCATCAACGATCTCATGTCCAGAAAAAACATGGCCAAACACAACATGAACTCTGTGAAAATAAAAAAAATTCATTAGTTTATGAAAAATCACAAAAGAATGGGAAATGATAAAGATTTCCACCAAAATATGGAGAAAGACACTTACCCATCTAGATGAGGAGCCGGCTTAGTAGTGCTGTACAGGAATCAGAAAAAACGTTATCCAGTAAGGTATAGTTGAACAGTTGAAGCGAATAAACATTCATTGGTAATTCCAATCATCCAATAGGACAATGGTTAACTTTGTGTTTGGTAAATTTGAAGGGGATCTTGTAAAGTTGTCAACTCTTTATCCAAACATTGAAAAGTTTGATCACCATTACGTTTAATTTCAAGTGCAGACTAGTGTTTCATTAGATCCAAAGTTTCCCTCTAAATGGAACCTATTGAATACCTCAATATTAGACTCACTTTCCACCAAACTAGTGATCCTGATCCCCATACAATAATTGTGATCAGCCAAGTTAACCGTCAGATTTAAAAAGACAACAGTAAAGAAAATAGAGAAAAAGTCATTCTCAAACTTACATGAAAAACTGCGATCCGTTAGTGTTTGGTCCTCGATTCGCCATAGAAAGTAGATAAGGTTTGTCATGCTTCATTTCAAAATTTTCGTCTAAACAAGAAAATGAGTGAAATTAGTACATAAACAAATAGTAGTGTATGGCATAAACTACAAACCTTTGAAAGTTCCTCCATAAATTGATTCTCCTCCTCTTCCATTACCTAAAGTATGAAAAAAAGTCTAAGAAACCATCTATGCAAAGACAATGTTGTTAAAAGAAAATGTGTTACCATTAGAGAAGTCTCCTCCTTGGATCATGAAGTTTTTAACAACACGGTGAAAAACAACATCTTTGTAGTGTAGAGGCTTATCTGTAGTTTTTCCGAGACCCATTTCCCCTGAAAATAACATGAAAATGATTAGAATATAAGAAATAAACAAAATCTAAGATCATACTCTTACCTGTACAGAGAGCCCGGAAATTTTCACAAGTTTTGGGACAAATATCATTGAACAACTCAAAGACAACCCGTCCAGCTAAGAAAATAAAGAAAATTTAAAATTGAGATGACATACTTTAAATAATTGCTGCATAACTGGGAAAATGGAATGTTTATAGCATGATTTTTAATAAATTAAATCAGCAGAAATCTCACCTTGTCGGTCTCCTATCTTGATGTCAAAAAAACACCTTGTCCGGACCTTTTTGCTTGATGTCATTATTAGTTATTATACAATGAAAATCTCAACGCAATACAAGGACCCGTGGAAATTGGCAGACAAGAAAATCGCAAAATATACCAAAAAGATTAAAAATCGAACAAAATATATGAAACAATTTTCAAAATATGATTTAAACCAAGTTGTCCATTTGAAATACAAACAGCCGATAAAAAGACTCCTTTCAAAAGATTTTCAAACCTAACATAGGTTTAAGCGGTTTATGGAGGGATTTTCAAAATGGACTCTTTCCACATGAAATCAATTTGGGTTTCATCTTAACTAAACTTTATTATTTCTTTATAAACGAGGTTAAGTAATTTTTAAATATAGTTAATTGAGTGGTTACAATCAAGATATTTTTCTTGCAAGATATTCATAAATTGAAATCTTTTTATACACGAAAATATAAGATAATGAGAATATCTTTAAATAGCTTTTTTACACTATTCACCGAAAAGTTATTTTCATGATTATCAATCTTCTTGAATAGATCTGAATCATACTGTATGATAATCATTGATTAGATTAAAGAAATAGATAAATGTATTGTTTATTTCTAGAAGATTCTAGAAAACTGATAACAAGACCAATAACCCTTTTTCATAGATTAATATTATAGATAGTAGATGATAATTAAGATAAAATTTTATATATAAATGAAGCTGAGATTATAACTTTACAATTGTTGATTTCCTTGAGTCAGCGAAGACTCAGAAGAGTTTGAAAAAAAGACTTATATTAAAACTCTTGGTTTTCTTTAATTCTACTAATGGCTTTTTTTATATTTCAACCTTTGGTTCTCAACAAATACATTTCATCTGGTGATTATTATGAGGGCTTAGTTCCCTTATTGTTCGTGCCGATTCCTGCTATTAGTACCTGATTCCTGTCTGACTTTGCCGCGCATCTGATCTTGCCATTCTGCTAATCTTGCGGTTCTCCTGATCTTATTTAGTATCTTATAAAGGCAAACCTAAAGATTATAAGTTATTCAAAACAGAATTTATCAAAGATCTCTGCTCTTTAGATTATCAAGCTTATTTAACTGACAAATTAATGAACAAGAAACAGAGAGTCAATCAATCAGCCTCCTTTTTCAATTACGAAGTGCTAGCATTAGCTAAGAAAAAGCATGAAAACTTATCCAAAAACGTCATTATGTCAGTTATACATAAAAGACTATTGCCTGAATTACAGTACGGAGTTGATAGTTGACCAAAGAACTGCTGCACAATTCACAGTTTGTTCGAAGGGTTCGGTTTTTTGTCATGATGATTATATAATTTCTTCTCCATGTTTTGAATAACTTATAATCTTGGGGTTTGCCTTTATAAGATACTAAATAGGTACACAAATCACTAGCACTTTCTCTAAGGTAGGCTGGTAGAGTCAAATATTTAGTTTGCTCATCCCAGCCTAAAGCTGCGGACAAAGAAGACTCCAACTCTGCTAACCAATCTATGATTTCTTCGATATCTTACCAGTGAATGGTTCAATTTCGACTGGATTATCAGCAAGGTTTAATATAACGATTTAAAGACAGGCTGGAGCTGGATAAACGTCAGACCAGTATATGGCAAGGATACAGATCAATATTCACAATGACTGGAGCTGAATTATCTTGATCAGGGTTGATTAAATCACGGACCATTTGAGAGGGTGACTGGAGCTGGATGAGTGTGAGGACCAGTTAACAAGATCAGGAGAACCGCAAGATTAGCAGAATGCAAGATCAGATGCGCGGCAAAGTCAGACAGGAATCAAGTACTAATAGCAGGAATCACCAGATGAAATGAATTTGTTGAGAACCAAAGGTTGAAATATAAAAAAAGCCATTAGTAGAATTAAAGAAAACCAAGAGTTTTAATATAAGTCTTTTTTTCAAACTCTTCTGAGTCTTCGCTGACTCAAGGAAATCAACAATTGTAAAGTTATAATCTCAGCTTCATTTATATATAAAATTTTATCTTAATTATCATCTACTATCTATAATATTAATCTATGAAAAAGGGTTATTGGTCTTGTTATCAGTTTTCTAGAATCTTCTAAAAATAAACAATACATTTATCTATTTCTTTAATCTAATCAATGATTACATTTTTTTCTAAAAGATCAAATTTAGTCTTAATCGTTTTCAAACTGATTTATTAATTTTAACGATTGTTATTTTGAGAAAGAAAATCAGATCTATTTAATTGAAAATCGAGTTAATTGAAAGGCAATTTAAGTGGTTACTAAACCGTTGGCAAAATGCTTCTCATTTTCAGGTAGTTTACATAAACTTTTCTATTCTGGTAACCATACTGAGCTATTTCATCTGGCGCCTATTTACAGCCATGTCACATGGATTAAGGACGCTACAGATTCGAACCATGCGTTTTGCAAATGGGAGAACCATAAGTTTTAAGCCTCAAGGTCAAACTGTTGCAATGTGCAAATTATTTCTTGAGGAGGAAAACTTTTCAGGTATAACTGTTCGAAACTTACACTGTTGGCGAGATAAACGATTTCTAAAACCAATTGTCCAACTTCACGTTATGGAAATACTCATATCCTTTGACCAATATGGTTCTATCTTGACTTCATTATCTTTGTAATGCAGATTGTTCAAATGCAACCATTCAACCAAGAGCTCCATAAATAGAAATTGTTCCAAAAGTTGTATTTTTGTCAATTCTATCTTAATGTTAGAATCTTTTCTCAATAAGAAAATTCGCTGCAATAGCCACGTTCATAATCTCCTAGATATTTTGATAAAAAAGCATAACATTACCTCTTCAATTTGTCTGATGCAGGTTTCCCTGAAGCTAACTGACAAAAAGGACTTAAGCGTTTGACAGTTTTCAATTTGCAAAAAGTGAGATTGGAAATTGTTAGAGGGCATGTATTATCTGTGAAAAGCGCATTGAAAATTGCGCTACGAGGCATTGGATAGTTATTGATAGCTTCTGCACATGTGTGATGAACCACGCTTACAGAACCATTAAGCAGATGCTGTTTAACATAGTGGGCTATCTCGGGAATCTGACGCAAAAAGAGTTTTATGTGTTCGAATCGGAAACCAACTTGATGAGTAGATGTTTTAAAATTGTATAACGTCTTTTGGTAATTTTTGTAAAAAGCTAAATTTCATGGCAATTTTGCAATGCAACTTGTGCAACGCAAATGCAACAATATTTTTGATATCTATTTTTTTGTTTTCTCGCTTTATTGACTGCATGGAATGGAATAAGCTCAAGGTCAAACTGTTATTTGACCTCTAAATGACATTTGAAGATGAATTTCTGAGGTTGTAAACTTTTTCTGTTTTTCACAAGTTAAAAACTTGCACCGTTGGCGTGATAAACGATTTCTCAAAACCAATTGTCCAAAAGTGCGGTATGCACTTAGATCTTTTGACAAATATAAGTTATCATGGTACTACCACCAAACTATCTGAAAAAGTTTATTTCTTCGAAATCGACCAAATGTCATTTATTGGTCAAATAATGGAGTGACCTTATGGTTCTTAAACCTGATGGCTGCTGATGGTTCAAGCTGATGTTTCAAGTCTGAAATCTGTAGCAGCAATCGTTCGCGAGCTGTGACTAAAGCTACTGATACTTATACGCCTAGCATATTTAGCAGATGGGTTCAACTTTTGATTCGATTTCTCGAAAAATATCAATCAAAGAAATTTGCTAATTTATCTAACGCTGGAACCTCACTACATGTCAGAGTTCAAATCATATGAAAATTTACTAACATAGACAAAAACTGTTTCTCACAAATTTTTTCATAGAACGCGCTGCTAATACTGTTTCCTTCATTATGAGGGTGCTGCTGTAGCAAAAAGGAACAAAAGTGACTTTCAGCTTTTTCTTCCGCTTCAAGCGTTTATTATCGATTGAAAACGCTTTGTTTCAATTATTTATTCAAATTTAAATTTATTTTTGTGTTTTTGTAATGGAGCGAATAAGTTCTGCAAACATCCTGACTTCTTTGCGGGCAATAGATCTGCCATCATCTACAAGAGAGCTCAATGTTTTCATTGCCAGTAAGTTCTATCTGTCTTACATTTTTTCAACGAATACCATTTTCATAATTTGGAGTATTAGCAGCTAAAAACACTTGTATTTCTACTTTTTGCTGCCCTCTATCTAAATAAAACACTGGGAAAATATTTCGACAAGGTTCTCTAAGTGGACTCTACATGATGGAGCTCGCTTAACTTAACTATCAGCTTAAGAACAGGATAACAAAAATTTAGAGCGACATCGATAGGATAAGTCAATCTTAAAAATTTGAGTTACTTTGAAAAATTATATCGCTAATTTAATCCAATCGTAAAGACAAGATAAAAGATGCATTTCAGAATAGGTCATTCAAAACAAAATTTTAGTCCTTAGTTAGTTGTTTATAGTCGATATGGCTAGTTTTGAAAATTTAAGTTTGACCGATTTTGATATCAAATTAACTTCTCATGATGATGATTTGCAAACACCAACAGCTTTTTAATTTTTTGATTTTGAGATTTGAAGATCATACTATCATAAGATCTAACCTTTCCTTTACTATGATCACCAAGGCGAGATAAGTTCGCAATATGCTTTACATCAAACATAGAGTAAGTAGAGAAGGTTTTTAACTGTCATTTCTTCATTTCAAACTTTTATCCTTCCACTTTTTATAATGTATATATGATTACATTTTTTATCTTAACTCCGGTAGAAGTTAAATTATTACAAAAATTTGTTGGAATTTCAATTTTCAGGTAAGTCAATGTGAATAAAATGAACAGTATTTTAACTTTGATGTATTTTCTTCATGTTACATATCCATCATTCAAAATGCCAAAGAATAGATATTGGCCTCATTTTTATTAATTTAGAATTGAATGCTCAATGTAATTAATGAAAAATACGTTTATTTTTCTAAAATAATACCATTGCTTGTCAGTATCAATACTTATTTGTCAAAAGGACGTGTAGATTGTGCTTCTGGTAGAAGCTTGAAAAGGGATGGATTGGAGAAAAGAGAGAAAAGAGAAAATGGATTTGTTGAGAAAAGATATTTAATTCAGTTGAGTCTGAAGAAGGTAAAGCTTTTGCAACGCTATTAGATCCTCGATTTAAAAAGCTTGCTTTTCAATCTTCTTTCGCTGAATCTATTGCTTTAACCAAACGCAACATATTACTTTATAATATTCCAAAAACTCAGCAGTGCCTTGTGACAATGAAAGTGATTCTTTGGTTTGGTCAATTTATGATCGTAAAGTTCGGCCTCTCAATGATGTGATTAGTGGATTGAATTCGAGTCTAAAACATAAATATGAGCTTTCTTGTTATTCATAGACATAATGCCATTTTGGAAGAAGTATAAAGAGAATGGCCCAACTACACAATCCAGCATTGAAATATCTAACTATGCAAGCCACTTCAGTACCATGTGCACGCCTTTTTTCAAAAACTGGATCATACTCACTTGGAAACGGAAAAGATTGACACCTAGAAATGTATAATTGATAAATTCTCACTCATTGCCTGATATTCACAATTAAACTCTTCTTTTCTTGTCTTTACTTTGTCAATTTGATAAACTTACGATCGGACAACCGAACGATCGAATAATCGATAAAATCGATAGAATCGATGCAACTTCCTCTCCAAGTGGTAATAACTATGTAACTCTTCAATATTCATAACTAAAATTATTCTGACAGATTTATAAATAAAAATGGCTATCGAAGTGCTTATGACACAAAGATAGAACTTAACACGATTTTCGGACCATGAAAAGCATTATCCGACCCCATTTAGTGTAACTTTAATATCGTTAGAAGCGATTAGGAGTGGCCTTGAATGACCTTGACCTTCAGAATTCAAAATTACAGTAAAACCTCTCAAAGGTTGTGAGAAACTGAACTCTCCTATCTAGTAGGTCACTGTATTTAAACTAATTTTTTGTTTTCAACGATATGAAAGCGAATCAGATTAAGTTGATTAAATATCAGATAAATTCAAATACAATCGAACCTTTCCTTAATTATTGCACGTTGAAATGACGCTATACAGTCGCTTACTGTTAATAAACTTTTTCCATTTAATGCATAATTCATTCCATATCTATTAAAATGGATTTCAGATCTTTGATGAACCATGATAGAGTGAATGATGTACGAATTTTAAGTATGCAAAATTAAACCTTGTTTAATGAGGAACAGTTTCAAATGTAGCAGATCTAGATAATTCATTAGTTAATTTCTGCTCATTTTACTCTTGCCACAATTTACTCAATGATTTTTATGAAGAATCTAAGCGTACACTTCCTAACACTTTTTTTTCTCAGGTCTTCTAGTGAAAAAATTTTCTGTTGCTATTCAACAATGAATAATAAGATTCATAAAAGCAGTAAGAGCAGTAAGAGAATTTTTTGAATTCAATATTATTCTTTTTAATTCAATGCGCGAACTTAATGAAATCAATGGATAAGATGATTGTAAACAAAAAGATTTATTCAGATCAATTTAATACATTCGAAAAATGTAAATTTACAAACAGTCTCAATGTTCAAACTTTATATGTTATTTTTTGTCATATTTCGCTTACCTTGCGCTATCAAATTATCAATTTCAATTTTTATCGATGAGGCGATTTGCGATCCAAATGATTCTTCCGACGCACCAACGATGGCAATGAAAGCCATGTAAATGACGAAGATTGCGGCTTTAATCAACTGCATTTCCAACTTAGATTGTTATAATGAAAACTATTAACAACTATTAATGACTTCGAAATAGCTAAAACTACTTTTATTGATAACTGATGATGTTGATTGAAAAACCTTGTCTTTTATACTTTTTTTATTAGCTATTTGTTCATTTGCTATTTTTTCCAAACAATAAATCAAATAACTGGGAATCATTGAGACATTTATATTTGAATTAGACAAAATTACATATAATAAATAATATTACATCTGTGTTTGCACTTTCAAGATTCTTCATAACCCATTCGCAAACTTGATTATTCCGTTAATAATGCAGTGATAATATTTTGCTTCGAAACTGTTGCTCGGGATCGAATAAATCCTTAAATTTAAAAAAGTGTCTTATTTTCGTATAGCATAACCTATTTAGTCAACTTGTTTTACCATTAGTCACTGTTCAACTATTCATTAATTCAACCGTAAAAAACTTTAACATGTTTAAACAAGTTGATGTTGTTTAACTATTTTGGTTTCTGTGCAAACACGAAACTCACTAATAGTAAGGGCTGAGATAATGAGACTACCTTGAAATAGCTTATTAATAAGGTGAGAGCGGAATTAGCTTATTTCCCAAGCAAACTCAAGAACATCAAATTTTATTTCAATCGAAGTCATAATAATTTGAGACTTCTATCGTTACTTGATTAATTAATCATTTACTGCACAGCAATCAGTAAGAAGGTTCATCACGGCACTCGAGAGATCATCGATTGTTTGAGTTGATTTTTCATGAACAGAATGACTAAAGCTAGCGTGTGAACAGCAATTTCGAATTGTTTGACAAGTGACTGCTTTCCAAGCATAATCCACCCAACCAACAGCATTAAATGACTTTTTTAACCCTATTGTGTAACTGACCAAGTTCAAATTGATAATTCAATAATTAACAAAAAGGGTGAGATACATCGACTTGTAAGAATGAATGTTTCCTGCATCTAATGTTTGTGTATGACTTGTAATTTGAGAAGGAAGAAATTGAAAATAAATCATTTTTACATGCCAAATTTGTTGTCAAAAAATTATATAAAATTAGATATATTTTTCGCCTTCTATTTTTAACCTTCCGTTCCAATTGGTAAGCCAACCCTCGAATGTTTTCAAGTCCATCCAAGCATTAGGTTGAGAGCATTCATTCACCTTTTGTAAGCTTGCTCCTTTCGCTTTCCGATTTCGCTTTCAAATTTTCCAATTAGTTTGCTTCTAAATGAGTCAAACCATTCTTCACTACAATTCAATTCTGATCTTCCTACCTCAATAGCATTTATTCTTGCCAACATCTTCAGCGAGATCGTCCAAAACAGATCCCGTCCTGGGCAATTTTTCAGCAAGTTGATTTAACTGTCGATATAGAAGGTGCTCTCACATCAGGAAACTTCTTTGAAAATCTGTGTATGACTACACTAGCACACTTGAATTGATGTCCAAAATCGGTTTTACAAGGTAATCCATAAACATATGTTTCTGAGTCGATTACTGTCGATTACTTTTGGAGATATTTAAATCATGCATCGGTCCAAAAATATATAAAAACTGTATTAATGAATTGTTTTCAACGAAAAAACTTGTAATTATATCTTTCCATCATGCAGTAAAGGAAAGCCAAGTTTGATGGAAATGCAAATATATTTGTCTTTGTTATAAATCGAAGGATTCAGAAACATTCTGAACTCGTTTTATCAGGCTAGTTAGTGCCAATTGTTAACAGTTCATCTTAGTTCTGAATGTATCGATTTGTCAAATAACGGGAAAATGCGAGAATTATATTTTTGTTTCAATCAATCTCATGCCTGTTTGACCAAAAAGTATCTGATGAGATGCACAATCAAAAATTAAAGAGCTGAAATTATTTGCACCACCTTTGAATAATTAACTGTTGAAAAAATAGAAACATTCATGAATAATTAATAGTTTATCTGGATTAATTAAGTTTGTTTTTTATTATCTCTATTGATATTAGATCTGCCGTTAATGCGAGGAGAGGAAATACGTCAAAGAGTGATTTAAGCTACGTCTCAATAAGACATCTCGTCATCTGAAAATGATAAGGTTAAATGTTTGTTTAATCACATTGCCTTCACTCTGTACTGGTAAATGGATTTCGATCAAACTATGGGTGTTAATAAATTAACTTTAGGCGTTTAAGTGACTGTATTTTTGGTTGCTAATAAACTTGCGTTTTCAGATAATAATGAAAGAGCTCAATAGGTTCCTGGTTAGAATTTTTTTATTAAAACAAAAAAGAAACTTTTTTCCAAAACAATTTTAAAAAATAAAATGAATCTTGATTTTATTAACAATTTTGTTGAATCAGATGAGAAACTTTCAATCATATTGAAATAATCAAACTGGTTCGGTTGGGTTCAAGTAAATTTGAGTATTTTTTGGTTGCCCAATGTTAATAAACCAGTTGCTTGTTTTCACAAAATGAAAAGGATTTATCACTTGAATGAATCTCAATGATCGATAAACAGTGGTTTACCTGATCAATCACGATACTAGTGAAGGGCAGAAAAAGTCGAACTGCCAATCAAGAGTTTTCCCATTCTTTTATCAAATATACAATCGAAGTGATAAAGTCTGGTAAACTAAATGATTTCTCAATGAAAAAGCAATCGATGCATATGAAAATATTGAACCATAAAAACGGTTCAAGTTTGATCAGATATTAAAATCGCTAGATATAAAAAACACAAGAAGGACAAAATTTGAGTCCAAAAATGAAAACAATTATTTACATCTCATAAAGCACACTGTAATTCCCCTTTAATGCAAATTACGATTAGATTAATCATTAGGAATGATCAACAAAACGACTATTTGCTCATTTGGCCAGGACAACAACATTTGTAAAACTCAAAAAACTGGTTATTTATGTTTTCATATTTATGTTATTTGTGTTGTCGATGAGACTTGCATCTCATTTTGAGTAAAATGACAATGTGGTTAAATAATCATTTGGATCATTTTTGGGTAATTTTCTGGTTAACCCTAGAAGAGGTAAAGTGAAGGGTTAATTTTACTCCAAATTTCATCAACAGTCTGGGATTTCCTTTGCTTTAAACTTTCGCTTTTGCATTATTGATGGAAACGATTTTTCCTATCAAGATTGAGCAAGATCAGCAATACACATTTAGTACTTGCCCGAAGCGTTTCTCAAATCATGATGAAGATGAAAGCAATTAGATTGAACAACGTCAGACTGGCTTGTGTTATGAAACTTGTAAAGTGAGAAGCAAGGTATCAAGTGATGAAGGAGAAGATAAGATGAAAAGGTTCAATTTATAAATAAGATTCAGTTTGATCTTGTGAGTTAAACCATCCATTCAATTTCAATGTTTACAGTTAATCCAACTTTTCTATGTAATTATTTTCATTGCAATTGTTCAACTATTTAAGCCTTTTGCTTCAAAATGTTTCAAAATATTTATAGTTTTCTGCTTTTCTCAGTGATTTATGTCAATTTTTGTGTTGCACCTTTAATTAGTTTACAATTTAATATCACAAATGAAGTGATTAACTCGTTGGACAGTCATAAAGTGAGTGGATCAACATTAGATTTTGTGAATCTATTGAAGGATAAATCATTCTTTTGGTCAGCTTTGTTAAAATTGGATTCAATTGACAATGTTAATACGACAATCTCACCTTTATGTTACCAAAGTATTCAATTGATTATCAACAAATTTCAACAAGCAGATCCAATTGGTTTGAAAAGTAAGCCTTAAAATTAATATTTTGTTGTTTTCAATATTGTCTTGCCTTGTAATTAGCTTTGATGATCACTTTGAATAAATTTTTCGGTTCACCTTTCATTTTCAATTTCATATATGTTAATGACCTGGAATTTAAAGGACCAAATTAGGAAGAAGGAAATGATTTGAACAGTTTACCGCCTTTTATACAAATGAGCTTTGACCAAGGCTAAATGAATCAAAAATTCAATTTTCGGTTCCTCATATTTAGTTATCAATTCAATCAGTTAGTCGATCAAACCTTATAATCTCAATGTCAAACCATTTTGTTCTTGTTACAGTTTCATCTCACGATTGATATTTGACCATCACTAACCACCCTGACTTGATTTCAATATCTAAAAACTTAAGTTGAAATAGCAAAGAAATGGGTTAACGATGTTAAAATTACAGTCCCAATGAGAGAGTCATCATTAAATATTTGAAAGTCCTTTACCGATAGCAATGGTTTTTTTGCTAAATATGACATAAAGTTTCGCATAAATGAGTAGTTAACTAAATTGTTAATTTGGACAAAAAAAAATCCTAACTGCAAGCCGAAAATGATACGCAGAACTATTTTTTAGACTCATTCTATTTTTAGATCAAAATTTGATTTTGATTTGATGCACTTAAGCTGGATATTGATTGTGATTCTTGCCAGAGCATTTTGGTTCATCGGTTGTCTTTGTTATGAATTATGTCATTTTGATGTGACTTTCTTAAAGTTAAACCAATTGTCATACAATAATTGCTAATTGCTTCCCTTCCTTTGATTGATAGTGATTGATTCATCAGCCAGTTTTCCCAATGGATTTCTTGATGGAACTTTAGTTGATTTCGGGGATTTCGATGAATGTCTTTCTCTTAAATTCCCTTTGCCCCTTCGAGTACTGGGCAATTCAACACATGAACATCAAATGACGGGTAAACATTGTATGGTTAAAGTTCACCCTATTCTCGATGTTAAACAGTACAAGGCATTGGAAAACTCGTGGATGGTTAAGAATGACTTTCCCTTGAACATCGGTATTTGCATTCCAAGCTCTTGTTCGACAAATGAAATTCAATTACTTCTCTCGAAAGGTATAAACTCGTCGTAATCGACTATACTAAACACCATTTCCAATCGTCACTAATCATTTTCAATTCCTCACAGCTTTGTATTCATCTTATCGTATAATTGAAAAGCCATACTGTGATGAACCATTTGAGAGCTCTAAATTTTTAAATAGCTTAACAACTGGACAATTGATATCCATGTAAGTTTACCACAAGCTGAGAATTTCCAAAATTAAAGTGAATGCTCGTATCTTGTTGACATTAATATAATCGATTCATTATTGGTGAGTTCATTGTACTCCAATGTATCAGTTAGATGTGTAGCACGATAATGAGTGAAGCAACGTTTGAATAATGATGCTTCATGAAAATGAAAGTTTCTTTTCATGGCCTGAGGGAATTAATTAGGAGCAGGAAAACTGAGCCCATTTCAAGTTCTTGGTGCCATAACCCTTTCATGAGTCTGATAGTTTCTTAATCTCTGTAATTGACCATTCGGTCAACTTTGAGTTCAGGCAGAGATTTACATGACAATGACCTTGAACAATAAACATTTCTTTGTAACTCGTAATCAGTGATTCTGTTGTCTTATTGCTCTGTAAACGAGCATTCTGGAGTGTTCATTAGCATAGAGGTTCATTAGTTGTGAGGTAATAACTTATTGTCATAATAGATCGGCTCTTATGACGATTTACCATTCTGAATGGCGATTAAAGCCAATTTTTATTTATACTCAACAGATCTTATATTTTAGCAATGGTGATCATGGTTTTGGTTGCTTCACTCTATGATTTTTATTTGCGATTTTCAAAGCGAAAAGTGAATAAAATAGCTTCCAGTTTATCAGCAATTTCAGCGTTGTTGGATTTATTATCAGCTGACAATGAAAGGTTTAAAACTCGAAAAAAAAGTATTGATTTGATGAGATTTGTTTGGGTTGTAATCATTATAACAGCTCATGCAGCTTTCTGTGGAATCGAGCCTCGAGTCATTTATAAAGTCGGTAAGTTTTCCAAGAGTTGATTAGAAAATAGAACGTCATCCTAATAATGAGTTTTTCATGTTTTTTTTCGTATAACAGCTCGATTAGATGTCGACTTACCACTTTTCTTCGAACGCTTCCATAACCAGCCTTTATTTAATGCTGCCGTTATTGAGGGCTTCTTTTACATCGGGTAAGATATTCAAGATTATTGTTAACATATGTTGAAGTTGCACCAATGTTTTTTCAACTCTTTTTTTCATTTTATCTCTTTCTTGGTGATTCCAGAGGATTCGTTACATATGTTTCATTGCATACGATGTTATTCAAGGGAACAGCTTCATTGGGTAGCTTCGCAATAAACCGATGGATGAGGTAAGCAGCAATTGTCTTATAATTCTGAGATTTGATCGAAAAATAATCTCTCACATCTTATTTACGTTAGATATATGCCTGGAATGATCAGTATAATGGCGGTGGAACAAGTTTGGCCTTTACTAACTAACGGACCAATGGCAGCTGAAGTCAGAGACAATATTTATAAAAACTGTGCCAAAAATTGGTGGAAAAATATCTTCTTTATCAACAACTTTGATGGTTTGGTAAACATGGTAAGTTTCTGTTTATATCCATTTAGCACACTTCAATGACCATGAACTTGCAGCTTTGTAAAATCAGAAGTTAATCCATTAAGGTATTTCAGCATGGCTTATGAATAATCTTCGTACATAAGACTTGCTCCTTTGATAGTCTTCTGAGTGATTATCCTTTGGTTACTTTCTCCTGAAAAATTCAGTTATTAGAAAACAATTTAGATTAGTAAATGTTATTGAATCATACAACGACAAGCTCTCGCCATTAAGCATAAATTTAAGTGCGTAAAAAAAGTTAATATCATGCTGCAGGGCATCCAATATTCATAGATAGTCATTAAAAAAAGTTGAAATTGAATTTGATCCATACATTGATAAATTTTCGCTAAGCTTTCTGGTCATGTTGCTAACTTTAGTCCCAACTCTATGATTGATTCACTACACTGGTACCAGAATTGTTTCTTACGAAATGATCTGCATATTGAATCCAAGGTTGAGCGTAGAGTCATTGTCAATCCTGATTAATCCCGCAGGGTCATTAAACAAGATATTAGCAGTGATTTGTCTTTCAAATAAAAACACCGATAATCATTTTCTTTAAATAATCTAGAGACACAACAGAAAAATTTATTAGTATTCAATGAAGATTAACAGATTTACTTTATCCTTGGCAACGTTGGGCGAATCTCACATAACTTGAATAGAACAGTAAAACAGGAATGAAATAAAAATTAACGAATGTTTGAAACTTACCTTTAATCTATAATTTTCTTATTCAATTACGATGACATTAGATAAATATAAAACAATCCCAATGTCGATAATGACTGAGTTTCTTTCCTATTTATTCAACAGTGCTTAACCCACACATGGTATGTTAGCGCAGACATTCAACTCTTCCTGATTGGATTAGCTGTTATGGCCATTTTAAGGTTCAACAGAGCCATAGGTGTTTCACTGATGTATTTCTTGGTTATCCTAGGAATGATGTTGACAGGTTTAACAGCATATTTTGAAAATCATATCCCAGCAATTATCTTGGCCAACAAAGATTGGTGGTAAGTATGAGCACAACCTGAGCAGGAAATACAAATAAAGAAAACATGATTTATGTTTCGTCCACTAAATTGTAAACAAAGTCGTTAAACAGAGCTTTACGCACTTTAGGGATAAGTTGTTCTATTGAAATTAACATTCACATTCAAGCAATTATTCAACCAGATTTTCAATTTACATTCAATATGAAGCAGAGTATTATAATTTTGAATAAACCGCTTAAAGAGCATGCTTGTGCAACAAAGACTTTGTTTACATTTGATTCACATGGTTACATGTCGATAATGTTGTCGATTCAAAAGTTTTGAATCAAAAGCCCCGATCATTTATTCATTTTTTTTCTTAATTACAGGGGTTTTCTTGATTTTATTGACTATTCGTATCTCCCAACAACACCTCATCTTACTCCCTATTTCATGGGAATTCTGGTGGGTTATTACTTTAAAAATGATTCCAAATTGCTCAATAAGGTAAGTTGTTTTGACTCTAAATTTTCAATAACGGTTCATTTAATGCTTTTCTAATCTTGTTGTTTCTTTATTGTTTAGACAATTGAAAAGATACTTTGGCTTTTCTGTCCTATCGTCTTTATCGTTATAACATTCATGCCAGCTTTATGGAACACATTCAAATGGGAACCTCAAAAGTATTACTCCGCAGCAATCTATTTGACTTTTTATCGCTTTTTGTGGACATTTGCTTTTGCATGGGGAATCTCTATTCTCACTAAATATGTAATTAAAGGTAAGAAAATTGTTTGTTGTTTTTTCTCTGGTTGTTGCTTAGTATCATAATTCAGTAAATTAATTCCAATTTTCATCATTTTTGCAGTTGTTAAATTTATGAAAGAAGCTTCCGGAATGTCTAAGTATCCGACTGGAAATCCTGCTTCATCTCCAAGTTCATTCCATGTAACTTCATTAATTTTGGGAGTCGCTCGAATGTATTTCTCTATTTATTTGGTACATTCAATTTATGTTCGTTGGTATTGGACATCTTCAAGACAATTATTTGTTTATGATGCATTTAATATCGTTAGTATATCGATTAATCATCTTATCGAGAAAGTACATGTTCAATGTTATTTAACTTTCCTATTTTTATTTTACAGGGAGAAAGAACTGTTCTCATGGTTGGAATGTCGATTATAACAGCATTTTTCTTTTATGTATTGTTTGAATGTCCATTTGAGAATCTAAGGACCAGTATATTCAAGAAAACGATTGAATAATTATTTATAATTATTATTAGTAGTAACAAACTAGTAAATTTGTGATTATGCAAAGCTAATATGTGATAAACTATTTCTATGGAAAGAAGAGCGCAATTTTCTGAAAACTTACCACCAACCTCGCAATTATCACCATCTTTTCGATATAATTTTTATTTATTTAATTTATGTAATTAGTAAATGTACCTTAATTAATTATGGAAGATCATTAAACAAGATTTAATCTTTATTGAATCAGCATTCTTTCTTTTATTATTTGCTTGTAAAATTCAGTCGGCTCACATTTTAACACATTTTACGTTTTTTCAACTGAAACAGCATATAATTTCGGTTGTTTTTACTAAAAAGACACAATTAACGCAATTGTCTTATTTATACACAACTTGATATAACTTTGACGAAAATGGGCAAAAATAGATAAAAATGAATCTCTTCCAAATTTAGATTCTGTCAGTTTGTAGGGAAATGTAACCTTCGTCGATTTGTGTGATTTAAAAGTTTCACTGTTATTTAGTTTTCGAGAAAATCGACTTCGCAAAATAAAACTTCTTTTGCTTTTTGTATGATTATGGAAGAAGAATTTTTCATTAAACTCATTTTCCCGATGTAACTTTTGATGCCGAACAAGAAAATGCATTTTATTACATGAAATAAAAGTTTATGTTTCTGTAAAACAGTTAAGTTCGATTTGCAATTAAATCGAAAGATGTCTATCATCGAAAGAGTTAGAGAGCTGAAACGCATTATTTTAACATAAATATTGTTAGTACACATCGTAAATAGAAAACTTTTTTCAATTCATGGATTGATCGCTTGATTTCGGTAATTAACCTAAAAACATTCAGCCTCGATATTTCGAGAATAACATCGCCTAAAATCTTGATTCTTTGACCAATAATTAGATTTCATATAGGCTATGGTATCTTGAAGTTTTTAGACAAGTCAAGAAACTACAAAAAAAAGTTATAGCCTTGTATAACTTAGGTTACCAGATTTGATACCAGATTAATAAAGGTAAATGGTTACTTGTGAGATGTTAGATGATTACTCTTCATTTAATGTGCTAACTATTATTTTTTCGACATTCAATCTTATTATGATATAGACCGTAGCAAAATCTTATGATTAGTCCAAGAATGATGATTTTATGGCATGTTCATCCTCGAAATATTCAGGTTCGTAGTTTTTAGGTAAATGGCTAAAATCAAGAGAACTATTGATAAATTGCAGAAATTGACTGACTCATGAGGTGTAAAAATAATTTTTATCTGTGGATAATAAGTTTCAGCTCTCTAAATCATTCAGTCACAGAGATCTTTCTATTTAATTGCAAATCGAACTTAACTGTTTTACAGAAGAACAAAGTTTTATTTCATTTAATAAACTACATTTTCAGATTGCCCATTAAAAATTATAATGGGTGAATAAGTTTCATGAAAAAATCTGCTTCCAAAGTCGTACAAAACGCTATCGAAGTTTCAACTTTGACTTCGATTTTATCGAAAACTAAAAATTAGAGAAACTTCCCAATCACACAAATCGAGTCAGGATTTATTGTCCTACAGCCCAATATAATCTAAATGCGAAAGAGATTTATTTTTACCCGTTTTTACCCATTCTAGTTCCACTACCTTTCCAACTGAAATCAAAGGTTGTCAGCAAAAACACAAATAACACAATTGTTGCATTCATAAACAGCTTACAACTTTATGACACAAATACTGAAACAAAAATGGGTAAAAACGGGTAAAAAAGAAACTCTTTCGCATTTGGATTATATTGTGCTTTAGGGCGATAAATCCTGAGTGGATTTGTGTGATTGGGAAGTTTCTCTGATGTTTAGTTTTCGATAAAATCGAAGTCAAAGTTGCAACTTCGATATCGTTTTGTACAATACTGGTACAAGATACGTTGCATATGATTCATTTTTTCGATGTAACTTTACATGACAAACCAGAAAATGTACTTTATTAAATGAAATAAAACTTTGCATTTCTGCAAAACAGTTAAGTTCGATTTGCAATTAAATCGGCAGCTCTCTGTGACCTAATAAGTTAAAGATCTAAAACTTATTATTAGCACATGAAAATCATCATTACATCGGATAGTCAAACAGATTTTTTCCATTTATCAATAGTTCTCTTGATTTTTGCCCTTTACCCAAAAAACTTCGAACCCCAATATTTCGAGGATGGACATACATACAATCATCAATCTTGGTCTAAACATTAGACTTTTTATACATTATAATATATTGAAGTTTTTAGAAAATTCAAGATACTACAAAAAAATCTAAAGGATTTTATTACTTATGTTACCAGATTTAAGAATTGGGTAACAAAGGTAAATGGTTACTCATGAGGTGTTAGATGATTACCCTTTATCAAATGAATTAAAACAGATTTATTCGTTATTCAATCCTATCATGTAATAGACCATAGTGAAATCTATTGGTTAGTCAAAGAAGGAGTAATGTAGGTACTTCTATTCTCGAAATACTGAAGTTCGAAGTTTTCCGGTAAATGACCGAAATCAAGAGAAATATCGATAAATTGAAAAAATTGATTGACTCATGCTACGAAGTGACGATTTTTGTGGGCTAATAATAAGTTTCAGCTCTCTAAATCATTCAGTCACAGAGATCTTTCGATTTAATTGCAAATCGAACTTAACTGTTTTACAGAAGAACAAAGTTTTATTTAATTAAATAAAGTCCATTATCTTATTGCCCATTAAAATTCATACCTGACAAATGAGTTTCATGAAAAAATCTGGTTCCATAGTCGTACAAAACGGTATCGAAGTTGCAACTTTGATTTCGATTTTATCGAAAACTAAAGATTAGAGAAACTTCCCAAGCACACAAATCGAGTCAGGATTTATTGTCCTACAGCACAATATAATCTAAATGCGAAAGACATTTACCCGTTTTTTGCCCGTTTCTGTTTCAGCATTTGTGTTATAAAGTTGTAAGTTGTTAAAAATGTAACAATTGTGTTAGTTGTGTCTTTTTACTGACAACTGTTGATCTACAGTAGATGAATGTAAATTTTTTGGTTAATAATGTTTGAAACAATTGATTAAGGAATGAAAATTGCTTCATTAAATGTACATTAATCTAACAATTCAAATCCTGTGGTTAAATGATGCGGGTTAACAGATCTAACCGATCTGTTGTACAGAAACAAAACATTTTTATTTCGCAAAATAAGTGCGTTTTATTGTTAGACATTTACTAGTAAAGTTACATTAGAAAACGATTTTGATGAACAAAACTAGTATGTATAATATTATGATATTAATACTTCATTCCTCTGATCACCTGCACGGTAATCATTGGAACTATCTTCTAACCCATTATAAGACTCATCATTTGAAGTTTCTTGACCATCAAAATGATCTGAAGAATGACTTGATGTTTGAATCCATTTTGTTTCACCAGAAGACGAGCCGTTTCTAGAATCATGATCATTTACAGGTTCAGAATGACGTTGAGAACGATCATGATAGTTGTGAAGATTTTCGTCATCTCCCCTTGATGATCCTGAATCTCCAGAAGAACCAGTAGCAATTTGTGTAGCTGGAGCATTGTCAATTGTTAAACTAGCTAAACTTTTTGATATTGATCCAAGTTCTGTACTTATTGAGTGGGAAAAGGCTCGCTCGATCGAATGATCTTTTCTCCTGGACAATCCACCTGCTGAAGGCGATGAGTCCCTTTCAGTTTCATCTTCTCTCTCAATTTCATCCCAGTCACTCCCACGATTAACTCCATTAATAGCACCTAGAACTGACTGACTATTTCTATTAATTTCATCCTTACTTCGATATTCAATGCGTCTAGGTGTTGTTCCATAACTAACTGGGTATGAAACATAATGAGAGTTGGTTCGTTGTGGAGGATGACGAGCACGATGAAGACTTTTAGGTTGAGAGTGATGACCATGCAATGGTGTTAATGGTCTCATTGTTGGTAAATAAATTGGCTCCTCTTCCGGGCCAGTAAACATATGCGAATAGTCGCCGAACGCTGTTCCACTTTTTGTTGAATGATTTCGCTTTAATCGTGTTCTAACTGAATATGCAGCTGGTCCAAGAAGAGGAGGGACACTTGTTCCTGGAAAAGGTCCATAAATGGTATTTCGAAGGTAATGCTGTTGGTGTGATGGTGGAGGTAGAGATTGATGCATAGAATAAAGACGACTAGAGCTGTGAGGTGACATTTGCGACATGTGAAAATAATTAACTGGGAATGGGAGAGGAAATGGACCAGACCGAACAAGTAAACTTGAATCCATTTTTGATTTCGACTTCTTCTTCTGCTTTTTCAAAGAATGTTTCAGAGTTTTATCGGCATTACGATCATTAGTAGTAATTGGTACACTGAGTGTCATTGGATGATTACCGAGCACTACTGGGTAAACAAGTGGTCCACCTCCTCTTCCGCCTGGAGTTGGCGATTGAACCATATGAATTGGAGGTTGCCTCCGACTAGGTCTCATGGTATTGCTAGGACCTTCTCTCATGTAACCATGTCGCCTTGATAAGGATGCATCATGAAGAGGCATCTTGTACATCTTGTAGTTACCTAAATCTGGTGTTTGACTGATCGTAAAACCGGCATCACTTTCAGAGGATATTTGATTAATATGGTCATTCGTTTTTAAAGCGTGGTGAGAGGTTGAAGGAAGAGGTAAATCCGAAAGGTGATGGGATAAAACCACTTGTTTGGAGTCATTCCAATTGTCGTCCAATTTCTCGACTGAAACAGATCTTTTAGAGGCCAAAGAACTTCTATCTCCAACACAGCTTGCACCAGATCCAATGTGACAGTAAGGATTCTCCTCGATTTGCTTAGCGTACATTGCATCGGCATAAGCATGGAAACAACAGCGAACTAAAGCATTAGCTGCTGATTCGTGTCTACAAATAAATGCGTGACATTCAAGAACTTTAATGCCGGTTGTACGACTTAAAATTGCTGCAAATAAAGGTAGATGGCTATTATCGGCATATCGAAAAAATGGACTATCAAGAGGAAGAAACTTGACCACTTTATCATAATTTTTACCATCATGACCATTATCCATAGTTGATGAGTTGACATTGATTTTATTCGGTGGCGTTATTGATCCGGTTGAAGTATCTGAAGATGATGTGGTAATTGATTGTTGAGATGATGGTGAATTAACTTTTGCTAATGTCCCTGATACTTTGGTGAGCGTCATTTCATTAGTATTATGGTCTGAAACTGAAGACATAACAACATATCGAACTGCGGAGCAGAAATGTAAACATTCAATTGGGAAAAACTTTTCAACTTCACATCTCGAAGCTTCAACACTTTCAATTAGAATCCCATTAGACCAAACACTTAGCCATGAATCGATTCCTGCTGACGCATAGTCCACTCGACCACTTTCAGGATATAAATCACGTAGAGGCTCTTGGATACCTTGAAGCCCATCTTTGGTTCCACGGGGAACAGATGAACCTAAATACATAACACGACAGCGACAAATTGGAGTTGTAGCACCATTTAAGCTCGATTCTTTGCCCATATTTAACGTTGTTTCTCAATTTGCCTGAAGTCCTTGATGAATTTAATACGATAGATACTTTTAGATGCCACGAAGACTCCAATTAACTTTGGACGAAAATTTCTGAAAAGATCAACAAAAAGGAGCATTAAAATAAATGTATATTAAACTAGTTTGTTAGCAAAAAGACACAATAAACACAGTTTTCACATTTATAAACATTTTGACACAAATGCTGAAACAAAAATGGTCAAAAAAGGGTGAAAATGAGCCTCTTTCGTGTTTAGATCATTTCAGTGTGTAGATACATAAAACCTGAATTCATTTGTGTGATTCGGGAGTCTCTCTGATAGTTGGTTTTCGAGAAAATCGAGGCCAAAGTTAAAACTTCGATAGCGTTTTGTACAATTATGGTATAAGATTATTTCATGAAACTCATTTCTCTGATGTAACTTTTGGTGGCAAACCAGATAATGTAATTTATTAAATGAAATAAAACTTTTTGCTTCTGTAAAACAGTTAAGTTCGACTCGCAATAAAATGTACAGATTTCAGTAACCGAATACTTTAGAGAGCTGAAGCTTATTATTAGCCCATAAAAATCGTCACTACGTACCATGAGTCAATTAATTTCTTCAATTTATCGACAGTTCTCTTGATTTTGGCCATTTACCGGAAAACTTCGAACTTCAATATTTCGAGAATAGAAGTACCTAGAGTAATCATTCGTTGTCTAATCAATAGATTTTACTATGGTCTATAACATGATAGGATTGAATATCGAATAAATCTGTTTTAATTGATTTAATAAAGGGTAATCATCCAACACCTCATGAGTAACCATTTACCTATGTTACCCAATTCTTAAATCTGGTAACGTAAGTAATAAAATGCTATAGCTTTTTTTGTAGTATCTTGAATTTCCTAAAAACTTCAATATATTATAACCAATAAAAAGTCTAATGATTAGCCCAAGAATGATTACTGTAGGTAAGTCCATTCTCGAAATATTGAGGTTCCAAGTTTTTGGGTAAAGGGCAAAAATCAAGAGAACTATCGATAAATTGAAAAAATTGTTTTAGTCATGACACGTAATGACGATTTTCATGGGCTAATAATAAGTTTCAACTCTCTAAAGTATTCGGTCACAGAAATCTGTCGATTTTATTGCAAATAGAATTTAACTGTTTTACCGAAACAAAAAGTTTTATTTCATTGAATAAAATGCATTGTCTGATTCACCATCAAAAGTTACATCAGAGAAATGAGTTTCATTAAATAATCTTGTACCATAATTGTACAAAACGCTATCGAAGTTTTAACTTTGGCCTCGATTTTCTCGAAAACTAAAGATCAGAGAAACTTGAAAATAACACAAGTGAATTTAGACTCTTAATCTTCATAACCCAACACAATCTAAATCTGAAAGAGACTCATTTTTACCCGTTTTTGCCCATTTTGTTTTAGTATTTGTCTCAAGTTGTTTATAAATGTGACAATTGTGTTTATTGTGGCTTTTTAGTAACAAATGTTGATGCACAGTAGATGAATGTAGATTTTTAATGTGGTTGGTGAATAATACATTCTAACTGCTTGAAACAAATGGTTAAGGAATGAAAACTTTATGTTAAACGAACATAACTATTAATTTAACAAATTAAATCGTTTGGTAAAATGATTTGAAGTGAAAACTAGCAATTTAATTGTTTCACATGGAAAAACTTTGGTTTTAGTAATAAAATAGAGCAATCAGTAACAATTCCGATGGTATCAATTAATTATACTAAAAGTTACTCTACAGTCACCAGGATGATAAAGAGGAAAAGGTCCTTTTAGTGCAGCCATATTAATCGATGAAACGAAATTCTAGAAAATTACTTCTCGCTACTTACATAATGATTGAACATAAACATCAGAAAAAAGCGGTTAACTTCCGAATCAGTCAATTTCCTTGATAATGTTGACCAGAATAATAAAAATCTATCGTCATTTTTGCAAGGTACAGGAGATCAGTCAGTAAACACAATTGAGGGAAAACAGTGAAGAAACAAGTTAAAAATAAATTCAATATTCAATAACTGAACAAAAATAAGTTTTCTGATAAAATGAGGCGAAGGTGGAAACCAAAGTGACAATTTGGACAACCAAAGAACTAATTGATACAAGTGTAAAACTGTAGTTAATTTGAAACTAATGTTATTAGATTCAATAACTTTTGTCAAGTCGGTTACTTTTCCTGTAAAATTCAGCAATCTTTCCTTTTCTCTCTCTTCTCTTCATCAGATTAAAATCCCTCCCTTCCATTTCTCCCTACCTTAGTCCAGATTCCTTTTTCTTTACCATTCTCTTGTTATTCGGTTTCTTTTGCTTGTTTTACCTCTTCTAACCTTTCCAATTCCTTAAAAAAAGCAACAAGTTTCTGTCTCTTTCGCTCAGTCTAAATATCTTCCTTTAACTGTCTACTTTACTCTTTATTATTCACTCTTAAAGGTGGGAAATGGATGGCCTGAAGGCGGAGGAAGTCAAATTCTTGCGGATAGACACAAACTCATCTTCATGTACTTCCATCTTCATCTCAATCTCAATCTCCATCTTCATATTCCTTATTTTTTTCTCTCTCTCTCCTCATCTTCACCCGACTTACCAATAGCAACTCTTTCATCATCATCTCTCGTCTCTTCTTCCATTCAAATATATGATACACTCTTGCGGCCATTTAGAACCCGTTTGAACCCTTCGTTTGCATTCAAATCAATCGATGATTGCCTCCGGTTTATAACCTCCTGTTGTACTGATTCCTCCTCATTTTTCCTACTCAAACCGATTGACTCTTCATATCTGATATATTTTTTTTCAACTCAATCAATCGCAATTCATTACAACATTTATTCACTCACCTGATTCAATGAGAAGATATAAATTTTCTCAATGAAAATTGAAATAATTTGATCTAATTTTAACATAACTTTTTGTTTTACTCAATTCCAACTCATACTATTGACTGATTTTTCCCAACACAAATTGATTGTTCTGAGTTTATCGTTAATATTGAAAGAAAGTAAACCAAACGAGCAAATTGATTAATTAAGTGATCACAAATTAAAGAAACCCAAACTATAATAAAACCCCAATTTAAAGTCATAAAAATGCTTAAAATAAAATTCTGTATCCAATTGATAATCATTTCGCGTTCCAATATTTTTTTTGACTGAATCAGACTTTTTGAAACATCAATCGTAAAATTTATATTTTTTAAATCATACATGGAATAAATAACAACAATTAATAAGATTGAAATTATGAATAATACTTGATAAAAAGATATTTTCTTTCAAGATATTTAATTGAAATACTTTTTTATGTACAATGCAAAAAAGGTTACAATAAACCTTTTTCAAATTGATCAATAACTTCATTATAATCAAATGATTTTGGATCTTTGTTGAATTTATTAAGAAGTAAATTTTTCGTTAAATCATTGGCACCATAAAATATTTGCACTTGATTAGCTAAACATTGAGCCTCCATGGAATTAAGAATCTTATCATCATAATAACCTTCCATCAGAACAATTCCTTTCTCTTCACTTATCTCGGGATAATGTCGTAAGGTCATAGCAGCTGGAGCATTTTCTTGATGTGCATGGTACGATATTAAAGGAGTAAAATGAATTTGATGATAATTAAAGCTTCCTAAATATATTTGATAACCACTTTGATCATTATTTTTATCATCACCAGTACTGGATTCAGTTTTAGGAACGGGAAATATAAACAATGGATATTTTTTTCCAGTTTCGTAAATTGTTTTATATTTTTCACCAGGTATTACTGCATAAATACATTTTGACTTTAAACGATGATATTCACTCCAAACTTCACTTATACTATCAGCAATCTATTTATTACAATATTGTAATGAAAAGAGACTTGGTTGACATTGGATGTTGATGAATAGGTTAATGGATGGCAAAAAACAATAGACGACCAGAAAGATCAAGATATGAAAAAAACAAGGTTTCCTTTGCTTTCCTTTCATAGTGTAAATCAACCTAAAAGTTTAAAAAATATAATAGCTAAAGTGATATTGATGAAAAGTACGGTAATAATTATTTGTTGTCGACTTAGCCAATCCTTAAAACGAGGATTAACCAAATAAAGTAATGGATTTCGAGCAAGCCTTTCAGCCATTTCCGCTTCTTCACGGCGTTGTAAGCGAGTTGCATGAGATAAAACGGAAACTTCTTCTCGACTCATCACAGGCTCTTTAATTGATTTACTTGGAGGTTGAAGTGAGGGTTTTCTTTTAAGACCACTTACACCTAAACCTCCACCGGTTGCTCCACCGCCTTTTCCTCCACCACTTGATGTGTTCGGATTTCGATAGAGAGATGACGTTCGTTTTGGGGTTCGTGTTGCATCAGAATCGCTAGACATGTCGATAACTTGAGGAAGTTGAAGTCCAGCGTCACTTTTATTAGAACTTTCATGACCAGAATCAGCCGATGAACTTGCCCCATAGACTTTATCTAAGGAAGCCGCTACTTGGGATTCTGTTCGATTCGAGGGTAAAAAATTAGGTGAACGAAGACGATCAAAGGTTTTATCTGGTAGAGGAGGTTTGCCTTTTCTTGCATAGGTTCGAACTAATTTTTGATAATGATCAAGGTGGTCGTTCAACGGGTCGGGATCGTTTATTTGTTGTTGTTGTCTTAGTTGGTGATGTTGCTGGTATTGGTGTTGTTGGTGTTGTTGGTTTTGTTGTGGTTGATGTTGTTGTTGTTGTTGTTGATGATGATGAGGATGGCTGTGAGGATGTTGCAGAGAATGTTGTTCGTGTTGTACTGAAGGATGAAATGATGAAGATGTTAGGTTAGATCCACTTGGCATTAAACGATTACTAGCTTCACTTTGATTAGGTCCGGTGGTAAACTGAATTGAATTTGAATGGTGGTGGTGTTGCTGTTGTTGTTGATTTGATGGATGATTATAATTATGTGAAGTGGAACCTTGTTCATTAGTGTTCATTGTTGAACCATGGCCAGTTCTAAATGAACCTCTACGTCCACTAAATGGTTCATTAGGATCGAGATACTGACGAGACCCACTTAAACCTCCCATAATACCTCCACCGCTAATTGCACCCATACTTTGAGCAATAGTTCCTCGACGGACATGTGAAAATTCGGATAATCTTCGTCTTAATGGAGCTTCAGGTTGTAAATTTGTTACATCTGATCCTCCATATTGTTTAGCTATTTTATAAGCAATTCCTGAATCAATTCTCGATTGAGCAGCAACAGCATCTGATTGTTCAGATTTACCACGAGCAGTGGCTGTTCGACTTATGGCAATATCAGCTTTCTGTAAAGCTATCTGCTGAGCTTGTCGAGCTGCAGCAACTGCTGATTCAATGCGCTCTCTCAATTTACCTGATCTTAAAACAAATAAATGCTTCTTCTTGGCATTTGTAACCAAACAGTTGTTCTTGTATTTGCCCTCTTCTCGAGTACCATCACGAAAAAAGGTTACACCATAACCATATTTCTTGTTGTTGTACCATTCACCTTCATACCGTAGACCGTCTGACCTTTCACATATACCGAAGCCACTTCTTTTATCGTTTTTCCATTCACCAATATAAGTTTCGGTTGTCGATGGATCTGAAATGTCTCCATCTTGAGATAAGAAAGACGCATTAGAAACAGCATCAGCTTCAATATCACCTTTTCTTTTGATTCCTGGAGTTGATGGGGATGATTCAGTTGAACTAACAACAGATGATGATGAACGATTTGACCTAACATCAATATCACCAGTAGATTTTTGCTTCTTCAATACTAATCCTTTAAAAAATCCAGTCTTTAAACTGGATGCTTTATCTAATGAATTTTGCCGTTTTCTCGATCCTGGTGGAGCTGATCCTGGCCTTGATGTAACTGATGAATTATTTTTCACAACCAAAACAAAACCTCCTCGCATTGCAGAGTCTCGTTTGCCGGACACATGAGTATCAAATAAACTTGATTCACCTTCAGTATCAAGCGACTGCATCGATACATTTGTTGAGTTCTTGATAAGTGCTGCCTTTGTAACATTAGAATGACCATAAGGTGCTGATTGACGGACACCGTAACCATGGCGCATCCCACGAAGCCATTGCCCTTGATAGGTTCCACCATCAGCATATGTTTCAGATCCATAACCATCTTGTAATCCATTGGCCCAGGTTCCTTCATATTTGGCAGAAGATAAAAGTGAAGCTCGTACACCGTATCGACCTTTATAACCCTGTGTCCATTCCCCTTTATAAACCCATTTACCGCGAAACTCGACACCTAATCCATGCCTTTTACCATTTAACCATTGTCCTTCATAAATAGCTCCACTTGGCCACTTATAAACACCACAAACTTCAAAACCAAAATTAAAAGATCCACTGTATTCACCTTGTCCTTTGGGTCCTGATTTGATGGAACATGATAATTGATATATCAATTCAAAATTATTAAACTGTTTTTATTTCTTCTTAATCATTACCATGAAATTACCTGTACATATTCCGTGACCATGAGCTTTTCCTTCTTGCCAACCACCAACATAAACTCCTCCATCATCAAAATCAAACCTTCCTCCTCCAGTTGTCGATGGTACTGATGAAAGTGACAAACCAGCATTATCCACATTTAATTCACTATTTGGTTGTTGTGGTTGAAACTGTTGCTGCTGTTGGGGATAATTGATCGATTCTTTCTTCATTCTTCATTGTTTCACCTCATCCTCTACTAATTCATCTATAACATATAAAAAGGACAAGACTATGAAAAAGATTAATCTAAACTAGAGAAACTGACTCAACTTTTCAATCTAAGCTTTAAAATCTGTAAGTAAAACCTAAATTTAGAAAGAAAAGGCAACGAGAGAAAAGTAAGAGGTTGGAATAAGAAAGGCAAATGAAAGAGAGAAAGAGAAAGATAGGGAGAGGAAAGCAAAATCATGGTGGTTAGGTTAAATTTGGTTATGTTAACTAAAGTGAATTATATCTTTGTTGGCCCGATTTCTGCTCAAAATAATTCTCTTCTCAGTTCAACTATCAAACTATCTCTTCTTTATTTTTCTTTTCTTTACCTTCTCATGTTCTTTCCCAATCTTTTCTTGCTTACTCAGTCTCTCTGTCTCTCTCTGTGTCTCTTCTCATCATCATCCCTTTATCATCTCGAAACTCGCTTCTTATTAACGACTCTAAATACATTGGGCACACTACCGCCTATTCCGACGTGAGAGACGGAGAAAGATGATGGTAAAGATGATGAGGATGATGACGTGACGATAGGAAGAGAAGATGAAGAAGAAAAGAAAGATAAGCTCGAATTCAATTCAAACCGAGAATCCAATTGGAAACTAAATTTAGTTTCATGTTTTTCAGAGGAAAGATCAAGTACAATTATCACTTAACCTGCTCTTTCTTCATCTTTCATTAAGAGACAGAACACTGAGAAAGATGAAGATGCAGATGAGAAAAGGGATGATGATGATGATGAGGGGGCTTAAAGGTTGACTTGAAACTTAATCATCAAACAACAAACTAAATTTAGTTTCTAATATACACAAAGAAAAGACAATTACAAGAGTCTTTGCTTCACAGTGAACATTTTACCTGTTTAATTTTATCCACTAAAATAGAGGTCAATGTTGGATTTCATCTACGCACTGGACTCAGATTGGGCAAAAAAACTCTGGACAATTATTTTCCCAATCAACTACGATATCCAAACCACCGGCTGATTTAAGCGATAAAATATCAAGATGAATTTTTCACTGAAGGTTTATCCATTTCTCAATTACAAGTATTTTCAATCGCATGATTTGAATCAATTGTTAGACTCGATCCAGAATCCCAGCATGTTATTCAGTCAAAGTGGGATTAACAAATAGTGATGTCATGAACAGAAAATGCTAAATCTAATGAAAGTAAATAACAATCATACAAATGGATGAAACTAATCTGTTCAAGTCGACGCATAAACTTATCAATGCCAATGACAATTGAAGTAATCTTGAAATAATATGGAAGACCAGTTAATATTGAAAATGATGACCATTTTGACTAAACAACGATCCGTTTACTTGTCATTGCTTCAATCTTGATCATTCATTGTTTCTGGCAAAGTATCACTTTTGTTTTCAGCAAGGACTGAACATTTCACTCGGTTAATTAACTTGCAGTATCCATTATCATCTTATTCATCGCCAAGGATTTCACTTTAATTAAAATTCTCTTTTTAGCAAACTAATGATCCATTCATGTTTGTCCGCCAATCACCGATGGGAAAAGTCAACAACGGATCATTTAAAAATTTACAAATAAACACCAAACGGTCTAATAAGAATGCAATAAAGATAGAAATTAATTTCCACAAATCATTAGGTTTTGACAACCTAAAGAAAAAAAGATCGCTGTTAGTCGAGCATTTATTTTCAGTTTTAAGCTTTATCGTCAGATTTACGAGCCTTGATGGCGATAAATAATCAGTTGATTGAAATTGAAATGTTGATTAACAGCGCAAGAAAAACAAGACTCAATAGTACCTGTGTTTAGATATAATTTACACATTTTCAGATGAATCACTTTACAATTACAAAAATATTTATCACCAATCAACTGATAGCTCTGGGTGAAAATATATTTTTGAAATCCTTGCTTCAGTAGAGACTGTAGGATTGAATAATGTCCAGGACCAAATAATCTTGAAGGGGAAAATCGTCTGAGCATAATCTCATTATATTCGATTCGCATGTTGAAGCAAAATAAAACCATTATTATATCAAATCATGAATAATACTTGATAAAAAGATATTTTCTTGCAAGATATTTAATTGAAATACTTTTTTTATGTACAATACAAAAAAGGTTACAATAAACCTTTTTCAAATTGATCAATAACTTCATTATAATCAAATGATTTTGGATCTTTGTTGAATTTATGAAGAAGTAAATTTTTCGTTAAATCATTGGCACCATAAAATATTTGCACTTGATTAGCTAAACATTGAGCCTCCATGGAATTAAGAATCTTATCATCATAATAACCTTCCATCAGAACAATTCCTTTCTCTTCACTTATCTCGGGATAATGTCGTAAGGTCATAGCAGCTGGAGCATTTTCTTGATGTGCATGGTACGAAATTAGAGGAGTAAAATGAATTTGATGATAATTAAAGCTTCCTAAATATATTTGATAACCACTTTGATCATTATTTTTATCATCACCAGCACTGGATTCAGTTTTAGGAACGGGAAATATAAACAATGGATATTTTTTACCAGTCTCGTAAATTGTTTTATATTTTTCACCAGGTATTACTGCGTAAATACATTTTGACTTTAAACGATGATATTCACTCCAAACTTCACTTATACTATCAGCATCTAATTTCAATAACATCTCCAAATTAACTATGTCTTTAAGTGTCCGATTTCCAGGAAATCCTCCAATTTTAGGTCCAACTTCTTTTGGATCTTTACTTTTCTTTGTTTTCGTTGCTACTCTCTGAGACTCTGGTATCTTGTTTAGTGTTGCGATCTCTTCAAGATTTTTTTCTGCAAATAAAATTATAGCGCCAGTTATTACATAGATTCAAAAAATTAAGAATGAAGGAAATTTGAAAACACAAGATAATCAAATGTAGGTTATTTACCTATTTTTTCAGCTATTTTGATGCCTTCATTGTTAACTACTTTTTTAATTTTATCCGCATATTTGTTATAGAATGGGTTTGTTTCAATTCCTTCAGAATCCTTCAATATATTTGTGGATGAACTTGCTGTAGGTAAAGAAGATTTGGTAGTAGAAGCATCGTCTTTCAAACTTCGGCACAGATGATCCTGTAAACTCCATGAGTAAGGTAAAGAAAAGGTGTTTTTCCGTATCTCCTTCTTTATTAAATTAGGCAGCATCATTCTGAACATAATTTCAACAGCTGAAAATGGTTAGATCTAAAATGAAAATACAATATTTTTCATTAAACACTTCAAAGATTATTTAAAATAATTTGAATTTATTACTACTTCTAATCTTTTTTCAAACATATCGGTCTTTAATTTTTCGTTGTTGGTTAAGATATGGTAAATAATAAACTAATTAAAGCTCAAAAACAGATTCTTATTGAAATCAGCGAGTGTTTCAGAGTGATAAAAAGGATAAACATATGACCGATCTAAAATGTAACAACTATTTTACTGTGAAATGAGGATACAAACCTTTAATATTGTTTAATTTAAATGAAATGATGCATTACAAGCACAAAATTCTTCTCAAAAATAAATCACAATCAAATAGATTAATCTGAAAACAATTTAAATTCACTAATAAAAAATTTATTAAACTGAGCTGTTTATGATCGTTACCTAGGTAACAGTAATAACCTTCATAATCAGCTGGTTCTGGTTTACGAATTTCAAACTTTGCTAATCGCTTAAGCAAACTTATGATTAGTGAATAGGCTTGGATAGTATTGAAACTCAATGAAGGTTATTTAATCGCCTAAACAGAAGAGTTTATGTAACAAATGAAGTTTTGAGCTTTTGATCTGAGCTTTCAGTGTTTTAACAAATCCTAACTAATCTAACTCATCTTATACAGTTTGAGTTTTATTTAACACAGTGAATCAAGTCGTTATTAATGAGTTGAAAAAATGCTGGTCTTAAGCATTTTCTTGTGCAATATTTGTAATCAAGAATAAAATAACTTTAAGCAATTAGTTATGAATATTGATTTGTTTTAATCAGATGAATGTTAAATTTTGTAATATTTACAATAAAAAACAATAATTTTATGGATAACAGATATGAAAAAATCAAATAATTAGTGTTATTTTTGATCATTTCTGCTTATAAAGCAGTAAAATCATTAATTTCTTTAACATATGACATGACGACTTCATTTATGAATATATCATGCAACTTCTCAAAAAGAAAAGTTACTAAGGCACTGGAGCTTCATGGTTTTAATAGAGACATCAGATTTGACCAACTGATGTTGAATTTGAATGCAAAATTAAGACCTAATGACTTCATATTGGCGCCTTACTCCATACCATTGGATGGCCATGAACCACACTAAACCAATTACAATTATTAAAGCAAGGATAGCGACCAAGGCAACGAAAATGCCACTTGACCATAAACTTGGCTCGTGTTTAAGACCACATGCAGCCTGCCAGTCATCCACAATGTAAGTAGAAATGTATCTAGAAAAACGATCATATGAACAGATCATTTGATTATTACAGAAAGACAATGACATTAAATCAGCTTCTTTTTCAGTGTCTTTCCAGTAATAAATCTGCACGAAATGGCCTTTTGAAGGAACGTGAATCAATTCAAAAACTAATGTTGCTCCATATGGAGGAACTTTGTGGTCGAAAATATCCAGAGCAATTAAAATTGAAGCCAACAGATTATCATGAGTTGAGTATGAAAGAAATTTGAGCCCACCAAGCTTTGAATCACCACTTATTTTAGCATGCATACGATGTCTGAGGTCAGCGAAGAAATTTGATGTACGTAAGCGAAGTATCTCGAATGAACTCGAAGATATGTATAAGCCATTATCGCTCATAATACGCAACTCTTCTTTAACTTTGTCAGTGTACCAATCTGGCCTTTTGAAATCTTTTATATTCTCCTCCTCGATTGTAAGTGTAGTGTAAAAATCAGAAATATCATTCAGATTGCTCAAATCATTGCCAGTCTTTTCTCGGATTAAATTCAGCGTATCAGAATATTGATGGGTAACTTGCTTGGCTGTCTTACTGTTGAGTAACCGCAATTTTTCTTGAGAAGATTCTGGACAGTCACAATCAATTGTCAACATCTGAAATAGAAAAAATTTGATTAGTTTGAAAATAGTCAACAGCTTGAACCTTGGGGCCGAACAAGCAATCCCAATCGGCGTTGTCACAAATTACTTGACTTGAGATGTCTTGTTTGTTCACCTAAGTAAATCCCTTACCCCATCAAGAGCAGTTGGAACAGTGTGAATTGGAATGGGCAAATAGTCAGTGTCATTACTGTAAAACCAATGACCTTTAGACTTGAAGATGCCATGTAGAACCAATTCACTGCTTTCGATGCACCGGTCAGCATCAGAGCTTCGAGCATAAACTTGTCTGGGATTATCTTCCAAGAAATTACTGTAGTTTTCCCGGATAGACTTTCCTAATTGATACATGCGTTGACGACCAGGTTTAATTAACTGTATTTCACCGTCAGGCCAGTATTTAGGGTCACTATAAGGATCATTTTTGAAAAATTTATACGGAGTCCTCTCACCGTGTCGATGAACGATGGTAAGTAATTCCAATCTTTTAACTGCACTGTCCTTTTCAGCAGCTATACTGTCCTCAACAATGTGAGAAAATATTAGGTAATGGATAATCGTTGAATAAACCCAAGAAATCATAGCAAATGGTTTAGCTAACACAACCAGAAGATGATTATAGAGACTTTTATAAAATCAGAGAAATGAAATGACCGTAAGAAACTATAATCACTATTATGTACACTTTCCTTAAAAGTAAATCAGTTCAATGGTTACAGTTGAATTATAGATATTTATAAAACACATAAATTATCTCATCTTCCAATTGTTTCGCTGAAATAATAGGCAGATAAACGAAAACAGATAAGGAAAGCAAATTTTCAACAAAATGATGTTTATACAAAACCGTTGATAGTCATTTTGAAGTTTGACACATAGTTGATAAAGATGAAGTGACCAATCAGATAAAATAATAAAGGGCCAAAATGATACCAACTTATCAAAGTAATTACCATTGGTCACTGGAAAAAAGCATCAACACAAAAAAGCTTCGGTTTCATTGACACTGTTTTAAACTGTGTACTGTATTTCCATAGAAATGCACAGTAAATGGTTACATCAGTTATGAAGGAAAATTACGTTGATTTAAACGTAGCTTATCAGTTAATAAAGATTAATTGAATAAAACATCCGAAAACGCCAGGAATTTAACGTCAAATTATAGTTCAACAGATAAACAAATGAATACGAAAAAAAAGATGAAACTATTTTCAAATGAGAACTTACAATGAGCTACTCATTGCTTCACATTTCACACATGTTTGATTCTTATCTTTCTTTCTCCCTCTTTCTGATCAGGGATCACTTCTTTAGCCGTTAACATTAAAACCCGTTTTCTCTTCAATGTTTATGTTTTTCAAGTTCAAGTGAACTTGATTAGTGGCTACAATTACTATCATGCAAAAACACATTTCGAGTATTTTCATCTAGTCTATTCAACCAGAAAGCTGAAAAATGGTACAACAAACCCTCTAAGATTACGAGACAACCCGGTTCCGTCAATTACTCAATATTTTTAAGGGGCAAGTATTAAACACTTCAAGAAAGAAGAACTTTTAATTTTAAGTCCAGAGTTTACAGCAAGGTTAGATATCAAACCTAACCTAACCGAACCTAACCTAACCTGACCGACCAACCAACAGCCCCTTGATCTAACTTACCTAACCAAAAAATCATATGTTTTAGTGTTCACGCCTTTGTCCGTAAAAGTAAAGCCTTACCGATATTTCAATGGTACTCTCGATAAAAATGCAGATTTAACTATGAAAATATTTTACACTGCATTATTAAACATTCTGAGGAAACATTTAAAAATAATTGTTTTTTTTCTTAAATCATTACAATTCTATTCTAGAACCCTGATTACTTAGCCGGACAGATCGCTTCCCCATCTTGTCCACTACTTAAATCGTGACTTTTAATAATTGATATTATATTATATTAATAGTTCATATTGACCATATTGGTGGACAATTTGTTGTGAAAAATTGGCTGTAATGTGATGGGAAGTCGATCCTACATAGTCGCTTTTGATTTTGATTTGATACCTTCATTCCGGACTTGTTCATCTAATTTCATCACGTTCTGTCCAGTTATTAATATATCCATGCTCATGTAACATAATCTTTTCACATTCAATCAAAATCTCGGTCAGTTAATGTATATGGAAGAGGCTGTAAGTTCCACTACTGTTCTCTTTTTCATATTACTCTTATCCCCTTACAGCAGAAGTTATTAAGGTTTATTCATTGATAACCATCCATGAACGATCCATTAACCTTTTATTTAGTATTTTCATCGTTTATAGATGCTATTCATTTGTCAAGTATCCTTTCATAGTGTCTTTATGAACCATTAACAATTCCTTCAAAAACTCTATTGATTTTAGATTAAAGTAATAGCAATTTTCTAGCATACTTTAACGGTTTGGTTCAAAATTTTATTGACGAATTTAATGAATCAACAATATATTAATCAGTCATATTAGGATTGGTATAATCAAATCCAAAAAACAACTCATGGTCCACATTTTCAACAGTATAATCATCGATTGGTGTTAGAACAGGTCTCATCTCGGTGAATTCACGGTCAAAATAACAAGTATCAAATTGATTTTTCTGAAATCAAATGGAAAATTCAATGTTAGTGAGTAAACATGGTAAATTGTAGTTAAAATATAAGTGATTAACTTACAAGATTAGGTACAAAAGGAGGTTTAACTTTAGCTGCATTAATTGCATCCCAATTAATGGATTCAAAAAACTTGTGACTTCTTATATCACCTTTGGAACTGGTTGGCATTCCCAATCTCTCAGCAGGATCGTATTCTAATAGCTAAAGAAATAAAATTAACCAAATTAGTTATCCTCACTAGCATGAAAGTGTATTAAATACTTACACTTAAGATAATACTTTGAGCATTTTTGCTCACAAAATAAGGAATACGGACTTTCTCGTAGCAAACATTCCATAAAAGTTCGTCTTCATCAGTTGCTTTAAATGGTGAATCACCAACAATCATCTCATAGAGAAGGACACCAAATGACCACCAATCAACTGCCTGGTTATATTGGACACCTTTAATTATCTACAAATGATAAAACAAATAATAGATAAAAATCGGAAAAAAGTGAATCAAAGTTACATTGAAAAGAAACATCCTTCTATTCAATGAGTAGATTGATGGCTTGACTAACCTCAGGAGCCATATATTCTGGTGTACCACAGAAGTTTGAGGGAAGACATTCTTCTTTCCAAATGTGACACTGACACATTCCGAAATCAACAAGTCGAACATGTCCTTCAGCATCCAATAAAATATTGTCCAATTTGAGGTCTCTAAGGAAAGGATAAAGTAACAAAATCAGAGATTAATAACCAAATATCCAAAAATAATACAAAAAACTCACCTGTAAATAATGTATCGACTGTGCAAGAAGTTTAAGGCAGAAACAATTTCAGCCGCATAAAACCTAAAATAGACGATAAGGAATAGTTGATTCAGTATTTGATCAAATTATTAACCAAGCTATGATTTTACCTTGATCGGTCCTCAGTAAACCTTCCAGAGCTTTGCACATGAAACATTAAATCACCACCGGCAAGAAACTCCATAACAAAGCAAACCATGCCCTAAATAAATAAAATAATTTAACAATATTAACATCATTTCTTCATAATGATTAAGTTAGAGGCAACGAAGGCCGTTATTATTATCAAGAATTGGCTTTCAAAATTCAATTCCTAAGTGAACATCATGACAGACATTGTGAAAAATTTAATCTCAAATTTTTAAACACCAGTAAATATTTCAAGTTTGTCTTTTCTGAGTAAATGCAAAAGTATCTTGTTTATTTTATATTTTATGTAAATAAACGCTTAGAATAATTATCATACTTTAAAATGTCCGGTAAAGTCTTATACGAGAAATCAGCTGAAGTTGAGCGGTTTATTTTGCTCCCGGTTTTAGTTCTCACTGACAGCAAGTTCTCACTCATATTTGTTTTATTTTTCAAATGTGATTGCGATAAGAATGCCCAAGTTTTAAATCCTAGTATCTTAGGAACCACTAGGCTCGCAGATGAAAGCCATTAGGGTTTTTCACAACTCATCCTCTACCGAATGACAACTCTCTCATTCAAATCTGACTCAGGCTTTACTTCTCTTGTGACTTTTTGTTTTTGTTCAGTTCTCGAGGCTGTTAATTATTGTTCTCTATTTTTTAATCTAAATAATTTAAGTTATATTCCAATTTCACCATCTAATACAACTTAATAAAATTTAACCAATCGGCCATATACTTTAAGGAGGCAATCTTGGGTAAGTTTTGCGTCTTATTTTTTATACTTACAATATAACCGTTTGGCTTAGCAAAAAAAGCTACCAATTTCAATTTTGGTCACCATATATTTAATTTATTTAAATTTATGGTGTTACTTGGTTTTTAAGCTTTGTCAGTCATTTCAAATTCATATCAAGACTGTTCAAACGTAATTTTCGCTTAGATTATTGTATTTGTCTATTATTCTCACTGGTGGTTGGGTGTGAATGACTAGTATGTTTGCTTGAATGAATTACATTCATTACACTGTAGTTTTCCAGTCATAGGTATTACAAATAAAGACGTTATCATAATGTGACTAACAAAATTTTAGCATAACGACTTTGTTAAATTCACTTTATTCTCCCTACTAATCTATTTACGATACTTTTATATCAATAGACCTGACCAAAATGGAGCAATTGGAAGTGGATACAATCCTGGAAGTGATGAAGACCATGCGTTCATCAGGCTCTGGAGGTGAGTCCAGAGAAGTTAGCGTTAAAGAAAGGAAATTTGCTGAACATATTGTCGGTGTCATAAAAAGGATTGCTGCATCCTCAAAACATGAATGGATAGAAGAAGAAGAGTTGTACTCTGTCGAGCCGCCGGAAAATATTGATTTGAATGTCATCTATGATGCGCTGGAATCTTTCGACTATGACTACATCAGAAATGTAATTGATTGGAAAGAAAGAAACCCAAAAATAAATTTCAAAACTTTACAAAAACAGTTTCCCCGGGTTACAAATTCGAGCTACATTGCAAAGTTCCGAGCCTATCTTGAAAGAATGGCATTAAACCGAGAAAAATATACCGCAATTTCCGAATTTGTTTGGTCAAGATATCGAGAAGCTCAAGACTCCAAGTACCCTGTTCATGATGAGGATTTAAAAAGATGGGCCTTTGAGAAAGCAAGGGAAGTAGAATTGGATGGCTTCAAAGCTTGTGACGTTTGGGTGGAAAATTTCAAAAAGCGAAACTTTATAGGTGTTCGGAAAACGACAGAAGTAATAACTTACAACAATGAACATGATACAGCCGAGACTGAAGTTCTTGCAGCAGAATTTCTCATGAATTTCAAGTTAAATTCTCGGTTTGAGCCTTCAGAGATATTTAATGCTGCACAAACAAGCTGCGCTTATGAGATAACAATAGAAGACGAAACATCTGATGATCCAATTGGAAGCCAAAAAACTGAATTACGGACTTATAGCATTCAACTCATCATTAACATGGATGGTGAACTATGTAACAATTTTATGATTGTGTTTCAACAATGTTCAGACGAGCAAGAGGATTTAATTATACCTCCAAATATTTACATTACTTCATCGGACAATGGTAAAGTTGACAAAGATGCTCTCAAAAACTGGGCTACAATTTGTTTATCACCTAATCTTGAAAGAGAAGCTTGCCTATTAATAAGTCCTGTTGGAACCCAACGAGTTCAAAATTCTATCTTTTCTTTACCTGACAAAAAATTGACCATCAAACTATTACCAACTGGTTCTGCTGCGATTCTCCAACCACTCAGTGTCCTGATTTTCAAACAATGGAAATTATTTATTAAAAAGTTCATGCAACGCGTCTCGCTGGACCAAATTCCTCTAAAACTGAATGATAAAAATTCTATCATCAAGCTTAACTTTTTAATTCACAACCAATTAAGAGCACCTCTTTTCAAGCCACTCATACGGAATGCTTGGGCAAAGGCTGGCTTTGAAGTTGAGAAAGAACCTGATATTTCCATTGATAGTATACTCGATAAACCTGATTGTGGATGTCAAATGGGCGATTGTCATTCGGCTTCATTCATAAATTGTGCCCATTGTCGACATCATATTTGTGCTTTTCACTTCTTTTCAACTTTTCATCATCATTAATCTGGTTAATCAACAAAAACTCATTTCGATGCCAAATCATAAAAATCAAGCTTTTCAATTAAGTTCTGAGATATAAAAATTGATACAATAAATTTAAATTTTCAACAAGACAGTGTTTAACTTGTCAGTATCAAAAACAGTCATGAGATTTTTTCCGGGTTCAGAAGTCTCAATTTTATAACTGCACAGAAAAGTCAAAACAAAAGATGATTAGAGATCTGGTTAAATTGGTTTGAATTGCGATAATAATCAATTAGAAACACAGTTTATGATTTGAAATTTGCTTCTCTTTAAATTTGATTTTTTGCCAATTACAATGGATATTGAGTTGATAATATTTTGGCGTTCACTTTGTTTCATCCTGGATAGATTTTAATCAAAACTCCTTAACATAGATAAATAGACTTATATTATAGTGAACAGAATCGCTAATTATAAACATTGCGGTCGTTGATTTGTCTTTAATAAACCAGGAAACAAATCGATGATCAACTTGTTCAATGAAACTAACAGTTGGAAATGAAAGAAACGAACAATTCATTCTCACAATTTTCCATAATAATTCATCAACTTAAATACCTTACATACGCTTCTAAATTCATTGAATGTGAAAATGATTAATCAAGAGCCTCGATTAAAACATTAATCAATTTACTTGTTAACTGTTAGTTGATGAGAAATTTATTTTAAACCTGATTCTATTAAAGTCAAGGGTTTGTTTAATAACCCGTTGATTTCAGAAGGTCTATCCATTTGCAAGTATGACGAAAGATGAATTTTAATCTGTGAATGTTGAAATATCGTTTCAAGTGAAAGATTATCCAGGTTATATGCTGAATAACATGAAAATATGAAGAAAAAAATGTCCAAGTTGAATTAATCCAAGTAATCAGAATATTTGTCATAACTATTTTCACTTGTGTTGCCATAATTTCATTTAACCAGAAACGAAAATTTGGTAATTTCAACTTAAATTTTCCTTTTCTTGAAACTATTGGCAACCTATTCTCAATGATAATCATCATGGCAATAATTCAAATGATACACATTTACATATCAAATATAGTCGCAGTTAAATCAACAAAATTTCAAGGTGCATTTAAATTAAAAATATTTGAAGTTAAAAACTGTGAACACTGTTCTGTCGACTAAACGGGTTATAATTAACATTGACCAAAGTTGATCCAAGACAAACAAAAGCTAAATCCAGTGAGATAATTTGAACCATGAGCTAAACCATTTCCTGAAATGAATTTTGATATTACTCTAACTTACCCTTGTTTGGAAGGTGCAAAATAATTTACAGATGAATGGATGTCTAACACCTAAAGCCAGAACTTTCCTTTCAACCATAATGCTTTCCAAGTCATCATCTTCAATGACTACATGTTTCTTCAAAAATTTGATGGCAAAAAATACATCATGGCCTTTTAATTGTGCAAGGTAAACCTGAAATGAGAAAGAGCAATAATTATTGTATCAATATTGAGAGTTGCAAATTTTTAGTTCAATAAACTTGAATGTGACAAAATATTGTTACAAACTCTGGAGAAATATCAGAGTGAAGATGACGATGATGATCATATGATGATGATTGGCTTGAGACAAGAAACGAAAACAATGGAAGTAAAACAAATTGTTCAATTTCATCATCATTAAGATGAGGATGTATGAAGGGGATTGAGAAAGATCTGAGTCAACATGACGTACTAACAAGAAATAGAATGAGATGAACATTTGAATCAGGTAGATACAGAATCTAATGTGATGAAGGAGATTCAAATTAAGATAATGGTGATGATGATGAATGGAACCTTTGCCAAAACATTCAAAAATTACTTGGTTTAGATGTGAAAGTAAACAAACTATGAAAATTAAGGGTTAGAGCTAATCACATATCTTTTTAACTAATGATTGATCAGGAAACAATGGATAGGAGTGAATGATTTGGAGGCATCAATGTTGATCTAACTGGAAATATTATGGCATAGCTAGCAATTAAAAAACAAATATAAATACTAAAGACAATTTTTCAAACCATTTTGTTTTGCTTTGAACAACAAACAGGAGCAACGATTCCATTTAAAAAGGTTGATTGATCGATTGGTTGATAGCTAATTTTGTCAATCACAATTGCCTCAGTCAATTTATCTTATTCAAAAGCAAAAACAAAAATTGCTCGAGAAGCCAATATTGATACTCTCAACAGGGAAAGCTCTATCTACACCAAATTTGAAAATATTTGAAACTCGAGTGAAGTTCAAAATAATTCATCAAGTTAAAGTTTAAGTTCATGAAAAAATCAACAAACTATGAGCAATACTTCAAACCATTACATCGTAACTTCAACCTCAATCCGAGTTTACGGCTAGAAAAGCAGTGTATGATTATTCATTGCTATTAGATTAACAATAATCCTAAAGCAGCTGGCTTACAAGACTGAAGCTTCTAGAAATTGGAATTGTGTTCCAAGATATTAAATCTGGTAATTTGGCTGATTATGATCATGAGATGATTAAAAATACAGATTTCTGCCTACCAAGCAAATTGGGTCAATGTATTGGACAAGCCATTTTAATCTTAAATGTACTTACTTTACCAAAACTACCTCGACCAAGAACCTTTCTCAACTCAAAATCGTCCATTGTATAAGGCCTGAATCGGATCCTCTTCCGTTCCTTCTTGTTCTCGATGATACTTGGTTCCTCCAGATTACCATTAACCAAGAATTTGTTCAATCCATTGATTCTATCACCATCTAATTTATGTGCAAAAACAGAGAAGTTAGAGTTTCGTTAATACATTTTGAGATTTGAACGCATTGTTGAAGCATTTCACATAAATCTTGAATAATCATTAAATCACTTTTTTGATTGTCATTTTACTGACGATGAGAAGTTCAAACCTTGACATTAAGTTGAAACAGTTAACCCTGCAGATATAAGCATTTTAAATACTTGCAACCTTTTGGCAGTTTTTACTTTGACTAAACATTTTCAACAAAGATATAGTTGAAACAGTGTGACTTAATAGTGTCAGTTGATTGCTTTTGCTTTGGTCTGCAAAAAACAAGAAAATGTCTTTCAACACTGTTTTCGAGATGATCAGATGAATCAGATTCAAGGAAATTTTAAAAGAGATAAGCAATAATTCGCCTTAAAAAAGCCAGTGAACTTTGTATTTCTTTTCCTTTGTTTATGTCTCCATTATGACTAAACGTCGACAATGCTATGCTGATTCAAAGGTTAAAGATATGAAGGGTAAAAAGGAATGGAAATGTAAAATACAGGAAAAAGTATGAAGTGACAAAATTAAACATTGAGATGAACTTGAGTTGATTAAAATAAACTAAGGACTTTTGATCAAAAAATAGTAACAAGCTAAAATTTCCTTCTTGCTCAACATTTTTCTTACTCCTTTAATTAAATAAACGTTTTATTGTTTATAAAAATTCAAACTTACCTTTTGTATTATTTTGGTGTTTATTTGTCTGAGTTACCTCTTTTTCATCAGCTGCATTGATTTTCTCACTGGACTCTTTTCTTGTTACATTTTCATCAACCTGTGTTTCCGACTTTCCATCTTTGTGGTCTTTCTTGGTGTCCTCCTTTTCCACCTTAATTTCTTTCTCTGTGTTGACTTTATCCTCACCTTTCTTATTTATACCTTCTTTCGATTCCATTTTATCTGTCTTAAGTTTTGATGACATTCTTTCTGTTTTGACTTGACTCGATTGAATTTGAGGGATTTCTGCGGTTTTCAAATCATTTGCGTCTTGGACCGTTTGCTTTGTGGATGAAGTTGGAGATGATTTCACGGATGGAGTCTTTGCAGATGAATTTCGCTTCGCATCGTTTTCATTCTTTTCTTTGACTGATGCCTGCTTATTAGCAGTGTTGAACTTACCATCCAATGGTTCAAATGATTCTTTACCTTTGATGGTTTCAGAATTTTGTTTATCGCTTGATGCTGACATTGCTTGGTTAATTGGCTCAACCACACTTGGTTGTTTAACCTCTTCCGATTCAACTGATTTTTCAGGCTTACCTTTTTTATCAGAACTGGACAATTTGGTTGATTGCTGTTTTTGCTGCTTTAGTGATTCACTAGACTTTGTCTTTGATTTTTTATTCAACTCTAACAAGATGGGACTCGTCGCAGGACTAGCACCTTGTAATACCTGGGGAGATGATGGTGTTGATGATGATTCTGGTGAACTTTTTGCTGGAGCTTTACTTTTACCCGAATTTTTGGAAATCAACTTTTCTTGCAATTGTTTTTCACTGGATTTTGCAGTCGATGAATTTTTTGTTTTAACCACGTATGATGGGTAATTTTCAGTTGGTGTTGGTGGGCAAGAGCTGGATTTAGATGTTAGTGTATTTTTGGTAACTTTATTTGAACTCGAATTGGCCGAAGGCTTTGGTGAGACACTTGAGCTTTTAGGAGCAGCAGGTAGATTAAGGGATCCTTTAACTTTATCTACAGATGACTTTGGCATTGGAGAATGATTAGTTGGTACTGGTGGTGATGGATTTATTTTATCTGAAGAGTCAACCCTAGAAGACTCAGATCTCTCTGAATTAACCTGATTCGAGTTTGGTGGTGTCAATGGAGATGAGTTCGAAGTTAATGGTAAACTAGGGCTTGACGATCTATTGTTAGGTCGACTGGGTGTCAACGATCTTTTTTTAGTTTCCTCCATTTCCTTACTTAATTTGAGGCCTTTGCACTTGGCTTCAGTTACTGAGGGAGATGGAGATGATGAAGAGGAAGATAATGATGTTGTTTTTGTTGTTGTTCCTGGTACTCTAGATGATACTGATGATGGCGGTGATGAATGTGTAGATGACAAGTTTTCTGAAAATTTTATTCCAGATGAACTAGAATCATTCACAATTGACAATTTCAACTCTTGTCTTGGGTTGACAACACTTCGAGATGATACCGAAGATGATGGAGATGTTGACGCGCTATTGATCGCTCCAGTTTCATTTGAATTTGCAGATAAAAGTTTATTTGAACTCATCGGAACTGGACTTGTTGAGCCTGATTTTGACAAAATTTTACGACTTTTCTCCTCAATGGACAAAATGAGGGAGGGTGAAGGTGAAGGTAGTCTAGATGATGTTGGCGATTCACCAGGAATAGGTGAGATGCAGGATGGATCAGGTGATGATGGTTTTCGATGGTGGTAAATAGGTTTACCTGATGGACGATCCTTGTCACTTGAAGGTTTGGTTCGACCTTTGGGAAGCTTAAGAGCAGAGGAGGATAAGGCAGATGAGGTTGTTGATTCATTTCTAGGTGAGATTGACACACAAGGAGTAGGAGGTGAAGGAGGAGGAAGCAATCGAGATGTAGAGCTAGGGGTTGGTGGTGTTTGTGGTTTAGAAGTTATTTTAGGAATTGATCCTTCAGATTTATTGACAATAATCTCTTGTTGTTGTTTTGTTACATTTGATTTATTAGGATCATCTATTTGGGATTTTAGCATGGAAGGATCAGGAGACTTGGATTTAGCTTTTAAAGGAAGAACGACATTGACTTCAAATGAATTATTTTCTTGGTTAGTTTGATCAGGGATAGGAATGAACTCGAGTCGTGATATTGAAACCTCAAAATGAACTCTAAGTGGACTTACTGGTTTGGGTAATTCAATCACATCAGGGCTTGTTTGGTTCATCACAGAAACAGGAGTTATTTCTAACTTAGGAACCTTAATTTTTGGAGTTTGGTGACTGGATTTCTGACTGGATCTAGAACGGGATACAGAATTTTGTCGATGAATCGAGGATTGAGGAAAAGATGTTGATGTAAGTTCATTTTTCTCATTCTTTGCATCATTTGTATCTGGCTTTGTCATTGTCTGTATTTTACTTTCTTTTTCAACAGATGATTGTCTCGAGGTAGATGAATGTGAACCTGCAGAAGAATCATTCTGACTAGATTTTGAATTATAACTTGAAGACGAGCTTATTGGTTCCAATGGAAGATCCCAGGAAATTGAAGCTTTACGCTTATTTATTGGCTCATCGATGTGAAACTCTCGAAATTTTATGACATGACGATAACGTGAAAGTCGTAAAGATGCATCACTCGAGACTGGAGCAGCCTTAGAATAACGAGATGACGAATCTGATGGTTTTATTCTAGATTTTATTGAACTCTTTATTGACGCAAGCGATGGTCTATCTCTAATTCGAGGCCTAAAAACGTCTAAACCAGCCGAGGGCCATGGCCGAGTAGCAGATGAATTGGTTAAATTGGTTAAATTATTTCGTGAAGCAGCAAAATTGCTCCTCGGGTGAAGGTTGTGATGAGGATGGTGACTGATTAAAGATGTCGGAGCCAATCCACTTGGAGGCAGGCTTCTATTAAAGTTGGAGATGATCATATTACGTCTTTCCATTATGGACGAGGTTTGTAAACTGTTTCCTGGCGATGCACTCAAATCAATTGAAGACAGTTCATCGCGAGAGATTGATCGATAACTTGGATGGTGATCTGTTCGTCGAAAGCGATCAACGGACGGATGACGAGGTCTTCTCATTGGAGATGAGCTTCGTAAATCCCAACTTGATCCACCACGGAAAGCAGGTGGTGGACTTTCTGATCGATTCAACCTTTCAACAGATGAAGAGGCCAAAAGACGACCCTTAGAGTATAAACTTGATGGTGTTGATGGCCTTTGACCAACTCCAGTAAAGTAAAGTCTATTTGAAAAAGGTGAAGATGTTGAAGAGGACAAATAGTCATTGCTAAATTTATTGTCACTCAAAGGTGTCACAACTCTTGACTTGAGACTAATCATATTTTCAATTGTTGGTCAACACTTTGATGTCAATTTATTCAATTAATATATCTTCTTTGATCACTTGATTCTACCGCAGACACTAAGTATAAAATATCGATACTAATTTGTATTATCAAATGCTGGTGAACATGGAAACAAGCAAAGGAAAAACGGTTAACATGAAGTTGCTTCAATATCTTTAACTATGTTTACACACATATACATATGACTATTGCGAAGTTAATGCCAATGTTTGGCTTTTGTTGACTGTTGGAAGCAAAAAAACATGTTGATTATTGAAAGACAGAGAAGAAAGAGAATGATGATAAAGATGGTGAAAGAGGAAGACACAGGATAATCGTAAAGTCTCTTAATAAAAATAGTTGCTTTACCATGGCAAAAGCGCCATTCTTGGCTCATGTTAAATTTGTGGTTACAGTTATAAGTTGAGGAAAAAGAGATTCTGTCAAATTGAATCTGCCTTGATATTAATAACTCTTCTTACTCTTTCTTTTCATCATTCTCGCTCTTTTTTTATTTCATTTCTTCTTTCTAACAATCCTTTGATTCAATTTAATCATAAATTTCATTACCTTCATCTTATTTTATTCATCTGGAACCTTTCTTGCAATTTTATCACACTTGTCATAATTCATTACAATAAATCACCTCAACTCATCCCAATCTGATATCTGTAAGAAATATTATTTTCAGCTGATAATGCTAACTTTGGAGGTTATTCATATTGCTGCACGAGTTTTACAAATTGTTAAACTTATCTGTATTGTTAACGAATCAATGGCGTTTTTCATTATTTAAATGATGAGTTTTCCATTTCAAGGTTCCAATGGTAGAAACCGAAATTGTCTTTGTGATTTATTCACTCATTTTTACTATAATAAATCAATTTATGGGCAAAATTTAATTTTTAGCTTCCAAAATCAATATAAATAAACAATAAATCAAGTTCATGTTATCTAAACATTTTTGATGTAAATCATTTCAATATTTTGAGTCAAAAATTGATTGGTATTTGAATAGGAGAATAATTAGAATCAGGAACAATCCAATAAATTAATTTTTCCGTTAATATCGATCAATTATAACAATAACTTTACACTTGGTTAAATTAACACTAAATTCACTTATTGAAATACTCGATGGTTGATCATGAACCTTGCAGTTAAATGCTATTTAATTTAATAAAAAGCATTCCATATTAATATTATTTAAGGTTATTTAAACTTTTAGTTTTGTGATTAATAAATTATTTAATATTTAATATTAATATTGCCATCAAAATTTCAACTTTGTTTTGGTTATTATATGTTACTTTTTTTAGGATAGATGGCGTTACTTATCGAATTGAAACCGAATTACAAGATTTGTCAGCAGTTTTAAAAGCATTTTATTGTTATACTAAAACTGTTTAATCGATTGCAATTTAACGATTGTCAAAGTGTTTATTTTTGGCCTATTGTTTTACTTCCAATTTATTAATTAATCATTCACCCGAAAATGAAGGACACTCAACGTGACTTGCCGCCCAAAGATGCCAAAAAGGAGAAAGAAAAGGAAAAGGATGACAAGGAAAATGAAATGAGTGAAGAGGACAAGCAATTGCAAGAGGATTTAGAGATGTTGGTAAGCCGGCTAAAAGAAAGTGATACTAGTCTTTACTTGCCAGCTTTGGAACAATTAAGGTCGCAAATCAGAAGTGCAACAACCTCAATGACCTCAGTACCTAAGCCTCTGAAGTTTTTACGGGTTCATTACGATACTCTTAAGAATATTTATGAGTCCATGCCTAATGAGGAGACTCAACGATTTGTCGCTGATATCATTTCAATTTTGGCAATGACCATGCCATTAGATAAATACGATGTCGGAGAAGCTTTAAGGTAGTTTGTTTTTCTTTTAATAACAAAAAAAATGTTTGAATTTCTCTCATTGTTATTTATCCTTCAACAGGTATCGACTGAAAGGAAGTCGAGAAGAAATCGGTTCATGGGGTCATGAATATGTTCGTCACATTGCTGGTGAGATTTCAAGTGATTGGCAAAATGAATCTACTCCCGAACACAAGACCAAGCTTATTGAACTGGTTCATGATATTGTACCTTATCATATGAAGCATAACGCTGAAGCGGAGGCAGCTGATCTTCTCATGGAAATTGAGAAACTCGATTTGTTGGACAGTTACATTGACGATGAGGATGTTTGTCAAAGAGTCTGTCTTTACTTAACAAGTTGTGTTCCTTATGTGCCTGACCCAGAAAACAGTAATATTCTTAGAACGGCTCTTAGAATATTCTGCAAATTCAACAAATTACCTGAAGCCTTGCGTTGCGCAATGCAGCTAAATGATTTGGATCAAATTAAAGCCATTCTTAAGGCCTGTAAGGATCCTGTTTTGCAAAAACAATTAGCCTTCATGATAGGAAGACAACAGATTTTCCTCATGGATGACATTTCGGATAGCGAACTTACTGAAATTATGTCAAACGCTCATCTCAACAGTCATTTTCTTGCTTTAGCTCGTGAATTGGATATTCTTGAACCTAAAACTCCCGAAGACATTTACAAAAGTCATCTTGAAACCTCTACTCGTTCTTCTCATGGCGCAAGCAATGTTGATTCAGCTCGAGCCAATCTAGCTTCATCTTTCGTAAATGGTTTTGTCAATTGTGGGTTCGGAAAAGATAAACTACTTTTGATTGAAGATGGAAATAAATGGTTGTACAAGAACAAAGATCATGGTATGCTTAGTGCCACAGCTTCCCTTGGTTTAATTTTATTGTGGGATGTAGACAGTGGACTTACCCAGATAGATAAATTTTTGTACTCAGCCGAAGATAATATCAAAGCCGGTGCTCTTCTTGCCTGTGGTATCGTTAACTGTGGAGTAAGAAATGATTGTGATCCCGCTTTGGCTTTGCTTGGTGATTATGCTACTCACAGCTCACCTCAAATGCGAATCGGTGCTATCATTGGTTTAGGATTGGCTTATGCTGGATCTAATCGTGAGGATGTTATTAGTACTCTTCTTCCCGTTCTTTCAGACTCCAAACAAAGTATGGAAGTATTGGGTATCACCGCTGTTTCATGTGGTCTCATTGCTGTTGGCTCGGGAAACTCTGATGTGACAGCAAATTGTCTTCAAATTTTAATCGATAGAGACTCCCAAGCAAAATTCGATTTAAAGAATGAGCCTTTCGCTAAGTTTTTATCTTTAGCTATTGGTTTATGTTATTTGGGACGCCAAGAAGAAGCTGAAACAATTCAAGCAACTTTAGATGTTCTCACTAACGAACCTTTCAAAGCAATGTCCAAAACTTTACTGGACATTTGTGCATACGCAGCAACTGGAAATGTTTTAAAAATCCAACAATTACTTCATATTTGCTCCGAAAAGAGAGATTCTAAAGAAGAGGGTGGTGATTCTTCTTCAACTTCCTCCTCTTCATCATCATCCTCATCCTCATCTAAAAAGAAAGATTCTTCTAGCAGTAGCTCATCAACCTCCGATCTTTCAGCCCAACAAGCAATAGCTACTTTGGGGATAGCTCTAATAACAATGTCGGAAGAAATAGGTTCTGAAATGGCTTTTCGATCATTCGGCCATCTGTTACGTTATGGAGATGCAGCCATTAAAAGAACCGTTCCCTTGGCCTTGGCTCTCATTTCGGTTTCCAATCCTAAACTTAATATTTTGGAAACACTTAGCAAATTCAGTCACGATACTGATATGGAAGTTGCCTGTAATGCAATCTTCGCCATGGGAATCATTGGTGCAGGCACCAACAATGCAAGATTAGCTACAATGTTGCGCCAACTTGTACAATATCATGCTAAAGAACCCAATGGACTCTTCATGACCCGAATCGCCCAAGGTTTAACACATTTGGGTAAAGGTACACTCACATTATCACCTTTCCACTCGGATCGGCAACTTTCAGTTCCGACTGCATTAGCTGGTATATTAATCGTTTTGGTCAGTTTATTAGATGTTAAATCAACTATTCTCGGTAAATCCCACTATCTTCTATACTACCTGACTGCAGCCATTCAACCTCGAATGCTGGTTACTTTCAATGAAGATCTCTTGCCCTTACCAGTACCAGTTCGTGTTGGTCAAGCAGTTGATGTTGTAGGTCAAGCAGGTAAACCCAAAACAATCACTGGTTTCCAAACACACACTACTCCAGTTTTATTAGCTCTCGGGGAAAGAGCAGAGCTTGCAACAGAAGAGTACCAACCTTTAACACCTATTTTGGAAGGTTTCGTGATATTAAAGAAAAATCCAAACTATAGTGGATAGAACAAAATATTTATCTAATTTTGTCATTTAGCTACCATAAAAAAAACAAAGAAAAACGCAAAACCAATTAATAAATTAACCAAATTTGTATACTGGAGTGGGATTGAAGAATCCGATTGAAAAGGATACAAAAATTGCTAACTTGTTCATTGATATTTTTTTTCTCCTACAACTCTTTATTTCTATTCTGTCCTCTTTTTCTCCGATCTATCTTTTTTTGTAAGATGACCATCTACTTCTAATATTCTTAAATGGTTTAGCAATGTTTTGATGATTGATAATAAAGTTCACATTGGATTATAAAATTTCAAGTTTGATAAAGTATAAGAATAATTAATCAACTTATCGTATTTTTAATAAAAGTTTCAAAAATCACGCAGTTTATACAATAAATGACTTGTATGAAAAAATTTCTTAATGAAACTAAATCATTCTTTTATACCAGAATTAAAGAATAACATGAACAACACTGTTCATCTCGATAATGTGAATGCAATGAATGATTTGAATAATATGATAAATATGAAGTTCATAGATCATGTCACATGAGAAATTATAAAGATATGATTCGCTAGATGGCATTGTCTAATTTTGAGATTTTCACTGCTTTTACATTGTGTTTAAATTTAAGCAACTATTTTGACTCATCTTCAAGTCTTTTTTTAATTATCTTTAATTATAATATTCTAATTCCCAACTTACTCCCTTGAGCTTGTGCTTTGTAGTTAACTATAGTCAAAATGAATATCCGTTGTGCTAAGCCGGAAGATTTAATAAACATGCAGCATTGTAACCTGCTATGTTTACCTGAAAATTACCAGATGAAATATTATTTCTACCATGGTTTATCTTGGCCTCAACTATCATATGTAGCTGAAGATGAAAGTGGTAAAATTGTCGGATATGTCCTGGCGAAAATGGAAGAGGATTCAGAGGATGATCCTCATGGTCACATTACCTCATTGGCTGTCAAGAGATCTCATCGTCGTCTAGGATTAGCTCAGAAATTAATGAATCAATCATCTCGAGCTATGGTTGAATGTTTCAACGCCAAATATGTTTCACTTCATGTGCGAAAAAGCAATCGAGCTGCTTTACATTTATACGCCAATACATTAGGATTTGTAATTCACGAGACTGAACCCAAATACTATGCGGATGGTGAGGATGCCTATGCCATGAGAAGAGACCTTGCTTCTTTTGCTAAATCTGATACTAATAAATCCAGTTGAAACAAGTACATGTGTATTTTGTTTATCTTTATTAAATTCTCAGCTTCATCAGACATACATTTTTGTTACCACTACAGCTGATTTGGAATTAAGATGTGTTTCTTACTTTTTCTACTAATTTCCAAGAAATTTAAAATTTAGTCAACAGATCAATGTTATGTTTGGTTAACACTCTTAACAAAAGCAAATATTTGAAGACCACAATTTGAAGGATAAAGATTAATCGAGACGAAATGAACCTAGAGTAATAAATACGGGAAATAAGGTTTTTGGTACAATTTAAAGTTGGAAGTAAAAAATCAAGACCAAAGTGTTAACGATTAGAAAAGGCAGCAAAAGTGATTAAAAATGGATGGATTAAGTGAAGCATAATTTCTAAACTAGCTCGTTTAAACCTTAATTTATAAGCAACCTTCATTATATTAACCATTATTGAAATAGATTGACAACAATCAAAGGTTCAATGAACACTCACCTATGGGGGGCTTAAAATCGCTTCGATTGTCAAGGTTAATTATTCAACTTAAGGTTCAAAAGAGTAAACAACAATAGCTGTTGTGACTAAATTTGGTTATCAAAATTTAACGAAAGGTTAATTTTATCAAATGAAAAAAAATGAAACCAAAAATCTGTAATCTAATGCTGAAATCTAGTGAAAAGGATATTGAACGTCAATTTGGCCTCTCATAACTGATCAAAGCAAGTATTGTTAATCAAACTTCCTGCTAAAGTTACCTCGAGAAATTAACTTCTAATAACTTATTTGTTCAATCTCAAACTTAAATATTTAGTTAGTTTTACTTTTTAGTGAATACTGATTGCGGAAACTATATTTAGCATTAATTCAAGGTATATCCATCAATCTCACCTAAATTTGAAACAATTTTCTAAATCATTACACAAAAAAACTCACGATCAATGTTAAACAGTTATGCATTTATGATAAAATATTAAAAACATGATTTAAATACAAATGAGATTATTTCATTGTATTATGGCATGTAAAACCATGCATTTGGTTAATTATTCAACTGACAATTTTAAGGTTTAATAATGGTAAGAATTACGAATCAAATGATTAATATCTATTGTCAGATCATGAATAATAAGATTGAAGATGTATTACAATCAGATGCAGCTATAATTAAAGGGAGTAAAGATGGCAACAATTGAAATTGAATGTCAATTTGATTATAAGTTTCATAATGTGATGGCTAAATTGTTCATATGTCACATCTCATCCTGACCAGCAAACAATTAATGTGTCCAACTATATGATGATAGCACAAATTTGAAGGTGAACAATTAAATAGAGAAGTATTTAAGGTAATGTTTAATTTTATAACCTAAATTGACGGACAGAGTTACATCAGCAAAAGAACGACAATTTACTCGAAGATTTGACTTGCTTTTAATTGTATACTGATTTAATAATTTGCCATTATAATAAGGTAAAGGATATATCTTTAGATTATGTATTTGCTTTTGAAATTGATTAAATAATCAAAACAATGAATTGTTATATTAATCTACTGTGAATGTAACAGTTAATAGCGTAAATAAGAAACAGATGAAAGCTTATTTAATACTCCAAAACGAACTGCTACTGATACATTGTATAAGTTGTAAATTAAATTAAAAATTATTATCAATAACTGTTATCAAATAAAATGGACCACTTAATTTTCAGGTAAATTACAGGATAAATTAACAGAAAGTTGGATTAATCTGATTAAGTTGCACAGCAAAGAAAAGGTTAACTGACCATTGAAATAAAACAAGGATAAAAAGGTTAAAACATTCATTAAGAAAGATCAACAGATGATTAGTTGATACCTAAAATCTGACGATGAAATTTGAATTTGATGACGAGTATAGTTAATCCTGTTAATAAGTTCATTGTTTGACCATATTGGTTTGATAGTAATGACTTGTAAAAAATTGATGCAAACAAAAAAGCTGATGAGGGTTTACATCAACAGCTTGTCTATTCAAGTTTGACTTGCAAAAGTACTGGCGAAAAACTCGTCAATTTCAATCATTTAATTAAACAAAATTGATGTAAATGATTAAATAGATCGATTAACCTTGATTAAAACCCGTATTGTCAATAATAAAGATGATTCAATTTACACTCATTTTCATAGATGAAAACATCACCAGCAACCTGTAAACCTCCATGTCCGACAAATCACTTTCATTAAAGAAACTGTTAAATAATTCCGATGAAAGTCTTAAACTTATTTAGATAACAGTTCAACAATCAAATAACAATGTCATAATTAGCAAAATATTTAATAAAAATAAAACTGTAAAATTGATTTGAAATGAAGGATCAATTCGTAATTAACAAAATTTGTTTCGCTTCAGCCTTTACCCAAAGAGCTGAATAATGGGTCGATCTATCGATTCCCCAATCAATATATTGATAATGTGAAAGCCCAAGTGATTAAATTGTTTAATAGTTAACTCGAGTGAAAGTAATTATGGTCAACTGATTATCAAGCCCTATTACAATGGTCACACAATGATCAATTGGACAAGGTTTAAATCGCCATTTAATTTCAAGGTTTCAATCAAATACAATCGGAATGAACATTGAATGAGCAAAAAATTTATTTCATTAATAATTGGCCTAAATGACCTTCTAGGATGATGATTAAATTTTTATCTTTGATTATATAAGGTTCCCTTTTGTTGGTCAATTCAATTGTAATATTGTTACATCGGATTGGCCAGCAACAAAATGTTTTCAAATAATACCCAAGAAAAAAATATCAAATAATGAAACTACATACATAATAGTTGGTAATTCAATAACAAATGAAATGAAAAAAGGTAATAAGGATAATGATGATTAAGGACGATTTACTAATGTCAATTTTGATTGTTAACATAAATCGTAAGAATCCTTGTTAGTCCTTGAAGGAAACACTCAAACAAATCTCAATGTTTTCACATTTGTACAGTTAAAATCAATTGATTACAATTTGGTAAAATGTTGAATTGTAAAACTGAATTGAGCCGGAAGGCATTGCTCCTATGGTCAGCCTTGATATTTAACATTGACCATTAACAGACTGTGTTAATGAAAAAAATATGTAATAACATTACCAATCCTCACCTTTGTGGAGTTTGTATTACACAGAATACAATGATTTGAATAACCATTTGGTAATCATTTTATTTGATGATTTATTCAACACTCAACAATCAATCAAGTATAACAAAAAGCTAAGATTATTTATTTAATTCAATGTTTACAGTAATCAGTTGCAATATTAAATTGGCAGTTATTGGGTTAGATTGAAATATTGTAGGCTTTTTCATATTGATTTCAATGGGGTTTTAGTTTATTAACAATGTTTCTTGTCGAGCTTTTGTTTTTATTGTTAAATGTGGTTTTTGTATGACAGCTTAATTATATCAGTTCAACTGTTTGAGTTGATAATGATTTATTTGCGTATTTCAACTCTAATCGCAGCAATTATCCATTGCGTGTCACTTTAAATTGTCAATCGGCGTTTTTTGCTTCAAATTTGGTGAAATAAATTTGAAATGGCAATTTATTTGGGTGTTGGTTAAATTTCTTGTGTAATTTAAATGATATAACCAGGGAATGTAAACAAGGAAATGATAATAAACATTGGCAATGTCCAAGATTTGTACCCAAAAGGCTAGTCTTGAAGGACAAGGAGTTTGAAGACATTTTTTTGCTATGGTTAGAGTGGATTGGGTTCAACATGGGTTTATCATTGTTATTATCATTTCAACGCTAATTTACTGACAATAATGGCTCTAAATAATGATTATGGAGTTTCAATTCAATTATGGGAATCTCTTATCCAATGGCAATTACCTTTTCGTGTAAACCTTCAAGAAATCGTCATTCATACTACAATCAACTTTCCGATTTTTTCATCTCTATTGTCAATCATTAAAAAGCAGTATTTCCCTCTCCGCAAGGAAACCTTCATCTTCATCTTCTTCATGAACAACTGATTTCGGAGATTACCTTTATTACCTTCAATCCGGATAATCAAAGCAAACTGTTGACCACCAAATCCAGTCATTTCATTAAAGTCATTATCAAAACAATTACAATGACAACCAAAGATCTCTGACTGAAAATGGGTTTCTCTGGTTTAACTTTCCCATCAACATATCTTGAATCTAATTTTTACTTTTGTCACAGAAAACAATTACAATATAATTTGCATACCTACTAATTAAATCAAAATAAATGTTCACTGATTAATAATAAAGCTAGTTGGCTAAAAACCTATTGAACTACGGGAAAAATAAATTTGGATAACCAAGTAATTCAAGGTTTGATCAGTGAAAAAAAAGATGCAGTGAAATGGTTAATTAATTTACCAATAATAGCTTGCAAATGATTATGACAAGAGGCCGATGAATGTACCGATGACAATAAGTTTCACACGATTTTAATGATTACTCGCTAATTATTAATCAAATCACAATGAGCGCGTCAACATAGAGTTTAAATTCAACTTGTTATTCCCAGTAAATCTGTTGATTAAGCTAGCAAAGAAACACGGGTAAACAACAATTGGTTTTAGTCAATTTGTATTGTTTTTTTTGTGATTAACTAACTTGTCTTGAATTGCTTGACTGTCACAGACACTGTTAGCTGTATGTACATACACAAATCAAGTCCTTCATTAGGCTAGTTAATCATTATTACAATTTAAACTCAACAATTGACAGTCTCTCCATCCAGTCTTGCTTTGCCTACAAGGACAATCTCCACCTTAGCCACGATTAAACCTTGCCACCCACTTTCTTAATTGTGATACATTTAATTGTTATAATGTAAGTATACCCAAGTATCTTAGTCATTTCCCTCCTCTTGTCATCATCTCTCCTCCTTTTTTCCTCACTCTCTCTCTCTCTCTTTTCATCAACCTCTTCATTACCATAACATATCCACTTTTTTTCAAATGCAATACAGTTGACACTGTAATACACCTCGTGTATTCCCCGTCCTCATCTTCTCTCTCTTTCTCTCTCATCTTCCAAGATTAAGTTTCCTCTGATAGACATGGTTACCTGTGATTTCAATCAACAACCTGTGGGCTTCAATTCCCTCCCTCTTCTCAAAAAACCACCTTCCTCTATTCAGCTGGTTAAAGCCTAGGTCAATGGGAAACCATTGAGTTGTGATACATAAAGTAATAACAAAAAAAAAATGATTGAAAAAAGTGAAATCACCAATTGTTATATTTTGTTATCAACTCCTTCTTTAATAAATAGCGATATTAATCATCCACCATATGATTTTGTAGTTGATAAAAAGGGTTTTGTGTGAACACAAAACTCATATTAATTTCAGTTTATCTTGTCATTTACCTAATCACCAACCAACCATCAACTAACGATCAATTTAACATCAACCCAAACTCATCCAACTATTGACCAGTGCAAAGTGTCTTTACTATCAATTGTGATCTAATCAACCTCATCTTGTTTTTGTTTTTGTTTTGTTTTCACTAATCAATTGTTTTGGGTTCATCAAGTTATCATGAAGACTCCGAGTTGGAAAAAATGGTTAATACTAATTGTTGGATTAATGGAGAATCTAATTTTCACTGGAAGCATTCTCGGTTGGTCTGCATTGAATTACATGCTTAAAGAAGAAGGTGTTTTTGAAAACCTTTGTGATTTACCCGTAAATTCAGACATTCATATTCCAATGATTCCAAGCATTTTGCAAAACTATTCAACAATTGAATATCTTCCCTTTGAAACACACAATTTAATGCCACCATCAACCCAATCATCATTAATAACATCATCAAATGTTTCAAGCGTCTTTTACACCAACCAAGTATGTAAATTGATCAACTTTCACTTCTTTTCACTCAATTTCCCAAAAATTCATTCTCTTTCATTTCCACAAAATTCAATGAGACACTTTAATTTCACTATTTCCGGAATTCACACTAATTGTTATTCCAATCTCATTCTAAATTGTCCTCAAGTTGAACCTAACTGACATTGGAAAACAGAATTCTATCAAATCAGATTCCATTGATCAAACCAGAGCAACTGTGTATTCATCAGTAATATAGTATTCAAATCAAGTTCAACCAAACCTTGAAAATACCCAAAACTATGGAAGTAAACAATTCAAACAAATTGATAAAATTAGTCGACATTTGCAATCATTTGTAAAATCAACAAGATTTTGTCAATTTCATGATATAAATTGTAACGGAAAAAAGTGTAAATTTTGCATAATTAAGGAAGCAATTAACTTTTTTGTGTAACAACTTGTAAAATTGAAAATCCAATGAAGGCCTGACGATAATGAGACGAGTAAAGGAAATGACCTTTTCAATGTTTAACTATTTAAATCAACAGAATCAGATAAATGACCGATACCTGGAAGTGTTCACAATTCATCTAATTGTGAAGGTGATAATGATTGCAATATCAGTTGAAGTCAAGTCTTGCAAAAAAACACATTTCTCCGAAGATTTGAGTTTGTTTTTTTATTGTTCAAAATTGAACATTTTAAACCATTTGAAGGCAAACCCGGAACCTTTAAATATTAATTTGAAGGTTAATTGTCAAATTAACTAAATTTCATTCTCTCCTAAAACGGTTCAGCATTTATTAATAAATCACTGATTTCTGTACTCGGTTGATCACCTCAGCAGGTCCAACAGTTACAAGGACTAAACAGTCAACATTTGATTCAATTGTTCAATTAATAGTTGATGAGAGACAAAAATAAAGCTCATTTTGCTTGATTCATTGTCAACAATCAAATATCTCGATTTCTAATCAATTTACTGATTTAAAATAAACACTAAATTGTTGACTTAGTTTTCAGGTTTTCTCAGTTTTTCCTAAAGATTTTGCTGTTTTTCATTTTCCGATGATTTACTGATTGTTGATTTAGATTCACTGTTTCAGGTTTATTTGTTTGGTTAAAGTAAAAATGTTTGTTTTTCTGTTCTATTTTCATGGTCAATGTCGATTTAATCATTCAGAATCAGTACGAATCTTTTGTAACCTTAATTACTGTTAATGTTGTTTCCTGACAATTTTTGCAACAATTTGGTTACATTTAACTTGATCGACAATCAATTCTGGTTACCAATTGTTGCTAATATTAACATTGAATCGAGAAAATTAGTTGATTATTTACATGGAAAAGCAAATTTTCTAGAAGAATTTACATTTATATTTTGATCATAATTGCTTGCAAATTACAATATAATTAGTGTGAATGGCTAATGGAGTGAAATTTTCTGTCAATGTTTTCATGGAAGCTTTACGTTTCTTTGTTGATACATTTTATGGATTCATTTGTTGTTTTTCAGGCTCATTATTTATCAACAATTTATTGATTCTCATTTATTTAGGATCTGACTGATAATTCAACACGCTTATCATCAATAATATCTTCTCTGTCATCAACACCAACGCCATCAACATTAACAATTACAAGCAAAACCTGTGCAACTCAGGATCGTGTTTTAAATTTAGCTTTCACTGTTGGAACCTTTTTCAATGGCTTTACTGCCTTTGTTTGGGGATTTTTGCTTGACAAATGGGGCTTGAGAAGGGTTCGTCTCTTGATCAAGTGAGTAATCAATTTAACTAATCACAATCTATTTTAAAATGATCATTTTAAGGTGATTTTAGACTTCCATCTTTACAATTAATGCATAGAGTTATTGGGTTTGTTTCATTGATGCTTACATTTTTAGGTGAAAATTTGGTTGAGTTGGTATCATAATGTTAAATTTACCCATTTCTTGATTGTTTGGGAATTCAAGGAATTCATTTTATTAAGTAAATAAATTGAATTTGATTTGCTAGGCAAGTGCAAAACTGTAAATTGCATTTATACCTTTAAACGGCTTCGTTTGGTTTGCTTATTGATAGTCAATGAAACAATTTTACTGCCAATTTAGTGATTTATTTGTGTTTTTAAAGTAACAATTTAGATTATACCTTTTATGTATTTCAGCTTATTTATGTAAATGGTTCGTGATAAATCATTATAATTGATTGTGGTTAATAATGTTAATAATAAAATTGTACTCTTCTCATTGACAGTGCGTTTTTAACACTTGGTAGTATTTTACTTTGTTTCACCTCAAGAGGTAAGTTGCTTTTCAATTTGTTTTCTTGATGATGTTTTTCGTCTTTGACTGTTGAAAGTCAACAATCACAATATTGTTAGTTTGATTGTTTGACTATAAAAATGACAGAATAAGAAAAAAATTGACAACATAAAGGCCGTTTTCTTGGCTTGTTGGTTACTCTTTTAGACAAAATATTGTCTTGATTAAAGGCTCAACATTTTTGGGTGTTGAAAGTATTGTCAAAGATTGTTGATCCAGATTGATGCACATGAAATGATAAATCCAGTCTTGTCTTAGATTATTCAAGATTTAATAATCTCGTACAAAGAAGCACGTTCATTATGTAACCAGATTTTATTTATAATCTTAGGCCTACAGCAACCACAATTTGAATAAGATGTTTTAGTAACAATATTTCAAACAATTAGATCATCAATATCTGGTTTCAGCTGAAAACCCGCTGTGTTTTAATAGCAACTAACTCCTTCCAGCCGATATTGTAACAATGTTACTCTGTGACAATGGCTTGTTGGTGAACCCTTTGTCTATAGTGATTATTATTAATTTATGCTTTATTTTTGTTTAATTATTAGTTAATTAATTGTGCTTTTTTGAGTTGAATAATTTATAACTTAAATTACCAAACAAACGTTACTTCTAAACAATTTCAATCAATCTGTTTAACCTTAATGCAATATTTCACTGTTGAGTGTTTCATCTTTTATCAACCTCATATGATATTAATCCTTTGTTGGCCTCTTCTTAGCTCGATCATACTTGATATTTCCATCAGTTATACTTCTATGCCTCGGTGGCGTTCCTCTTCGAATTGCCAATATGCAAATAGCCAATCTATTTCCAAAACAGCGATCATCTGTAATTACCTTCTATAGTGGAGCTTTCAGTGCGTCAGCGTTCACTTTTGTCATTCTTAAATTTATGTTTGACGCTGGATTATCTTTCTATTGGACCAGCTTTACCCTTGTACTATTAAGTCTTGCCATGTTACCAGCAACCTTTTTCTTATTACCTTCAACTGTTATCAAAGAGGATGATCTATCTGGTTCTAAGCTTGCCTTAACCTTTACCGGAAATCGTAAATATTATGAGAAAAATATTACCGGTCCAGTTACATTAGAAAAATTTCGTTCCCTGAAAAGTCCTTCAACGGGACGCAAAGTATTTTCATCATTTTCATCAAACACATCATCTCTATCTCCATCCATAGAGATTCCAAATAAACTTTCTTCAGGTCTACCCATTCCTCAAAGGACTACATATGAAGCAGATAATTTAGCTTATGTTTCTCATGGATCTGACGATGATAGTTTAGGTAACCTTTCACACATTTCAACGACATCGACTGTTACAACAGGAGCAACGACGCCAACCTCATCAGTTGATGGTTCACCTTCATTATCTGCGTCAACAGTTACACCAAACCCTAGTGTTTCCCCACCACCAGTTCCATTGAAAGTTTCACTCTTCTCTTTAGCCTTCCTTCTTCATCAATGGTGGTTCTCTTGGCTTATAACATACATGATTATGTATGTTGGATCCATGAATCTTTGGTTAAATCGTGTTACCCATGATGCAGTGGTTGCAGGCAACTTTACTAAAATTTATGGTCTCATTCAAATACTGTCTCTTGCCATAGCTCCTTTAGCTGGATTTTGGATGGACTATCAAGTTAATCAAGCAGATTTAGTCGCAGATCCACTAGAAAGGAAATTAAAACGCATTAATTCAGGCTTCTGGCCCATGATGTTCACGACAGCAACTTTAGCAGGAATTTTGGCTTGTCGATTCTTTAATACTCCACTTGCCATTTATATATCGATACTTTTCATAACCTTTCTACGTTCTTTCCTCGTCGCTGTTGCCTCAGCTTTCTTAAGAATAAGGTAACTACACAATTTTACTTATTTTAACGAAACAAACTTAATTTCTTCACAATAAGTCTACCAAATTCAATCTTTTGACAATGGTGCATTTGTTTCAATAGACCTATTCTTTAAATTATATTCTGTTTTGTTATTATTGTGTTCATTTCAAATACCTAATCCCATGTAAATTGAGCTCATATATATTTTTTCTGGCCAACCCTTAAAATTGTTTTAATGCTGAATGAAATTTCAGAAATCACATGGACATTACTCAATCATAAGGTCAATGTTTAATCAAAATTTTGATAGTCATTTAAATAAGGAAAAACTATGACCTTTTCTTTTCTATCATTTTCAACATTTTCCCTGTTGTCTGTAAAATTTATATTATACAAACACTATTAAACAGAATAATCAGAGCGTTAACAGGAGAATAGTAAAGATCAACAGTAAATGACTGCTTTTTGCGGCATTGAAATTAATTTTCTTATAGTCTTTAGTCTTGAATCTTGATTATCGTATTGCAATTCAGTTTTCCCAATTTCCAAAGTTTTTAGAAACATTTATATCTCAATTAACACATAGAACACATTGATTACTCGTCTATTTGGTGTAACACAACATAAGTTCATAATTTTTTTAATTTCAGCCATTCACTAGAAATTTGAAAACAATTGAATGTTTAAAAATTAAAAATGAATAGTTGGTTTGTATGCTTGCTAACCGATTCCTCTAATGTCCATTAACAGGTTTCCTGGTGACCATTTCGCTCGATTACTTGGTATTATGAGCACCTTTGGAGCAATTATCTCATTATTACAGTTTCCTCTTTTCATTTGGGAGGCGAGTTCACCTGAATGTGCTTTATGGGTAAGTCAAATCTAATCGATAAAAAAAGTTAAAATTATTCGAAGTCTAATTTCGTTTATCAATCTTATTTTCAGGTCAATCTATTCAATTGTGTTTGCACTGTTTTGGCGTTTTTAAATCCCCTTCATCTTGCATCAAGAAGACTACAGAAACGGTTGCTGGAAAAGGAAGAAAGACAGTTAATTCTCGCTCAAAGTTAATTTTGAACGCTTATTAATCACTGGTGATCAGGGTAAAATAGCAAAATCAATTTTAGTGATTTCAAGTTTCTAACTTTTCTCTCTTGCTATTCACCAATAGGTCCTAAACCATCAACTTTCAATAATCATTTGAATTTTCATTATTTCATCTTGTAATTTAACTAAAGCCAAAACAATTGTTGACCTCAACCTTTGTTGCTCCTTGTTAATATTTAACCCATTTTGTTTTTCACTAATCAAATGGCTAATAGTAATTAAACTTGACAATCTTAAAGGTTTTCAAGGGTTGCTACTTATTGCATTGTACTTCCAGTGGCGTGTACAAAGTACGATGTGTTTGTTTTTTATAAATATTTTGAAATTTTAACATTTATCTATTTATTAATTTCCAAATTTGATATAAATATTAATTGTTATTTGTATTGTGCTAATTAAAAACTTATTGCCAAAAAATTAAAATAAATCTTAAGGCTGAAATGTAAACTTGTTACGACTCTCTCATTATAATCGATAAACAATGAAACGTGTCTTCATTCAGTTATAACTAATTATTGTTTTTATTTGTAATTAAATAGAAGGTGAATGAAAACTATAAAAAATAGTTTTTATAAAAAAAACAATGATCAATGAAGTGATCATGAAGTGTGTATAAGAATGAAAAATTACAAGAAAATATTGAGTTTGTTTTTTAAAATTCGTACCCAAAATGGTGATCCAATAACATTGATTGTTTATGATCAGCATCAGGTAATTATTTGAGAAAGTCAAGCATCTAATGCACTGAGTTTCAAGTATCGACGGAAAATTTAACAGTCTATAGCGAAGAACTTTTTTACTAGTCAATCATCTTCATACATCAATTGTAATCGTGTGCTGTAGTTTTGTCTAAACAAAAAAATCAAATTTAATTAAGCTGATTGTGTTGAGTTATTATTTGAGCTATTGTTATTATTATCGTTTCCATCAGCTCCAAGTGCTTCATCGACTAAAGCCATAATTGTTTTGAAATTACGAGTAGAGCCAGCATGGTTACCATACCATGGATATTGAGATGGGCACGAGGTTGGATGGCAAATTGGCATATATCGAGTGTCTGATCGAACAGCTTCATCAGCTGTAGCTGCTTCACCATTCTTATCGAGATAGTGTTTAACGACACAAGTATGGGGACGATTACAGGCTCCAGACTTTGGCTCTTCACATTTAGGACTCCAAGTGCCCAAAGGTTGAGGATCTTTCATCCAGGAAATCAATTGTTGGAAGGTGACAAAGTAAACATCCTTGTGGTCCTTTAATGTTTGCTCGATAAATTTGTTCAAGGCTCGAACCTTGGTTTTAGAGGTGAACCAGGTAACATGGAAATTCAATTGGAATGGTGCACGATTAGTTGAATAATGGCGATTAAAGTTGTCTGTTAGGAAGTCGACTATGTCTGATCCATCATCTGTTTCATCAGCCGATGGGAAAACACATTGATCCAAGTGATGACATGTATTAAATTCATTGAAATATGGGTTGATTGGAATTTCCCAGAGTCCTGGATAAGCTTTGGTTGGACATTTAAGAGGCCGACCAAGATAAGGTGAGGAACGTTTGGATCTATCCAAAAGATGAGTTGATCGTTTCTGCCTTTGAGGAGTTCCTGGTGGTGGTCCTCGTCCATTTCGTCCATCAGAATTAAGAATGTCTGCTCTTCCTTCAGAAGATGAACTTCCAGATTGACCATTGCCTCCATTATTATTGTTGGCAGCATTGTTTGAACAGTCAAATGGTTGACGATGATCAAATGTGAAGGGCCAAATGGGTACAGGACTTCGAGGAGCAACAATCGTAGAGTCGTACATTAAACCAAAATCATGTAACATTTCAAACATTGCATCGCCACCTGATAAGAATAGAAATTAAATTTTAACCATTTTGCTTCACTAGTTTTTTTCAAGTTACTAGGTTATTACCAGGTTTAAAGTAAGGTCCACGATGGCCGACAATATTGTCCCTTGTAAGGACTCCGTTTGTGGTAACTCCTCCATTGGCAAATTTAAGAAGTATTTCTCTCATTCCAATAACTTCTTCAGCCCATTGAGAATAGTTGGCACGATCAGTCCACCATGTTTCGGGTGTTCTATGACTACAAAGAGATACAAATTTATTCAATACAAATTTGATCAATTACCTTTTATGGCTTACGTGATTGTATGAAGTCCAATTTCGTGTCCCTGTGCAGCGAGCCATTGAATTTCTGCATAATTGGCATATTCATGATTGATGAAAAAGGTTGATTTGATTCCACATCCATTTGGATTATTCCTAAAAGATAAATCATGTTTAATATTTTTGAACACACATAATTATTGCAATAAACGGAACAACAAAAGGATAACAGAACCATTGAGACTCTCAATTCAAGCTTTGAGTATGATTTTAAAATAAATTCACCTTGATTGGGCGGTTGAATATTTGCCACTGTAACCAAGAATCTTCTTGTAAGGATCAAAGACAAGTTCATTAACAGCTCCACTGAAACTGAGCAGAATAAATTGAGGAACTTGTGATACTGGCAATGATCCTAAAAGAAAAGAAAATGTATATTAGAAAATATTTGTCGCTCTAATCTGAAAGATCATTTCATAAAATACAATTAAAATGACAGCCGATGATAAAATGGTAAATACCTGGAATGGTTGTTCCTTCATCAGAGCAAAAACAATTTGGAAGCTGACAAGTTTGCTTATTACAAATGGTCAATTTTTCTTGATTTGTTGAAAATTTTTCTTCTGGATCTTCTTCAACTGGACCACAAATCAAGGAAGCAGTTTTAAAAGTACAAAATTTAAGCTTGTCATCAAAATAAAGTGAAGGTGGACAGGCTTGTGAGTATGCATGGTAAGCACCGCAAAGGTAAAATCTTTTACAATTACTGGGATCAGCGTAAAGTCCATCTGATCTTGGACAAGCAAATGGAGCTTGATCATCGCCATCTTCACTTTCCTCTGGTTCCTCGGGTTTATTACGTGAAACTCCTCGTGATGGAGGCGGTGCAGGGGTCGATGAAGGTGGTGATGGAACTTGAGATCGACGACTATTTGGTTGACTACCAGATTGTGGTGCTCGTCGACCTTGTCCCCATGTTTGACCTGTCGATAGAAATAAATAGAATACGGAAATTTAATACAATCATATGTAACAAAATGATCGGCATTTACGGAAGTTAATAGCGTTTACTGAACATTGTATTGTCGGGTGTATAATAATATAACAATGAAATTCAATTGATTGAAGGATTCTGCTAAATATAATAGCAATTTAGAAGCTAAAGATTCATTATTATCAAAAGGATCAAATGATAATAATCAAACTATTTGTAAACAAAAAAGGTAAACAGGTTTAAATGAGAGAACAGAGAAAATTGAATTCACAATTTTCAATTTGATCATTTGATTATTATTATTATGACAAAAGAGGAAATTAATGACTTGACCAGGTAATTTTAATTATGGCAAATCAATAGCAAAGTTACAGCATTTTTGCGGAAGTTTGGATTAATCATTGAATATAACCTTAATTAAATCATTAGAATTAAAATTTTTGAGCTAATTTCTTAAAGATTTTAATTCAATTGATTAATGAAAAAATGGGTTTACTTGATGAAATTTTGCGACTTTTTCATTCTAAATAATTGATTTAAATTTATTCATGAACTAATATCAAGTGAGACTTTTGCAATTGAAAATCAAAATGAAAAGCTTCATCGATTTTACTAATTGTTGATATATCGCAATATTGTAAGCAATTAAAGAATGGTTTAAACACAATTCGGGTTTAAATTGTCGAAGCAAATCCTTATAAAGATGATCAACTTGAAAATCATCGAACTTGATCTTTCAGAAAATTTCATCTCAACAAACTTGATCGTTTACTTGAATATTTAAGGATCAAATAAATTGTGTCATATTAAGAGTAATGTATATTTATGATATTAAAGTCATTAAAGGTTGAAAATTCATTGATGGTAATGTTGAATGTTAAATTGTATGAAAATGTGTGTTGATTGGTACAATTAAGATGACCTTATAATTGTGGGTTTACTTGACTTGTTGGGAACAAGCAAAGTTTTCATCAAGAATAAAACAGTTGATTGTTTCTAATAGTTGAGCTGGCAATCTAAAAATAGTTAAGTTAAACAACTGAATTACCTGAAAAGAGATTGAAATTTCAATCAGTAGCAAAAATCAGTCTAATGATCAAGAGTTAAGAATGGAAAGAATGAGAAGAAAAAAGATGTTCCAAACCAAATTATTGTTTAATTTGTTTTCCGTGTAAAACAAAATTGTTAACACTAATTAACACATTTTAAACGGAAATTTGATCACATATAACGTAATTAAGACGATCAGATGAGGTAATACAGTTAAGTGGCCGGTATTACGCATCTGATGGACATCAGGGATAAGATTTGGCTATTAGTATCAAACGTTGCTTCCGTGTCATGCCAATTTTATTATTACAATTTTTGCTCAATTGATATTGTAAACAAGTTAATAAGGATAATGATATTGATACGTATCATGAAAAGTCAAAGTAGAGTGAGTTTGACCAAATATTGAACCAAGAAAAGTATGGAACCATTTCGCGATTGTTGAATCTGATTTACTTTAAAGTTCATCATTGGTTAGATGCACAAATTTTAAGCTCATTAAAGCGTAATCTGCTCCACCAAATTATACAAGTAAATAACATGTTAAAATAAGCTTCTTGATTTATAAGCTGAACTTAATCGACAAATAAAAGGGTTTAACGGGTTTGTTACTTCTAATGCAATAATAGCGGTTTCATGTTGTACTAAAGCGCTTGCCTGCTATTGGGACACGGGCACTTTACTTTTGAAATAAACCTGTCGCATTGGTTTGTCTATTTTTTATCAACAAAAACACTTCTCAAAGAACGGGATAGATGATGAAAAAGGCTTGAAATTAAACCAGCGTCGTTTAGCAGGAGATTTTTTGAAGGCAACATTAGAATTTTAGGTTTTTCCTCTTCTCATCTTCCTACTCAAATAAAATCACACATGATTGAGTTATCTGGTTCTTCCAACAAACGGTCTTTAGTCTTCACTGTTTATCTACAATACTATTCCAAATATTAATAAATACATGATACAGATGACGATAAGCACAAAATTTTAAGTTAATTAATCGGGCGTAATTAAATGATGTTAAGTGAAGAAATTGCACCAAAATTAATCAATTAGAAAAGAGTAGATTAACGTTCACCCAAAACAAGATTTTTTGCCAAACCAAAAGATGAAAGCCGACGCAGGTAAAAACGTCTCAAATTGGTGGATCCATAAAAACATCAGATTAAATTTACACTTATTAATTGATTTTATTGTTGGTACACATATAATAACAACACACTAAATTAACAGTTATTTGGTAGTCCAGTAATTTAAAATGAGTGGTTAAAAAAGAGATCAATTGAAATCACAGTATAAACAATAGACGCCATTGTAAAAGTAAACAAATTGGGTAATGGAAAAAATGAGTCAACTTACCGATGAGTAATGTGACAAGAATAAGAAATATGGCAGTTTTCATTTCTTGGCAGTTGTTCACAGTCGAATGAAAAGATTGGATTTAGTTTAACTTAAATTATTGTCGTTTTTAAAATCAACTTTTAATTACAAATTAAATCCTTGTTTATCGTACAGCCATGGGACTGTGGTTGCTGCTGGCAAATTAGCTTGGAATAACTAGTTTTTTGTCCAAAAGGTATGTATAATTGTTTGTGTCTTTGTTTTACCACAAAAATAAAAAGGTTACATTCACAGCTTTTGTGAATATTTTGGTGATGGTTTTGATGATACAATGTTAACTTTATTCCCTCAAGTTTTTTGTTTAATATTGGGACAAAGAAAGCTGGCGATGATTATGATGGCGATGATGATACAGGAAGAAACTGACAAGCAAATAAATTTGGAAAACCACTAAATTGAAATGAATTTAATGTTATTCCGTACTGGGCAGCAACTGGAAAGGACTAATAACATTTTGCTTGGGACATTATCGTTGTTGTTCCCAAGAAGAAGGAAAGGTAAGGAGACATCATGTTAAAGAAAGAAATTAAGGCGGTGAAGAGAGAAGAAAGATGTTATAAGATGCAGTAAGAAAGCTTCGAACGTGGCCTGTTACAGATACAGGTAAAGTTAATCTAGGTCATCAGATCACTAGTTAATGACGCCTTCTTTTTTCTCATTATTTATCTTCATCTTTGTCTTTATTCTTCTTTCATTTCAGCTTACTCCTCTTAAAGTTTTTTTCTTCATCTTCACTCCAAACAGATATATATCCACACCATATCAGGAGCAAACCCATCTTCACTGCCTTGATTGTTGATCCACAACTGCAATATCATCAATTTTATCACAATTTCTAAAGACGGGTTTAGTTGACGTTTTTCAAGCCAATCTCAGCCAACCCAAGTCAAGCCAAGCCAAGCTCACACTTTCCATTATTATTCAATTCATACCAACAACTGCGAAAGCTTCACATCATCAAAGCTTATTCCCATTCAAAGCTTTGGGATTTACTTTCGGACAAGAATGATGCTCCTATTGAATAACCTCATTCGTTGATGTAAATAGTTAAATTGGCCGATACCATCAATTCATCACTCAAGTTTCTCCAAATTCAGATATTACTTGGCCAAGGAATGTTTTCTCGACTGAAAAGCAATATGAAAATTCAATTGTAACTAATGAATCCCTCTTTTTGTCGTATTTATTGCTAAAATATAATGATATTTTCCTTGATTACCTTTTGTAATCTTTTTGGAATTGGAAATTAGTTCGCTTTTTGATTGGAATCGTAGCAATCGTAAATTTAATGTCATTATGGTGCTTAATTATTGATAAAAAGATAAAAATAAGGCTTTATTCAAGGTGAACAGGAATGTCACATAAAATGATGTATTACAACTCATGTCAAGACTTTATTTTACTTTCATATAAATTAATCTTTCTTCATGCACATGGCAAAGTGATGATAATCAAACAATTATCATTGACATAGCAATAGCTTAATTACTCCTAATATCCACTAATGTCTTCACCGTTTCAAATTTTGATTTAGTACGTAACCAAATATTTCCTTGCTTAAGCAAACAATTGGTTTATTTAGATACACTGTGTTTAACAACATAGTTTAATGATAAATCGATCAATCAATTTAACAGTATCTAATAGATATCTACAAATAAAACAGATGCGATTGTCAATGACAATTAACTGATGAAGTAATGACAAGTATATTGATTCTGATCTAATTAATCTTTTCTGGAACATTAATTCATTAATTTAATTTCTTTTAGCTAAATTAAAATGATTATGATTTAATTTGAGGGTTAAATTGTTGCTATTTGATATGAAATCGGTAAGTTTATCGAGATTTAGTTTATAAAGATTTAATAATTTGATGAAAAATTACTTGAACTCGCTGTTTGAATATAGCGCTTCACCTGTTAGTAGGTGGAGTCTATAAAGCAGGAGCTAGCAAAGTGTTGACATTTTGATGAGTTGAGTTGAAAACAAGACTCAAGTTTAAACTTAAAGTTAGTAAATGTCGCTTTGATGTCTTTTGTATTTTTGTTTGATTATTACATTTAATTATTGATAACACAATGCTAAGATTGTCTCCAGGAGAATTTATTTTCATCATTTCAAAGGTATATATTAAATTGAAGTTATTGACTTTTGAGTTTCATTTCCATCATTTTCAACACTTTCACTATTTGTTTCTTTAATAATTTTCACTTTTTTTTCTTTTCATCACTATATTTTATATTAATTTAGATTATAAGGTCCAAAAATCAAATGACTTATTCTTATTCTTTGTGATATTTTGATGATTCCGAAATCCTGTCTCCTTTAATCCAAATTATTGATCTGTGTTATTAATTTTCATCTTGGTCACTCCGTGTCAACTTTTCAAAATCAAATATGTCATCGAAAAGCGATACTCTTTGTGATTTTAGTTACAATCAATTGACCACAACCACTCAATCTGTTGGTTTTTTTCATAAAATCAAATCTTATTTTGTTGATTCATCTTCAAACAAATCAAATGCCGTTTACATGAAAATACTCTCTGCTGTTTTTTATGGTTGCTCATCGTTCCTGATTATTGCTGTTAATAAAGTTGTTTTAACTTCTTATCGATTTCCATCAGCCAAATTTTTAGGTCTTGGACAAATGTTAGCTACTTTATTTATTCTTACCATTGGAAAATCAATGTCTATTATCAATTTTCCAGATTGCAGTTTGGAAATTCCTAGGAAAATATTTCCATTGCCTTTATTTTACATGGGAAACTTAATATGTGGTCTTGGAGGTACGCAGAGGCTAAGTTTACCTATGTTTACTGTTCTACGTCGATTTGCTATTTTAATGACTTTGATCGGTGAATATTTCGTGTTAAATGTGAAATCCACGCCTCCAATAATAATGACAGTTGTAGCAATGGTTGGAGGGGCAATTATTGCTGCAAGCAACGATCTCTCCTTTGATGCCCAGGGTTATATTCTGGTTCTGAGTAATGACCTCTTCACAGCTCTTAATGGTGTTTACATGAAAGAAAAATTGGATGCCAAAGACCTGGGAAAATATGGACTCCTATTTTATAATAGTCTTTTCATGTTGCCTCCAATGATCCTTTTTTCCTGGTCAACTGGTGAACTAGCCTTGTCCCTCCAATTCGAGTATTGGTTAAATTTTGGTTTTTTAATCTCATTCTTATCATCTTGTATCATGGGCTTTCTCCTCATGTATTCAACTATTTTATGTACTTCATATAATTCAGCTTTAACTACAACAATCGTAGGGTGCCTAAAGGTAATATTAATGATCTCATTAGGAAATTAATTTGTAGTTTAATCGATTTTACGGACTATTTTTCTCATAACTTTTCTTTTCATCAAAATTTGCAGAATATTCTCGTCACATACATTGGCATGTACATTGGTGGCGATTACATCTTTTCATACGTCAATTTTATTGGATTAAACATTAGTATGATTGGTAGCATTGTTTATTCATATTTTATTTTTATAAAATCCGAATCGAAACTACCAATCGCCAGTGGATACAAGCCTGTACCTGCAGAAGACAAAAATGAAGGAAATAACATTGAAACAAAAGGCTAGTCCCGCGTTTGATTATTTTATCTACAATTTACTTAATTATGAAATTATTTAGTGCCTTAATGACTCTGGGATTTATGGAGTTTCTATTCCGACTTTTAGGCTTGGAGCTTTCCAGCAAATGAATCATCTAAAACTTTAACTATTGCCGAATTTTTATCCAATCAACTTTCTGGATGGAAGAAGCCAACATTATTTTAATTAAATTACTGATTAATCAAATTCATCGCACTTCATCGGGTGTTTTTACATACTTGTTTTGTTATGTTTTTAAACCATTGGATAGTGGTTTACTTTTGCCATCATGGAAAGCTCAATATTATCTATTCTGTGGTTTTGTTGAATCCATATTGGATTTTTTTACCATTGAACAAAAGATTATTTCTAGATCCTGTTTTAATTTATTTATAAATTGATTTATACCTTATTCATCTTCATTCTACTAATATTTTAATTCTTCAGATCCATGATCTAAAGATTGTGTTTTATAAAAATTACGCACAGTAAACTTTCTTTTTGGAAATTGTTCCTTCTCTATTCATTTCTGACTATTTTATGGTAAAATTTTACGGTTCAGATTGTCTTGAAGTTAGCTAACAAGATGATAGCTGACTATAATAACTACTGATGCTAGAGATACCAATAAAATCAATGCTCTTCTTTTACAGCGTTTTTATCTTTATCTTTTGCTTTTGTTATTTGATTTGATACATTTGATAAATGAGAATCACCTCATTCGGATCGCGTATGATTGACGACAAATTCACTATTTATGACCAGAATCAAGAATATTGCCCATTTCAAGCATGTGAAAATTATAATAAAAGTTCATGGTTCCAGCACCGATTTCATGAATCCCTTGAACTAACAAAATTTGTAAAAGCAATTATCAGCCTTGGTTTAACAGTTTGAAAAAGCTGTGACAAGAGAAGAAATTTTGCTTGTCATGATTTTTATTGTTGATCATCGATTCTGAAAGCAAACTAATAAGCACAAATGAAACAAAGTTTTTAACAGATTAAATTAATTTTGACAATTCAAAGTGGGAAAAGTCCAAATCTTTTATTAATTAACAAAAAAATCCCATTTTCCTTTCAACAGATACTTACACCATCTAGTGAGCTCAACACACTTCATTTTTGTAATTATAATTTAACTAATATCTTCAACTAATTAAATTAAACATTTATTAGCTCTTAATCAGTAACAAATGAAAAAATTCAATGATTTTAATTCGTGATCTCAGCAAATGTATTTTCAGCAATTATTCTCGATTTGTCAATTGCTAGTTCAAGTCAAACTCGGAGTACAAACCAACACCATCTCCTATTGAAATAAACAACTAGAGATACTTGGCTTTCACTTTTACAGTGTTTCAAGCTCCTTTGTTTAACAATATATGATCGCAATATTACAAGGTATACTAAAATTTGATGATATTTTTGGCTTTAATTTAGAAATTTTTCATTGACACTTCGTTGGGTGAGTAAAAATTTTTAAACTTTCCGAACTGCTTCGATTTCTATCGGCTCCATCTCTTATAATAAATTCCCCATAAATAATAATAGATTCCCCATTTTTCAGTAGTCTTTTTTACATTGATTTTTAACTTCTATTAGCTCCTCCTTGGTTTATCGGAGATTCCTCTTCATTACAGTGACTTTATCTTTCTTTTTCCTGTGACTGGCTTCCCTTTACCTTTCATCCACCATCATTATTATTTTTTATCACAAAGCAGCTCGTTTAATTGTTATTTCATTACTTCGCTATCTCTCTTTCACTTTCTCTGTCTTACTTTCTCCATTACCTATTTTGCCCTCTTCTCCTTGTTTTTCATTCATACTTTCTCTTTTTCCCATTTTCTCTGACTCTTTCTCAATCTCTTTCTTTCTTTTTGTTTGTATCTCATTTTAGGGTTATGTGCCAGTGAAACAGGATTCTGGATCAATTTTTAATTATCCTTGATTAACTGAAACGCTGTGTTACCCATCTCGAGGATCAGTATAATAAACACCGATTAACTTTGACGAGACGTTGTACTGTATTGAACATTGAACTAAAGATTACTTGCCATGTTTACATGGCATTGCTGAAGTCGATATTTACACAAAACCGATTCAATTCCCGATAGTTTATGATAATGAATAATGTTTCATCCTAGTAAGCTTAACGAAGAGCATCCTGATTGTATGATGGCTCCACCGCCTGTGTCTCAACAATTTTGTTTGAAATGGAATGATCATTCATCCAATCTAGTGAAATCTTTTTCCTTAATGGCTTTTGATCAAAATTTTGTGGATGTCACTCTTGCATGTGAAGGTTCATTTATAAAAGCTCATCGAGTCGTCCTTTCTGCTTGTTCTAACTATTTTAAGGAACTATTCCTTTCCAATCCATTCAAACATCCAATAGTAATCCTCAAAGACATGAAAATGGATGATTTGAAGGCGATTGTCGATTTTATGTACAAAGGAGAAGTAAATGTTTATCAACACCAATTGGGAGCTCTCCTTAAAACTGCAGAGGTACTTAAAGTTAAAGGATTGACAGATGCAAAAGACGACGATGATGAAAATAAATTAAATCAGGATATGCGAGAAATGGATAAGGAAAACGAACCGGTTAACAATGAACTGCCTCGAACTGGTGTTGACCACTCATCTATTTTAAATGAAAATGACTGCCAAATTAATGGTGTTTCCTCACAACAACATTATCAGCAACATCAAATCCAACCTCCATTACCTTTATCAGCACACTTAGCACCTCAGCAACATCCAATCCAATTAACTCAACAACAATCTCCTTTGCCTCAACAAATTACCGCTCAAACTGTAGCGCAAATACAAACTCAAATTTCAAATACTGTTCAACCTCACACGAGTTTGAGTCAACAACATCAACAACATCAACAACAACAGCAACCTCTAGCTCTATCGTTGTCATTACCACCAGCACAAACTCAACAGCCGCCTCCACAGCAGCTACACCAGTCACCTCAAACCCATCTTAAACATGATACTGAAATAGCTCAACAAATTCAAGCAGAACAGATCATTCAACAGCAGCAACAGCATCAGCAGCAGCAACATCAGCAGCATCAACAGCAGCAACAACAGCAACATCAACATCAGCAGCAACAGCAACATCAGCAACAACAGTCACATTTGCAGCAACCGTCACCACAACAACAAAAGCAGTCGATTCAACACCATAAAAGGCGTCGAAGAAGATCTAAAAGATCTGTTGATAGTTCCTCTGTAGACGAAGGCTCAGCAAGTGATGATGCTTCTGTATCTGCATCTGGTGATGATGACTCTGCTTCTGGTGATAATTCAATGTCCAAAAGATTGAAAGCCCCGATCCCTTTGTCTCAAGGCAATAGCTCCAGCTTAGATAACTCAAATCATTCCTTGACATCTCGTAGGCGACAACCATTAGCACTACCACCCCCACCACCTCCTCCCATTATGTCACAAGCTATTCAGTCTCACAGAGAAATAGGTAATAACAGTGATTATGGGCACTTGGATGATGTGAGTATTGTATTTAATTATAATAAACTCAAAACATATGTGCAAATGTACAGATAACAAGTATTGCAGCTGTATCAATAGCATTATTAATATTCGCTTTTTGTTTTAATTTCAGAGCTCTGAAACATGGCAAGACAATGAGCAAATATCGATGAACAATCCAATTGGAGATGCTTCAGAAGAATCCAATGGAATGATTGGTAATCAAATCGACTAATTGAATTTTTATTCGTTCAAAATTATAGCACACATTTTTGTTAATATATTGGTTGATCTTTTCTTTTCATAGATATAAAACCTATCGTATCATTTGATGAAGGCTCTGTCGGTGCATCTATGAATAATATGTCTGTTTCATCGGAAAACATGATAGTGTCACATATGGACTATTCATCTTTATCGCCTGGGTCAACGGGATCAATGCCGTCTAATGCATCTAACACAGGTGAGATTTAAAATAGGAATTAGTAAATTATAGTAATCTTTTTATGTAATACGAATTTTAATTTTAATTTTAATTTTTATTTCTTATCTTTAGGCAAAGTTTGTAGATGCCAACATTGTGGGTTAACTTTTACTGCATATAGTAGTCTTAGAAGACATATGCAGCGTCATTTTGCTGATCGAGAAAGATATGTTTGTGACATTTGTCTTAAATCTTATTCTCGTAAAGATTATCTGAAAGAGCATAAAAAGTTGAAACACCCTACTTGATGAATGGACTGCCTACGGATCCAATTCATTTTCAATAAGTTTCTGAAATCTGTCAGAATGCATATAACAGAAATTGGAACTACGAAGAAAGCATATTTTCTTTAACACTATTTACAACATATGAAGAAAAGAACATGCTTTCATTTTTAAATTAATTTGAAACATTTGCAACCTGGTTTTCATTTATCTTGTGTTCTTTTACTTTGTTTGCTTCATTGTTAAATCAACTTTTTTGAACAATGTTGAGCGAATTCAACAAAATTTTTACCTGTGAACTCATCAATCGTTATCATTTCATCCACATTTTGATCTGGTTTTTTTTCTGTCCACATCAATGCTTCTTCATCTAAAAGAAAAGTGCGATAATTGGAAGACAACGAATAAGTGAACAGCAAAATTTTCGGAAATAACATTATAACTATCATCTGGCCGATTAACATTGCACCATATAAACACCTACACACTCATCTCACATTAAATATTATACATATTCACATACAACATATATTTCCAAAAGGATCCACCAACTTTATTGCTTTAAATCTAGAAAATGATTTGTTTTTCGTAATGAACTGTAACAAAATTTAATATAAAGACTCAGCTTTAATTGATCATTTCTAAATCATTTCATTGAAAATTTTATTGAGATCACAATTTGAATGAATTATAATGAAATCGCAAACATTTTCGTAAATATTCTAACTCGTTCTCAGGATATTGATTTTGATGAAAACACGTATTTTGTTGAATTTGGCAAAATTTGCAAAGGGTTTTTAGATTTTTGCAAAATGAAAAAAGATTTCTAAGATTCATATTTAGTTTTTATTGGTATACATTTTAAGATCTAAGAAGAAACAAGAGCTATAAACTTTTCTATTAGTCTCATGAAAAATGGAAAGAATGATATTAATATGAATATGAGTAAATTGCGCTAACAAGGGAGGTTATCGAGATACCCGAGCTACTTTTGAATGAGTGAGGTGTCATTCGATAGAGGATGATGAGTTATGAAAAACTGTCGAGGCTTGTAAGTTGAAAAATTGACAAAACATTGGAAAGATTCGCATACAAATTTCCTAAGCTAAAAAAGTGATAAAACCAAAAGATCGGGTATAATTAGGAATTAAAAAATATCAAACAGTAACATTGACCATTTATCTTATGGAACTTCATGTTTATCACCCTGAAATGTAACCTGTAGTAAATCGAGTAGACGATTGTTTCTTATAACATTTCACTTTTCTCATCGCTTTAATAGACGATTCTAGATGTTACTTTTTAAATGATAAAAAGTTGATGGTGAAAAATCATACATTGCGTACATTGCGTTTCTGTATTCATTCTCAGTTCGATTTGAAATTAATGCCGAAGTTGAGGCCAAAAGTAATTGCTGTCACCAGGATTCGAGCCTGGGTTGTCGCGGCCACAACGCGAAGTACTAACCACTATACTATGACAGCTTGTATGAAGGGTCTGAAGGAATTGAATAGTATCATTCATGAACAAAGATAAGGGATGAAACTGGTAAACTATTTTCACGCATAACTTGCTTGAATAAGCGCCATCTCTCTTTATACTATGCAATGCTTCATTTGTTTTCAGTCTTTTCAAGTTTATCATTATAAAGTATTTGGACTGGCCGCAGTCTTTTTAGCTTAAGCGATGGTTGATGGTACTGTCCTCAAGAATAGTTTGTTACTTTTTTTTAATCATCATGTTGGAATTTATACTTTTCTTCAACTTCTCTTCTGAAGTATTAAAAAGTTTTCTGTATAAAACAGATCAGTTTGATTTTTAGTTAAACCTTCCGCATTCTGTGACCATAAGAGTTGTCGATAAACTTATTATTCTTACGATTAGACAGAAATTGTTGGTACGCATCAACAATTGAACTCCTTTTTCAATTTATCAACAGTATTCTTGATTTTGATGATTGGTGTTAAAACTTTGAAATCAATATTTCGAAAATGGTAATCCAAAATCATCATTCTTCGACCAATCATTGATTTCATCATGGGCCATGTATAGTGAGATATAAATCTCCAAATATAAAATATGAATTTATAAAAGTAAATGCTTCTTATTAACACAAATCTTATGATGCGTTGGAAGAGTATTGATAATTAATTGAATTAAATCAATTTTTCTTCAGGATTCAGTCATATTATGTAACAGCCAAAATGAAATCTAATGATTGGTCGAAGAATGATGATTTTGGTTTTACCATTCTCGAAATATTGATGTTCAAAGTTTTACGCCAAAATCAAGACTGTTGATAAATCGACAAATGTGTTCGATTGTTGATGTATACCAACAACTTTTATCAACGCTTAATGAGTTCCAACTCAACAGGTCACAGAAAAGAAAGGGGTTAACTTATCAATTGTACAGAAATGTGCTTTTCTGGTTTAACATCAAAAGTTACACTTGGTCGGTTACACTGGCCGAAATCGAAGCGTTGGTGAATTATTTCGAAGCTGTATATTGATTAATGCGTGTATTGTAAAGATTTGATTGGTACACTCGTAGCCAGGGTTAAGTTAACAACAACCGAGATTTTTTCATAATCGCCAACAAGAATACTTTTACGATAATTTCGAATAATTTCTTTCACTGATAATCGAGAAGTTTTTCCTTGTTAAGTGTCTATGAAAATAAAATGGTGGCTTAAGATGGTGACACCTAAAAATTAACTTAAGTCGGTAATATTAGCCATCTATCAGTTATTGCATTTATAGATCCATTAACCAGTTTTAATAAACAAACTTGAGAGACGATTTAAGGTTGATTCAAGATTTTCAATCATTTTTTGTAAAGCTCCTAAAAGTTCTAAGCAGTACTGGTAAAAAATCGAATATTGAGTTAAAAGTTGAGACTTGTTGGATTTGTGTGAGCATAAAAACTCAGTCCATTAGTGATTCTTCTCCGATTGTCTGTTTTCGAGAAAATCGAAGGCAAAGTTGAAACTTCAAAACTTTTTCAATTATGAAAGCAGATTTGTTCATGAAACTCATTTATTTATTATCGTCGCGTAGTAAAACGAAAGTGAAGATTTTAGCTCAGATATGTCTATTCGAAAATCCACTTTTTGTTTCGTGTTTATCGAAAAAAAAGGTTTACAAAACTCCTGAAAATAATAGACAATTTATCAATTTAATACAATGAGATGATCGCTCAAAAAGAGATTGCGTATTGAAAATTACCTATTGCATTAGCAATGGAAAGACGACAAACTCAAGAATTGTTACCCTATGGGGCTCAGCCGCGACACTAGATGGCTCTTAGCAAAAATTAAGTTTAGTACCTTCGTCTTACTATTAATAATGTAATAGACGGCGCTGTTTCTTTTGTCAAAATAAGTGTTGGAAGAATGTCGACCTGTTTTTAAGATCGATTCAAGGATCGGGTCGTCAAACAAAACTTTGATCATGGGATCGATCTTTATTCGATTAAAAACGATTTTTTTTCAATTTTTTGGATGCTTGCAATCTCATCAAAACTTTTACATTAAAGAGTTTTAAATGAGCTTGTTACTACTTCTATGATATTATTTCACTTTTTAAAAATTAAGGGTCAGAGACGACCTTTTTTTGTTTATTTCTGTGTCCAAGCTGAGTATTTAGATACTTGTCAGGTAGTTGTTCATTTTAAGTAGGAAAAATGATGCTAAAAATGACATAAGAAAAGGATCGATCCGGGCATTGATTAATCGAGATGCGATCGGTAGAATCGATCATGGCCGATCTTTAATTGGATCTCTCTCAGGTCTATATTATGGTTATTGTTAAAGAGTAGAGGTCAAACCTCGCCATCCTCGCCAACCTCGCTTGCCATTGTTTCCTATGGAGAGTTATCTCTTCATTATTACTCTTTGGTTATTTTGGTTTTTGTGGTGTTTTATTACTACCCGTAGGTTTGACATCCTTTCATTTGACAACTCATTTCCAATCTGAACACCAGTTCATTGAAAACTATTTCTTTGTTCACACTGAGTTTAATAATTTTCCCATTTCTTTTCTATTCAGATCTCAAATGAGTTTAGAGGAAATGCACTATGGTTTGAAAAAAGGTAAGTTTTTCGTTTTTTCTTCATCTGGAAATTTAAATTATTTATTATAATTTGTATTTCTTTTTTATTCTTTCAGTGATTACATCAGTCATGACCAATAGAGACTCATGGCCTTTCAGGGAACCTATTAAAGAAGCCATCGCGCCAATGTACTATGAAATCATTCAAAATCCAATAGATCTTTCTGCTATTGAGAAGAAAATTGATGATCAAGTTTACAGTGATTTTCGTGAAGTGGAGGAAGATTTCAAATTATTGGTCAATAATTGTGAAACTTACAATGGCCCAAAGAATGGTTACACTCTACTATCCTATGCTGTTTGGCGTGTTTTTAAACGAGCAACTAAACGATTTCTCGACCTCGATCTCAGTTTTGATGAACAAGTTGCTTTTATTTACCCTCCAAAGCCAAGAAATTTAGCCACACAGGCAGCTATTAAGGCTCGTCGTAAGCGCCGTAAACATCGTAAACTTCGAGCTCTCGATATTCTTGCCAAAGCAGCAGAAGAAGCTGTCAAGTGTACAACACTGAGAGGTACAAGATCTGATGGATCGGGTGATAGTTCATCTTCATCATCATCATCATCATCACCATATCAAGGTTCAAGAAGTGAAGGAGAGGGAAAATTTGACGGTAAAAAAATCTGCATTTCCGTTGAAGCTCTTTCAGATTGTGATTCTAATTCAAATTTTCCATGCCATCTGACTCTTAATTTAAACATTGGGATTGATGAGGGAAATTTAACTTTCAAGTCTCTCTCTGAATGGAGTGATTACATTAGATTACGCGGTGATCCCGTCAAGTTACCTCAAGAATCAGTTATCTTACCTCAAACACCTTTATCCAGGACAAGTGGTCATCTCCATTCTAATGAAATTAGACTTTTTAGATCCCTTTGTTTATCGGAGTTGAAGGAAAAAGAAACTCAATCATCATCAATAAATCTCGACGATCGTTTAAGCTGGCCATTTAACTCTGAAAGTTCATCCTCTAGTTCCAATTGTTCTCCGCCTCAGAATCAAGTGCACAAACCAATTGTAATTAAATTAAGCCGATGTAATAGTGATAATGGAACAATATGGAAACCCGTCCAAGTCGATAATAATCATCTAAATTCACCCGGTACCGATAGTAATATGAAAAATGTGAACGAACAATCACCCTGTTCATTGCCAATGAAAAAGATTCACCCCAGAAACTCAATTGGTGAAGAAGGGTTAAACTGTTTACCCAAAAAACGTTTAGCCTTGGATAATGATGTATTTTGTCACAATTACTTAAATGGTTATAATACTCAGACATCATCCTCTGATGAGTCCAACTCATTACATACAGACAAATTGCTCAACTTTACATCAACTCAATTTAGCCAGTCCAATAAAATTAATCACAATCATCGTCATCATCCCTGCCTATCCGAAGATTCCTCAATGGATTCATCATCAGATTAATTTTTTATACTGAATGTAAATATGGTCCTGACAAATAGCACAGCCAATTTAATTAACTCAATTGTGATCAAGTCCTTTATTTGCTCACCATTATTATCCTGACTCAAAAGATGCCACTTTTTCCCTTCAACTTGCTCTGGAAGTGGTCAACTCATTTAATGACCTCACTTAACTTACTGATCTTAAGTCACCCAAGTCTGTGATGTATCTCGATCATTAAGTGTGTTTAATTTTACAACCAGATTTGAATTCAGGAACAAAAGTAGATATACTTTTATATTTATTGATAGTGAATCTTTCCTAAACTCTAATTTTGTATTTAAAGCATGCTTAGCATGCATCTCAAAGTATCAACCAATATCTTTAACAATCAAATATGAAACCCAAATCAATATATTTTAGCAGCTATCTATTTAAGATTTTTCATTATTCCGTCGAAACAATTCATGACTCACACTCTTTGATGGATAATAATCAGCTCTCACCAGCATCAACAACAATAACAGGTAAGAACAAAGTTACCGAACTCATTTGCAACACTTGTATTTCAATACAATTGAATAATATCCTCCTGATTCTTTATAAATTATCTGATTCTAATCTTTTAATTTTCTTTTTCCACAGTTTTCAACCAATTGCTGAATCTGAGTCATTGATCTGACAAGAAAATGAGAGACGAATATTGTTTTTGGTTAAGGTTTCTTATATTTACAAATCATGGAAAGCTATCATGGACAAAATCAAGATTGATATTGAATCAAGCTCAGCCAACCTTTTGTTTTGTTTATCAACGACTGCCTGGAATATAGTAAAACATAATCAACTTTATCAATCCAGTTTATTACATCAAGTTTTTTAATTTTATTTTGTAAAACCTGTTACAAAACGAACCAGCTCACCCCCTGCCATTTAATGTAATCAAATTTATTTTATACACTATTTTTGTATGATCCATTACATGTAATTTTAGTATTGATTTATATAAAATATCATTGAAAATGTGAGACATAATGTTTGCTTTCAATTTAATAAGACTGCTATTTACTAATATCAGTAAAGTTTGTCAGTAAATAGCGACCAGGAAACGATTCCGCAAAAAATTAACCTTTTGATGATAATAATTTTTTCAAGAATCGTTAAGATTCTTAATTATTATCTCGCTCTTGAGATCATAATTGTTTGATTGTTAATCAAGAAATCAATTGACAAGCTCTCTGATTCATTTGGCCTATTTTGATACAAAATGTGATACAATACTTTACTCAATTATGTAATGTCAAGACTCTGTTAAGTTTCATTATTACTCATGAACAATTTACGCTTAGGAATGATTAAATACTCGATTTTTTATTAAACTAACAGATTAGTAGATGATGGTAATAATTACTCATTTTAATGAGTTGATTGAAATCAATTGGAATCAATTGTAGCAGTGAAATACTTGAAAGAAATAGTCAGATGACACTTAATCTGAATGTCTTGAATTGTATTGATTGTAACCAATCGCTTGGTTCTTCAATTTCCTGAGATATTGCTTATAAATTGATATTGTTTCCTCTTCATAATTATTTGAATATTTTCAAGAACATAATGAAATACAAAAACCTGAATTTCAATTTCAAGTTGAATGGTATTACATGAAGCAAAAAATGATCAACAGTTTAATTCAACCAAGCTCTTTTGACTGAAACACTTATGATAATAGTCGAAATGAAATATTGCTCTCACAATTGCCATAAAACTTTAATTACGAGTCGAATGAAGGAACAAATTTAGTCACTTTGAGTAAAATATGATACTTGTTTCTTGATTCCGATGGTTCAAAGCAATCAGGTGGTCCATCATAAAATACATCACATCTTTAAACGAAGCATATTCAACAATTAAGTTGGCTGTCAATTTTATAAAATTGAAATACCAAATAATACATAAAAAACTTACGGACTTTTCAAGCTTTCAGTAAATCATTAGCCATAGAGCCTTCACTGAAGCATAAGTTGTCATAGGATTTAGATTTAATCCTTCTTTAAGTGTACACTTTAACCAATAAACGATTAGGCCTCGATTAAAGAGTTGTAAATTGTATTGTTTCTGCGATTTCTGCAGTAGTTTAACTTCACCATTTGATATGATATTACAAGTTGATCAAACATGTTGAACACTGCTAAAAATCATGGGTCACTGGGTGCTCGAATCATCAAAAATATTGGTTTCTCTAAATACAATTATTAATGTTTAGTCAAAAAGATAAATTTTCAAATTTCCAGCACTTCTATGATACTGGTTTGTTGCTAAGATATTAATTAACAACTCGAATAGCAAAAATTTAAAATCTATTAACTGTTGTCTAAAATGTCAGCAATAGTTGAAAATTAATTGCAGTCACAATTTACAGAATTAGTCAAATTTGTAACCTTTTCTTTCCTTTGTTTTTCGATTTACAAATGTATTAGATTGGACTTTTGATAAGTCTCAGAATCGAACCTAAATCTGATAAAATTTTATTTAATCATTTGAGCTGATATTTGTGTGAGTTTATTGTTTGGTGATTTGGCACGATAAGACGTTAAAAGTCTATTGATATTTCAGGAGGAAATTCACGATTAACAGAATCTACTTCTAAATCTTTTTCTCACCCATATCCTTGATCAAATCTCTATCCAACTCTGGCCATTCACTGATTATCAATGATTAATATTTACCTCAATGTGCCCCATGTTATCAAATACGCACACGCTGTCGAATCCAATACACCCCTCAATAAAGTTGTATCTCATATTAGTGCCTTTGCCTTTCGTGTTGGTCTTAATAGGGAGTGACAACCTTCATCGCCATCTCAACCTTAATCGTTACAATATTAATAGCAATATCATTAATCATGATAATCAACAATCCTTAAAACTTAATATTATAGTCAATAGATGGCGCTATTAAACTCAAAATTTCTACTTTTGACTTTCAGTTTGATTTGACTAAACAATTTAAAATAAACTGGCCTTAAATCATGCCAAGCTTTAAGATATGAAATCCTTTTACGATAAATTAATTAGACGGAGATTTTCACTCGTTTTTTGCCTTCTCGACCACAGCTGAAGTACCTATTGAACCTTTTAATGATTTGTCTTGATGATTTGATTCCAGCATTGTCCTGAAATGATTTCAATATCAATAATTCAACTTCAACCCATTTGAAAGTAAAAATAGGAAACAATTTTAACCATAAAGAAAAGTCTACATCGAGAGTTACAATCATCTAACAACAATAAAAAGCTTAATTACTCTTGCTTCCTAGCAATTTTAGACGATTAAGAGTGCAACAGACAAAAATTGACAAAAAGATCTACTGAATAGACATTAATTAACCTTGAATTTTAATTACAAATTATCCTTGAAGAAGAGCCTTTTATCAATAGAAAAGGTTTACCCCAAAGACAAAATAACTCACCCAAGAATGGAAAGAAAAGGATAAAAATAAAAGAAATAATTTACTGATTATTATTATCTAAATTCACTGTACCATGGTCAATCAATTTATTGCCACAATCAACCTTTCCATTTTACAATCACCTGTCTATGAAGAGAAGCTGGTTAAAAGGTAAAACCAGAAAACAAAACAATCGCCAAATAATAATCTTAATCAACTTTCACGAGTTTCCTTTTATTGTACATAAAATGGTAATAATAAAAGGTAAAAAAATTTAAATCCTTGAGCTTTCCATCTTAATTATTGAATGGTCAACACAAGCTAATCAATTTACAATACAAATTGGCCAACAATCAAGGCAATTTACTGCCTTAATCATTCTACTAATTGTCACCAGATTCCAAGTTAAGAACCCAAACAATTTAAACCGATGTTGATTGAATAGTGTCAATGGCTAATGAAAAAGGCCTGAAAATAGATTCACTTGATCATGATTTATTGATTAAAATAACTCGACCAACAGTTTTCAAATCAAATATTTGTCTAATTCAACGTAATGATCGACTAATTTCACCGTCTAATTGAATGATGATTATGATGTTAACTATTTAAATGTTATGATACAAGTTGACTTTTGTTAACCTTTCAAACTCATCTTAAATTTTTGTTTTGCTCATTGAGTTACATTTAATCAGGTTGCTAATGATTGTGATGAACATGAGAAACAAAAAAACTGGTTCAACCGCTTTCAATTTCAATCTAATTACACTGATTATAACAATCATTTTCTCATTATTATTCAATTTTGTCTGGACAATCATCATTCAAATCAACTGTAAAAGCTCATCAATTTCAAAATTAATAACCTTTATATTCATATAACAATAAGCCAACAATAAAACATTCAATCCTTTGATTAAAGCCAATAAAGATGGTTATTACCGATTTAAGAGTTAACCCAAACTTGAAGGAAATTTTGTAAATAATAAGAAAACAAATCCAATAATCAAGAGCAAATTGTAATAACGATTAACATTGAGATCAAATTACAATCGCAATTTGTTAATCAAACAAACTGTAAATTTTAAGCACGATTAAAGTCAATAGAGATTGAAAGTCGCTTGATTTTTCAAGTTTAATTTCAGGTTTTGTTTCAAGTTTTTGGTTTTCAGTTTCATTTTAAGGAAAAGCTTAATTTGCTTATAAATTGTTGTCGATTGACCGTAAATTGTAAATTAGTTTTATCGATAAATAATTTCTTCCAAATTAACCCAATTTTTCTGACCGCTCATTCCATAGACTCAGCAATTTAATAACTTGAAACCACTTGACTTTCATGTGAGATTATTTTCACTTAATCAACAATCAAAGCTGTTTGATAATAATGTTAATAATGGCTTTGAGCGGTTCAATTGTGAATTAAATTATCGCCAATTTTGGGAGGAACTTTTCATTTTTAGTTTGATAATAATAGTTTTGGTTAAACTAGATGATTAACTATTAATATTTCTGTGTAATTATCTTGAATTATTTTTTGATTGTTTCACTTTTCAGCTCTGTTATTAAATTGTGGCTTCAAAGACTAATTTCAAATAATTACCAAACTTGATCATTTGGTTTGTTGAACTGAATAATCTGTAACCGATTAAACTCTTTGATCAATCCTTTTCACCAAATCCTTTGACAATATAATTATCATTTTAATAGCTTTAGGTAATCAGAAATGTTTCACTACACAATTTAGTTCAAATATTAACTCAACTCATCATCTGACTTGGTTAATTGTTGTAAAACCTTTGCGATGCTTTTGGTTAAACAAAATTCAATTTAAGGATGCAGCTTCAATGAAAGACAATTTGATCAACTCAAAGTGTAAATGATTAATAATTCATTGTTTTACGTTTATCAATGATTATCATTTTAATTGGAAAATCGTGAAAATAAATTGCCAAATTATAAGTCAATTACCCTTTTATCCAAGCAAAAACTGGATTCTAGTTTAGCCTAAAACATCTAACCAAATGTTTACCAAAATTACTTAAATATGAGATATCGAAATGTTGAATTTATTTATCAATAAATTGTTTACCATTTCCAGGGCCTTTCATTTCCGAAATCAGTTGCAGGGTAGAGTTTGATATGCAATTGCATTCTGTAACCAGATGAGGTTCAGTCCATATTGTTTAATATTGTTTAATATCATGAAAATACAAAAATGCACCTAAATTCAAGGTTTTTGCCTTCGCTTTAATTTTGTCGATTGCACTGATTTACTTTCATCGAAACCTTACCTGCATTGATATTGGATGATTGAAGGGGCGATGGAAACTAACTGATGAATTACTCATATCTATCATAGATCACATAGAGTTTAATTAGTATTTAAAGAGCGTCTTTAATGAACAAAGTCATATTCATCATTCAGTGTTTCAATTTTTGAATTATAACACTAAAATTATTCCCGTGTTTGCAATTGAATCACAAGCGATTTCATCAAATTTTCAAACCGCTCATTAAATCTTCATCATGATTCTTAATTTAATTGTTTACTGTTTATTTCCAACATTCATCTCTTGTACTGTCAACTGGGAAGATTGCGGTCAAGCTGATAGGTCGCTAGTCTTTCACAAGATAAACTTTAAAAGTGACAAAATCATCATCGATGGTGATGAGCCGATCCAAGCTGAAGTTGATTTTTCTGTGCTTGACCCGTTCGACTATGAGGTTACAATGAGCGCTGAACTGAGACGTTACTTTAAGCTTCTGTTTATCGAAAAAAGCTTCAAGGTACCTTGTATCAATGACGCTGGAAGCTGTTCTGGTTCATTTTGCTATTTCGTACAATCCTATGCAAACCTAGCTCGTTCCTTTGCTGATTCACTTCATGCACCATTCAACTGTGCGATGGAGAAAGGCCGTTATGCAGGCAACATCACCTACCCAATACCGACTAACGTATTCAACAAAATTCCGTCGGTGATTACAAAAAATCTCTCAGTAAGTCTTTCATTAGCATTTATCAATCATTTCTTCTGATCGCATTAAATTCTTGTTCTTTATTCTACAGGGTAAATATGAACTCGTAATTCGCTGGTACTTTGGCGATCAAGAAGCAGGTTGCCTCGCAATTGGATCAGCATTACAAATTAATCCTTAGATTATTCTTTTGCCTATGCTTTACTTTAGTTGAATTCATCAAAAATATACTTTAATTTGCAATAAAATGTAAAAGTAATTTTTATCAGCAAAACTTTGATTCTAAGTTTATTTGCATCATTACGGGTTTCTTCGAATTGATTCGTATTGTATTTAAATTGAGCCAAAATTGCATTTACGAAAATATTTCCATTTGTTCGTTTTCGATAACTTTTCTGGCATGAAATTGCATTAATTCTGGATGTACACTTAATCCTATAGCTTGATTTGGATCTGATTATCATTAGTTCGATCAAAGAAGCATTACATTTCAGAAAGGTGTGAACCGAAACGATGTCGAGCACGTATTTTGCCTTCAAAGTCCACAAACATATGAAAACGAAATAAAATTTTTGATCATTTGATTAAACAAATAATTTCTATTGCAGATATTAGATTAGTCTTGCGATTTTCATTATAAGCTCATGAAAATATGATCAACAATTTCTTATAACTCGATCCGTCGAATAAAAAAATAATGATTTATTTTAATCTAAATAATAATAATAAAAACAAAAAGTTGACAATTAAAAAGTTAAATATTGAAAAGTGTCCAATGTCCTTTACCATCAAATAATAAGATCATTTAAAGAATAACATTGATGGGCATGAAGCAATGAGATGAAGAATTCTGATCTGATAGTGCATAAAGCTATAAGAATTATTATTTAACTGTCATGCAAGCCCAATTCATTGTATAACTAAATCAACTTTTCAATAAATTGGCAATGAAACTCGATAAAATTTCGTGCTGAAAATATTTTTAAGATTAATTTTTAACTACATAGTTATGTTGGATCGCCAGTCTAACAGATGTAGAATCATGTCAATTTGAAAATTCATTGCATTTGGATAGACAGTGACTCATTGCAATATCATGACATCGAGCTGAAAATTTTATTTGTCAGAATAAAAGTTTTGTACCAAACATGATATAAATATTTTCCTAGAACTCAATCTATACATTATTTCAATTTTTTCAGCAACCGTTGAGAACATAATAATTAAACAATTCAAATTGAACATTGGTGTCATACAAATGACAACATACATGTTATCATTATAGTTATCACTTGCTTTCGAATCTGAAAAACTGATTAGGATACGAAAAAATGAAACAAGCGATTATTCAATGAGTGATAGAAACGTATCAATTGTGATTATTCCAGTGAATGTTATTTAAAACTAATAAGAGTTGCTATTTAACCTTCGTTTGAGTTAGTACACTGAAATATTGAAATTCAGTTGAATTTTGTAGGGAAAAAATTCTATATAATGCTTCAGTTAGTCATCTACTGATTTCTCAATCAACCATCATGCACGGTCAACCGGGAAGACTGTGGAAACGCCGATAAATATTTTACTTTCGAAAGTTGATCTTCAAAGATCAGTCTTCACTCATCGACAATATCAACCCAATCAAAGTTGAACTCATTCAACTCAAAGTTCAACTCACTCGAAAAGTCATTTTACTCGATCGAATCAAGTTGATCCTGTTGACAATGTGGTTACATTGAGTGCTGAACACAGAAGATACTGCACGAACCCGCACATCCCTGTATCAAATTTTGTTATATTGTCAAATCCTACGAAACCTTGGCTAGCTCTTTAGCTTCGATAAGATTTACTTTTTCAATCATTTTCCCTCTTACCAATTTTCAATTGATGTATTTCTTTCAGCTGATTACAAATTAAATTCCCAATTAAAAGCCTCAAATCTTGGTCAAAAAACTTTTGTTTGAAAAAAAATCCAAAATTGTAATCTTCAGTTTTTTAACATTGGTAATATTCATTTTGTGGTGAAAAAAGCCTTTCTTCGAGCATAGGTAAGCATTTAGTTGAGCGTTGAACTCATGAATTTAATAAAAATATCTTACCATAAATCAGTGAAAATTATAAAATATGGTAAATTAAATTAATTTGAAAAAACCGGTTCATAAAAGTGAAACGGTTTTGCCATATGTTTGACCGGTAACCGGATTCAAGTTAGAGATGGGCGATTTTCGATCACAGTGGTGATCGATCTTTTCGATCGATCTTTTTGCTAAGTCGATCGATCTATTGAACGAGCGATAAATATCGATCTGAAATTTTTCGATATTTGAGCTTCTTTTCACTATTTTTTTACACAAAAAACACTTTAAAAGACAATTTTAATCAAAATAAACTTCTGTTATCGAGCAGAGGATGTTTCGATATGATCGATCTCCTTTAAAATTGATCACGATCAAATTTTTCTCTCCGATTATCGATCTTTTCGATCGATCAATCATATCGGAACATCTCTAATTCAAGTGGAAAACCGGTTAACGTCGTTGACTAATATTGATATTGATTTAATACTTTTTATTGATAAAATATAAAATCCAAATGATTTGAGGATTCACTTAATGATTAATATTACCTTCAAGGTAAATGTCAGCTCAAGGGTTAGCTCAGGTCATTCCTGGTTTTTTCATATCGACTTGATATTGAAGCTTATGTGAATATTTTAACTCATAACATCACTTTTTTCATCTTATTATCATCTTTAACTTCCTCATCTTTGGATCAAACATCATCACCATCACCATAATCATCGTTGTCATCAAGTAACTGAACCGTGTTCATTAAATTGACCCTCAACAAGTGCTTCCGTCTTGAAGGTATTTTTATTTAAAACCAGAAAAACCTAAGTCTTCCTTAACCTCTCTCCTCATTACCATTTGTTAACTTTTTGCCTCTTTTTGATCCAATTTTTTTTCTCTTCACTTACAGTTTTCATATTATTACTTTGACGGTTGGGTCAAAATTCAATACATTTACCTTATTGTTCAATTGATGAGAAAAACGGCGTTAAACGTTGACCCTCATGTTAATCACGGTGAATTTAAGCGATTTGGTCAATCAAAAAGCGCTTCAACATTTCTTTTCGCATCATCCTTTTCACTTTTCACTTATTATCGACTTGATGGTGATGACCATCATTATCATCTTTTTTTCTCTCCCTTTCAATTTCTTTTCACTCTTTGTTTCATAAATTACATTTGATTCATTTGAAGCTCGACCTGCTAAAAATGCATTTGAATCAACATAACATTTCTCCATCATGATTCAGGTCAATCAAAAGGAAACTACAATGAACAAAATTGTATTCTCATTAATTTTATGCTTCTCTTTACCAAACATGACTCTCAATCTTTGATTACTTCAACACACATTTACTTTTACCCTCTTCATTGTTGTACATTTCATTGCAAAACTGTTGCGATTGTTTGATTAAGAAGGTAAAATATTGATCTATCACCGGTTTAGTGACCGTTAATCGGTATTATCAAGACACCATTTAGTTGTTAAACATTAAACATATTGAACCATTTTACAATCAACTCACAATTAAAAGTATTAATATTTGCTTTTGATTAGCAGGCAACATTAAACAACCAGCAAAAATCATAAATAACGTCCATTGAATATAACCTTTGAAGGTGAACCTGAATATACGTAAATATTACCTACTTTTACCTACAACTATCAAAGCAAACATGATTAACCCAACAATAAGAAAATTGAAAGCGGTGATATTTTTTGTTCAATCTCAAGCCATTGTTTCCATCTTTTACCTTTTAATTAGCATATTGTATTTCAAGCTTCTTGATTACAATTACGATCATCACTTTCACTTAAACCAATCTTAATAGCTGCTGTTAAATGCTACCTTTTTTCCTGTTAACCATCCTCAACTGTCAACTTAAATAAAATTTAAGGTGTAACTTGATTACATTCAACTAACTCTTACATTGTGTTAATAATTGTCACAACAATTATGCTTTTTCCTTGTGGCTAACTGCAAATGCTTGATTAACAGGGTCAAAGCAAATTGTTGAATAAAAATGGTTGATGATCAAGATGATGAAGATCGTCAGCTGAGAAACATTTTAAAAGTGAAACTTAATTGCTCAAACGGGAAACATTTAACCAAATAATTAAATGTATAAATGTTCATTTTCCTCTTAAATTAAGTATTGGACAACTCAACAATTAACATTTATCACGTAAAATAACTAAATTTATCTTGTGGTTTATTTAAAAGTACAAAGGAGGATCTCAGCTGTTGTCCATTCAATGAATTGGAGGATTCAGAGTTTTCAAGAAAACCTTCAATGATTCAATTGTCTGACCATTTGTTATAACAAATCAATTTAACTATTGACTGGAATAATATTAATCATTGATTTGACTTGTTGAACAATCAAGGCACAAATTACTAAATTAAGAATGGAAAGTGAATTTTGATGAACCTAATTTGGTCAATTTGTTGTTGTTAACTATCTTTTTCACTTTCAATTGATTGGAAATAAATTGGATTGGTCAAAGATTTTGCTTATTAATACAATGTTTCAATTGTGATAAATGTCTGGCCTGATTTAGTAACGAAACAAATTGAAGATGAAATTGAATTTCAAACAATACAATTGTTACCTTGATTGTTGCTGATCACCAGCTTATATTTTTTTCATATCAAACTTGTAACTTTCCTGTAAATTGTAAGAAGATTAAGAAAGATGAAGATGAAGAGGGAAAGAAAAGCAAAACGATAAATCTTAAGAGGTTTGTTGACCCTGCAAGTGACCGCTAATTGTAAATGTAGATGAATAAATGAAAGGAATGAGAAAGACTTTAAATGATGATGATGATGAAGGAATAAAAAGAAAGCAAAAAAAGTGAAAATCTTAAAGGATGTTCTGATGTAAACAAGGAAGACATTATTTTATGGTTTTGTGAATGCAACATATTAATAGCAGCATGATGATAAATGAAGAGGACCATTTTAAATTTTGTTTTTCTTTGATTTTAATTGTTTTGGTAATAATAAATAATTGTGAATTTGTTAATGAGAAAGGCACTAGAAAAGCGGTCAATCTAGACTTGCACAGCAAGAATAGACCACCTTTTTCAATGACCCGGCCATGGTTTTGGTAAAAAAATGTATGTATAAAATTAGATTTTGTTTTCACATAGTCAATGAAAATAATCATTACATATGAAGGGTTCATTTTTTGTGTTATCAGTTCATGATTGCACGTTCATTGTTTGATAGGTTAAAAAAGGATAGAGAAGGGTTAGTGAGAGGAAGATTAGAAAAGATAGAAAAAGGGTTTTCGTTGGATTAAAATCACTCAACGTGATCATACTGGTTACCTTAAAAACAATCTGTTTCTTTCTTTCAATCTTTCAATTGTAATTGAATTAATATTGACTCATTCAATAGGAGAAACTATAATCATCAACAAATAACGATGAGAGTCGTGAGGATGGAGATAAAACAGAAAGAGGAAAGGAAAGGAAATATGGTGAGTTAAAGGTGAGGAAAACAGGAAGGGAGGATGAAGTAAAAGATGGTGATGATAATGATGAATGCAGGTTTTGATGAATGAGAGTCAATATTGGCGGCAAGAGAAAGAAGGAAAGAAAGGAAAAAGGTAAAGGTAGATCAGATGACCGGGATGAGCGATGTACGTGTATTAAGATTCAGTGGTGAGGTTCAGTTTCATTTACAAGGCAAGAGTATTTCAATAGAAGAGGAAAAAGAAAGAAAACAATTTCCTGATTGATTCCTCCAATATTGAATATACTATTATATTGATAATATATATAATATTGGGATGAGTTAATAGCAGTAATAATAATTTACATTGGTAGATAATTGTTGTTGGATGTGGTTGGATCGTAAAAAGATGGAAGGAGAAAAAAAATGTAAGTGAACTTGGAAGATTGCAAGTAAAGTGAATGTGACGATGTGAACGGAAACGAGAACCTCAAAGCCACGTAAACAATACACGCCCGAACGAATACAGCAATTAGGTGGGAGAATAAGAAGAGAAGTGGAAAGGTTAGGAGAGAAGGGAAAAGTGAAGAGAAAAACGGAGTTAATCTCGACCGTAGGCACGATTAGAGTATGGCCCAGAGTAGATTGAGCTTGCACTGGTTGATGCATCCTTTCGACGGCGTCTTCGTTGAAGAATACAGGCGACTAAAAGGATAACTGCTAACATTAGAAGTAAACTGGCAATGGCGACACCAACTGCAAATTTTCTCATTGATATACAAAATTCTTGTTCGGTGGCAACTCGACGTGGTGAGATGATATCCACTGTTTTATAGATCAATCCAGGTTCGGAACATAAGAGGAGAAAAAAGAGAGAAAGAAAAGAGTCGGTTAGTCTTATTTTTTTATCTATGCATTGTTCAGGTAAAAGTAGTGATAATGATGATAAATCAAAACGAAAGGGAAGAAGAAAAGAATCAAAGAAGTGAAGCAAAAAAAGAGTCATGAGAAAAGAAATGAATGAAAGGAAAAGCTTAAAAGTAATCAGACAAGGTTTCAGAATCAAGTGAATGCTTCTTCACTGGATGATAAAAACTTAACTTTGATCCATTCATTATTTTCATCCTTTTTTCATCTCTCTAGCTACTGTTGATTGTGACAAAATATTATTAGTTTTATTTGATGGGAAAAAATGTATTGAAAGTAAAGGTGAGAGAGATTGGATAAGATTTGACCCTTTATCATAAAAGTATTCAAAAATTTCCATTTTTGAAAGCAAAAGCTAAACAAATGTTCATTGAAGAAAAATCTTTTTTTTCTTAAATTTTTTCTCTCACATTTTCAGTCAGAATAAATTATCAATAAACTGGACAAGTAACTCTAATATTTTGATGGGTTCATTGTCTGGGTAAATTAAATTAACGGTAAGCATGAGAAAGTAGAAAGTGATGAGAAATCATTGAATAAGCAAATTTAGGCAAACAATTTGACTATCCTTAAAAATACACAACTTCACGTTAATCGTAATACAACTTTACGTTTCTTTTAAATTCAATTGAGACTTGGTTAGATTCATGCGACTATTCAAGTGTCATTCACATTGGTCTAATCTTTTTTTATACGCTTTCTGTTTAAAGATATGTAATTTTTTTTCTGAGATTTAACATCAATTATGTTTGTCCGGTTAACCAAACCCATTCAATTTGGACTAACCTTTTCCTATTATTGTATTATACCATCTTATTTGATGTTTCAACAGTATATTACTAAAAAGATTTACATGGTTTTCTGTGGGAATGGAATGTTTAAACCTGATCATTTGTAAATTGTAATGAAATAAAATAAAATTCAATAAAGACTGTTTATCAATAGGTAACCCTTATTGTAAAGGTTTCACGTTGTCGTGACAACTACCTGTGGAATGAAAGAGCTAGGTAAAGGTACATCCTTTTAATAGTAGATGGATTTGGTCACTTTAAACAGCCCATTCAGCTCAAATTGAGTCTAGGCCTGTCTCTGTTTTTTTGTTTACTATTATTAATGGTGCTTTTGGCTTCTTTTAATAAATGTATTTCAAATGGATTATCCTAGTAGCTGGATTTTTAAAAGCTATTGTCATAAAATATGAGAAAGAATCTATTGGAGTCAAAAAGTGAAACCAACTGCAGGACTTTCATTGATGATCAATAAAACAGCCAAGACCATTTTATAGTAATCAAAGGTTGTCCATTGTCCACCTAAATAACAGTCTCATTTTTTCTTTTCCAAGTTTTTTTGGCCTTTTCTTCTCAAGATCTTTTTCTTTGTTGCTTTCTTCTTCTTCTTTTTCTTCTTCATCTCCTTTCTTTTTTGCTTGTTTTCTTATCCTGTATGTTTTGGGTTGTATGTTTGTCTGAATGAGTGTCCAACAAAAAACAACCAGAGAGGAGCAGCAAATTTAAACTCTACAAATAAGGTAAACTTGAAGACGCTTTTTTACCTTCTTCTTCTTCCTCGGCTTCATTTACATATAAACCAGAGTACACCTCTACACTTAAATCTCTTATGTCATCTTGGCGAACCAGAGCAATATTAGCATCACCCTCAACATCAGTATCACGTCGCCTTCTTCGTCTGTAGTTAAGGCCATTTCGGTCACAATCTGGAGGCTAGAGAGTGAAAGGAAAACAAAAAGAAAAGTTGTATTAAAGTTATTATCATTCATCATAATTATAACCATCATTATGATTATTATCATCATTATTGTCATTCCTCAAACTATCCAACTAAATTCAAAGATAATTTGATAATTGGGGGATTCAAAGATTGTATAATGGCCAACTTACAATATCATCACATCCGCCCGACTCTTTAAGACACAACCGTACATTACATTGATAATAGACAGATGCAGTGTAAGGAAATTTGTGAGCTTGAAATGAGACTACAGCACGAGTTAAATTATTGGTATATTCAAATGGACCCATGATTTCATCATCAACTGGACATCTACAAAATTAGAAAGAGAAAAAAGGTGAGTAAATAAATAGAAATACAGAAACAATTTAATGTCAAGATTGGATCAATCCAAAACAGTATGTGTGCTACAATAATAGAAGGTGTAGTGAAAAAAAACAGTCAATTGCATGGCTTAACGATCAACAGTGGATGAGAACTGTGTAAACCCAGGTCAAGAATCGTTAATCTTTAAGAAAGGTAGGTGGGAGGAAAGATCGGGTGGATCACAGAGCCTATTTCACCAAAACCCAGATCAACAAAAATAGATTGATAAAATGAAAGCGAGAAAAAAAAACAGTTGGCCCATGAACATGATGCCCTTGAGGGTTTTCGCTCAAGCGTTTCATTGACACAATGAGAGACGAAGAGCAAGGAAGATAGTGAGAAAGAAAGTGAAGAGGGAAAGAGAGGAAAACGTAAAAAACATTACATTGGAAGAGGAAAAAGGTTGAAGCTAAACATGTCCAGAGTTACAAATGGTAAGAAAAAGGATGATCTCGAGGTTTTGTTGGTATTTAAGCGAACACACATGTTATCGGTATATAATATAAATGTTAATTAGTTAATTAACTTACCCTTCATCGTTAAGTAATGGCTGTTCTCCCCAATTGAGGCCGTCCCGAACCAAACAATTAGTTACTTTCATGCCATAAACGGCTACATAGCATATGAGAAGAAGCAGAAAAGAGATTTATACAATGTTGACAATATTCATTGTAATAATTTTTTCTAATCAAAGTAAATCACAATTAGCCTAGCTATTAGTCTAGATAAATTAGACTAGGTATATGGATAAATAAGCAACAAGTAGTTAATAATTAACCAGAAAAAAACTATGGTCTATGGTAAAAATTGGAGGCAAAATTAAGTGAAAAAAGCGGTTGAATAATGTTGTTCAATATTTTAAGGGTGCGTCTCCATAGTTCATTCTTGCTTCGCAATATTTGTCATTAATTTTTTAGAGGCTATAATCCAAGTTAATTTAGTAATTGCTATTACTCACGTTGATTGTCAATGGCAATAGTTAACGTTAAACGATCACCAATTTTAACATTTTCCGCAACAATTTCATTAGAAGTATCGGCCATAAAGATTTTCATTGAACAGCTTGGCATTGGAGCTGTAGCCATGACTGGAGTAGTTCCCAAAGTACTGTAAGAATGAAGTGAAAATAAATATATTAAACAACAATTTAACCAACAAATTGTTAATCTGATTAACTTTTCTGCTAAATTTTCAACCCTTCACAATTTTTCTTGATCATGAATTAAACATGTATGAATCAAGTTAAATCCATTGCTACAAATAATCCACTTTTACTTTTTGAACAAGGCTCAAAGCAATACAGAACAACAATTTTAATGATAATCTTTTGATTCAATTTCTTTTGTTAAGCCAATACTGAATATCATATACCATACAATTATTGCTAGTTTATCCTTTTCAGTATTTAAAGTCATTACGAGTTATCATCAGTTTACAATCAGTTATATAATTCAAGATTCAAGGTTCACAGTTGATTTCAAGTTTGGGTAAGTCATTGCCATACAACTCACCTTATTATGCATTATCATTTGACTTTCTCGTTCAGTAAACTGTACTTCTTATCATCATGTAACTCAACCTTTCTGTTTTTTTAAATAACAATCATAATGATAACTTTTTTGTCTCTCTTCATTGTTCATTCCTTTTATAACACTTAGACAAAAAAACACCAAAAAATTCAAGGCTGCTCAAGTTTATCCTCAGTTTATGGATTAGAAGGATTCAAGTGGAAGGGATAAACACAAATCCCCACGCTTTATTCTTGAGCTGTATTCCAACCTACACTGTTCAACCTACCAGCGATATTGAAAAAAATAGCGCAAAAACAAGATCGACTCTCCATTTCCTTGGGCAGTCAATGAGTAAACAGTTTTACGGGATTGATCAAGTGTTTTGTAAAGCTTTAACCATTCAAATTAAGAGTGTGTGTGATGTTAATGATTGAGTGGCATACAGAGTACAAATCATGATATTAATGCTGTTAATCAGTTAATAACAAGCATTTTGTCCCAAAAAGGCTGAAAGGTTAACCATAAAAATTAGTCAATCAACCTTCAGTCCAATTCATCAACTTCAACAAGTTGTCTTCATTTTCAATTTGTCATCAATTCATCGTGACGATAAATTATCAACAAAAGACAAAATGATTTAAATTCCAGTTCAAATCACTTGAAATCAGAGTTTAATTTGATTGAAAGGCTGCACAAAATGTACAAAATCAAGTCACTTTTGATTTACTTTCACTTCGAGAGAATCATCAAGTTAGACATTTTCAGCTCAAACTCAATGAGCAAGCTTTACTAAATTTTCATAATCATTGGCTTGTTGCTGATGACCTTTAATTTAATTAAATACAGATAGAGTGAAAGTTATCATAAGATTCATTAACTTGCATGTTGATAAATATTAAATATTATGGGAAACTATTATCATCATTATTAATATTATAATATAATTATTTTGTTTTCTCAGTTTTGACAGAGGGATGGATAATTAATGACCAAATAAGCGAGTATTTTGTTAATCAGGTTCACAACAACAGATCAACAATTAATCAAACTCATGGTAATACTATGATTCTGATCCAAGAAAAATGTGAAACTTTAATCAATTAACCTCAAGGCAGTGAATTTCATAAGCAAGATCAACTATTATAATTGCAATTAACATTTTACCTTTCTTTACGTTCATTTTTCACCATCTCGATGAAAGTATTAAATCTAAATTGACTGACAATCTATTCGCAGCTTTAATCAATCAGCATCCAATTAATCAAACGATGGTGACAATAACAAAATTTTGTCAACCTTTCATAATTAGCCCTCGTCTATGAATTTACAGGTCTTTTCAATTGAATGTGAGTCTACACCATTTCAAAACACAATCAATTAGGATTAAGGTTGGGTTGTATTGAAAATTGATGGAAAAGGAAAGGTTAAATGTGATAGTTGATCATTTAAGTTAATCATGTTTAACTTTCAATGCCATTTTCAAGTTTAACATTTCATTTTTCATTTACAACAATTTTTCTTATTATCATTATTATATTAGCATTTCACTGGCTTTCTTATACAATTTATTAATCACGTTTACTAATTATTTCAAGTTGCTTGAAACGTTTCTCTCCCTGATTTTGCTATTCATAACTTATTTCCCATTTATCATCTCAATTCACGTTCACCATTATCTGAATACACTTGGAAATCCATTTACAGATACTGTGAAATTATCACCATTATTTCGGAACGCTAATCACCATTGAAGATGAAAATCAAGGATAATCCAATGGATACACTTTGTTTCCCGATAGCGGCTTTCCATTGGTCATTAGAGAAGTCAGCATTCAATCATTATCAGTTATCCTTGTAAAATATCGTGATATTGATAATTAACTATGGAAATTCCGTTAATATTACTGTTGATTGTCAATTGTTGACCAACATATGCTTTTTTACATCAAACTTGGCAGCTTCCAGGTTGAATCCTTCAAGATTCCCAATCTTTTTTTCTTGTCCGCCATTGATTGTAAATGCATTAACTTTAAAATGTTTTATCCGACATGAAGAGGTAAAATGTTCCATTGTGTTGAATTCAATTTATCTGATTGTAACTAGAAATAATGTGTGAAGGAAATAATCGGATAACTATTGAACAGAAGCACAATATTGTGGATAAAGTTGATTTTTCCAGGAAGTGAACAGGTATTTTAAGTGAACAAGTAAAACCAAATGATTGTGATTTTAGATTGTAGACTTTTTAGTAAACAATAAATATATGTTTACATAATTGACAGCGGAAGCTTGTAACGGTCATTACTTCAATTAAAGATGATACAATAATTAACCTTTTCACCTTCCAACAGGGTAGATATAACAATTACTTTTTTTCATTCTCAGGAGAAAAAATGAATCGCTTGATTGAATGTTTCAAATCAATAGGAATCAATATTTAAGAATAGCTTTGGTGGCATAAAAATATCTGAATGATTGGTTGGATGAAATTTCAATGGCAAGAATCCCAGTAATTATCAAGGAAAAAAACTCCTGGCCCATTCGTGGATGAACTTTATCAATGGATCAAAGCAAAATATTAAGCTTTCGATGAAATGTTGACTAAATTATCGGGTTTTTGTGTTTTCCAATTTCTGACCATTGTCATGGTGAAGTATTATCAAGTTGAATCAACTACTTTTTTTAACATACGGTTTTTTTTGTATTTTGATTTAGGTGGCTCTTGTGATACGATAAATAGATGCAGATTCAGGGTGGCCAGAACTGATTGTGATTTGTAAGCCAGCATTTCTTAAACCATTTCTCTTTCAACAATTTACCAACAGATTAAAAGAAGAGATAAATTCAAAGGATGTCAATCAAAATTTGCCTTAATAATTGTATGGTTTGTAGGATAATTTTTTGCCTTCCATGGAATTTGATTTGAAAGCTATTTATCAAGGTTGCAAATCAGGTAAAAGTATAATACTTTAAATATGTTTCAATGTCAGTTTACAATTTTCTACTTTTTATAACTTTCCATTGTAATTTGTATGCTTATTATTTACCAATTATTGCATATTTCTTGAACAAATTACACGAGATACTTTGAATTTCACCATTTACACAATAGAGTTTCTCGAGTTGAATAGCGATGATTTATAAAAAAAAGTTGATCTCCGTAATAATACATGAAATTCAGAAGTCACCATGAGATCCGGATTCGATCATTAAGAGAGTGTTAAAAGATGGCAACAAAATTGCTGGTACCTCATTAATCCAAGTGAGAAAGAACTCAAAGAACCGTGCAGTCAATGTAATTGTAAAGGTAGAAAGACATTTCTGGAAGAGAGACAGATTTGGCTAATTGAATTGAATAGTTGAGAGTCCTCTAAAGTTCACCAGTGTAAGTTCACCTCTTCATTTCAAAGTTGAACAGGAATTAATTTCAGTGATGGTTGTCTGTTTAAAAGTTAGATGAAATGGTTTGCCCAGCTTCTCCATGTTAACAGAATGATGTAATGTAAACTCTTCCTTTAATGGCTTCTCTCTTTCTCGCTCTTTCCATATAATACTCCTTTTGAAAGTGATGCTTACCATGATAGGCCAATAAGCAGGTTCCATTGACAAGGTAATTAACGTGATATACCTTTCACTTGGATTCGTTAGATTTACGTTGAAAAAACAATAAATCAAAGACACACTTATAAACAAGAATAATCAGACACACACAGGTCTAACATGTTACAAAGAACCATCATTTTGGAGCCTCTCAACAGCATAATTTTGTGTTCCCCTTGTTAAATCAATCTCACAAAATGCTGTTGCTGGTGAACTGGTAAAGTGAATAACTTTAAGTAATCGTCTGAGTTCCCGCTTAGCCATTACTCCTTTTTATTTTCTTAATCTTTTTGCTTTTTTCTCTCCTCTTGCCCGGAGTTCCATGTCAGAATCAGTATTAACCCTTTAACTCCATTCATTTTCCAACAAGATGAGAATGATCATTTTCCTATGTAATTGAAATATTATGTGATTATCAGATTCTATAGATGCTGATGTGGAAAAGAGATCATGACTTTTGGCTCATGCTGGTTAAATATCACTATGTTTTCATATGAATGCGTGATTCATGGATAAACAGGTCTCGTGTTTTTCCAGTCAGTCTTCATAATCAATTGTCGTTGTTGAATAATAATTTTAGTTTGAAGCTTCTTATTTGTTGAATTACACTTTTTGTCTCTCCACGACTGTTGTAAGCAATCCAACCAACCAAAAAAAAAGAGTTTAATCGAGTATTTATCCAGTCGATGACCACTGACTGTCTTAATTGAGCTTCCACTTGTTATTGTAGCACCTCTTCCTTCCTTCAGATGGTTGAAAAAATCATGATGGCAATAAAGTTGATGATAGAAACAGACAAACCGTTTACTACGCAGTTTGACAACACATTGACCTTTCCAAGAAAGCAGCAAGATGAAAAGGTCATATCATTCAAGAGAGTTGTTAAATTTAACTGCTTCGGTTCATGTTAATATACTGAAAAAAGCATCGTTCAACGGCTTAAACAGTTAAATTTATTCACATAATAACAGTTAAATATTTGGGAAAATGAGAAAACGTTATCCTTGGTTGAGTAAAAAAACATTGTCAACTTTCGTGTCATCTTACAAAAGCTAAACCCTTTCTTCAAGCAACTTGCTTATCTTTAATCACATGACGAATCCATTTTTCACTCTCAACTCCATTAAATTTTTTGGCGCTCTTTTCAACAACATTAATAATTAAATGAAACATTTTTTTTATAACCAGAAATTTAAATTATATCAAATTTTTCAGTGTTAATAGTTTACTTCATTTCCTACGATGTCATTCGCCTACTTGTAATAATATCATTATTGATGGTTACGCTACTTTGATCGCTTTACAACTCTTTCGTTTTTCCCTCCTTAAGTCTTTTCAAATTTCTCTTTCCTCTACTTCTTTGTCAATCAACTCTCATATCAGATTTTTTTTCTTCTCATCTTAAATTCATTGAAATTTTCCGTTTTAAATATTTCAATTAGTTTTTGACCAGCTTTATCTAACATTCTGGATTTCACTTTCACAAGATTCACAGGTAAGTTGAGTTTAGATTGATTGTTTACTTGAACCGGATTTATGTCAACTTGTCAACCATTTTGATCCAGTCAATCTTTCCCTTACAGCCAATTTCATCGAGTTTTATAATGAAAGCTTTCAACCGTAAGCCGATTAAATAGTGAAAATTATGGATAAAGTTGATCGCTTTGGATAACCTGTGGTGACTAAAATTATGAAATATTGTAATGATTTTTCATGATTGAATCTATAAACATCAGCTGGACACAAAGTGAGATATAAAAGAGCAAAGAAAACAAAGAAAAGGATAATTTCCAACTGAAGTATTCTGGCCATTCAAGCCATTGGATAAACATTACAATCAACCCAGGGCAGTGTGTAAACCTGTCAAGAAATGTAAGTTGACTTTTGAATCAATTAAATTTTAAAATTGATAAAAAATATTTCTAATTATTTCAACCTTTCAACTTTGTATCTATTCAGGTTATGACATGAAATAAACCTCCTGCCGGAAGATATATTACCCTTGAGATGATTTTGGTACATAATCCAGGATGGGAGAGACAAAAAACTATGATGATGATAATAATCTTGTACAAGATGAAGTTGATCAGAATAGGCTGATGTGTTCAGTGAGGCAAAGCAATGAGTGCAAGGGAAAAAAAGATCCACTTTAAAAGATACATCAAGACTGTGAAAATAATGAAGCTACCAGGAATAAGGTTATCATCCATCAAGATTATTTCAAATTTGAGTAAGAAAATCAGGTAAACTATCAACAGGTAACACTGAGAGCATAAATATCTTTCTTGATTCCTCTGTAAATGATTAAATTTTTTTTTCTTCTTCTTCTTTTCTTTTTCTTTTCCAGATTTCTTCTTGGTGAAAAAGCACAAAAAGAGATAAATAAAGCCATCAACAGGAGCGAGAAAAAGGGTTATTCATTCCTTTATTACAAGTGGGCCTAACAATGTTAACAATTGCACCATTGACATACACACATCCTTTTTTGATGAATACACAAACACACTCATTTTTAAAATACAAACAAACCACAAATGCAAAGAGCTTCAAGTTTCAACTTTACTTAAAAGTGTTCATAGAGTTAACTGTTTTAATGTTACACACACTCACGAATCGCCCGAGGTGATACATGAAAACCCTTTGAGAACCACTCAATCTTTATTACAATATTTTCTACATTCAAATTCATTGGACTATTATCTTCATCAACAAGATCTTAATCGTTCATTCAAACAGTTTGACTGTTATATAAACTGTAATTCAACAAAATATGATGGATCCAAAGCGATTGCTAATAATTTGACTATCAAAAGTGATTTGATATGATCAAAGTGATATTACTGACGCTTTGTTATACATTATTTTAATGTAAACGATAGATTTTGATTGAATATCTCAGTATAATCAGTAAATTGCGTTTGAATAAAAACGAGGCGAAACAATGATTATGATAATCGTGGTAAATGGTGCAGATTGGTGTAATTGATGAGGATGATCAAAGGATAACAATTAATTTGGAGGAGATGAATAAAGAGAAAAATAAATCCAATTTTTGGGGAAAAATTCAACAATTTTGATCGGTGATAAATTTCAATAGTTTAATAACCTTTTCCGATCAACAATAACTTAACTCAACCTCTTTCATAAATCAAATCACGTTGATATAAATCATGTTAATAGCAATGATAGTTGCGATAAAATTAACATGTTATTAAAAATGACGCTGATGAATATAAAGGTTATTAAGCAAAAAATCAAGAAAAATTCAAATTAATAACAATAAATTACATTGTTTGCCTGAAAATTCCCAAATATGAATGTTTCCACGGTTGTTACATTAACGTTGAATCACTGATCAACATAATTATTAATTAAGGCTATTCACTTGTTTAGGTCACAAATTTGCCTTTATTCAGGCTTGAGTTCAGGATTGAAATGATAACATTTCAATAAATTTATGGTTTTAGATGAAAGTTGAAGATGAAAATTACGAAGAAATGCTGAAGATAACATTGAATTTTAAAGCAACCTTTACATTTCCACCTAAAAGCTAGATGATATAAAAATGATTTAATCTTGAATAATGTTGAATTGGAGGAAAATAAGTCAAGATTAAATAAAGTCTAACTACTTGGAAGGGAAAAGATTTAAGGTGAAACAAAATGATTAGATTAAGCTAATTACATGAAACTAAAACATTGAATAACATCTTTATGCATCCATTTAACATGACAAAACATGTTAATTTATTTCCACTTTTATCCATGAAATGAACATAATTAAATTTACACTTTGATTCAATACAATATGGCTTCTATTGACAATCTATGATGATGATCATTGAATACATTTCATGGTTATAAATGGTTTGCAGAGTTTTCTTTATCAATCATCTTAATTATCAAGTTGAACCCTTTAAAATTATTTACAATCAATTAATCATTGCTTGTCAGGTTAATCAAAATGTTTCACCTTTTATCTTACAAATCAAATTTTCTGTGAACCACTTTTCAGGGTAAAATATTTCTGGTTAAAAAAGCATTAACATTTGAGTGTAAACGTCATCGCTGGCTCATAACTTGATCAATGATAACGATAATCAAGGAAAGCACGAGTAAACTGTTGATAGCAATTTACAAATCAACATCAAAATACATTTACAAATTGTCAACACGAAGAAACCATTTCAGCAAACATTTCATTTGTCAATTTGGTGTGAAAAAGTGTTTCAATAAACTGCTCAAAATTTCATCTTTTCACCAGGAAGAACATTTAATTGTCCAACAAAATGTGATTTAATTCTAGTCATTATCATGTGCATCTTGAATGTTATTTTTAACATGAAATTACATGTAATCATTAAACCTGGTTAAGGGATGGTTGAATAGTTGAAACGCTGAGTGAAACAATCAAAATGTAAAGTAAAAAAAGATTGATATCAATATTAAAATACAAATTGTTTTATTGTTTCCATAAAAAACTGGTCAAAATGAGAAACAGTTATGAAGATGAAACAATTTGATTGTTGAATGATGTTAACTCAACAAAATCAACTAGCATTGATCAACCAATTTTGGTAAACAATTAGAAAATGTTTACCGATTGAAACAATTGAAGCCTGGAAATGGCCAAAAAAGGTTAACCTGACAGGTTGTCAGTGAATTTGACAATTTAAGGATCCAACTTTAATCTCTGGTTTGGATCAAATTGTAGATTAAAAGTTTTAAATTGTAATTTCTTGTAAGTTAACTGCTTATCCTTGAATGGAGTTGGTGCAAAAAAAGTTGTCCCAACTCAGGTGTAACCAAAGATGATGGAAAGGTAAGTTTTGATCATTTTGACAACATGCAATATCGAGACAAAATGGACTTGGGAAAATGAAGGGCAACAGTTGAATCAAGTCTATTTTCAAGAATACAAATGAAATCAACTGATTAATGATCAACTAATTCAGTTGCTATTTTGTAAGTGATTTATTGAGGTAAGTTGAAGGGAAAGTAATGGACTAAAAATAAGACAAGTTTAATAGGCAATGTTTTTCAAATGACGATTGGTAATGATGAAGATAACTTTTAATATTACTTCTGAATTTATTAGCAATTTCACCATTTTCAAGATTAATCATGATACAAGGAAATAGTTGCGTGTTTGCCAGTTTTAACTTGAAAATGTTGACATTGACAGGATTTTTTGGCTTATTATTGTGTTTATATTTTTGCTGCTTTTCAAATTATCATTATTATTATGATAAATTGTCATTCTATTAGCTTTAAGCTGAAAATTTGAAGATAGTTTCAGGTAAAAGCAACAAGAACATGAAAAATGGTTAGTAATGAAAAGGCAAGAGAAAAGGTGAAATTTTAAACATTGACAAAGTGTTAGTGTTTCAATCCAATTGAATCATTTTAATTATTTAATCTCATTTCTTTTATTTGGATAATCATGAACATTATTTCATTGTATTGTATCACAATGAAGTCAGGTTGACAATAAATGTAAAGATTAGCTTAAAGTATCAACAGAAGCATAGAGTTGAAGGCAACAATGAAGCTTGTTTATTATGCCTACAATAACAATATAAGTGTAAGGATAATGTTTAAAATGATTTTAATGATAATAATAATTGTAATAGTCAACTGGGAAAGTGTCAATTTAATTATATAAACTAAACCAGAATAAATTGACAGGTAAAATGTACATAGAAACACCTTTGGATGTTTTTTGCCTCTTTTGGGTTCAAAGAAGCGTAAGATTTATTGTCTGTTTCAGAGGCTTCAAAATTACACCTTGATAGGTCAGAGCAACTATTTTAATGATGATAATGATGGTGATGATGATGAGGCTGACCTTGAACCTTTAACTATCCTACAGATGATAAAGGTAAAGGTAAAGATGAACAAAAAACAAGGGAAATCAAAGTGGCCTCAACTTGAAAGGTGAATCTTTATCAAAAAAAGATTTAAGGTAAAATTGAAAGGTAAAATTGAAAGGTAAAAGGGCAAAATGATTTGGTACAATACATTTGAGAAAAAAGAGGAAAAATAATAACAGGTAAACTCTTGATGATGATGGAGATGATAATGATTAAACAAAGTTTAATAAAGGCTTCAACATTTGCAGCATTTTTCATCTTCCAAGCCTGGTTAGACTTGAATAGGCAACCCAGCAAAGTGACTCTTGTCCCATCAAAATGAAGCTTAAAGGCTCTCTTTGTCAGTTTCACTTTCATTTATCTTCGTCTTCATTTTCATTTTACCATTTCAATAGATTCTTATTAATCTTATGAAATTTACATGCAATTGAAATGGAAAAGAAAATGTTATTTTCAAAAGTAATTTTGTTATCATTACTTCTAGACTTGTTATTACCTTTATTATAACCATTATTGATATTATTATTATCATTATTTCAATTTATCTTTCTTACCTTGTTAATCTCCATCATCATCATTTTCATACATCTTCTTGTACATCTCTAATTACATTTTTTTGTAAAGGTAAGAAACTGTCTCGTCTTCATCAATCCATGATAATATTTATCACTATAACACTAAATTAACCTAAGGTCAAACTAAGGCCTCATCTCACCTCTAAACTTACAAGTTGCCAAAAAGTTATTACTTTTTACTTTCACTTTTTTTCCAAGTCTAATCAGTATTTTTATGTAAATTTGTTGCACTCAAACTGAAATGATAATATGAATTTTGCTTTCTTTAGTCTACTTTGAAAGTTTAATTTTATTTGAATCACGTAAAAATAGTTACCTGGGACTGACGCTCAAGGAAACACCAAGATAATGGTTAATTATAATCATGAAAATCAAATAAAAAAAAGTAAATCCTTTCTTCTTGGGAACAACAATCATCTTTTGTAAACGTTAATGATATCAAGTCAATAGTTTAACTCTTGGGTGTTCAAATGAAGTAAACATTAAAAAGTAGATTTTGTCCATTTTTCTGGACATTCACATCTTCAAGAATTAACAAATTAAAGCAGATCTTTGGAATCGTCCAATTGCTTCAGATATTAGCCAAGATCGAGTAATACTTTGAGATTTGATTTTACACTTGAAAGTCTCGGAAAATTGCAGCCAATGACCAAAAAATTTGATTAAAATCACGAAAAAATGTGACCTTTTGATCAACAACAATTGGGAAGGTTTTAACAAAAAAAGACCATTATTTTAATATGAAAAAAGAGCAACGAGAACCACCTCAGAACCATATAATTTACAATACAAACCTCCATGTAGGCCTTAAGGTACAATGAAAAAAAGAGGTTGAATTAGGTGTTGTTAATGTAATAACTTCTGAAGATTGTTAAAGATATATTGTCTGAGATTCTCATCATTATCATGATAAAAGTTTTTATCTGTTTCTTTTTTTCCTCTTTTCTTTTATTTGCCAACTTGGAGGAAGGTATAAAACATTTCAACTAATTCATTTGTATTTAATGTTAATAAGGGTAGATGAAACAAGGCTGATCAAATTATCATGAAACATGGGTAATAATCAGCTATTATTCAATGATAATTGACATTCCAAGTTAACCTGTAGTTACACCATAGAGATTGCATGAGAGAAGGAAAAAGATTGAAATTTGACAAAATTGGATAATCATTAAAATTTCATGAAAAAGGTTCAACTTAAGTGAAATTATTACCAAATGTTAAGTGCAATTTCAGGTAACAAAGAGTTGAATTGGTCAATAAAAAAAGCAATAGATTGGGTTAAACAAAAAGCTCGGAGTAAAACAAAAAAAAGGAAAAAATAAAATCACAAGAAATTTCATTTTTCACAAAATGCCCTTTTCATGAGGTTCAGGTGTTTAATAGGTTTTAAAATTTGAAAATCATTAAATGATTCACTTTTCAACATTAATTTCAGTCAATAACTTTTCCATGTAAATCACAGTTCAACAAAAATGTCCAATAAATAGATGAAACAATCTTGAAAGTAACATTTCTGGTTAAAATCTTTCTCTATAAGGTTTTTGGTATAAAATTGGGTTTCAAAGGTTTCTGATCTGGTAATTGAATCAGTCTTGAAGATGAAAAGTCCAGCTTTGATCTAATCCTTGCTCGGTCAAAATTAGCAAATTTACTTCCAACACTGAACAACAATCTAAATGAACAATTAATCAATATTTGAAATTGATAGGTGGTTCCACATTTGAGCTTTGGCAAGTTGAAAGTCAAGTATGAAAAAAAATCATCTTCTTGTGATGCATTAAATTGACTTACCTGGAGAAGATGTTTGCATAGAAAGGAAAGGAAAAAAAGGAAAAACTAACATTTTTCTTCTTCTCTTTGCCTTTCATCATTTTCATGTTGTTGACTTTTTTGGCTGATAAATAAACATCATGATAACATCCTCTTTTCAATGTTCATTTCTAGATATTTTGACAGTTTCACACCAAGATACCTTTAGACCGTAACATTGGTATAGCTTTGAAAGATGTTATTATCATCATCATCATTATTATTGGTATTATTAATATTAGTTATAAAGCTTTACACGGTTGTCTTGATGAACCAGAAATTGGGTTTACCTGGTCTATTCTGGTTGCTAGTCTTTTTTGTGTCTAATAACAATCAAACCTGACTTTCTTAAGATTTGGCAAGAAGAAGAGGAAAAAACTAAAATTGAATAATAGATCAAAACTAATATTAGATTAGCTGGCAATCAAAAAATTTCAATCCACAGGAATCTGTAATCATTTGATTGTTTACCATGTAATGGCAATTGAAAGTTTCACCAAAATCAGAATTCACTTTGTTGGTTTAACTGTACGATTAGGTGTGTCCAATGGATTTAAATTGTTCATCTTGATCATTGAAAATTCAATTTCAATAAACATCAACAATCAATCAACATCTCAGTGTGAATCGATGTTTAACCAAACAATCATCTCTCCATTCATAAGCTGGTTAAACTAAACTAATCAAAGGTTTAATTTTTCATTGCCAGTGCTCAAGTCGCAAAGTTGATCAATAAATCGACTCTAATTAACCTTGATTTAACTTGGTGTTAGCCTTCAATTATCAATGAGATTACAATTGATTGTCATCAGTTAATTTTTCATATAAAATGGTTTAAAACAATTGTCTTAACGTTGAAAACAATTTAACAATTGAATGTTTAATGTTTTCCTTTGCAACTGTTGACTCTAAATTGTGATTAAAAAGTGAAACAAAACCAATTCAATTGTAATGAAATCTTTCATTTTAATCACTTTTCTAATACAAACATTGTGCTAATTATCATTTAATAATTACTCATTGATCCTTGATTGTGTGTTCATCATAAAGGCATACAATTAACAGATAATAACTAACATTAAAGATCAACCTTTTTTTTCCAGAAACTTTTGTTTCTTCAAATGCCACTAAAAGATGAAGAAGGAAATTTGCAAAACAGTTTTAATTGTTATTAAACTCGTTATGCTAATCAACAATTCCGTAATAACTGGTTCGTAATAATTGTTAATCAAAAGGAATCAAGTGAACACCCAAAAAGAAACTAATTGTTGACCAAATTGTATTCAAAGTTGATGATCTTTGTTGAAGGAATACATTTACACTTGAAATTTTGACACAACTTGAAAGCAAAATTGATTGTAAAAGTGTATCAAGTGAATCAAGATTAGTTAATATTTTTAGCTTCAATTGAAAGTGGAATCGCGTGTTTTATGACGATAAAAACAAACCATTTTCATGGCAGTGAAACCATTACTCAGATAATCATTGCGTGATTTTTGATTTCAATCAAAGTAAATATGAAGATGCTTTGAGTATTCAATGAAAAAGTGGTTTAGATGAGCAATTTAACTACAATTTAACAATGAAAAGTTGAACTTACCTAACATTGAAGGAGTTTGCGATTGTTTTTTCCTTCGTTTGATAGCGACAACGAATGTGATAACCTTTACCTTGATTGGTGACCAGTTTACGGTGAGGTTGAACTACAACTGTATTGAAATATTCAACTCCATCATCCTGTAAAGAAATAAATTAATCAGAGAAATGAAAAAATTCATGCTTTTTCTTACAGACTTTAGTATTAGGGAAAGAAGGTAAATGTGTTTAGTGTTCATTAAAAACCACGAACATCGTGATTCAGTTGATGGACCGTTTGTTGGTGTTGATTGTTATTGCCGTTGTTATTCCTGTTGACAACCTTTCTCAATGTTAATCATCAACCTTGCAATCAATATTAATGTTAGATTCACATAATCATAATTATGTATTGAGCGAGACATAAAAAGTAATATTTCGTTTCTTCTCTTCCTCCAAGAAGACAATTGTGATTCTCAGATTTGCAAAGCTTCCGGTTGATACAATTATGATGATGATGATGATGATGATGTTGAAGATTCTGTTAACTTTCTTTCCTCATCTTGCGAAGAGTAAAAAAGTGCGGAAGTAATTGCCGCTCATCAAGCTGAAACTTTCATCAAAACCGGTTAACAGAATCATCTTTTTGATTTGACTCTTTTTTTTACACAACTTCTTGGCCATCATCATGAGAGATTAATTCAACTTAGATTACATTACAATCTGTTTTTACCGTTACCAGAATAACACAGAAAAAAATGAAACGATAAACTCATGGCACTGAGTAACCATTTTTTCATCAACTCATTAAGACAGACCAATCCATTATGTTGACCAGTACACACTAATACAGAGATGAACTTGAAAAAAATCACAAAAAATAGTCATTACATTTGACCGACACTTAAATTAGAAATAGATTAGAAGTGACCAATGATTCAGTGGAAAGGCAATTTTCAAAACTGACCTTTCATTGAAACAAGATAGAGACATTGAAGTGTCAATGAAATGGCATTCAATTAAATTTTTGGGTTTTCTGGATAATTGAGCTAAAGCAAACTCTATGATAAACATGTTCATTCACACCATGCAGATGAAGTTGAACATTGACTACATATTGTTACCTTTAGTCAACCCGCTGCTTATTCACAGTCAATGAGCTCTGTTGAAACATTTACCCAAAAATGTCAATGAGTACTTAAACCCGTTAGCATCACAGGTTACCAGAAGATTGGGTAAATTGAGTCTAAAATATGATGAATTATCATGAAGATGTTTGGCTGAAGCAATTAAACAATTAGCTATCTGTGATACTGATTGTGTCTTTCGGTTTCAGTGAGGTGTGATTCAAGAGTAACAAACTGAAGATTCATCTTGGTTTGCACAACTTGGCTTCACTTGGACGATTGTGATTCCCCTTTTCAGGTTCACTGAGATAAAATCGGGCAAAATCTTTGTCACAAAAAAAGGAAAGTCTCAGTTTGATTGTCATTTGCTAGTAATTGCTTTCAAATATTATTCAACTACTAATTTCTGTTTCAAAGACTGTCTCAAAATTCGATCAAAACAAATTAAATCGTTCCAATCTGGTCATGTAATTATGATGAAAATCTGGTTAAATTATGTGCACTTCAATCAACTCTCAATACCAACCATCTATTCAAATTTAGATTCAAGAATAAAAATTAATACAAAAAGCTTTACCTTCCCCAATCAATATAATAACTTAATTTTTATGTTACATTTAAAGTTAAAATTGTTACTAGAATCAATTTTTCAAGTTCAACCTTTCCTGTTGCTAGTAAATGAAGATTAATTCTGGTTTCAATTCATGATAATTGACTTTATTTAAACAGTATGAGTTGATGTTAATTTTGATCTGTTCACGATTTTAACCTGAACCTGATGTTGGTCAGCCTTGCTTTTTGTTTAACAGTATTTATAATAACCTCAATTGACTCACCTTTGTTTGGGTATCAAATAACAAACCTAACCTTGTAACCCTATCAATTGGCCTTTCCTCTTCCCACTGTTTAACCATCAAAATCACCAATACAATCAATTGAATCAATTAAATGAGTTGAAACAATTGAAACAATTAAAAAGGCAAAACATGAACAACTTGAAAGTGTCTCTCATCTGTAAAACAGTAAACAAAACAACCGGTAAAACCTAATAATCAGATTAAACTGTTAATAAACTGAAACATGAAACATGACCTTTATTGAAATTCAAGTTGATTGTATTTCATGTGAAACAGTTTAATAAAAAGTCAAATTTTTAGACAAAAAATGATGAATCAATGAAAATGATATGAAAACCTGATAAAGTGGTAAACTTGTTAACCAACAAAAGAGCCTTTTTCTTGTTCAACTTTTCTCTTCCTTCATGATAAAACATTCTTGAAACTCTAACCAAAATATCAATACTTCCGTCTAGCCCTTCATCTTGAATCATCCATTTCATCATGAAATTTGACCTTCTAACCAAACGTTATACATTAATATAAGTTATTATTTCATGTGGATCAAAATATTTTTTTGTTTTCATTTGGAAACAAACAAAACCTGAAAAAATGTAATATTTTTGTGGTTCAATTCTGCTTCCGACTGCGCTTCATTGCGGCCTTCAGGTCACTTGATTGTATTACTTTGATCAGTGCAAATCATCGCAATCTAAACCTTCCGTGATGCATTTAATAGCCTTGATTTGAGAGAAGAGAAAAAAAATCAATTCTTTTCTTGTTTTTTTTTCTCTTTTTATTCAACAATCTCAACAATTGACATTCAAACTGACATTGTAATTGACAGTAAAATTGCTAGTAAATTGTTTAACAAATTACTTTTAAATTTTCAGGGGAAAATTCTGTTCTCTCGCAATTCATTTGTTTCTATGTGAGTTAACTGTTTTCAGGTTTGCCGTTTAGTTTTTGATTGTTGCTTGGGAATTTCATTCAATCATTTTTAATGCTTCTAATGTCTATAATTAACTGGATTTTGTCACTGGGAATTGTTGGTCTAATTGTTATTAAGAGCTATTAGGAGGTTTTAAGGTTGCTTTTAATTAATACTTGGACTAATATGCATTAACTGAATCATCTTTTTTTTGTATGAATCTTCATTTTCTGGTTTATGTTTCATCTGGTAAAGGCAAAGGTAAAGATTGGTTGTAATTAAATTGCTGTTTAAATGGTTAGGTGGGAAATGGCTACTCGATTTGCTATAAGGTTGAAGATTGAAGTTGAACTCAGATTATTGTTATTATGGTGATGATGGTTAAATTGTTTGGTGTGAAAATTGAATATGTGAATGTGACAAAAAGTAATGAGAAAAAAAACTTGAAAGCTTCATGTCAATGTAAATTGCCGTAATATTGTTTTCAACTGAATGCGGAAATCAAGTGGCTGAATAAATGACCTTAAATATAGCACAATGTAAATATGATGAAGGTCATTTAAGATATTTAATTTAATATACAACACAGATAAATAAGATAACGGACATTGTAGGTAAGACAGGTAAGATGTAAGATGATAAGGGAAAGAAAAATGAATGAATAATGAGATGTTGCCTTCATCATTATCATCTGTTGCTGGTGTTCAGCTTGGAGATTCATTGTTGGTAAAAGGTAATCTCACAGCTGAGTAAACTCATTTTCATGGTGTAAAAGAGAGAGAGAGAGAGAGAGAGAGAGAGAGAGAGAGAGAGAGAGAGAGAGAGAGAGAGAGAGAGAGAGAGAGAGAGGGAAAGAGAAAAGGATGAGTTAAGAATAAGTTGAGAATACAATGAAGACAAGAGAGAGAGAAGAGAAAGATGATTGGAAAGGAAAAGAAAGAGAGAGTAAGAGATGAAAAGTGGTCTAAACTTAGGTCATTCTGGTAGCTCATTTGATAAACCAGAATTGGACATGAGATTAGAAGGTAAGAAGGGAAAAGGAAGATGTCAGAAGATGAAGAAAGAGAAAGAAAGAGATGAGAGGGTCCATGAGAGGGCCGGAAATGCGGAAGAAGTTGAAGGAAGATGGAAAAGGCTGAAAAGATGAAAGGAATGATCACAATAGACGATCAGGAGAAACATGAATTGAGACATTGAAAGAGATTGTAATCAAAATTTAAGGTGATATTGATATTGGAAATTACGATATCGATGTTTGTCAAGGGCTTGTCAACCTTATTTTCAATGAATATGATTATGGCAAACTTATGAAGCTGTTGGGTACGAAATTGTCACATATTTCTGATTTAAGAATAATTTTAAATGATTTATGTATCAATTTTTTAGTTTTAGGCGATATGAACTCAAAGACTTGGTTCGATACTTCAATGACTGGTTAGAAACCAACGGAAAATTATAAATATGTTTGCGATTTGAAATACAGTCCACTGATGCGAGTTACAATCCATTTCCAAAGCTTAAGAACTGTTTGTTAATTTTTTAACTTGAAAGTTAAAGACTGGCTTTTTAAAAACAGGAATAACAATGGTAAGTCCAACCAACATTGGCTATCAAACACCTGGTTTGGTAAAATTTTGTGACATTTACCTTGTTGAAGATTTACAATTTTTTTCTGGTTAAACTTTGATATTACATATATTACTGTAATTGACTATTAGTTGGTTTGTACGCGCCAATTTATCGGCTAATTTTGTCTGTTAGTTTGGTTGTAAAGTTAACCGGTAAAGTCTGTAAGTTTATGTTTTACTGAAAATGAAGTGATACTTACCACATCGGTTGACATTGTATTACATGATCTTAAGGGTAAAACGTATGTAACATTGTCTTGACTGTTGAACTCAACCATACACGATGAGTTTGTTGAAAGTCCTTTTGGATAAATCATTCCGTTAAATGTTGAAGCCGTGTTAATTGTAACCTGTATATTATTACTGTTACACTCAATGTGAACATCTGATCCTGGTCCAGTCTCCATAGAGACAGTGGACATCACATGGGAACACAATAATAACAGTAGAGTTGAACAAAAGAAATTTAATAAACTAACATAATTATAATTCAATTGGTGATTATAATGGTGGTGATGATCCATTTTGGTTAATTTTCTGGTCATTTTCCGATGTCAAGGCAAACCAAACCCAAAAGTAAGTTTTACCTCTAGAACCTCTCTTCCTTGTCTTCTTCCTCTCGCTCTCTCCCTCTCTCTCACACACACAGCCACTCTCTCTCTCACTCTGTCTCTTCAACGATTTTAAGGCCAAAATATTGATCGATAATTTTGGCCAGACTGGAGAGATCGATGATGGTGATGGTGAAGAGAGTGGGCTTTGCTAGATGTTGAATGTTGGTTAACTTGGTTTGGTTGGTGACTTTTCTTGGTCTTGTTGATTTGGTTGACAATCACAATTAACTTTACAATATAAAGGTAACATAAAACAATGTTGAAAAGTGTATAAAAATGAAAAGGTAAAGTTTATATGAGCTGTTACAGAGCAGAGAAACAAATGATACTCTATTAGGAAAATAAATTTACTGCTCACTCAATAGTCTTACCTGAAAAAAAACTCCTCAAAACCTGTTCTGTATTTGGACTCACTCAACGTTACTCCAAACACTTGCACATCAGAGCAGGAATCTTGGCTTTTTTTTCCGTATAAGTTGAGGGTGAGATGATGAAGGATAAAGCTTCACATAAGGATGATATTATCATTATTATTATTATTTTTATTGCTATTATGATCAACATCTAGACAAGGTACTATTTTTCATTTTTAACTTGATTATCGCTATCAGTTTAGCTGAAAATGAGCTTCTGTTTTTGGCTTTGCTTGAAGATCAACTTTCATGTAGGTTGATCGTTTATTTAGTCCTTATTTGGTTTTGACAATTGCCTTGGAATTAGCTCTTTTTAATTTTCATTATTTAATCATTTACAGCTATTAAGTTATTTTACAAGTTCATTTTCAAGGTATTATTTAGTCGCGAGGTGAACCCAAACCACAGTTAATTGAAATTATGATGGATAAATTTGTGACAGACTGTGGGATAAATTCAACTTTAATTATTAGCAAATTTCTGGATCATCAATTTTCCCTTATACACTTTGACAACTTATTGAAAGCAAGTTTTAATGTTTAACTGTACAGTTTGTTTGAATCTTTATTTAAGAGCTAAAATCAGAAATCATTGTTTTCTGATTTGGATTTGGAAACTCGTGGAATTTCACAACAAACACCTGAATTAAGATTGATTTATAAGGCCAATCCGAAGAAATTTCAGATTTAGATTTGTTTTGAACAGGATTATGAGTCAATGAGACCTTCTGTCTGAGGCACATGGAAATCGGGTTTCAATGGTGTATCTTCATTGTCCAGCAAGAGCGACAAGATGATTCTCGAAGAGGATAAAATTGTTCAAGAGAGCAGCTCAGGAACTGATATTAACCTGATCTACCATTCTGAGGATCTGTTATCTTTCAACAATTGATTTAACTTGACCAATGATCGATGATTCAATCGGCCCTTCGTCTATTCTATTTTAAAATATAACACGAAGGAAACCTTTTCGAGCAAATCTTTGAAGCTGTTCCTCACATTTACACTTACTTATGGAATCCTCAAATTTTTCATCGACAAAGATATATCTAACATCGTTTAGATTATTTAGTTGTAGTTGAAGTTGTCGATTAGAGTGTAATATAGATTTGTAATAATCTTTCTTTTTCATTTTTATGATGATTGATGAGCATGATGTCGATGGTGTTACTGGTGTTGCTGGTGAAAGTGCGATGACAATGAGAGAAGCAGGATGATGATGATACAATGATTGGCTAAATACACAAAACATTAATACGAATCAAAATAACCCAAGTTTCATTACTTTATTTTAAAGATGAAAAGGATAGGTAAAGAGATAGGACAAAACGAGGTTTTTTAATGTGATAAAGCGAGAATGTGATTCGACTGGATTAAAGATGAAAAATCATAATTGGAACAAATTGATTTCATTGATGCAGTACTTGTTGTTGAACTGTATCCTTCTTCTTTTTTCCCTTCTTTTTAGGTTCCAGGCCATCATCACCCTTGTACTTTTTCTTGTGGTGTTTGTATTTGTTTCTCTTGCGACAATAATCCTCATAAATATATCTTTCTTCGGGAGTCAAGGTCTAAAGATGATAGGTAAGAGAAAAGTGTCGAATACAAAATAGAAACATCAAAGCAGTTAACCTGATGGGCATATCGTATGCGATATTTTTAAACTGTTGATAAATTGAGAAAAGTGTTCGACTATTTTCGACGAATAAGTTTAAGCTTTCTAACTCTTACGGTCGGTTTTATTGAAATTGAACTGATCAGAGAATAAACAGAGAATTTTATTTCTCAAAATAAGTGCATTTTCTGGTTTGCCATCGTAAGTTACATCGGAAAATGATTTGATGAAAAAGGCATAATTGAAATTATGCGATCGAATTTTCCTCTTCACCCTCGCTTTTCTCGAAAACTGTCAATCGGAGAAATTATTTAATAGCTATGGACTATGTATGGCAAAACAGCTATTTGACTTTATATTACAATGATATTGTCAATAAATCGATTTGATACTAAAATTTATAATTTCAAAGTTACTTTATCGAAGCTTTTATAATTTGAATTACATTAGACTTTCCACAGAATATCTCGAAAGATAATTTAACTATAAGTTGGTTGATAACGAGGTGGTGTAGGTTCAATAACATCTTCTACTGGAGCATCGACCCAGGCTGATATTCTGTTTGGATAGAGAACATATTTAGCCTTCGATTCTAAGGTTGTTAAATCAACTCCTAGGTCAACCAATGTCCGCGCGCCAGGAGTTAGTTTGTCAGTAGTGTGTTCCTAGTCGAAGAAAAATAGATAATTTGTTAATAAATACAATAATTAAACGGCCAATCTTTTACTTACAAGTTCAATCAAACCCCAACAAACAGTTGGCTTCTTCAGCGTTAAGCTTTGGAAATGGATTGTAGCTTGCATCAGTGGACTGTATTTCAAATCGCAAACATATTTATAACTTTTTTCGTTGGTTTCTAACCAGTCATTGAAGTATCGAACCAAATCCTTGAGCTCGTATCGCCTAGGACTAGAAGATTTATGCATAAAAAATTAGATAAAATGTTTATAATTATTCTGAAATTAGAAATATGATAATTTCCTACCCAACAGCCTCATAAGTTTGACCATAACCATATTCATTGAAAATAACGTTGACAAGCCCTTGACAGACATCGATGAAATATACAGGTTCTTTGAAAATACCATCGCCCATATTCCAGACAGCAATATTTTTCCAAAATGTTCGTCTACCAGGCGCTGTATAATAGTTTAAAAGACGGTCAGAAGCGCCAAACATCCAACTTGGTCTGAAAATGATTGCATCGGGGAATTCGTTTCGCACTGCAATTTCTCCTTCATATTTTGTTTTGAAAAATTGAACTCCTATTTTAGAAGTAACTGGGACAGGGTCGGGCCTAGCATTCAGAGCTGACATATGAATAAGCTTCTTCACACCCGCAAGACGACTGACTTTAGCAATTTTTGCCGCACCATCAACATGAGTTTCTTTAAGGGTAAAACTCCTAAAGTAAAAATAAAAATTCGAGTTAACAATTTGATTTTTGGGCAACTTTAAATCCAAAACTTACGCAGTATCGCTGTAGGCCCCAATTAAATTTACAACCACATTAGAATATTTAACAGCTCGAAACAACGACTCTTCATCTCTTAAATAATATGGCTAGAGTAATAGGTTAGATTTCATGTTGAGGATAAGAGTTAATAAAAAACCATGACAAAGACTTATGTTGATCTTACCACAAACATAACTTGGCCTAAATCTCCAGAAACTTTCAAGTCTCTTACGTCCATAGGATCTCCACGATAAGGGACGATAACTTGAGTTCCTCTTCTGGTTAAATTGCTGACCAAAACTCGGCCTAATGGACATCTTGCTCCGAAAACAGTAACAACATTACCATTAAACGATGATCTTCCTCCAGTACCTCGTTTAAGAGCTGAACTCAAAGGATTGGGAGTGGAAAATTGAACTTCGATATCATTGCTATAGCTTCGTCTAGAAGTAGTTGCAACAGGCAATGAATTGACCCACACGTTCCCTGAATTAATCAACAATAAAATTAAACGTTAGAATTGTGTTTACAATGTTTACTATGGACGAATGAAAACAGTTACCTTTGAGAGCTATCGATGAAAATCTTGCAATTGGATTCATAGCTGACCTTAGACCGGAACACAGGGGATAATATTAGAATCAATTGCAAAATCCGGTAATTAATATCTAATAAACCAGCTGAAAATTAAATAAAAATGAAAACAAATCCAATTTTGTTGACATTGAAGCACTTTGTCTGCAAACTCCTCCTGCAATCACAAGCCCGGGCAGTTTGAAACTTGAGCTACATCTGTTCACCATTCAATTTTCATTTTTGAGGATTTCATACAATTTGTTAAATTAATTCTAATTACTGTGCTTTCCATTGAGACTTTATTTTTTAGTACCCATCACATATTTTTGTTGTTATTATCAAGAATTGTTCCAAGAGTAGATTATTGACCTCAATTGACGTTTAATTTGCAATCATCAATTTATGAAAATTATAGCGTTTTCATTACGTTAGTATACTGTTATGGTCCATCTGTGATTAATTTTATTGTTTTAATTAATATTAATCTCTTTTTATTTTTTAGATTGTGTTCGTAAATTAACCTTGAGATTTAATGGAGCCATCAGCATCAACGGAGGTTCAAGAAAAGATGCCACTAATTGTGGAAGAAGCTTATAAAGTCAATTCTAAGCCGGTCAATTTCTTATTAATCAAACCTTACGGGTCGTCATTTCTCCTTTGGATAGGTGATTCCAACATGCCGAAATTCAGTGATTTAAGCCTGTCTGTCGCAAAAAACTCAACATCAATCATTGGCGATGATACTCATCTATTATCAAACAAATTATCCCTCAAATTAAGCAACAGGTTCAATGAAAACAAGCCTGTTTATGTTTCCTTTAATTTGCCTTTATCAATTCAAACCGGTGATTTCTTGAAACAGTTGGATGATAAGATTATTTTCTTTTTGAATAAACACCTCAAAAAATGAACATTTAATCTGTTGAAAGTCTTGTTTAATTAATTGTGAACGGTTATGAAAGGTTTAGGGACCAGCTTTTTCCACCACGTCCATCACTCTTCAAAGGACTTTTTCAACCACATTTTCAATATCTTTTTCAATTCATTTTTTCAATGTATTATCCACAATGGTCCATTACTGGTGGAAAAAAGCTGATTTAGTCTGCAATCATTTTTTTCTAGTTTTAGGTTATGGACACCATTCAACCAACTTCTTATTCAATTTTTACGAATGCTTTCCAATTTTTCTTTCTCAAGTATTTTCAGTTATTAGATGAGTTTCCATTAGGATAATTGACACGATCTTAGATAATTTTTGATACATTTGTACATTCAATCAATTCAAATGATATTTACACGGTTGTATTGGACTTTTTTCAATACTTTCTTACATTAGACATTTATTAAAATTGGTGGCATTTTATCATGATCAGAATTTTAGGCCGTTATAATCCAAAATTTCCAGAGTACATATAAGACATTTAATTACTAACTGACACAATTGATAATTGATTTAAATACCGTTTTTATAAAATATTTACTCATAAAAATCCTCATGAAAATAAACTCTGTTGTTGATACGACCTCTGTCGATATATTATTAAACTAACATGAGTTTTACAAAAAATGAAGGTTTAAAAAATATGTCATCATTATGTACATGTCAACAAATTGTTTAACGGACTGTTTCATCTAACTGTTTTATAATTAAACCTTAATTAAGATCTAGAATAACTTTTAGTTTTGTTTTTGTATACAGAGTCTTTGATTTTACTGTTTACTGTGATTTTAACTCAATGGCTAGGAGACCAAATGCACATTCCTTCGGTAAGTAATAAAACTGAATTGTAATTGTGGCAATGTAGGCTTATCTTTCTTTGAACAATTTGTTTTGTAGGAGAAACTGAAAACGACCAACTCATATATGGACTCAAAAGTAAAGTAACGACATTAAAATCGGTAAGATTTGAATGATCCAGATCATCCTCAGTCGATATAACCTTTCTTATTATCTTTATTTAGCTTACTTTGGATATGGGTGACGAAATTAAATATCAAAATGCATTTCTCAATGATCTAGACAAAGATACCGACTCTACATTTGGAATGTTATCATCCAACATAAATCGTATTAAAAGGCTTTCCCGATCTGGCGGCTGTAAATTTTATTTCATGTTGATAGCCTTCTCTTTCTTTGTTTTCTTCTTCATTTGGATGATGTTTTATTAATAAAATGACAAGCTAAATATTTTACACTACAAATAATGGATGTTTTAGTCAATGAACAAACAACGCAGAGATATTATAAATGAAGGTAGTTTATTAATAAGTTCATTATATCGTTATTAAATTAGTTTTATCATCGAAACAAAATAAGCAAATCAGAGCTTCTCAACCAATTTGATTCCAAGAAGCTTGAGTCCAAGACTGAGAATGTATGCTGTTGCCTCGCAAAGCAAGACTCTTTCCATGTTGATTTTGACTTGATCACTTTCTCCAATTTTCTCGATAACATAACATTGTTCATAGAATTCAGAGAAAATAACTGACAACTCGAAAAGGAACGAGCATAATCCATGAGGTGCTAGTGACTCACTTATCTGTAAAATCACATCTGGAAATTTAAGAAGGAACTTAGCTAATCTAAGTTCTCTTGGATGATTGAGAACCAACTCCTTGGTTTCGGAGGCTATTTCCTTGATTGGCTTAGTTATACCAGTTTTACGAATTATAGACCTAATTCGGGCCAGTGAATATAGAAGGTATACAGCCGTGTTTCCACGATCATCTAACATTCTATCAAAACTGAACTGATAGTCCTTGATTCTATCTTGAGCTAAATCAGAGTATTTGATACATCCATAAGCAACAGCTTTTTTAGCAACTTCCAGTTCTTCTGGAGATAAAACTTTATCGCGCTCCTTTTCCTTCAATTTTTGCTCAGCTCTTTGGATACCTTCTTCTAGTAGTTCTCTCAATTTTACGGACTCGCCAGATCGAGTTTTGAATTTTTTGCCTTTATCATCTGTCAGAGAAAAAAGTGGATAAAAATTATTAATATGCAAAAGAAAGAGGTGAATGGATCATTTACCTAGAACAACACCGAACCCAACGAATTCAGTTTTAACTTTGTCTGGATCATAGTAACCGGCTATTTTAGCAGCTGCGAAAATGGTTCGGAGATGAGTTTCCTGGCCAGCATCAACCACATAAATAACACGATCAGCCTTTTGTACATTCACTCTGTATCTGATACAAGCCATATCTGATGTATCATAAGTGAATCCACCATCTGATTTAACAATTGTTAAAGGAACTTCTTTTGGTTTACCAGTGAAAAACATCCATCGTCCTTCCTCTTCTACCAATAGATTCCGAGACTTCAAATCCTCTACAACTTCTATCATCATATCTTGGTAGAAAGATTCACCATACTCCACAAGTCCATGAATATCAAGAGCTTCGTAAATTTTTGAAAATTCTTCTCGAGAAATATCACAGATTAGCTTCCATGCTTTGATAAATGATGGTTCTTTGGATTGAAGTTTTACTACACTATCTTTGGCTCTTTTCTGAAACTCTTTGTCCTCGTCAAAGCGTTTCTTGGATTCTTGGTAAAATTTTTGTAAATCCCCAATCGCCGGTGGATTTTCTAGATAATCTGGAAACTTTTCTGTCAAATGGGCTAGCAGCATTCCAAATTGAGTTCCCCAGTCACCAAGATGGTTGACTCTTGCTACATCGTGTCCTAAAAACTCCAAGATATTAGCAAGACAATCTCCGATGATTGTGGATCGAAGATGACCAACATGCATCTCTTTTGCTATATTAGGTGAACTATAGTCAATAACAACCTTTTCTTTTTTATCTAACTTCATAGAAACTCCGTCCTTCAAGATGGACAACACTTTTTGTCCAACATATTCATTATTAATGTGTATATTAATAAATCCTTTGTCAACGCTATTGGAGCCAATCAGATTGTTTTCTGGTAAATTGGAAACGAGCTTTTCTGCCAGCATCTTTGGGTCAACTTTACCTTCTATACCAAGTTCCTTTGCTTTTTTCATTAATCCCATCGCAGAATTACATTGATAATCAGCATGAACACTTGGTCTTATTGTTGCGTGAGTATCCTTCAAATTAGGAAAACTTATGTTGATAGCTTCATCGAAAAGCGTTTGAAGCTGCTTGGTGATAGCCTCCATGATGTGGTGAACTGACACACAATTATAAAATGACAAAAGGGAATTAAATTAAATAAATAAAAGATCTTTAACAATATGGAGTTGATATCTGCGGAATCTTAAACACGTGTAAGTTAAAGGGAGCCTCTTTAAGGGACGGTCACTCAATAAAAAAGAGCACAAATCTCACTCGTTGTCAAAATATGGTAACCAAAGAGTAGAGGAGTCTTCCTTTACTCTTTGTGGTAACAATCAAATCTACTAATGATAAAACAAAACGAGGAAGATGAAGTATAATTTAAATATACAGGGTGTTAACTAAACAGGCATTATTTTCTCGGAACACTTTTCAATACTATTCAACCTCTTTTCATATTCACTCTAAACGCTGTCTATATCATTCATTCCCATAAACTATCATAATTGTTTTAAAGGATTAACTTCATCGGTATTTCAACTTTCATGTTCACTTGCTCATTCAATTGTAATTAATCTTAAACAAGTTTCTTGTACATTTAAGAATTCAACGAATTTTGAAATTACAAAAAATTGTTGACTGCCCATGTTCATGGATAAGTTATTTGCTGTGAAACTAAATGTCACAAAATTGATACAGAATCAACAAGTAAACAAATTTCGTATGAACCTGACAACAGAAAACATGAAAATTTATTCATGATAAATCTTGGGAGATCAGAAGAAAAAGGAAGAGATGGAATAATTTACATTCTATCAACCAATTCCGAAAGTAACCAGCACTCAAGTTACATATCGAGAGTCTATTAACCCAAATCTTTGTAACGTACAAAGTTTTTATCCAATATATTAGTACTTCATGTAATATTACTTTCGGTTAATCATGGTGATTATTGTTATTATTCAATAAATATAGAATTACAATTTCTATTTTAATTCTTGATTAAGGCTTTAAGCAAACCAAAACCTATTGAAGTTCAAATGATGCCTCAATCTTCCGCTTTTACACTTTCTTATTTCACTGCTTTTCACTTTCACTCAGTTCACATCTTATTTAAAATAAACGTGAACAAGATTCGAGGTAAACCCCTCTAATAATTTTGGCCCTCATCCGAAATATATTAGGAACACTTTTACTTAGGAGGAGTAAAAGGCTTTAGGATCCATCCTTTAGCCATCATAGAGCAAGAAAGGAAGATAAAGATGAAAATGAAGATGAGTACAAAATTTTTGCAAACTACAGTTAACAAACAAACATATTTTTTTTGTGGGTCTGGCAGAGCTAAATGAAGAGTCTGGTCGGGAATTTAGCATATACCAGTTGCTAGTAAGTTAAATAGGAAGACGAAGAGACAGAGTGAGTCGAAGAGAAAAATATAAGACAAAATCAAGTTATCATCATCAACAAGAAGCGGTAACATCGCCTTCTCCTTTGCCTTTTTATCATCTCTATCATCATCTACATCATTCCTTTGAATGTTTCAAGCCTAAAAAATCAAAACAAAAACAAAGAAAAATTAGTTTCCGAAATTATTAATGAAAAAGTGTTTCTTTCTCTAGTTATAAACGAGCAATCATAAAAAATGAGAGAACAAAGTTGATCAAAAAGATGACCAATTGATCTTTTGATCAACTAATTTATTTAGTTGCTACAATTTACCTCATCATCAAAATATTTCCATTGCCAAAGTTTACTTGTTCCATATATTGCTGTTGTCCAACATTTTCAGTCCATCTTTACTTTGTGACTTGTGATTATTGTGCCTAAACCATGGCGGCTACAGAACCCCAGGGTGATCCATATGATATTTGGAGAGCCCTTCAACCTCAAGTTGTTATTGTTAATAATCCAATGTATTTTGTTAAATTAAAACGTGACACCAAATCCAAATTAGTAAAATTCTTTGAAATCTTCAAGACATTCACAGAGCGCTGGTTTTCCCATATTTTACTTCTTTTTGTCCTTTTTTTGTATGGCTGTCTTGGAGCTTGGATATTTATGATGATTGAGGGTAAAGCAGAGATTAAATACAAAGTAAGTAATTTTAAATTAATTAAAACACCATATTCAATAAACTAAACCAAAACAAAACGTTAACAAACGACAATTAACACAAAGTCAAACACCAAAAAGGCTTAAACAAAGGAATCACCTCTTAATCATTCAATGGAAGCAACCAATTTTAATCAATCCTATCGATATCACAGATATCCGATCTAAGAATGGATTTTGATATATCTATTGAAAAAATGGGTTATAATTAAGCCAATTTCTCGTTGTAAATGTGATTAATTAACATAGACCTTGACCTGGAAAACAAGTGTATGTCAAAAAACAGAACCATGAGGCTACCTTTTAATATATGTAACAATTCAAAGCATATAATTTGAAAATGTTTCCTGCGAATCAGATTCCAGAAAAAAACAAGGATGTTTGAGGTTACTTTTATTCATTAATCACTTGTAGTTATTCACTCAGCAAATGGATAAACAAATTCCCATTTTCACACTGAAAGAGCAAGTTGTCAACAGTTGAGTTGTAATCAACCCACCAAAACTAAATCACAACCCAATGATTTGTACCAATGAATTTAAGAATGAATGACTAACCATTGCTCTTGATACCAATTTGATAGCATTCAAAATTACATCTAAGCTTGAAACAAGATTGTATTAATTGTAGGTAATAAGGCTTGCTAAATATATTTCAAATAATAATTTAATTTGAAGACAATTTTGATTCCTTGCCAAGTCATAACAGTAACATATAACCTCAAAAACAAACCATTTTTAATAACCAATTTTACCTTAATCACATCAGATATTAATGAAGTGTTTCACTAATAACTCATTCCAGGGATTCTCATTTTCCCAGTAAATTCAGTTTCATTGTTTCAATTTTTAACAAAAGGCAAAAATTCAATTCTTTTCCTGATCATTATATTAATAGATTGTCTCGATATTGATTAATGCAACAATTGTCATCACAAGTCTGGCAATTTGTTTAATCATGCAAAATTTTTCACACTTCAATTGTTAACATATTTTGTTGATTCTGCAAATTCATTTCAGCTTTTCATTTGAATCGATATCAATGCAAAATGATTGCTAATTGTAACTCTTTTCTAGTTAAATCATACTTAACTGTAATTCAATCCAATTTTAACCTACAATCAGTTTAATAACCGATTAACCTTTAAACACCAACACCAACAATAAAACCTTAAGACGAGTGCACAAATTAATGAAGCTCAATACATAAATAGACATCTTTTAAGTATTACAATTGGCAATCTTGTTAATTCTTGTTAACCATTAAAATAAAACAATTTAATAATCAAATGTTGAGATCACGAAATAAAAACAATGAACCAATTTAGATGTAAACTGACTTTAAAAATTTCATTTCTTCTCATCCTTGAATCTCTTGAATCTCATGGAAATGCATTCAAATTGAAATTAAGAAAGCTAAATTAATTTTTGTAATCAAAGTATTTCGCTTGATTAATATTCAGTGATTTATTGATGTTAATTAAGCTGAACCATTCAAGTTTACAAATAATTGTTAATCTACTAAATGTAAACAATTGAATGTAAACTTGCCTTCATTGATGGATCGAGTTATTTATCAAATTTTAAGTCGATGACAGTTAGATGTAACCAGAAAGCAAAGCCTAAACATTTACTAGGTAAAGTCAATCAATTAATCACAATTAATAACAAAATGATTGACTGTTTAAACACATAATTTAAAAAACAAACAAAAGTCTAGTTTAATATTAAATTTTCAGCCAAATTGGATACTTTGAGGTTGCCTTTAAAATTTTGCAAATTCAATGTAAATTTGGGTTCTAACCCATAATAACTCTAGATTAACTGATAATCAAACATCTCTGGTTATAATTGTTAAGGTTTTCTCTGTAAAAGGCTGGTTAAAATTTAATTGAGCTTTAATTTCACAAATCTATGTACTTAATTGACATTAGAATTATTATCATCTTGTTGGCAATTTATCAACTATGTTTACCCTGACATCCAAATACACTTTTGACTTTACCTTAACCATATAACAGCCTTTGACTTGAAAAAGCCTTTACTTTCAGTTATCAATGATTCCTAAAATATTTTTCATTCAGCTATACAATCAACTTGTTGATCAATCAGTCACTGAAATTAGATTCAATTTACTCCATTATATCTGATTTGTCTATGAATTACATCTATGAATTGGGTTCCATTTGATTATGTTATACCAATAGTTCAAACTGGATTTAAATTTTCAAAATTGGCAATTGATTTACTCTTAGGATTAGCTATTTTCAGTGTATCAACAGACCAAAAACCAATCTTGATTGGTTGATTGATTTTTTTCAATCATCAATTTTACTGCTGCCAAAATTGCGACCAATTCATCAACTATCTTTTAATTAATCAACAGAGTATTGCATCTCTGATAAAACAATAATTGGTATTGAAATTGAATCAATTTATCCAATCATTTCACATTTTCATGATCATAGGCCTGCAAAAACAACACTTCTGATTTAATCACAGCTACCAACTGCATTGGTTTTATAAGATCTCTTATTGATATGGAAATGGTTGAAATTTGTTACAACCTAATTACAAATTCACTCGTTGATTGCTTTAACTGTCAAGACAGCATAAATAATCAACATTTGTACTGATTTGGGGTACAACATGGGATAAACACAAAGAAATCAGAACGATGTTCCCAATATTAACAGTAAAAAGTAAACAAGATTTGACTCGAAATTTGTAGCTTCTAGTTTTACCATCGAGAATTTGTTAGTTACTGTATTTAATTTATTTATTATTGTGTTCACTGAGAGATTTGAAAGATTCTTACAATTAGCGGTTTACAATATCAACTGTTGCACTGTATGATGAACTGTTCAACAGCCTAGTTTATCATCTTGATCAGTCGGAAACATTTTTCAACTTACCATTACTTGATCCGTAAATCATTTGGGAAAAAAAGTGAACATCGATTGAAGCTGTTGTTCATCTTGCAGAGTAAATGAACCTCGTTTTTCTAGTTTTGCGTACTTCTAAATCACAATTTAACTTGATTATCTTGGTACAGTTCATTTGTAACATTTATCCTCTTTTTTGTGTTGCTTGTTTATTTTGGCTCCAAAAAATTGGTATATTTGTATCTTTCAATCTTAATAACTAAGCTTTCCCTCTATGCCTCAGTTTTACTCAAATGGTAAAGGGTGAAAACTCTTTGGCCTAAATTATGTTTAATATTTATTTATTTAATTATTTGATTATTTTTTTTTAATTCTGTTATTACAATTCAGCTGAAATCAAGTTCTATACATTTTAATCATAACGTTATGTTTAAGTTTAATATATTAGCTACTACAGCTTTCCATTGTCATAAGGCTTGTGTTTATTACGCAGTTTGTGTTACCCAAATGTTACCCTTTGTGTAATAGTTTAACCTATTGTGTCATGACTTTCTTTTGTTTCTTTCTTAGGAACCAGTTTCTTATATGGTTCAAGATTTCAAACGTGAATTCTGGTATCAAGCGAGAGTCATTAAACGAGATGAAAAGGCCATTTATCGATTAATTGAATTAAGAATGAATGAATTCGAACGGCAGCTATTGGAAAATTTTAAAGCTGGAATTGAGGTTGAAGTGGAAGAGGTTGCTTGGACCTTTTGGGATGCTTTGTTTTTCTGTGTAACTATTTTCACTACAATCGGTAAGTGTGAAACTTTTACCATTTTAATATGTTACCTTTATCGAGCAACTATGACACCAATCTGTGCTAAATGTACATTTTATTTTACCTTTCATCTTACAGGCTATGGGCATGTAACATTGAAAACTGATCTTGGTCGTGGGTTCACAATGATTTACGCTTTTATTGGTATTCCATTGGTTTTAATGGTTTTAACTGATCTTGGTAAACTGTTTACTCGAGGTATTAAAGTGAGCTTCCTTAAAATCCGTCGTTTCTGCTATGCACATGGATTCCGTCGGGTTAGACAAGCTAGTCGGACTGTATCTGCCTACCAAACACAGGTGAAAAATTACATTCTCTCTGTAAACATTTTATTCCAATAATTGAAATTTTTGTTTTATATTTTCTTAACAGTACGTTTCAGGCGCTTATAATGCAATTAGGAAGTTATCTTCAGTTTCAAGTAAAACTAAAAGGGAAAGCTCAAAGGAACCAAGTGTTGTTAAAGAAAAATTTGACACTAGTTTAAAAGTTCCTGGTGACGACCTAGAATCAGGTAATCCTGTGGATTCAACGCGTGTATTCAAAACCCCGATCATTTATCCTGGAGACATGCCAAGTTTATTAAGTCCATCAGGAGGTGGTATCTCATCTTTACAGCCTCTTCCGTCAGTAATAATATCACCTAATCCAACTCCACCAGTGATGATATCATCAAATCCGACACCACCGATGACAGCTTATGTTGAATCACGTCCAGGTAGTCCAATTTCTCCTGAAACACCGGCTCCATTTCAGGTTGACGATGAATTTAATCTACCTGTTAGTTTAGCATTGTTTATTCTGGTACTTTATATCCTTCTGGGATCATTTATATTTACTTACACCGATGAATGGCGTCTCTTTGAATCATTCTACTTTGTTTACATCTCAATGAGTACCATTGGATTTGGAGATTATGTTCCAGAAGATTCAATATCAATGATAGCTTCGTCTATTTACATGCTTTTTGGGTTAGCATTAACATCAATGTGCATCAATGTGATTCAAGAGAGGCTAGCTGAATCATTTGAGAGTGCCAAAGTCAGAATTGGTGCTCAATTGGGTCTTGATGTCAATACTATTACTGGAAGTGGAGTTGGTGGAGCAGGTGGAGGTGATTTCCACAATGGCAAGGAATCGAAAAAAGAATCTGGCAAAGAAGTTGGATTTGAATTGAAAACAGCCGACATTGGTAGATCATTGAGAGAAAGACGTGAACGGCGACGATCATCTGAACGGTCAACTTCCGACAAATCTTCAGATATAACATCAATTAAAACACCAAATGATCAATTGGATAAAACTAGTTCAGATGATGAAGCTTCAAAGTCAGATTTTTCTGTGAGAACTTCTGATCTGTGAACAGCTAAAATGAGGTGAAAAAAGTTTAAGAAATAACAATTACCACGAAAAATGTACTTTAAATCAATCAAATTGCTCAAAATAATCATTCAGAGGATAAATCTCATGAAACAATCACCAATCATCCTATCATTTATAACGTCAACGAGAGCCAACAGCCTTTCTGAAAGTTGTTATTTTGTGATGATCGCTGGAAGAATTTTTTCCCTGAGAAATCCAATTGATTGATTAAGTGGATCTGGTATTTCATCTTATCCACGGAACCAAGCTGATCTTGTTTATGATGATGATAAAATCATAAATGCAACACGCAATTGTATTTCTTTAGTTGCTGAAAATCAACAGCTATAAAGCTTTTTTATTTTACTCAATTGGTGATACTATCGTCACATATGATTTGAAAGTTAAATCACCATTGTAAGCATAAATATCAACATTATACAATGTTTTAGTGATTGCTTGGAAGTAAAGCTCATTCATTTTTTTGCTACGAATTACCTGACTTTGTTTGTGACACAACATTGTATCTTCATTATTTTCATTCAAATCGCCTTAAATCATTTTCTGTGATATCAAAAATAAACATTAGTAATTATGATTACTATTATCATCGTTACTTGAAAATTTATCGTCGTACAATATTAATCCTACCGGATCTATCGTACAACATCTTTCCCCTATTCGTTCAATTATACACATGTAATAAACAGTGAAAATCATATTTTACGAATTTCTGAGGTCGGTTCAGTTTTAAATTTTTAGACATCTAAATCAAGAATTTTAATCGCAGAATATTTTTAATAGAGCTTTAATATTTACAAAAGATTAGCATAATTATGTTAAAAAGAGTTCAGTTAAAGAATAAACGTGTTAAAATTGACTGAATTTCTATTAGGTATAATTACAAAGAAAAGAGAATTAGCACAAAACAAAACAATTATTTCAGTCTACATGAGATTTCGTTTCTTACTGGGAAAAAGGATAAGTAAATTGATAGTAATTAGTATAAACTTATAATTATTTACATTTTTTTTATAAAGAAGTAAATAGGTCTTTGAATGATTTAATCTGAAGAGCAGATTAATAATTGTCAAGCATAGGAGATATATTAAGGCCATTTTCGCTTGGATTTACAATTTTTTGTTAACATGATCAGAGCTCAACATTGTCGAACAACTTTTTACTTAAACCATAAAAAGTGAAAATATTGGCTCGAGATTTTCTTAATCGCTGATTGACCCATTGATTTGACTTTTTCAATGGAACAAACTGTCTCGTAAATCAGCTTTCGATGGTTAAGAAAGACAGAACTAAACTCAGGTTTTTTTGAAGTCAAGTTTTTAGATCTAAACCCATCATTTTAAAGTTGACTTGTATTCCAAAAATCAACATAAATTGAATTGAATCTCGTGAATAAAAAGAGAAAAGGCTCTCGACGTTGAAAAAAGTCTGCCGTTTTTTAAGTCAATTGTATTAACTTAAAGAAATAACATTTAAAATTAGATTAATTGGACTGGTTGACTTGATTTTGTGTTGATATTGATGTTAGCATTGCTGTCGACAGTAAAGGCGGTGAAGAAGGTGATGATGATAAAGGTGATGGCGGCGATAAATTGGAAGACGATGATGAAGATGCTGGTGATACTAAAGGTGATGAAGATGCAGATAATGAAGGAGAAATTGATGAGTATGAGGGAGAAGATGAAAGTAATAAATCGATCTTTTTCGGTTTAACTGATTCGCATAACGGTAAAGGAGGTCGAGAAGTTGTTGATGATGATGATGTTTGAGGGATTGATGGACGGCGATTATTGAATCGAGACGAGTTCAACATTTGAACATGAAAAGAAGAGCCAGGGTCCGGCGGTAAACTATCTTCAGGCACAAATATCTCACAATCATCGGGACCGTCATTAAAAGATAACTGTAAGCAAGGTTGATGAGTTTGCTGGCTAAATGATTGGATTCTTGATTGGTTTCCTTGTGAAGGTTGATACTGTTGATGCTGTTGATGATAGATTGCTTGTTTAAAGTTATGGCGGTTGGATGATCCATTTGAATCGTATGATCTATCGTCAAAAGTGTTCAGTGATGAAAAAACCATTGGACCCATGGCAGCCAATTCATTTTTCTTTTCCCTCAATTTAGTTTTCAGTTCATCCAACAATTTGCTCGGTGAATCCTCTGATTTAGCAATTAAGGCCATCATGAAGTCAACTTTAAGCTTAAGCTCACATTCTCTTAATGATCTGATGGTATCATTACATTGGTCAATCTGCTGGTTTGCTTTAACCAAGCTAATCTGCAAACAATCAACCTGATTTACCAGATTTTCAACTTGCCGTTGAAGTCGCTGACTAACCAATCGAGCATCATTCTCAGCCTCTTCCAATTCTAACACTTGTTCCTGGAGGGCATCTCTTTCCTCCACCAGCAGAGCAAACTTTGCTTCCAAATTACTTGATTCTTTACAATATTGACACGGCACGCTGGTGGTTATTAAATCAACTTGTGATGCTTGAATTCCAATCTCAGAGTATTTAGCCTTTGGTCCAGAATTTGCGGAACTTTCTTCATCTGACAGTTGTAAATCTGAAAGGCTTGAAGGACCAGAAAATTGATCACGACGCCCATCATCACCTAAACCTTCATCTTCACTGGTCAGTGAAAGCGTCAATGCATACGATTCCAAACTGGAGCAGCTTTTGTTTGATTTTGTGGGCAGACCATCTAAACTAGCATTTGATCGTTTACCAGTTAAATCATAATGAAATAGTTCGTTTGAATTTCCATTAGATGATAAAGGTTCGCTTTTTATCTTTACAAGATTATCATTATTATTCGTTGTAATGATATTATTTCCTTGGTCACATTTCAGAGGCTCCAATTGAATAGCTTTATCACATTTAACCAGATTTGATTCACCAAGTGTTGCCTGTAGCAGAGAAATGAAAGAAAAACAAAAAACCAACCATTAATTAACACGAATCGAACAAGCTGTTGCTTTTGATATAAAAGAAATTAACATAATTAATAAACACGATTAAGAAAAACAAAAAATATTTCTCAACTAAAACAAAACCAGCTGACGTCGCTCCCTCACACAATAACAAAATGACCGGGAAAAATAATGAACGCGCTGAATCCAAAACAAATCATTCAGCCTCATAATTAAGAGAAAGAAAACAAAAATGCTATTAACCAACAATTAACCATTAAACCATAGATTTTTTTTGCTATATTAAGACAAATGATCATCATCTAATACTGCGTATTTAAAAAAACAGAAAAAAAAGTGAAACAATCAGTAAAACAAGTCTTTTACACTGGGCCAATTGAAATAAATACAGTACAATAGGATCCAAGAGGTTAAAGGCTATCAAAAGAAAGTGATTGATCAAAGTGGAGGTCAAATCGTGCTGACCTTTAACAAGTTACTCTTTTTGAGACAAAGTGCTATCCTAGCCACTCCTTAAGTGAAGACGAAGACAGAATGAGATGATTATAATGATGATTTTATTCACCCTGAGGTCAAGTAAATGGTCTACGATTACCCTGGTTTATCTGATATATTTGGTTTAAACAGATGAAATTGACTAAATGAGAAAAGTCAGTAAAGTTAAGATCAAGACCCCTGAGGGTAACCCTGATGTCTTTTCCTGTAAAATTTTGGTCAAAAATGTAGAATCCCATACAAACTTCAATATCTTTCAATATTATTAGTTTCCCAGAAATGAGGTAAACAGGTAAATAACAAATGATCTCCAAGTGTTTTAAATGTCTATACAATTGCCTGTAATTGGACAGTGAAAAAAAACTGGATTCAACCATTGAAACTATCAATTTTGTAATCTTTCATTGTTACCTGTTGATGAGGGATAAAAAAAAGGAAGGAAGGAAACAAAGATATTTGAAAAGGTATTTTCCTAAACATATTATTACCAGTTTTACAGATTTTCATTTACCATCAAATATCAAGTATTTCCGATGTTAATCTTGATCTTATCCTAGCCCACAAAATTTTGATCAAACCCATGAAATACACAGAGATGAATAATGAAAAGGCTGAGATTCATTTCAAACACTGCTTTCCAATCAATCCTCTATAATGTAGCCTGAAACTAAAACCTTTTTGTGTTAAACATTCAACTCATCAAGATTAAAGATACTAATTATTAAGACAGTTTAACGCAACTTGGTACTGGACTTGAACGTGATTTGAATGATTATGATGAGCTGCTAAAAAACGATTGAGTATAATCACTTTTAATTGTATAATAGCGTTGATTGTTGTCAACTTGTATAACAAGGCAAAAAAAATGATTGAAGATTTGTTTCGATTGATCAACTTTAAAGTCGTTTTTTTCAATTTTGTACTTCCATTCAACCAATTAATAGATCAACTGACAGTTTAAACAGTTAACGATATGTAACACTCCTATTATTATCACCATAAAAAACTGATCAAATTAAATTGTTTCAAGAGTTACTCTGAAATTTTAATGCACCTTACATCTTAATAATAATCTAAAGGTAATAACAATTTGACCAAATTTGTAAGTTTTGCGTTTCAATCAATCAACATAATCATACTATCAAATATTACATTTGATTGGCATGTAAATGTGTGTTGTTAAATTGTTAACTTGTTAACAAATGTTTCTCGTTAAACATTCAATTGGTCAACGTTTGCCTTTAATCATATTTCTAGTAATAATGTTATTCAAATGTTATACAAATCAATTCAATAATTAATGCAAATATTACAAAGGTAATGAAGGAGTTAAGGAGTGGTTTTATCTTAAACAATGAATACTCATTTGATCATCAATAGCAATCAAAACATGAATCAAAACATAAATCATAATATGAATCAAAATATGATACAATAGATAACCCAGATTGAACAATTAAGTAACCACAAAATTGGATTAATGTTAAGATTACTGGTTTTCTGGTTCTGAAAGATACCCGAAGTTGGTTAACCTAAAGTGAATGAAACTGAATGTTTTCAATATTTTGTAAAATTGTTTCAAAAGGTGACTTGAAATACATGATAATAACAATCTAATAATAATCTATTGATTGTATCGATGGTAAATCGGATTGAAATCATCTTCACTATTGGATTGAAAAAAAGGTAACAATCATTTAAACTGATTTGAAAAGGCATTTAAAAATGCACTTTTATTGAAAATAAGATGTAAAGAAACAGTTGATTTTAATGTTAATACTAAACAAATGAGTTGTAATTTTAAACCTCAATTTCATTACGATTGCTATCAAACATGTTCAAAGTAAATTAATATTTAATGGTAAAAAATAAAGGGTTTCAAGTCTTGCGGTTCAAAGATGATTAATATCATTTGAAAATGTAAATTTAGTTATGAACATGAAATATCATTGAAAATTGCAATGAACTTTAATTTACTTTTTTTAAGGTTTGGATTATTATTATTATTGATAACTTACTTTAGATTGTTCTGATTCAAGAATTCGGAATTCCATTAATTCATTTTGATCACGAGCTTCCTGCAATTCCATTGCCAATAAATCAACCTGTAAAATGGTTTAAATATTGAAAAATTAGTTTAATTGAAACAGTTATTGGAAATGAGAAGAAAGCTGATGAAGGAAAAAGTGATTTTTTACACCCAAAGTGAACCTTCCTTGACCTGGAATGGTCAAGGATCGTCCAGTTTGTTCAATTGAAATACGAAAAGGGTGTAAAAAGGAGAACAGAAATTAAAGATTGAATAATTTTTCCTCTGTTTGTATTCAATAAATCACAACAAATGAGCATCGGATGAACCTCGCTATTGTTAATCAATCATTTGGATTTCACTTTTAACCGTCTAAACATTCATTAATTAGACTAAATGGACGCAAAATTAATTAACTTTTAACTTCTTCTCACAATTTATGTAAAAACGCCAGCCTAACCCTTATAAAGGGAAGTTGGTTTTTCGCTGCGTTTTTGCTTGCTTTAGTCAAATGGTGCATTTGAAACCGGAATGTAACCATAGAGATTACAAGGTGTGTGTGTGTTTAGTTAATCTAATGAGGATAGAAATTGATTAAAGTGAAATTAATTGTGTTTATTCAAGATTAACTTTTCCCTCTTTAGATTGTTCCAAATGTAAAAAGGTATGAAAAGGATCAAATGTGAATCATTGAAATTACTGTAACTCGACGTTCACTTGATCAACCAGTAAACTTATGCTGAGAAATTGGATTTTCATAAGATTTATAATTTCTTTTTCAGATTTCCTGATAATGGATTGAATTTCCTCAACAGATTACAGTTGATTTATAATATTAAAATAAAGCCAATCTTTGATTCAAGGTTTTACTTTAAGTTGAGCAAAAGTGAAAAAATGTCAACAATTTTGGTCTTTTCTGGTTGTTGACTTTAACGTTGATATTTTGAGATAAACTGTTTGAAATGACAAAGTTAATAGGAATCGAATGAAGTCATGTTGAAGAAAAGTTCAGAGTGTTACTGAAAATAGCGATTCTTTCATCCAAAGACGAAGAACATGAAACTTAAAATAAATCTTTCACCCAATGAATATTGGAAAATAAATTATCTTCAAATAACTGGTTTAAATAATTGTATCAATTATGTGGATGTCTGGTGAAGAGTAAAATGTTGAAAAATTAACCAGAAATTGGAATGCAATTAAGTGTCCAAAAATGTTACCTTTTAAGGTTACATTGATGGTGAAAAATAGTCAATGTGAATCTTACCTTTCCCATAAGATTGTGAATCTCATCTTTAAGCGATTGTTTCTCCTTTGATTCGGTAACTGACCTTTCCCTTTCCTCTTCCAATCGTTGGCACAGAACTTTGAATGAATTTTGAAGCTGAAGATTTTCTTTAACCAGTTTCTTGTAAATTTCTTGACTCTACAAGTTCAATAAAGAAGAAGAAGAAGAAGAGAAGAAAAAAAGATGAGAAGTTGAAAGAGGATGAAAAGATGGTGAGAACAATGGACAATTGTGGTCAAAGGTTCATTAGGATTGACCATTTCTTATAAATAATATAAGATATAAAAAAAGCTTCACTTGATCATCATCATTGCAATCACTTTCAATGGACTTTATTATGTTTCTTTTTTTTACTGTTGGCCTTTTGCTGGTTCAATGATTGAAAATGATTTAGAAATGGCAGAATCAAAGAAATCAAAGGAATCAATTTAATCCAATGTTAAAATGGTAATCATGATTACTTACGGGTAAATAGCGTTCCACTTGAATCGAGTCTTCATCATCTTTCAATGAATTCAGATTCTTCCGGGAATCATCCAATTTCTTGAATAACAATTAAAAGAGAAGAAGAAAAAAAATGTCAAAATTTAAATTTACTTTCATCTACACATTACACTTTCAACTAATGATTAGTTGATTGTTTTTTCAAAAAATAAAAAATTTGCTTCAAAAAAAGGATTTTAAAACAATCTCAATATTGCCTATTGATTGAACTGGAAAAATGTTGAATCCAAAGAGTAAATTAGTTTGAATCAGTGACAGTTATATAACTGTGAGTCTGAACTATCAACAATTTAATGTTAATGATGCTAATTTTACTTAATATATCATAATGATGTTGCCATGATTGGGTTAAATTGGCAGTTTCATTGATAAAACAGTCTCAATTAGATTGCATGTTGACTTTAGATGACCAAAGATCATGAAAAGTCATTTGGCTTTTTTTTATTTTTACTGGTTTCTATTTGGGTTTGTAAAGTTTATTCAAACCAATTGGTAGGAAAAGATTAACTTTAATTTCATCGTTTTTAATGATAATTTGATTGAAGCAATTTTCAATTCAAATGAGATGCTCATCATCATCAAGATAATTTGTTTCCGTGTCGAGGTCAACTTTTAGGTAACAAATCTGGTTACATGAAGATAACAAAACTCACCTTAGTCTAATGTCGATGGTTAATTAATTAGTCAATGGTTGGTATTATCACCCATTTTACTGGTAATCATCATTTGGGTTCACAATTTTACATCTTTTTACCAACATTTACCTTTCAGTGTTAATCATGATCAACTTGCCCAATTAGAAACACTTCATTCATCAACCAATACATAATCATCTTCATCAACAACATAATCATCGCTATAATCATCATAATCAGCAACAAACTCGTTCAACTTGAATTATAAACTAAATTAAAATCAATTATCACTCAATTAAGATGTTTTTTTGTTAACATCTTTAAAGCGATCCAATTTTTTGTCAAAAGCCTTTTCTGCTTTTCCAGTTATCATTGTGATCAAGCATCAATTGGAAGCTTTTCCTATCCTTTCAAGCTCAGCAAAATCACCTTAAATAACATGGGAATCAACTAGAATTAAGGTGAGAACAAAATGTTAATCATTATTTAAAGTTTCTTTTGTAAATGGCGTTCAATTTGATTGCTCAAAGGTTCGGTAACCTGGAAATTTGATTGTCATTCAGCAAACAAAGAAATTGAGAAACCATAAATTGGCAGCAACCAAAAATATACTTCACAACAAAGATTTTTGTTGGTTCCTAAATTTGCTTTTTTTGGTCTCAAAAAAACCAAAAGGAGTAACTTTTTTTCTTGTAATATTTCTTTGCCTTTTTTTTATGCTTCAAGATTTGGTTAAAAGTGAAAGTTGGAAAGATAAAAGATCTAAATGATCAACAAGAATCTCGTGTGATTCAGACAAGTTAATGATGGTGTTTTACGCTGATTTTCATGATAACCATTAATTTAAATAGCAAGGTTAAATATGGTTGAAAGATGTAACAAAGAGTTGTAATGATCAGTTGAAAATCATGATCAATGTTAACTTGTTAACAATCAAAAGTCAAAAATGCTTTACAAGTCACAAGAATCACAAAAAACTAGAAAATCATTTTTAAGATTTTCACAAATCTAATCTTGAAGCTTAAGGTAAGACTTGTCATTGGATTTCATTTTTCATCAAATTCAGTTCATGTTACAGTTAGTTACCTGAATCTGAGATAAACTACGATCATTATCAGGCAATTGTGACAATAGCTGATCACAATTAGACTCTAAGGTTTAAAATGATTAAAAGAATCACAATTTGTTTCTTTGTTTAGATTCATGAATTGAACGGTTATTTCAATCGATATTTTTGACTGGAAACTGGTTAAGTAAATGATCGATCAGTCGATTTGCTGAGCTTCTCATTGACTGATTTAAATGGTAAAATTAGTGGAAACCCAATTAAATTGTAATTCATAGAAGAAATAATTTTAATATCAATTATTGAATTAAATTAAATGATGAGTTTAAAGAGGATGTAAAAAGGTTGTCAATGAAAAAACTGGTAAAACTGTAATTCAAATTGAAGTTTGTGTAAATTGTAAGTGTTATGATATCAATACAAATAACTAAATATAATGAAGCTAAATGAAGGTAAAATTTGATCATTTAGTTAATCAAAGGGATGATATTTTGATTGATGTTAAGGAAAACCTTTTATCCGGATGAAAAGGTAAAGATGGATGAAGATTAATCAAAAGTAAGTAGGATGTTGATTGAGATATTATAATTATTGTTTCAACCTAATCAAAGTTATTTGAATGGGTGAAGATGATGAAAGTGATCATTGCGTGTTTATCAATGAAACAAACACAACAGCGTTAGACTATTATTGGAGTTAATATTTTGCTTAATCTCAATCCTTTCCAACCCTTAATTTAGTGTTAAAAAAGTCAAAAAATATTAACTTTTCTCCATCAAAAATAACCGTTTTTAAATGTTACCTTTTTAATGGGAAAAAATGAATATTATTTCAAATACTAAATGATATTAAAAGATACAAAAAGGTTCAAGCTTTTCTGGTTCTAGATTTCTTGTTCTTCTTCCAATCTTATGAAAATTGTTTAAATTGTTAAATATTGGATTGTCATTGATTAAAGATGAAAAACGATTAAGGTGATTAAGGGATAGATTAATGGTTACTTTAAAGGGTTCAATTTATGTTAACTGTTGTTGCTGTTGTTTTTCAAATCAATTTCAATCAGTCAATCAATGATCACAATTTTTGATAATCTGTTTAGGGTTAAACGTTGAAATGGCTAATAATGATAATCAAAAGAATAATCAAAATGAGATTGAACTAATCAATTTTTATTCCAATCGCAATAATCATTTTAATCTGAAAAATGTTTTTTTTCATTTCTTCTCGTTGTTTTTTCCCATCAATAATGGACATTGTTTAAATCAGTTTAAATTGTGTTCAACAATCGATAATCTTTTTCATTGATTCATTCAACTTATAATTAAAGGATTCAATTGCTATTAAGATTGAATCTTCCCACGAAAAAATAAGCTTCATTATTGGGATAATTTACTCTCTGTATTTTAATCAACCATTAATCTGCTTTTAATCGTCATTATCAATTTGTCTTCACAAAGTGGATCTAATCAATTCTAATCAACTTTCTGGTTAAATAGTAAACATTTGTTCACCTTTTAGTGTTTCGTGATTAATGCATCAATGGATTGTAACATGATGACCAGGTCAGCTTCAGGTCAACTATCAATATTCACAATTAAAGGTGTTGGTTGTGATTGTGAGTAAAAACAAATAATTTTAATTAGTTCAATATTATCTGATTTTTTACAATTGAATTATTTGCTTCAGCTAAAGGGTGTGGTTGGCGGCCCAATCTAAAAATTAATGGTGGGTGATGTTCGAAAATACTATAGGAGTGGGAGCACGGAGAGGCAGGATGGGTGGAGAGGATTTATATCCCCTTCCCCTATATTGGGATTACAGAACACAAAATAATAGGGTCGTTAC